AATATTACCACCTCGGTAGAGTTAGAATTTCTGCAAGCGTGGTGAAGGGGGGTCCTGCCCTCGTTATCGGTGATTGACAGACCGTTGGTGCCACCGCTTTCAGCCAGCAAATCGACAATGCTAGCTTCCATATCTCGTGAGTGGAAGTTTTTGCTGATCCAGTGCAATGGAGTCTCGCCCTGGTCAGTGGCAATAGAACAATCAGCGCCAGACTCAATAAGTAGCTTAGCTACTTCATTGCCCCTCTTTGATTTTGTCTGTATCGATCTGAACAGTAGCGTTTCCCCCAATTCATTTTGAACGGAAGTGTCAGCGCCCAAGGTAAGAAGGAACTTGACTACTGCAACATCTTTTGCCTTAAGCCATGCTTGACGAACTTTATTTCTAGTAGAAATGGTGTCTTTTCTTTGATGAAGCTCTTTAAGCACAATGTTGTATCCTTTGTCTATTGCAAGTTCCAGTAGCGTTCTCCCAGTGCTACTTCTGGACCCAAGGTCACATTGATCTGCGAGAAGCAGAAATAGTAGCAACCCTTCGCATCCGTGTGTGAGAAGCTCCGCAGTAGTTTCCCGTCTTTTGTTGAAATTGAAGTCTCGAGTAGAACTGCAGAAAAAGTCGCCAAGAGGTGATGGTGTGATGCTCTGAAAGTAAGCCCAAGAGAATTTTGATGACTGATTACCATGAATTTTCAACATGGTCTGTACGGCGGAAGTACTTTTTGTGGCCATTGCTGCCAGGATCGGGAGTCCATAACGCTCGTCTTCGACTTTGAAGAAGGACTGCCAAGATCTATGGGCACGAATAAGGCCTGACGCATCAGACTCGGCTAATATGTACAAGAGGCTGGCCTGGGGAGTATAACGCCGCGTTTTGTGCATTTGGAGTAGATTGTGCTGTACTATCCATTCTTCACGTGGAAATTCGGCTAGAAATTCCGACTGGCTCACGCCACTGTTCTCTGCTTGCTCGGCATGATGCAAGATACCAGCTATGGCATACTCCAGGAAAGGGAGGGCCTGTTTTGTGGTCTGACTGGTGGGATCCTCCACTTTTGTCTCAATTCTCGTGCCTACATTCATGTAGGTGAGGCAACAGTGTTTTAGTGCTTCGTGACTTTGACCATGGGTATTGACCTTCAAGGCAGGGAAGATTTGACCAAGTCCACCTTCTTTCAACAGGAAATCTCTGACGGACTCATGAATGAACTGGACTCTTGGTATCTTGGCCTTGGTATTTTCCACGACACCTTTCGAGTTGTTGAGAATGTATTTGTAAATATCCTCGTCCGAAATGCTGTCAGAATGACAGTCCACCAGATATTGTGGCTCGTACCCAGATAAGATTGCAAAGTATAGTTCCTTTGGTGTTAGGGGTTGCTTGGCGAATAAAACCCATTGAATGCAAAGAAGAAGTGCATCCTGGTGATTGCTATCACGAGTGAGGATATCGCGGAAAAGCTCGTGCAGATTGGCAGGAAGTTGCTTTACTTTCTCTCTTAGGGTATGCCTGCGGCCTGCATCGAACTCCTTGTTCAAGATATCAACCACAAGCACAACCCACATAAAAACTCCGGAAGCTTTTTCTTGTAGGTCGAGACGGATCTTCTCCGCAAGCTGATCGTGCCCAATACGCAAGGCTGTTCCCAGATATGCAGCGATATCATCTTGGTGCTCGTTTTGCTTCTCAAGAATGATGCTCAATCCCGTTTCAACGGTGATATATGGGTAATGTCTGCTTGCAAAGCAAATCGAAAGCTGATTTTCGGTGCAGACGAGGTCAGTGAAGAAACCAACCATTTCTCTGATCTCGTCCTCTTCGCACTCATCTAGTGCATCGACTAGACAAACAACTGAAGTCTGACCCATGCCCTGTATAGCTTGCTCAAACAGGGTTTTCAAGGAATCAACATCCCAGTTTCCATACTGGTGGGGCGTGTCCAGCTTGTCCAGCAAACTGGGCTGCTTCTCGAGTAGTTGGACCAAAAGTGACCGATATAGACCAACAGTTGACTTTTCCAAGGCATGACCTCTGGCATTGAAGAAGAAAGAGATGAGAACATCATTGCTTTTCTTGCTTCTTGACTGCATCTGTTGATACAAGAACTTCATCAACGTTGATTTGCCGGCTCCGGGCTTCCCCTTGATCCACAAGAAGTGGTTCTCATCTTGCGATGGATCCTTGTTCTCCCATTCTTTATAGACTGGTGTCTGCAGAAACCATTTGCAAGTGTTCCTGAATGCTTTTTTGATGCTCGCGTGCCGTGAGTCCATTTGATCAAATCGCAAAGATTCAAGGATCGATTGTTGGTGACTGCTGGACCCACCCAATACAGCAGGACTACCGATGTTCAAGTTCCCTCTGACATTGATACTCCCACTGTGATTTTGGAGGCCCGTACCGCCGAAGTGGGTGAACTCGTGGGGATGCTCTTGTCGACTCGATGATGCTTGGGTGGTTGGCCCGGCTTGATCGTTTGTGGTCGGCGGTTCCCATCGCGGGCGCTTAGTTGGTCGTTCCATGCTAATGGACACGACCCCGGGAATTGTATCCTTTTCTTGTCGTCATAAAGTGCATAGCAGTACAAATATTTGTTGAAGGGAGAAGATCAAATTGCCGAACAAGATCTGTCTGTCGGGAGGGGCAGCGGTGGTGAGGCTGAGCGAGAGGAGATGCACAGTTATGGACCAATCACCACGTGAATACCAAGCCTTACCATGCAGTCGTGTGAAAATGATGCCCAATTTCCATGCCGACCTTCAGCTGACCTGACTGTTAATATGCCTTGCAGTCTGCCACGCCTCCGAGAATCGCACAGCCTCGGTCCTGACCCTGGCCGCACTTCTCATAACGATGCGCCGACGTGAAGACTAATGGGAAAAATCGAAACTAGTATAATTAACTACTTAGAGAAGTCACGACACAAGTCTCGATTGCTAGCTATAACGACCATGGCAAATCAACGTCAAGATGCAAAGACCACTAACGACTACACGGTCGCGATCGTGTGCGCAATCGAGTTTGAAATGAGCGCCGTCCGCTACATGCTCGACGAGGAACATGCACGCTTACCAAGCAGCCATGGTGACTCCAACAATTACATCTTGGGCAAACTCTGCGGCCACCACGTCGTGCTCGCTTGTCTTCCGGGGAATCAGGGCAAAAGTGCAGCAGCCATTGTCGCAACGAACCTCGATCGCACTTTTCCGTCCATCAAGTGGCGTTTTCTCGCGGGCATTGGTGGAGGTGTGCCCAGCGATAGAAACGACATTCGTCTGGGTGACGTGGTTGTGAGCATGCCCGAGGGCGAGTACGGTGGAGTAGTGCAGTATGACTTGGGCAAGGATATCGACACTGGCTTCAAGTTGAAGGGGTTCTTATCGGCCCCGCCGTCGCGGCTGCGGTCTGCAGTGAACAACATGCGATCAGATCATCGACTCGATGACAACAAAATTGAAGAGTTTGTGACTGCCATGCTGCAAAGAGGCCGGCGTCTGAACGTCTATCGTCGACCAGCTGGCGATACGGACGTCTTGTTTGATGCAGACTATGCACACCCAAGCGATCAGCCTTCTTGCAGCTCCTGCGATAGAACCAAAGTCGTCGCAAGACCGCCTCGCGAATGGGACGGCCCTGAAATCCACTATGGACTCATCGCCTCTGGTGACCGTGTCATGCGAAGTGCAGTCAAGAGAAACTTGCACGTGCGCAACATTGGTGATATCCTCTGCTTTGAGATGGAAGCGGCCGGATTGTCGACCGAGTTTCCCTACATCGTTATCAGGGGCATCTCAGACTACGCAGACTCTCACAAGAATGATGCATGGCAGCACTATGCTGCTGCAGCCGCTGCTGCATGCACCAAAGAGTTTCTGACTTATCTGGACCCGGAGGCGCCTTTTAAGGAGGCGCAGACTGCGAGTGGCTCCCCGAATGATTGGAACAGTCACAATGGCCAGAATGGTCAATCTATCCACTCAACATTTACTGGCACTGGAGTACAGCATACAGGCACGGGCAATTTCTCCGTAGGAGGAAATATGCGCATTAATGGGGGGCAGGGGCGTTAGATGCACCTACCTCCTACTTTGGCTTCACAAGATATGTTTTCTTTGGGAAGGCTCGTTGACACTGGGGCTATAGGACTGCACTAGCGCATGGTGCATTAGCGAATACGGTCATTTACTTGTCGAGATGTTGGTCAACCATATGAGAGGTTACCCACCATGCGAACATAGACGATGAGTATGATTCAGGATTGTAGCCAAGGGAATGTATTTCATTGTTTGGTCTTCAGCTAGCGCTATACTCTTTCAGTAATTATTTTCTCGCAGTACGAGTTATTCCGTGTGTAATACTAGTATTCGGCCCCCTATCAAACTTTAGTGGATGCGACAATCGCTACCAGTGAACCCGTTGACGTGGATTTGGATCCATTGCAAATCCACGCCCAGATCGACATTTTCACCACTTTTTGGATTGCGACTCTCACAGACGATGATCCTCCGTGGCTGTGAACCGTGGAGGTGGGAAGAGAGATATTGCTTTGGTCGATCAGCATCGTGTAGATGTGTTACCGTAAGAAATTCGTGTTGAAGCATCCTCATTCTCACGTATGTAAGGGCATGAGCCGGGCAGCTGTCATCAATATTACATTTTCAGAAAATTCACTGATCACCAAAGGTTGTTGAGGGGAAGGCGACATGCTTGGAACCAAAAATGATTAGAAATAACAGGTAGTATCAGAATGCCAGCAAGTAGCGTAAATGGTGATTGACGGAATGGTGAACTCGATAAAGATGATGGGCATTGGTAGCACGTGAAGATGGTTGGTACGAAGTACGATGGCCCTGCCTAGGTACACATTGACATCTACTGGTCCTATCGTCCATCCAAGGAGATTGTTCAACGGTGACTAATCTGGGCCAAAGTCACCTTTGGTCTTTTCTTTCTCTCTTTCTTATTTCTGCTATTGTCGCTGCACGAGATGCATAAAGCTCAACATTGAATAAGAAGGGCGTTGATTATACAGTAGTATTGACATCAATGTATCACCAACCAACTCGGGTCGTGCAAAGCAATCTCCAGATCTGTACCTGACACCATTCCATCTCATGTCACCTTGAACCCCGGCAGGCCATACCATAGACCCAGAACCGCCCATCAACATCAATCGTTGACAAGCTTCCCCTTTCCAGCTGGATCCTATGGCTACTATTTTCCACCGAGGATTGACAAGGTGAGGGAAGTGGTGGATAGGTAACCTTCCCCAAAAGCACGGTACCGGTATGTGGGCGCTAGAACAAACCAATTGGGTGGTGCCAATCGTATGAGGAGGTACCGAATAGTCGCTAAAAACTAGCGGCCGGCTTGGCTTTGGGGGGCGCTACGAGGGGCCTGGACTGAAGATCAATATACTACAAACCCGACGCCTACGTAACCAACATTAGCTCTTCCCCCTTTGCGCATAACTCAAAAATGACGAGGATGTTATGGAGTATTGCGCATTCACTTTTGTTTCCAAGGACGCGATATGCGACGGCTCGCATGAGAAATAGGGTAGGTTGGGTATGTTGCAGGTAGACTCTTGTTACTGCTCCCAGAGAGAAACACGCAGGACAAAGTGCCCAAACCGTACAAAGAAAAGGGAGCCTTTGCACACTCGCAAGCCGGCCAAGGTAGATCCTCATGGGACCATGGAGCTCAACCGGGGTACCTAGAGAGCGCGATCCGCGTAGATCGTGAAACGGACTTTTTACCCACAACTTTGTTCAGCGTATGTGCGCGGGGTCTGAAACGACCCCAAAGAGCCGTTTAAGCCGCTCGCTTCTGGGTTAAGCATACTATTGTCTTCAGGGCCGTTTACACTTTATTTACCTCTAGATTCTAGGGGATCTCGGCTGCAAAGGGTAATGGATTATGGATGCTAAGGGTGATATGATTGTAAAGTCTGTATTGATGCTGCAATCGATGTATCATGTGCCATTTATATGTTCTGGACTTTACAGAGTTTATGCGCACCAAGTGTCGTGCGATGGATAGAAATCAGGCCGCAGAGGTACCCCTTCAACGCCTTGCTCTAAACATGCCTATATACAATGCATTTCTAAAGGATAGATCTGCTACACCCAGGAAGTCTCACCAAGCAGAGTATCTCATAACTGCCCCGATTGAAAAAGAACAGCCCCGATTGAAAAAGAAAAAATTATATCAAAGTCGCTCGAAATGCCTTAACGCTCTATTCCTTCACCAAACACTTGCTTTCTATCCATCTCGAGAACTTGACTGTCGGAGCGTCGACGGCTCTCCAGAAGAGATCGGCTGCCCAAATGACCAAGGGAATGTTGAACATGGCAGCAAGCCAGAATCCGTGTGTATACGCGGTGCCCTCGGTGCCCGTAATCGACCATGCCCATTTCTCAATCATGAACCCTGCTGTGTGCATGACCGGGCCATGCATTAAGTAAATGGCGTAGCTGATGCGGCCGAAATATTGTACAAAGGGAGTGTTGAACACGCGCTGCCAAGCTGGAGAGCGGGCGACGCAAATGACAAACAGGATGGATCCCCAAATCTGCCAGAATCGGTACTTGTCCACAAAATACTCGGGAATGAGGGAGCCCAGGAATTGCCAGCCCGGCACTCCTTCTGTTCCCAAGTCCGGTTCTGACATGAGGTACATTGCTGGTATCGACAATACGATCCAGAACAGGCCCTTGGAGTCCCTGGGTCTGAATGTCGACTTTTCGTCAAAAGGTAGAATCGGGCTCGTCGGCGGTTGTGTTTGCGATGGAGTGTTGTGCGCGCCGCGAATGACATCCATTTCTGCAATGCCCATGCCAGCGAGGAAGAGAATCATTTCCCAGCGGTTGTTGCGCAAACAGAACCATGACAGTCCGATCAGACAGGCAAATCGAACTCCCGTGCGGACCCTTGCAAGCCCAAAAAGAACCAGGAATAGCATCATGGAGCAGCGGTATTCCACGGGAATCGTCCATAGATGCACATCGTACATGGTACTTCCACCAAAAGGCTCCCATCCCCAGACATGAATGAAATCAAACATTTCCCAGGCCCAATGCCACAATTGCCAGTTGAAAGTGTATGCCTGAAGCGGGTGTGTTTCAATGACGCCCCTCACATAGTTGGTGTCGCCAGCGAAATCTCTGGTCACTTCGTAGGCGCCGAGTTGCAAAAGTATTACTACCATGAAAGTGGAGATTGCCGTTGGGAGAAATAGTCGGAAGGCGCGTCTAAAGACAAACGACGACATGGTGGTGGCAAAGCCATCATATGAGCGGCTTCGGATCTGCTTGATAGCCTTCAAGGACAGGGCGTATCCTGAAATGACAAAGAAAAGGCAGACCATGGAAGGCCCGCTGAACAAGAGTCGGATGAATGGTAATTTCCAAAAGAGATAATTTCCCCCATCTTTTCCATAACCATCAGCAATTACGAATGCTGTATAGAAGAAGTGGCAGAAGAAGACGAATAGAGCTGCCAGTCCGCGCAGGCCGTCGAGGTATGCTGTTGGACCAACCCGGTCACTTCTCGGTCGGTCGTGGGTAAATCGGTGCTGTACGAAGCTCGGTAATAGGAAGATTCCTACTCGTAGTAATATAGCTGCCCATGATGAAAGGCGTGGCCCCCTTGTGTGTACTCCTGCCCGCTTGAACCACTGTTGAGTTGAAAATCTCTTTTCCAGATCTGCCCTTCCACTTTCACTTTCCACGTCTGATATTGACTTCTCTTCGATTAGAGATATTTTCTCCTCGTGAGAGAGGGATATACCCGAAGCGGCGTATCCGTTCATTTTCCGGTCCGGTCAGGGAGTAGAGGATAGGTAATTGATAAGTTGTCGGTTGATGAGAGCACGACCACCAGCCCGCGTCTCACGAAAACATCCGCCGGGAAGACTTTAGGCGAGGGTGGCTTGAAGGGATATAGTAATAATAAAAAGGGATCTTTGACATAGGGACCATCTGGCATCGGCAAGTTTCCCGGACGGAGTATCTAGCCAAGAACCGGCCAGGTCATGTACCGGGCACCCAAGTCTATTGCCTGTCTCAACGTGGGGCGGGTCGTGGAGCAAAGTGCGGGTTATACTAAGACTCGTGAGCGCTAACAAGACCGCCAATGCCCTGTGCCGTTTCAGATTTGAAGGGCTCCAATATTATTACAATTAGACTGAAGCAACTGGCCACCTCAGACTCAACAGGGAAATCAAATTCGATCTTACAAGGGAATTATAAGGGATTCGAATAGAGCGAACATGACAAGAAAAAAAGACATCTTCTTGGAAGGGGGCAAATAGAGAAATGCCAACCGAGAAGAAGAAGACGACGACGACGACGACGGGGTGGCCCCCACATCTTTCACTGGTCGACTGGCCCTTACAACTTCCTAATGAGGCAGCCATGGCCAAACCTGCATAATCAGGATAGATTGTGCTGATCGTCACAACACGCCTACCTAAGTGATCCGCATCCCCTGAGAGCTGGTGATGGCATTGGGGGGCTTGGGCGGCTCTTTGGATTACGCGCAGTGGGCGTTGCTGGAAAGGAGCATGCGATGCCAGCCAACCTTCGCCATGTCAGCTCCTAGCCAGCACGGCAGATCCTCATATGGCGCGACGGCTCGGCTGCTCGGCCGCTCTGCTCGCAACACGGCCGATGTTTGTAGGCATCTTGTGTGACGCCTAGAGTTAGACGTGGACTCTCACGAGGCAGCGCTGGCAGCATCCAAGGCATCACCCACTGGGCTGAGTCGCACATGCTCGGTTGCAGGGGCAAGTCTTTAACAGCATGTCGATCGGCAAGGGCGTGGGCGCAACGCGCATTGATGGAGCAGATCAACAGGGTTGCCGAAAAAGCTTGGTATCCCTTTATTCTGTGAACAGACGAAAGTTTGGGCCCGGCTTGCCAGTGCGGGCATCCAAACGTGTGTGGTTTTTGCACAGGTTCAAGATCGGCGCGCTGTTTTGGCATGTTCCAGAAATGGCTTGATATGGTCATGCTTGCTTGGATGCTTAAAAGAGTTGAAACAATGGATCTGTTTTTGCCGAACGCGCATCGTTACGGTTGCAGCCAGGAGCGGCCGTGAGTTCAGCTGTCCGGCGGCTGGCCATATTCTCTTGCAACGCAGCACCAATGTCTACAGATGGTCGGTAAACTTTTGCAAGTAATTGGTTTGTGACAGGTCATGTACGATATTTTATATCATCAGACACGGATTGCCTCAATGGGCAATATGCTGCCATGCCATGTTTCACATGGTAAGTGGTTCATTGAGCGGCTGCATTGAACGAGGACCGCTGCCGCTAAACCTAAATCCACTGAAGCACGGTGGTTCAGGTCACCACTGCTCGCTAGAGCTGAACCCCTACAGCAGTATAAGGGCTTCTCGTTGTATACGACTAATGTACCACGACCATTCTGATCACAATGCAAGCTGAATACATCACAAAATCTCTTGCAAGAGTGTTTAATTCGTCAATGGAATGACCCAAGGTCAACGTGAGGTAGACACAAGGTAGTATCTTCTGCTCAACACGATCCATCAAACGGAGCGTCACCTGTCAGTCAGATTCATAAGTCGTGGGAGGGCAGCCAACTTACAGCCCGCAACTTTAAATTGTTCCCGGTATTAGGCGTATTCATCTCATGTTGCTATATTAAACATGAGTTCCGTCTTATTCCGGACGTAAGAAGCCAAGATCCGATCAATTGCCTATTTGTTTCCGAAATAAGCTCCCAGATGGATGCTCCATTACGCGTACATGGATTGACTATAAGAAACTAGAGACGCATCATAACTTTGAACCTTTCTTCTTTGCCTGCTTCATCTCCTGCCTAAAGGCCAAGTCTCCAATAATCTCCTCGCTGCCGCCGCCCACAACCATCATTCGCAAGTCTCTGGTAATCTGTTCCACCACGCCTCCACCTCCAGGCCCTCCTCGCTGGTATGCTACGCCGCCCATGATCTGCTGGGCCTCCCGCGCCGCAAGCTCCAGAATCCTACCGCCAGAGACTTTGCTCAGCGCTATCGGCCCAGCAATGGAGTCGCTCTGCCACCCGTGGATCTGCACATGGTACGCAATTTGTTCAAGCCAAGCCCAGTGCGACTCGACCTCTCTCGCGAGGGTAATGATCTTGTGTCGAATAATCTGGTGGCTCGCCAGCGGTGTGCCAAAGGTCTCGCGCTCATGGGCATAGGCCAGGGCCGTGCTGAGGCAGGTCCGCGCATGGCGGTTGCAGCCGACGGACATGACGAAGCGCTCCCTGTTAAAATTGGTCATGATGTACTTGAACCCGGCGTTTTCGCGTCCCAGCAGGTTCTTGGCCGGCACGCGGACGTCAGTCAGGCGAACCCAGGACGCGCCGCCCGCGTTTTGCCCGCTGTTGTAGATCTTTTCGATCGCCACGCCCGGCGCGTCGAGCGGCACAACGAGGAGGGAGATGCCGCCGGCACCTTTACCGCCCGTACGTACCGCCGTCGTCATGTGCGTTGCCCATTGTGCACCCGTGATCCACTTCTTTGTGCCATTGACCACGTAGTGCCGACCGTCGGCGGTCTTTTGGGCCGTTGTTTTGATATTGCCAACGTCGCTGCCTCCGCTTGGCTCTGTGATGCCGAGACAAAAGTTGGTCTGCCTGGTGAAGAGACCCGGAAGCCACCTCTGCTTCTGCTCTTCAGTGCCGTGATTGATGATTGGCGGCACGCCAATGACATTGGCGCCGGCGAGGGCCGTTCCTACCGCGCCATGAATGCGGGATCCCTCATCGGTGAGTATGAGTAAATGAAACGCGTCCAGCTTGTCCACTGGTATACCCGCAAGAGTCTGGAGTTGTGGCGGCTTGTACTGTTTCGGTACATCTGTCAATGCCAATCCTGACTTGATGTAATTCAATTTGGCGCTCTCCGGACAATCGCCCTGAGCCTCCCACTCAAGTGCATGGGGTAGAACATTTTCATCAATGTACTTCCTTGCATATGCCTGCAGCTTTCTGTGGGAGTCTTTGTAGTATGGTGATTCCAGGGCTCCGTGCCAAGCCGGCTCGGCCCACGGAAGTGTATTCGCGATGCCCTCCGTCATGATGCAGTGTTCGCTTGTTGATCTCGAGAGAGTCCGCAGACCAAGATGTTTCCAGAGATATGACAATCTCTGACTTGATGCAACAGGATTTGAATTGGATTGAGCAATGTATCTAATGAAAGAAGATCTCCCCGGTATACGGTGGGATTCTTCTTGTACCGAGGCATCCTCTCCAACATGCTTACCCCACCATCAAGATTTACCCCGGTTTTCGAAGTAGCCAACAGAACAACTAGTCTGTTGGAGAAATTCATAACACAGTTACGGAAGAGCTAAAAGGTGGTATTCGAACTTCGAAAGTGCTCAAGGATCGACAAAAGATCACCTCATTGGTGTGCAGACACAGGACAGACAGATGTTGTTTCCGGAACTCGCTGAGGAAGGTAAGTTATGATCGGGGCAACTTGGCACTCGGGTTACTCATTAGTGATATAGGTTGCCAACCACCAAATCATTTAATATCTCTCTATAGGGTCATGTCCATATTCCAATTAACTCTTTTCTTTGGCAAGTCACGATGTTCTTCCACCATCCATGGCCAAACAGTTCTCGGGAGGAGACTAAACTGACTCAATGAATCTATCACCTATGGAGAGGTTGGTGCAAGGTTGCGTTTGCTTGTTGCAAAAGAAAGCTCTTCAGGGACTATAACCAACAGATGCACAGAAATGTTTTACTAAGGGCAAGAAGAAGAGCACTCTCCACGCTCGAACGAGTATACGATTGATTCGATAGTAGATTTGCACTGCCCAGAAGACTCCTGATCAAGCATTCCACGGATTGGTCTGACTAGATGTTGTGAATTAGTCGTTAACTTGCAAGTCCAGCGGTACGAGGAAAGAGAAATGGCCTTTTGAGCTCTTGGAAGTCATCCAAACCACTTCCCGTGCCCACACAACCCGACTGCTCTTCATGTTCCGTAGCCTTTCTCTCTGAGATCCCACCAGGAAGTCCACTCGATCAAGTTGTGCTTGCCAGGCTTCCAGAGGTAGCAGTTTGGGAGCGGCTTAACATGTAGCTGGGAACCAGATACTCGAATCTTCAGAGGACAGGACGTGGGATGAACACGAAACCTGTGACTGTCACGTCTTGGGTCAACTTTTAAGTGAGCAAAACCTTGATATTTGATCAGCATTGAAATTAAGGTTGCAGATGGCCGTCGTTCTCTTTGGCGCCGGAAATGTCGCCGATGTATCATAATGCAGCGAAAACAATGTCCTAACCTGTACCACCCCAGAAAACTGATTTAAAGGTATTTATTCACGCCATGCATACTAAAGTATGGTCAGAATATCCCAAGGTTCTCTGGGTAGGCTTTTATACATCACTAGCACGCTGAGTACAGATCCTTTTCGTTTCACATGGATGTGACTATAGCTTTCTCTTTTCTAAAGGGAGAAAACAAATCTTTCGGCTCTTGCCATTAGAATCCATCCAGATACAGATACATATCACTTCTATGGCGACAGGCAGCTGGGTACAGTGATCGACGAACACAGGTATCAGATTTATCGTTGAGAGGTTTGAGATAGCCACTGTGAAATTGAGCCTCACGATAGCGTTCTAGTATTCGGGACAATTGTTGGTCTAGTCAATATTGACCTGTGCTTCCTGGCCGGTGGCCTAAATGTGGAGCTAGTATAGCAGTTGACGGTTCTCGTGCAGCCACGTGAGTGTATTAGTGTCTTGAAAAGTACCAGGTCTAGAGTGTGTCTTGTTGTTGCGCCTATCGCGTGGTGATTCGACAAGTACACCGAAGAGTCATAAAACTTATCCCTTTTTGGCTCAGGATAAAACTTGAAAAAGAAAATTTTCCGTCAGATCAGGGCTCTCGGTTCCAATCATGGCCAGCGTGGCAACAGATACTAAATCCCTTGACCACGCGATGTCGCCTGCCAAGGATGACGGGTCAGAAGAACTCCGAGTTAGCTGGATGCAGCTAAAGACTCATTACAAATCACATAAGGCTGGAGGAATCTGACGATGCGGTGTGTCGCACGTTTGAAATTGTATTCTTACCCATGTAAAGTATCTAGCTTTGTGATGAAAGGACCTAGTTGATCCTACAAAGATCAGGCTATGAGGTGAGACGGCTGCACCCGTAACGTGACCTGCTGGTAATATGGATATGATCATCGCGTGCGATTGACTTGCAAATATTACATGCTCGGTCGACTTGCTTTATTTTGTGCATTATTGAGGAGTTTCATGGAGACAGAACAAACACTACTGCAAGTCAACTGAGGTTTTTTTTCTTCTTCTCAAGAACAACAACGTGGGCGTTGATGATCTTCCATGTTAATTTTAGCTCATTAAGCTTCCCTTGTGTTAACCTCCCTTTAGTCTGCATCAACATTTGCTCCATAAATACCCAGGTTAGTGGAACTTGCACCTTGTCATGGGGTTCAGGAGGAGTCCAAAAGCGAACTAGAGGCCTAGAATTGTCGCCATTTTTAGACTGGCTGCTGAAAATCTGATTCACACCTGGACAGCCAAGACAGCCCTGGGTGAGATGGCCTAAGATAATAAATTGAAATGCCCGCGATTATGGAGGTGTGGTATCAAATTGGTATTAGAGCTGTCATGGTTTGTCTTCCTTCTCACTCCACGCACAGGGGTCCTATTGGCCATGAATGCTACCGAAATGGGGGAGCTGAATAATTGCGGAATAGCTGCACTTTTCTAGTATAACGTGAACTAGGACTTTTGGCCCCCAGCTCCTCAGTGCCTAAAAGCAACGAGTATCAATAGAAGAAAATGTCTTAATAAATATCAACTGGCGGTATGTACCAGTTCCTCTACGTGATGACAGGACTTGCATCTTACACCTGTTTCCAGTATGACTCCCAGCTATCCCGCAAACATGGAGTATGAAAGTCAAGTCAAGTGGCACCCGCTGCAGTCACCAAGCGGCGAACACATTTATGAACAAGCCAGAGATTCAAGAATCGATCAGTCTCAATCGAATTACGCGTCTGCATACTCAAGCAAGTCGCATGCTGACAACCATGTTCAATCCTACGAAATGTCAATGAGTGCCCAGTCGACCTTTGCTGTATCGACTGCGACTCCTCCCAGTCAAGAGGGACAGCGAAGTTGGTGGGATCTCAGAAGAACGGGCGCAGAAAAAGCAGCCAGCAACTTCAAGAAACAATTCAGCGGGAAGCGAGGATGGAACGGACACTCGTACTACCGACCAAAGCAGAATGAACCAGAATCGCAAAGTCACGCCATACTCAGCGAGTTGGACTATGGCGGATCGATGCGCAAGGACGATGAGGGCAAATTTGTCTATCGCAATCAGTTTGGTCAAAAGAGTTCCAAGTACAGCGATGTCGCCGTCTACCTGTCCCCGACCAACTACGTTCCCAAGCGATTGATCGTCCAAGCCACGACCCACGTCCTCGACAACAACCTCGATACGGGAGATTGGAGACGAGGCAAGATGAACGGTGATGTGCCAAAGGCACTGAAAATTTCAGAATGGGCCCTGGGTCCCTTGGCCAAGGAAGGGTGGTGGAGGAAGATTGATGGAATGATCAGAGTCCTGATTGTCTGTGTACCCCTCCAGCTATGCTTGACCTTCCAGAGCTCCAACTCATGGGAAGACGCGGACACCATTGACAGTTATACGGACTTCCCTGGCTACCACTGGCAATGGCCAAAGCATGCTATCAACCCGTTGGATCAGAAGCCGACTCCGCACAAGGTGCTCGTGGGACCTGAACTCCCATCCAGCCGGCGCCGCCTCATTCGGCCGCGGCAGTTGGTGGTTCTACAACAGGACGGCAGCTGGAAAGTCGAAGCATCGGCACCCGTCAACCTGCGATATGTATTCATCAGCTTTGCCGACAAGGCCTTCAGCTCCGAGTCTGGCCGCCTCCTGATTCAGCGAATGGCGGCACAGGCTGCCCTCGAAGCTGGCTGTTCTGCCTACTGGCTGGACTTTTTGTGCAGAGCCGAGCATGCTGGCGACCTCCTAGACTCGGACGTCTATCGCATGTGCGACGTGATTCGCGGCAGCAGTCGCGTCGTGATTATGCTCCCCGATGACCGTGTCGAGAGCAAGAAGAACTGGGGAGCCCGTATGTGGACATTGCCAGAGGCTCTTCTGGCTCCGGAAAACAGATGCTACTTTGCCCATCCCTATGGCGACGGCCAGATCACCGAGTCGCTGACCCTGGTCGAGATGACGGCAGAGATTTGGGAAGATCCCATTGATTCCGAAGAGGATGGGGGTCCGACCCGTCTTCTGGCTGAGCACTATACCAATCTCCTGACACTCAGTCGCTTGGAGCTCTTTTCCACTGCTCTCGATGCTCTTTGGCGTCGCGCCGAGGTCAACTACCAGTTCTTCACCCCTAATGACGTGACGTATGCCATCATGGGTCTTTTGCACTACCGCATTCGCCGCGACGACACCGACACAGAGTTCCAGTCACTCGCTCAATTGTCTCTCGGAAACGACAGCGACAACATTGTGGAGCGCATGGTCTCGCTGTACCCAGATCCCACTACTGGACCATTGAACCCGTTCCGGTCTCTTGCGAGAGCGGATCTCTTTCACACTCACCTCTGGGACATTGAGCCCACCTGTCAGGTTGTAGGTGTCGCGCATGAGAATAACACGGTGCTGCTCGACTCTTGCCGAGCCATGCACATTAGGTGGAAGGGATTCCCTCGGCCTGTTGTCACACGCGACTATGGTCTCTCTCGTCTCTTTGCCATCATGTTTATCACCGCCGGTACCTGGTGGTTTGTTCAGGGTATCAGCCTAGCAATCTACTACGCGCCGCTTTACTCGGGCAACGTGGACAAAGACCTCAAGCGCGTCATGGAGTGGATGATTGCAGGATTCCTGTTCGTGTCCATAATGCTCAGCGCATTTGGACCGTTTTCGGTGCGCCGGCTGTATGGTGGTCAGGTCCTACAGAGCACGAGCAACCTCGTGGGATTCGAGGGTGTCATGCCAATTGCCAAGCTTGAGAAGCTTGTCTTTGGCAACGACAACTCGCGTCTCTCGTACGAGGCCTCGTCGACGCCCTTTGCCGAGTACTGTCGCCACCCGTCGCTGCGTGTCGGCTTTGAGCCCGACTGGATCCGTGACGAGAGACCAGATCTTGCTGAGGTCAACTTGCCCAAGGGCCACAGACTTTTTACCTTGGTTGACACTGGCGAACTGAGCGTCAGCATCTTTAGCGCCGAACGCCCGCCGACTGTGGCGTTGCTATGTGGCCGCGAAGGTGGCATGCTCCGGTCGGTGTTGTGCAGTTGGCAATTTGAAAATGACTGCCTCTACAAAGAGGCCGTGGTGCGCATGCCTAGCAATGTCTGGGATTCTGCGTCGCCAAAGGGCTGGTTGAAGATCTGCCTGAATACACTGAACCAGGCACGAGAGAACGAGCGTGTGGAGAACATAAGAAGATCAGAGACGAAGCACTAGCGTTGCGTTTTGGTTTCATTTATAATTTTGTTGATACCCTTTGATAAACGAAGAATAGCAGATTGCATTAATTTGAAATATATTTCATAGACTTATGGGCCAGCGTTCCTCCTACATCCACATGAGTGTTCGATAGGTATGAATATGTGTGGCGTCAAATGGACGAGAACGTGGACTTATGGGGGAATCGTGATTCGATTGAGTATTGTCTCATCCTAGCTCAAATCTACAAACAAGCTTTTACTAGTGCCGATACGATGAGATTCAAGCATAGTTGGAATGTTGGAGGATAAGTGCCTGACGTACATCAAATCTATATCTGATCAATAACGTCGACATGGCTTTTCCGGATTCAGTCTCTACTAAAGTTGCATATGAATTGATTAAATGCTTCAGACGAATCCATAACCGGTGTAGAGTTGCGACTATGGACCCACAACCTCTTCGTACTTTGGAGTTATTCGTGTCAGAAGTGAGGCTACTTGCGCTCAGGCGCGGAGCTACGGCCGCCTTGTGTACCCAGTTCCAGTTCACTTACCCCAGACAGTCTCCGAGGTAATAAATCAAAGATCGAACCGGTGTTTGCATCATAATATGTAAACACGTGACTTGTATGAACGATGCTATTAATCGCTAGGATGATCTACACTACCATTGTTCCGCCATTCGTATAGTCCTTAAGGCTAAGACGGGGCAACATAAGATAATCCGTGTAATGTAAGCGAAACAGACAACCTCGGCCCTTCTTCTCCAACGGTCGAAATTGTAGAGGATATAGAAAGTATTTAATCAAATAGTACCTTTTGATCTGGTATAAGTAGCATCGATGGCTGGCCATTTAAATCTAGTCAGAAAGAAAAGGTATCTGTCTCAGTACGGCACCAGAGATCAAGGCTTTTTCTTTCTCTTATTCTACTTTCATTTCTCTTATTGAGCAATTTTATCGCTCTTTTTTTTTTTTTTTTCACAATGCAATACACTGGCTTGCTGGCACTTGCAACTGTTGCTGCTGCGCAGTCAACTATCAACTTTGGTCCTTACTGGTGGCTGCGCCCCGATCTCGAGTATTCTACCGAAGTGCCTACAGCATGGATTCGTTCTGCAAATACAACTTTGGTTCTCGGTGCTATCCCTAGCCCCCAGGTTGACCGTCTGGCTATATGGCCTGGAATGGCCAGTAGTGACGGTGATCTCATCCAAGCCATCGCGGTCTCCTTTTCTGACCCGAGCTCTCAATGCGGCGGTACGACTGGTCAATGGTGCACGTTTGCCAGCACTCTCGAAAGCCAGCAAGAGAGCGGAACCATGGTTGCTGCTTCTGAGGGAACTAAAATCAACATGTATTATGAGTACAATGATGACACACAGATGTATGACCAGACCGTTACCGTGAATGGCCAAGTTATCTCGACTCTTTCAACTTCGTCAGGAAAAGCACAAAACTGGCAGACCGCCGTAGAGTGCCAAGAAGAGGCTTGCTCTAGCACTGTCCCGGCGCACAGTAAGTTGATGGATGCGTTTCTCCCAGACTTGGAACATATTACTTACTCTGAAATCTAGAATATCTGGACACAACAATAGTCCTGGACTCTGCAGATACTTCCTTTGGCGACACTCTGATCACAAACGAGGTCTTTGCAGACGACTTCACCACCTCTGACGGCGGCATCACTTGGACTGTAGCCACTATCAATGTCAACGAGTATGACTTTAGCACCAGCTCTGGAACATCTGGCTCTTCAAACTCAACTAGCTCTGCCATCTCTTCCAAGTCGGCTATCCCTTCCGGGTCAGCGTCAGATTCGGTATCGGGATATGGCTCTTCGAGAACAGAGTCTAGTTCCGGATCAAAACACTCTGGCACTACCTCCGGTCATGGATCCCACTCGTCGGGTTCACCCTCGGGTCCTGGTTTTTCTCCATCAGGTTCTGCCTCCAGCCATGGATCTCACTCGTCCGGCTCGGCCTCATCCCACGGATCGAGTCCGTCTGGATCTTCCTCTGGCCATGGCTCAAAGCCATCTGGCTCTCCATCCGGCCATGGTTCGAAACCATCAGGCTCTACTTCCGCTTCTGGACCTTTTCAATCTGGTTCAGCCTCGTCATCGGGCTCTGGGTCTGATTCTGGATTATACCCATCAGGCTCCGACTCGAGCTCTAAAACTGGCTCTACCTCCGCGTCAGGTACCGATTCGGGTGCCGGGTCCGTCGTATCAGGCATTGCCTCGGATCTAGGCTCTGGAAGTGCATCTAGTACTGACTCAGGCTTTGGATCAATTATATCCGGCATTGCTAGCGGGTTGGGATCGGGCTCGGGCAGTGGATCTAGTACCGATTCTGGTTTTGGATCTATTGCGTCCGGTATTGCATCAGGTCTTGGTTCTGGGACTGGCTCTACCTCGGGTTCTGGATCTTCTAGCACTGATTCTGGATTCGGATCTGTTGTGTCGGGTATTGCCTCGGGCTTAGGCTCGGGGTCCGGATCAGCAAGTGGCTCCGGATCCAGTACGGACTCAGGTTTTGGCTCTATCGCCTCTGGCATCGCTTCCAGCTTGGGATCAGGAACAACATCGGGCAGCGGATCGAGCACTGACTCTGGATTAGGGTCTGTGGTGTCTGGTATTGCATCGAGTCTGGGTTCAGGAACTACCAGCGGCACAGGATCAAGCACTGACTCTGGTCTGGGTTCGATTGTTTCTGGCATTGCGTCCAGCATTGGTTCAGGGTCGGGGTACGACCAGAGTAGTGGAGCGACGAGTGACGGAGCAAGCTCAAAGAACTCGCGTGGCGTCTACATGGGTGGCCCGAGACGGCGGATTTGAAGAAGCCCTGCTGAAAGGCGGAGAGCATTTACCTTGTTCGGTGAACCAATGTAGAGAAATCCAAATATTTTTACGCGTGTTCAAATGCTCTGTTGGATGTGTCTTGTTGCGCATCTGCATGGCGGCGCATAGACCATGACGCTTTAGTGCAGTAATTGATGTGACAGGGTGCATGCACATAATCAGACTCCAGTAATCGAGATCATTCTTGGTTTTTGATTATTGTCAATTTTCAATATCTTCTCAGTATTCAATGCAAATCGCTAAACTAGGTATCAAACAAACATGAATCATGCTGTGGCGGGTTCTCTTCGCCACACCTTGACAGGCATATCGCCCAAGATATGGTTCATGGTCTCTTCCCGCTTCAGCTCAAATCCTCTGCCCAGGGCAAAGTTGTAACGGTGTACCACCGAGGCGATGAGCACAGCCTGCTCCAGGTATGAAATGTTGCGGCCGATGCATCCTCTAGCGCCGGCCGAGAAGGTGATGAAAGACGGCTGAAGATTCTTGCCCTCTTCTCCCAGCCACCGCTCGGGAATGTAAGACTCGGCATCACGGTAGACAGACTCGTCGCGGTGCGCCACAAAGGCGGAGATGCTGACCGTGGTATTGCCGGGGATGAAGTGACCCATGATTGACCATCCCTCCGGTGGGGTCTTTCTGGGCAGGCCTTGCGGTGTGGGAGGGAACAAACGAAGGGACTCATCTAGGCATGCCTTGAGGTACGGCAAGTGCTTGACCTTGTCATATGGCGCGACAACCTCATCTGGATCGAGTACGGAATCAAGCTCCTCTTGGAGCTTGGCCATGATCTTGGGGTTGCGCAGGAGCTGGTACAAGACATTTGTGAGAGCAATGGCCGTTGTGACACTGCCAGCGTTCATCATGATGTTGATCTCGGCAACAATCTCGCCCCATTCCAAACTGTTTGGGCAGCCATTCTTGTCTTCCATCATGGCTTGGAAAAAGTCATCCAATTTCTCGCCAGCGCGGTAGCGGTCCAATCTCTTTTGTCCACGACGCAGAACGATACCGTCCCAGCCGTGGTTAGCCTTTGACATGTTGCGGTAGTAAGGAATGATGTTGGAGATCTTGTCAATGACCTTGTAGTAGTCATAGCTCCACAAAAGCAATGATTGCTTGCGGGCGATGGGATACAGACTATCGCGAATTCTAGCCTTGAAAAGCGTTCCATCCTTGTTCTGGGCTTCCACCTCGTCGTCGCCCATGTCAATGAGGTTCAAGCGTTCCGAAACACCGATGTCTGCAATGGCATCAAGCGAGAAGAAGTTGGTCCACATGCGAAAGTCGACGTTTAGATCCTCGGGGTCTGGGTGTCTGCCGGCGGGAAGGGGAGCGGTGCAACGCTTGTCAAACTGCTTGATCATACGCTCAACCTTGTCGGCGACCTTGTACTCCCAAGACTCGAGGTTCTTCAAAGCGTAAGCTGAGGACAGCACCTTGCGCTTGCGTGCGTGCTCGCTCTTGTTTACCACATCGGCAAGATGGTAGTGGCTGCTGGCTGTGAGAACGTAGGACTCGTCCTTTGTGCAGTGGGTGCCGTGGCCGTAAATATCTTTGATGGCTTGTACGCTTCCAAAGGACAGTGTGTTTGGGCCAGTCCGTAGAATTGGTTCCTTCTTGTGTAACTTGGAGAGATATGCTGATCGGGCACCGCTATGGGCTAATACCATGAACGGAATGTTCGTTATTCCAGCCAAGGGGCTGAAATTTGGAAATCGTCGAAAGCCTATCAATATTTGTTAGTTGCAAGAACTTTACTTTTCCCCTGTGATGCAGTTTGTGAACACATACCTTTGACATCTCTGTAGTAAAGGACAATTGGATATACAATAAAGTATACGAAGCAGGATACCAGGAGTACCGCCGCATATGGGATGGGCTCCCGTGGGAGAAAAGACAAATAGTCCATAATCACGCAGCAGTAATGGGAATGGATTGAGTATGAAAGGTGAACGTCAAATTTATTTTCTGTTGCAGAAGAAACTTGAAAGATGAGGAAGATGGGCAAACGAATAATCGTAATGGTTGTCGTGAAAGTCTTGATGATAGAACGTATAATGGCTGATGATTTTTAAGATATTTAGCCATTCTGATATACTAGAGTCTGTCCTATACCCCAGTGTATCAAGGGTACGTATCTTTGAATACCACAAGGTACTGGCGTGCTGATGGCTACGCTACAAAATTGACTATTACTATGGCAATACGATCATGCCCGTATCCATCATCACGATGGTTGGCGAAGCCAAGGCTCGTAGTGGCCACACTCCACCAGGCGCGCTTGAGACCCGCCGGTGTCAACTTCCTTGTCCTGGCAGAAGAGGAAGGATAACACATCATAGCCCCATCTCGGACTGTAAGTGTGCGGCTACACACTAATTCGTTTGACATGCCAACCTGCCTATCCTAGCATATGCTCAAACACGATTCAGGCAAAGTAAATGGTCAGCAGGCGACTCCATCTTTTCCCCTCGCAGACACCCACGGGGACTTCTGTGGCTTTGATTTGCTTCCATTTTTAGTGGATTGTGCCCTCTCCGTGGTATTTCCCCGCATGACTGCAGCGCGGTTTTCCGGGGGAGGAGCTTGGGACTTGGGGCGACCAATTTTAGTGGTTAGCGGGTTTCAATCTGCCCTCTCTGGCATCTTTTGGTGGATTAAATTCCCTAATCTGGTGGTTTCCTCCGCAGTCAGAAGCAGTGTCGAATTTGGAGCTATGCCGACGCTCCACTAGGTCACAGCATTGACGTATTCTCTTCGCGCCTGTCCACGAATTTCCCCTTGGATTCAAAAGGGATATGAAATCACGGTTGACATTCCATGTGAATACTTTGCTCGTTTACTCACACTCTGCTCGACCCATTTGCGTTCTCGGCGCAGATCCACAAAAAAGACCCTCCCCGAGCAAGTATCCAAGGAGCCTGTAGCTGCGGACCGGAGATCGGAAACTTGGTCCGAGGATTCGTGCCACTCCGTGTCGCCCATGACCGAGATCGCCGCCCTTTGTCGTCGATGCCGGAGACGACCAGAAAACGGGGCTGTGATGTAAGTTTTCTCCGGATAATCAACAGGCTGTAGTATTGGTAGTAGCTTGTTGCTGATGAATGACTATAGAGCTGCCGCGAAAGGTACATATGCGCCGCCTTTGAATGACCGGCCAAGACTTTCTTGTCGCGCCTGTGTTACTTGATTTGCGAACCACTCAGCTAATTGCCGGCCCACCATTGATAGGCATCTGAAATGTAAGTGGTTGGAATCCTGGCAGCGTCTTCATGTCTCATAGCAAATGCAGGTGATAGAAAAGCAACCTGTGCGAACTGTGCCAAAAAGGGGTTCGTCTGCAGTCGGAGTTCCAAGATTCGATTTCGACATGCTCAAGATGATTCGTAGGTGCACCGGTGACCGTTGACTCGCAACTTTCTGACTTCTGCCGCAGCCTCGAGGCCGGGGAGCTGAGCTTTTCGAAAACCCAAAAATGGTGCTCAACCGCACAGAGGAAAATCCGGTTCATCGATGAAACATACGACATCAGCAGCCTCTACGACGAGAGGTCGAGCCCAGAAGATGCTCAGTCGTCAAGGAACGTAGGAGAGAGCCCAAACTCTACAGAAGAACCTGCTACTCTGGTATCTCCCACCAATGGTTTCCAGGCTATCGAACGAGACAATCGGACCCTCCCTCCTCCTATCAATGAAGTTTCACTCAACGTGCCGGTCTTACCAGAACCGTTGCCAGGCTTTCACTATGACACGCCTTCCAGCACCGGTCCTCAGGTCGTCCCTGGACTGCAGGAGATGATCGAGTTTGGATACTATTCTCCTCCAGACTTGCGCATACCCCAAAGCAGCTATTTGCATCCCTTTCAAACAGCCGATCGACAAGCCACTGGAGCAAAGATCAATCCTCTGCTTATTGGTCAACCGCCTGCTTTGCAGTGGTGCGACAAGCAAGATGTCGCATTGGTGCGCCACTTCGTAGATGTCATTGCTCCAATATTTGATCATGGTGGTCAACGGAAGAGCTTTGCAACCACGATGCCGCAACTGGCCACGGTCCACCAACCCCTTCTCAGAGCCATTTCATCAATCGCAGCCATAAGCCTCAACATCCTAGGAATACCACACGCTGTTGATCCCAGACAGCTGCGCTCGGACAGCTACAGTGACCTTGGTGTGATAGCATCAGAAGCTGTTGAAGCGATGGATGATCAACAATTCTACACCGTCAGCTTTCTCAAGATTTTTGACAATCTCGATCGCAGTGTTGATCCAGGGCGATCTCTCAATGATCCCTTTGGTGGAATGCAAGGCCAGCAAGCCATGTATCTCGGTCAGATTACACTAGCAGAACAGCTCCGACAGGATATGAGCTGGGCATCGCTACGTGTACAGCTCTATTTCGCCGTAATCAACCAGGAGCCCTGTTCTGTACTGCTCACTCTCGGCACCAACGAGTATATCTTTGAACATGAGGATAATGACTCCCAGTGGGCGCGGAAGATGGTCTTACATCTCCATAATGTCGTCAGCTACTGCTTTGGGGACGACAAGGATGGCGCTACTTACAATGAGCTTGTGTCCTATGCGCAAGAGTGGGCAAAGTTGAAACCCATCTCGTTCGACCCAATTTTTACAGGAGACGCGGATGGAGATGATGTTTTTCCTGCTATATTCTTGCTCAACGACGCTGTGGCAGTCGGGTGGCAAATGTATCATCTATCGCGCATATTAATGGTGGCTCATGATCACAATCGACCGATGTTGGGACCCAGTGGCGCTCTTGTCAGGCGCTCGATCGATGTAAGTCATACAAAACTTCCCTCTTATCTGGGACAGAATTGACTGTTGCTGTGTAGAAATCTCTTCGAAAAGATGCAGAAATCGTGTGCGGCATTGCGAATTCGATCGGCGGCGTGAATCCAGCATACTTGTAAGCACTGTTTCCATCAAATTTCATGAACGTTTGCCTAACACGTCCTACCAATGCAGAGCGGCTTGTATGGCCATATCGTTGACGGGGCATCTTTTCACAAAGAATTCGGAGCAGAAGGCACTGCTTGACATTCTCGTACAAACCGAGAAGCAATTCGGATGGCCGACCTCGACAATGTAAGTTGAAACTTGAAGACTGAGATAGGACTCCACTAAAATTTGGGACAGTCAAAGCCATGTCCGGGAGACTTGGGAGTGTTAGAAGCTCATTATAGTGAGTCGACGTATCCTAACGAGTAATCAAAAGTTGAAAAGACTTTGGCATAATAGACAATGAACTTGAAGATCCAAATCACTATTCATTAAATCACTACTTGTAAAATTATTTGCTCTATTTATCATAACTTGACTTTGAACAACATCTGATGTCAGGCCATCATCAGGCCTCAAAAATGATACAGACTAATATTGCTATGCGAAGGTAAAGCTTGTTGAATAAGAACATCAGACATCAGACCATGTCAAGATTTGAGGTTAGACAAAGGCCTGAGAGGAGAGCTACTACTTTCTGTTGCCTCTAATAAGCTGTTTGCAGAATCTCCTTGATTATTCAAATTAAGCAACTATGCCATGAGCCAATGATCGCCGAGACGCGGGGCAATCTGGACCCCAAAATTCCCCGGACAAGCATATGGGAATTCCGGGGAAGCCTTGCCCCAGATGCTGTCGTATCCTGGGGTATCAATCTGTGTACGGAGATAGGTGAGACAATCTGGGCGAATTGCCCTTACTCTTGTGGCTCTATTATACAAACTATCCTTGAGGCGGTGCTTCCCCATGGCGTTCGTCTCGGGCCAAAACTTCTTCTTTTGTTCAATCAGGGCAAGAATTGGCGGCGTCTCCGCACACCCAAATGTTAGCCTGCGGGGTTAACATGGGTTAAACCAACTATACAAGCGAGGAGTCTCCTTTCCGTGCTTAATCAGTTGAGCAAGATGTTCCATCCGCGAGCCATTATCCCACACGGGAATTTCTTTCCTTTGCTAGCACAGGTGAGCTTTCTCAGAAAGCCTATCTGGCCATGCTTTGGTGATGCGCCGTCAGAGCTCGACCGTCATCTCCGCGAGAACCTTGCCGTGCTTGTTGTCCCACGGATCGCCACAGGCCGGCGGCGTCGAGGATGAGAGGTACGATACATTCAGCCCTACAGGGCAAACTTGACTTCATCTCGGGGACCCTTGTTGCTCGGGTGCTTACAATGATGTGTTTGTCTTTAGGAGCCCGTCGGGTTCGCCAAAGGCGGTCCGTCGACAGGCGCCAACGCCCGAGAGCCCCTTCAGCAGTGGCAGCACGCACAGTGCTCTCGGAGGTTTGATCAAGACAAAGGAAGAGGCTAGGTTCTTCATCTATTATGTCCGGCACCTATCTCCGTGGGTAGACATCTGTGACACGAGAAGTCACTTTGCGACCGAGGTTCCTCGCCGCGCGCTGCATGAGCCGCTGCTGGCCTACGCATTGATTGCTTGTGCATCCCGCCAGCTCAGCTTTATTTCATCTATTGGCAACTTTGACCCGGCCCTCTATTACAGCCGAGCTCTGAGCCTTCTCATTTCGAAGCTCAGCGGCCCCGTTGAAGATCTCGATGAAAATATACTGGCGGCCTTAATCCTCCTGCGCACCTATGAGGAGATCACGGGTAGGCTTGGAAGCATGTCGGTCAGAGATGCCATGACCGTCGAGCAGGACCCAAGCGACGACACCGCCACGCATCTCTCGGGCGTCACTCAGCTCTTGAATTCCGTGTCAAACTATATGGGCAAAGGAGGGCTGGGTGAGGCGGCGAGCTGGATCGTGCTTCGGCAGGACATGTACTTTTCCATGACCCGGTCGCACCCCTTGCGAACTCGTCTAGAATGCTACAAGGCGTCCTCGTGCTTTACAGATGACTCGCCCGAATCCATTGTCAACAGGATCGTTCTCATATGTGCCAAGATCCAAGCCCATGCCTTTGGGCCCGCAGGACGGGCGACCGTGCAGCAATGGGATCAGCTTAGAGCCGAGGCCGAGGCGTGGTACGAGTCTCGACCTTGGGACTTTAGGCCCATGTGGGTTGAGGATGGTGATGTCTTTCCAAAGGCCTGGCTAAGCCAGTCAGTTCAGGGTAAGATTTGACTGCTTTCTTGCTCAATGTCCATTTCTAGGTTTTTGAATGTGCTAAATATTCGGACATCTAGTCATGGGATACCAACAATATTATCTCTCATTAATGCTCCTTGCCATCTTTGACCCGCGCCTTTGGGAGCCGGGTTTTGAGAGTTTTCGACAGCGGCGCACTACAGAGGTAAGATACCAAGGATGCAGACATGAACATTGCTAATCTTTGAGTAGGAAATTGTCCACGAAAACATTAGGTTAATCATGGGACTTGCTATCAGCAATCCCTCTGGCATGACCAACAAATTTATCGCGTCTCATGCACTGCAGGCCTGTATGTCTTGGTCCACTCGTGGTCGGCAATGTCATTAGCTAACACCTGCATCTCTTGTAGGCGGTACCTATCTCACTGACCCAGAGGAGCAGAAAGAGGCACTGAAATTTCTCGATGAAGTAGAAACACAATGTGGTTGGCGCACAAAGCCAGTAGTAGACAAACTCTTGGCTGCATGGTCAATGCGATAAGACAAAACATCGAAATAGATCTGTAGTATCAAGTATCATTCATGTTATGCATTCCATGACCTCACAGTAGACATTTGCCTGTCGCCTGCTCGGGGTGTCTCGGGGATTTCCTTGGCATCGATCATGGACGCCCACGTGTTTGTTGTGACATATATAATCGATGGATCACTTGCATGGGAATCAAGCTTCTTGGCTCGTATAGCAGCCAGCTTTCCATTTGGGAGTACGTACTGTCGCATGCAGAGGTTACGTGAATACCGGGCATCTTTAACGGCCAAAACTCGGAAATCCCGCAACATGCAACATGACACAAACGTGAGAAGCCATAGCTTCGTATATGTGTTGAAGCTAGATTCAGTAGTCGAGGCTCGACTTGCCCTTCTCGCTAGACTGGGAAACCGCGGACAAAATTGCCATTCTTGTCTCGATCTTTTAGTCCCAATGTGGGGAGCAGCTCTAAAATCTGGGGCCATCTACCAAGCTATAGTCTTACCAGGATCTCCGCGCTGATCTTGTGGCCAATTGCCAGGCTGGTGAACAAGTCGCCGTACCGTTCGTGGGGTTATCGTGGGGTATGTCTGAGTTGAGAATTTACTGGAATTGACAATTTAGTCAAGTCGCAACGCATACCGGGCTTGTAAGCGGTGGTGATAAATATATAGAAACACATATGATCCAAGGCACACATCTGAACTCTTGCCATTGCACGTTCCTGAACATCAGTCGACCGCATTCTACCTTGTCCATTTCCACTGGTATAATTCTCCCTTGACCATTATCACTGTCATCACAAACAACAGGAAGTTCTGTATCCAAGATAGCAACAATGGAGTCTCTAGGCGCTGGTTTTCAGTGGCTGCCACCAGGTTCGAGCAATGTACTCGACATGGTAAAGCCGGCGACATATGGAGATGCAGCCGCTCTGGCTGTCATGGCAGCAGCATCAGCAGCATACACATTACGCAAATACACATGGGATAGGCCAGACCCATATGACTACATATGGTACGAGAGGCCACAAGCAAATGATGCCAAGGGAGGCGCCGCGAGGACGACGCGGAATATCGCTGAAAGGCTAGATGAGCTTGTAAGTTATCTTCTCATATGGCCATCATTGTTTGCTGACTCTCTCATGACAGAACAGGCAAGTAGTCATCTTCTGGGGTTCCCAGTCTGGGACGTCCGAAGGCATCGCCAACCGGCTCGCGCGTGAACTGCACCAACACTTCCGACTTGAGGCTCTCGCCGCAGATCTATCAGATTTCGACCCCGAAACAATTGCACAAATACCCAAAACCAAATTAGCACTTTTCGTTCTCTCAACATATGGCGAAGGAGACCCTAGCGACAACACCACATCTTTCTGGGATTGGGCCAACAAGATTGGTGAATCTTCGCTACCCTCTCTTCAATACGCTGTCTTTGGTCTGGGAAACAGTGACTACAAGTACTACAACCGCGTGGCTGAAGTCATTGACAAGGCTTTGAAAAAGGCTGGAGCTGAACAGCTTCTTCCGCTGGGTAGAGCTGACGATGCCCATGGGACTACCGAGGAGGACTTTCTTGCTTGGAGAGACGACTTGATGGAGTTTCTCGGCAAACATCTTGGCCTAGAATCGCAAGATCTCAAATACGAGCCGGTATACAACGTGGTTGAAGACGAGTCCCTCGAGCCTCAAGATTTGCACATTGGCGAGCCTGTTGAGCCACGAGACAACAATGGCAAAACTGCGGCGGCCAACAGCCCAATTAGGCCCATGAAGATCAAGGCGTCGCGAGAACTTTTCTCCAACTCGAACCGAAACTGCCTGCATCTTGATCTCGACATCACCGAGCACCCCCAGATTAGCTACAAGACGGGCGACCATTTGGCTGTCTGGCCCATGAACCCCGAAGAAGAGGTGGAGCGCTTGATCCGCGTGCTCGGTTTGTCGGCGCGTCGAAATGTCCCCATCTCCATCACTTCTCTCGATGCTGGCAGTAAAGTCCGCGTGCCAACTCCTACCACTGTTGAGACCCTATTACGAAACTACCTTGAAATCTGCGCACCGATTTCAAGAAACACAACTCGAAGTCTCGCCGAGTTTATCCCCGAGGGCGCTGCGAAATCGTTCCTTCTCCAAGTCAGCAAAGATAGAGAGACCTTTGCCAAGTTCATTGCCATGACCCACGTCAACTTTGGAAGACTCCTCCAAGTTGCCCTGTCACAAGCAGACGGTGCCTCTCCATCAATTCCCGTCTCTTTCCTCCTCGAAGTCCTCCCGCGGATGCAGCCTAGATTCTACTCCATCTCGTCGTCCAGCGTCGTCTCTCCACGCGCGCCCTCGGTCACGGTTCTCGTCAGCAACTCCGAGGTTCCCGAAGACCCATCCGCTGCACCGATCCCCGGCCTCGCCTCCAACTATCTTCTCGCCCTGACCAATTCCTCCACCGCCGCGCAACACCCGGCCGGCCTCACTTATCAGCTATCCGGCCCCGGCGATGCCCTCCAGAACACCAGCCTCTTTGCGCACATTGTCCGGTCCAAATTCAAGCTGCCCATGCAGGCGTCGTGCCCCATCATCATGGTGGCAGCCGGCACCGGCCTGGCGCCCTTCCGGGGCTTCCTGGCCGAGCGGGCGCGTCTGCAGGCCATGGGCAAGCCCGTGGGGAACATGATGCTCTTTTACGGCTGCCGCCGCGCGGGCGAGGACAATATCTACGAGGACGAACTCGACGAGTTTGAGCAGAGCCTAAACGGCAAGCTGCGCGTCGTGCGCGCCTTTTCGCGGCCCGCCGCCGAGGACGGTGCTGCTGGAACCACCAGAGCCTATGTCCAGGACAAGGTGCGCGAGCTCGGTGGAGAGGTCAAGAGGTTGTTGGCCGAGGATGCGTCCGTCTATGTCTGCGGTCGCGTTAGCATGGCTCGCGAGGTCGAAAAGACGGTCTCTGGCATGTGGTGCGCTGAGAAGGGCATGGATGAGGCGGCGACCAAGGACTGGAGCAACCGGATGAAGAGGAATAGAAAGTGGCAAGAAGATGTCTGGGGTTGACATCCTAGGATGTGTATTCTAAAGGCAGCGGAATTATTACACACAGCGAATGAATTGAAGATGTTGATTGGACAAAATGACGTGGTCAGCCGTAATGAGCATATTGATTTCGAATATATCTCAGGAGAATTGACTTTTCAACGAGAAGACAAAGTCAATTAGGTAGATTGCATGTGATTTTACTGAATATCGGAGCTGTACGATCTCTGGTACTTGACAATGCCGCTGCATGTCAGAGTCATTGATCTAGGAACTTACATCACGAAGCGACTATAACATTAATTCCTACACTATAAATAATAACGAACCGGCACTCGTCCAGACTTACTTGTGTCCTGCATTAATTAATAGCTCTATTTTGATGGAATGTCTCAACACAGACTTGCCTTTCCAATACAGTCAATCCCGATATGAAACAAGCATCACAAACTTGGTAGCCATATATTCGACCAGCCTCGATATGACGTTATTTCTAACAGACATGCAGCATGCAATGTCCAGACTGCGGTCGAAGAATGTTTTCAACCAAACATGTAGTTCAAGTTTATTCGTGCGTCTTCAACACAATTTCTGCATTTTAGAAACACACTTGACGCATACAATCAGCGTATTCCATGACTTGGACATGGTTGTCGAGCTTTTTCACTCCGTCTTTGATATGGTCTCAATGCCTACAAGTAGTTCATTTGCGCACTTGAACAGACATGGATCGTAGATCACTTGGGAACCTTGGTGGATTCATTCATTAATTTCAGGGTCCAACGCTGTGGGCGTGGCCCGCCTATCGCGCACAGGGATTTGCCTCCAGCAGTAACATGTTGTATCGGACTTGATTTGGAAGGATGACAGCGAGGTCTTTGCTCGCTATGATCCCCTCATTCATATAAAATAAGTCCACAGATCAAATTCAACGCTTACGTTTGGCTCCAAGAGCATCCCTTTGAGGTTGTGTCAGAAACGATATGATACCATGTACCAATGCTCAAGCATTTAGCTAACCATTAGCGAGATCGGTGAGCCAAAGTGTCAAGACGTCAAGTGGGATTCCACTGCGAACAAAAGAGAAAATTAGAGGGAGCCTTCACATCACAAGAGCAGGTCAGCAGAGATGTTAGCGTGTTGATTGTTGTGTTGAGGCCCGAATTATTTCCAGACGTGTGGAGTCAGGGTGCAGTGTCCCACCGTCTGGCATCCATATCTTTTACCCCATAACGTCGGAGGGAGGACTCACGATAGGCATTTTGACACGGGACTCAGCCTGTTTGGCGGTGGGCTGAAGGCTCTGGAGATGACTAAACACCGAATTTTTCCCAGGTTGCGAGCGACTTTTCTCTCATTTGCCAATCTACGATCAAATCGTCCAGAAACAGAAAATACTGTAGCCTGGGATGGATCTTCGTGAAAGTCAATTGCGCGGTTTGTGGCTGAGTTGCCTTTACCACGTAGTGACTGTGGCAAGCTAACTGCGGCCAACGCCACACGGGTTCTGTCGTTCTCCGTACGAGGCAATAGTAGTGTACAATACCAGTCTATTGTTGGCGAAGAGGCGACACAGACTTGCTTGCAGTGCTCTATTTTCGGAAGCCCTGCCAAGCTCGTGGGTCTTGGGATGGTAGGTATCTGACAGCAGCGCTAGGAACATCCCGAGGCAATTCTGGGTGCCTGTTTGGTCTTTTCTCGGGTGCACATGCTCGTAGGAATTACCCGCCCAATCACGGGAAGACGGCATCTGCAGTACAACTAGGTAGGAGATATGCAAACGCTACCGAAAATTGCAGATACGCGCCGAGATAAGTCATTGGCATAGATTGTCGAACAAATCATTCTGTTGCACAGATGTTCAACGGATGCTTAGAGACTAACGATACGTTGCGACATGGTCGATCTGGTGACCCTACAAATCTACCTAGTATAACTCCCCACATACTTTTAATAGTGTTCTGTGACGTTGAGCCCAATAACTGGCTGCATTGTTAGCGACGTACAGAACCAAATAAACCCGGCGTAGAACAAGATGGTGCATGTGAGACAGGTATCGAGTCATGGTCCCTGAAGATCACTGGTTGATGTTTTGACCGACTGCCCCGTCTTGCCGTCTTGTCTTTTGCCTGTCCAACCCATTGGCGCAGAAGGGACTATCCGAATGCCCACGAAGCGCCGCATCATCAATTAAGGCTGAGCCGGCATTGGCAATGCATAGCGCTCAAACATGGTGGGCATACAGTAAGCAAAGCTCCTGGCTTTTCTTCTTCCCCCAAACTTAAAAGGCGCTGTAGCGAAAGCGAAAGCCCTGCTGGGCTGATTGAGATGATCAAGACGCTTGTCTCGTCGCATGTGAAGCCATAATAACCTTGAGCAGAGATGATCTTAATCAATTGAATTTAGAGAATTGGTCAAAGATAGGGCGAACGACCACCATACTGGGCTCTCCAGGCAAGATTGTAATGACGACAGTCGTCGATTAGCGAGGGAGTGGCCTGTTGGGTTGGGGCAAGAGCTTGAACGAGATTTCGGCGGAACGTGGAGAAGCAAAATACTACAGAAAAAAGCTTTGAGGCCTATGTGATACGTTGTCTGGCCACTGCAGAATATGCATATTTGTCCGTGGACGAATGGGAGCTGTTTGGAGTATGGATATTGTGCGCAGATCCAGGCTTGAGGTTCGTGCGCTGTTGCTGTGCACCTACAAGCCTGAAGCTTGTCCACGGAGTACGGGAACAAGGCAATAGACGACCCAGTTTAAAAGGCGAGAAAAGCACGGTCAAGAACAACAATAACGACGTCACAGATTCACAGCCCGCCTTGGCTGAATGCGAGAGGCGTCATTTTTTCAGCAATTCAGGGTTCTGGCATTTTATCTCTGTATACAAGAGTAGGTACCTATATTACATTACACATATGCATATTTCTTTCCTTGCAATTACTCTGTAATGTAGCATATTAATTCGCCTTGGTTATTTACTAGGTGTACTCTGTAGATGATGTACCAAACTAGAGGGCTTCCTACCGACATTACATGAATCCAGGGTCATGTAGGTACAAAACTCCCAAGCAAGCAATGAAAAACGGTGTCGGGTCGTTTGTAATGGTTCCTGGGCTACCTCCAAAGTGAAGATCCGGCATCCCACCAGCTTCTTTTGGTAGCATGTAGCCGGCTTCCATTCAGTGACAGCTTCCGCTAAGTCTCCGGGGGGCTTAGCGTGTGTGAGCCTCTTAATTTGAGCTCCGCTAGTTGCTGGGGAGGTCGCTGCGCCCACTCTTGTTGATCTGAAACACGACCGAAGACGATGTATTGTTCCTGTGATTTTGCATTAATGTCGTCCAAGTCTTAAGGAATGCCCCTGCTTTTGGTCCTTCCCCCCGCGCCCAACCTCATCAGAGTGAAACCCTCGACGTCAACCTCTTTCTCTCTCTATTGCCGCATTTTCCATATTGGCCGGCACAACTGACTGGTAATTCCCTACTCTCCTTGACCGATTCGCTCGTCTCAGCTCTGCTTTGACTTTTTGCACGAGTCTGAGACTGACAAGACCCTCAAAGAGAAGCAAGCCGGTCCGCGCCTCTTGCAAAACCATACAGAGAACACACGGACAGACGAGCTTTTTGGGAGATCGCCAGCCCACTTTCACAGCAATACTCCAAAGGTAGCACATCGTTGTCTGCTACGTTCCCATTGTTTGTCCTCTAATCTGCCCCATCCGAGCCAGTCGTTTTCTGTCTGTCTTGGCGCATTTCAACGACAAAGCGCCTATCATTACTATTGACAGCGCCGTCTCCAATTCGCAACCACAACAACCACCACGCGATCACAACTGGGAGTGACTAACGCCGGGCCTCAACTCGCGCATTCCTCACAACTACCGCGTTCGCCCACACCACACCTTCCGGCGAACCGTCACATTGCCTGCTGGCTTCGGACTAGGGGTCTCAGAATCAAGTCCTTGCGCCAGCAACGCAGAGATTCGTCCAATACTTTCCCCATCCACACTTTCTCTAGTCCTTTGTTCCTGTCTGTCGGCCTTGAACACCCCTGCGTGTTAGCATAACCAGAAACCATGTCGTACAATCGGATAGGCAAGTTTCAACGTTCTCATGTTTGTCCCCATTCCTGTGGATCGAGATGTCACTGCCACTTTGGGCGGCCTGAATATGCCGAGGGCCCTCGATTCACTCCCACTCAAAGGTTCATGTGTCTACCCCCGACCGTGAATCACTTTATGCCCATTATTCGTCCATTTCAGAGACTTTATTTCTCGGACGCATCCAGCCTCACTTTCACTACATTCGCTCTTTGCATAGATCTTTCGTCATTGCTGTCCTGTGTCTAATCTTTATCCACTAGACGACGACTATTACGATCCTACTATGGACAGCCATAGGATAGGCGCTCCTCCGCGCCGAACTCCATCGCCGGGTCACCCACTCCAGCACGGATATCAGCTCGACGATGTCCCTTACGGTCATCCTGCTCCTTCGCATTCGAACCTCGATATCCCAACCGGCCCTGGCAGATATACACCAAGTGATAACCTGCCTCTGAACGCAGCTCACTCAATGACCGACCTGTCGCACTATGGCGGTGGTACGCCGCAACCACACTATGGAGGCTCAGAATATGGTGTTAACCCCGAGCAACACCACGATGCCTACTTCAACCAATCCTATGAGCCAAACCCTACAGGCATGACGCCATATGATGAGCACCAGGGCTACCAACTGGACGATTCGCGGCCCATGCTACAGCAGAATGACTCCTATTCGCACGCGCAAGCGCAGGACCCGTACCGGGATGATCCTCGAGCTCAGCAACAGAACAACGGCGGTGGAATCAAGCGATGGAAGACTGTGAAGCAGGTGCTCTTGTACCGTGGAAACTTGGTTCTCGACTGCCCAATTCCTTCCAGATTGTTGAACCAGCTTCCTCACGGTGAGCGTGACGAGTTCACTCACATGCGATACACAGCTGCGACTTGCGACCCCAAGGATTTCTACGATGAGAATTTCACCTTGCGCCAAAAGCTCTTCAGCAAGCCACGTCACACGGAACTCTTCATTGTTGTTACCATGTACAACGAAGATGATATCCTATTTGCGCGAACCATGGTTGGTGTTCTCAAGAATGTCGAATTCATGTGTAGTCGCAAAGAGAGCAAGACCTGGGGTCCCGACGCTTGGAAGAAGATTGTGGTCTGTGTCGTCAGTGATGGTCGAGGCAAGATCAACCCGCGAACAAGAGCTCTCCTTGCTGGTATGGGCGTTTACCAGGACGGTATTGCCAAGCAGCAAGTCAACGGCAAGGATGTCACTGCCCACATTTACGAGTACACAACACAAGTCGGCATGACCATCAAAAATGATGTGGTTCAGCTCATTCCTAAGAAGCAGCCCGTGCAGATGCTGTTCTGTTTGAAGGAGAAGAACCAGAAAAAAATCAACTCCCACAGATGGTTCTTCCAGGCATTTGGCCGGGTCCTTGATCCCAACATTTGTGTCCTGATCGACGCAGGAACCCGACCTGGAGGTAACTCTATCTACCACTTGTGGAAGGCCTTTGACCTGGAGCCCATGTGCGCTGGAGCTTGTGGTGAGATCAAGGCCATGTTGGGAACTGGTGGCAAGCATCTACTCAACCCCCTGGTTGCAACGCAAAACTTCGAGTACAAGATGAGTAACATCCTCGACAAGCCTCTGGAGTCGGCCTTTGGATTTATTTCCGTCTTGCCTGGTGCTTTCTCCGCCTACCGATATGTAGCACTGCAGAACGACAAGAACGGTCAAGGTCCACTGGAGAAGTACTTCAAGGGTGAAACTCTCCACGGTGCCGGTGCTGGTGTTTTCACAGCCAACATGTACCTCGCCGAGGATCGTATTCTTTGCTTCGAACTCGTCACGAAGCGCAACTGCCACTGGATCCTGCAATACGTCAAATCAGCTACTGGTGAGACCGATGTACCAGACACGGTGACGGAGCTGATTCTGCAGCGTCGTCGTTGGTTGAACGGTTCATTCTTCGCCGCCATCTATGCCATTGCCCACTTCTATGAATTCTTCCGATCCGACCATTCATTCTTCCGCAAGATCATGTTCTTCGTCGAGTTCATCTTCCAGACCGTCAACATGATCTTTGCTTGGTTCGCTATTGGCAACTTCTTCCTCGTATTCAAAATTCTGACGACGAGTTTGGGCGGAGACGATCTTCTGGGTAATGTCGGTGTTATCCTTGGTGTCGTTTTCGAATGGTTCTACGGTATCTCCTTGATGGCCTGTTTCGTGCTCTCCCTGGGCAATCGTCCTGCTGGATCCGGCAAGCTCTATACCGCCATGGTGCTCTTCTGGTCTGTGATTATGATGTAAGAAACTACTCTGCCCTTTCTTCACTTGACTTAGCTTGTACTAACACAACTCCAGCTACCTCACCTTTGCTGCTGTTTTCATTGCAGTGAAGGCTGTGCAGGCACAAGTTGCCACTGGGTTCAATATCTCCGATCTGTTCCAGAATAAGGTCTTCTCTTCGCTCATCGTCTCCACGCTGTCGACCTACGGATTGTGGTTGATTGCATCACTGATGATGTTTGACCCGTGGCACATGATCACATCATTCCTGCAGTACCTGCTCTTGACGCCTACTTACACCAACGTCCTCAACGTCTATGCTTTCTGCAACACACACGATATCTCCTGGGGTACCAAGGGAGACGACAAGGCCGAGTCTTTGCCAAGTGTCGATACCAAGGATGGCAAGGGTAAGACCGATTTGCCCGACGATGGTGATCTTAATGCGGCATACGAGCGTGAGCTTGCCGTCTTCTCGAAGAAGCACGTCGAGCCAAAGAAGGACCCCACTGAGGCCCAAATTGCCGAGGCGCAAATGGATTACTACCGATGGATCCGAACCCTGGTCGTTCTCATTTGGATGATCTCCAACTTTGGTCTCTGCGCCTTGGTTCTCAGCACAGCTGGTCTCGAGGAACTCAGCACGAGTGCAGACGAGGATACCGATGCCCGTGCCTCAGTCTACATGACTGTCGTCTTGTGGAGTGTGGCTGTTCTCAGTGCATTCAAGTTCATTGGTGCATTGTGGTTCCTCATTGTGCGCATGTTCCGCGGTGTATAGATGCCGCTGCACGTACTCGTGTTTATTTCACTTTTTTACGATCTTCACCTTATACCCATTTTCATGCCAGATTACGAATGTTTAAAAGAAAGCAGACTTATGGCAGCGGTTCAATAGTGCTTGGGTTCAATGTGGCCCTTTGATTCCTGGATAAAATTTCATTTCGGAGGGTATGACGCGTCCTTGATGGATGTATCTGCCCAATGTGTCATACAATGACCATCTTCTTGCCGTTGCATTTTCATGGAGTACTGGGCACTTATAATTCCTGAAATGTAAAACCTTATTACGTTGCCTTTTATCATCTGCATCAGATTGTGTGATATCGTGTCGTTTGTGTGTTTGACTGTGTAGCATCAACTTGGACAAGTAAGTCACACATGAATATTTACAAAATGTAAGAAAAGTCACCATGAAAGCAAGTCCATAACGATATGATTTGCCAGCCTTGAAAAGGGGAAACGCCAAGATTTTGGTAGAACAGCGTGGGCATGAATCGCCATTCACGTGTTTGTATTCCACGCCATAGGGGCAGCCAATGTTCCGAACAATTGTCTGCCTGCGAAACAAACGTCGAGTCACAGCCAGGTCGGATGGAGTCTGAATGTTGCTTGACAAGCTGCTCGGAAGGAAATCTACTCACCTAAGTCCCTGGATAGAGCAACTTGTGTTTTCATGGAGTGGAAAATGCCTCCGAGTCATCGAGTTCTTTGGTAACTCAAGTATTTAAACATCGCATCCGCAGTCTTTCTGGCGTCGAACTCCACCTCCCAATGATCCTTATAAACCATGTTCGTTCATTTCAACCACCCGCTTTGAGCTACAAAGTGGCTTTGACCTCATTGCCATGTCAAAGGTTCAGACTAGGTGATTGAAGGCTTGTATCCCTTCTATTGTGATGACGATAATTATAATGATTACACCTGTTCAGAGTGGTTTGAAGACCTTAGGGGAACGGCGGTGACACAACGCCACTGAGTACCCCTTTTCTCCGTACAGATCCCACACCAATGATTCAAAAAGCCTCGAAGGCACCTTGCTTAGCATCAGCTTTGGTGTATGAAAGCGCCCCTTTCCATGTAATGGTTTGGTGGCTTGCTTGCTTGCAGTCGAAATACAGAGACGTGACTCTTAACTCCTATCATCGACAAGAAGCCAATCAAGAGTTTCAATACCCATGATTACCAAGAGTCATCTGTGACCATATCCTCGCTGAGCAGATACATCCACGCCATGGACATGGAGGACGCAGTGATCTCCGTGATTGGGCCTGCCAACAGGCCATAAAGGTGTGTCCAGGTTCATCGCCCCAGCTAGAGGCAATCAACCACCTGAAGCCAGCTTCGGGACTTATTAAATAGCTGCTTCCACAGCTGGTGCAATGCCCATTTCCCAAGCCAGTCCCCGAGCTAAGGGTATAGGCAGCGCATTTCTTTCTGAAGTCGACGACAGCGAAGACGACAGCGAAGACGACAGCGAAGACGACAGCGAAGACGACAGCGAAGACGACAGCGAAGACGACAGCAAAGACGACAGCAAAGACGACATGTTAAGTGACTCCTTCTTACTTCACGACTAAGCATACCCGACGCTTCGCAGACTAGAGCAGAGCCACCAACGACACGTCGCCTGCTTGGATCAGCACGGCGTTTATCCTCGATAAATCCAATACAGCTTGAGCGTTGAATCGTCTCGTCCATGATCCATGGAGCCTGTGCACAAAATGCTGCGTGAGTTCAGCTACTTCCCTTTCCACGCGTATCCGCATGACCTTTGCTTTCCGCTCCTCCCGTCTCTGGCCTTTCATCCACGTTACTGACATTATTCGTTACAGTCACATCCTATATTACACTAATCTTCCAGCCACGGCAATCGTCGGCCCCCTCTCATTGTTAACGGGCCAAGCTCTGGTGGCGCAACAAGCGCATACGTAGCATTGGAATCCAACATGTTACGAAAGCGTCCTAGCGAACATGTTCAAGTTACTTTACTAGAGTCCGTTTTACGCGAATTCTCTATCGATGAAGCACGCTGAACGGCAATGTCCAAAGATCATATTATCATCAAGTTTAATAACTCGTTGGCAAGTAGCCATAAGACTTGGCAAAGTCTCATGCTTGCGTCTCTTGCGAAAAAGTACCATAATTCCCGAACCATCCATTCGTCACGACAGATATAGACAAATACGTCCAGACATTGCGTATTGAGAAGCTAAACGGATACACTGCTACCTGAGCCTTCATGAAGCAGCTCTTTCACAAATGCCTCTGGTACTACCTAGTTTATTTACTCAGCAGATGACGCCAATCGCGTAGGGAGAGTCATCTGGACCTACCCTTACTGTGGCAAGATGTGCAAGTCCCCATAAGTGGTCAGTATGGATAACGTTTCCATAATGAATTGAATCAAATGCCGCTTTCAACGCAACTGGCATTACATGCTCTGAATCAACCGCCAACGTGGTTTTGGTGTTGTACCCAACGAAACCCGCGCACCTGCGAACCTATTTTTGGCCATATTCACACAATTCCCTCATAAGACTGGATCTGGAAAGTCAGAGACTCTGGCCACACAGTTTGATAAGAAGCTACATAAAGATGCCGAGCATCTGTGCTTCATTCGACAAAAGGCCTGCATTTGCCGTATCGATAAACCTACGCCTCGTGTAATTGGGTACAAACCAGTCCAAAACACCTTTGAACAACCTTCTTGATATGGAGACGATGAACCGACTCCAAGGCTATAGCATGGAAGACGATGGATAGTGGTACGGATACATTAGGAGAATGTGTGCACCACAGTTTGCATCTACCGCGCAAATGTTTGTGCTTACACGTACAAGTGTCAGCATTATCTCGCCAACAGAGATGAGGTCATGCATGGCCAATCAGACCATCAAGGAGATCTTGCAGAAAAGGTGTTGGTTTCACTAGATACCAAGATTTATCTGTACCCAAATGTCAGACGCACTGCTCCAAGACAAGGGCCACGACTGGTGTCCCTTCCGATGACGGTGTTTATCCTGTCAGGCACGAATTATGATAGAATGTATGACTACAGAGGGAGCATATTTAGATCATCTTCTGGAGATGGATCACTAGAACACAAGATAGTTCTCAGCACAGGCTCTTCAACTACTCCCTGCTTCCTCGTCGGATCAAGGAGAAGTGACTCGGGGAGATAGGGTGTCTCATTACGTTTTGTCCCAAAGGTAGACCACTAAATCCCGACAGAATAGACTCGATGCGAGTATTTCAATCCCCGTCTTTTTTCCCATGTGTAATTGAAGTTGGATACGGCAAGATTTCGTCTGCTTTACTCGCGCCTCCGAACCTTTGGACAATTCCTCTGCTCTCCCCGCCAGAAGGCGGAATTGGCTATGCCATAAAATTTGGCCGAGTTGCAATTACCCCCTCTGCTCCTCTACGACAGCCCTGCTACTGGAGATCCTCGATTCGCTAGCAAAGATTATCGTCGAGTGGATTCACGGGGGCACTAATGAAATGTTCCCGCGTTGCGGATTGCTTTCCGGTTGAGAATCAGCTCCACATATATGGAGTAGACTGTTTTGGAAGTTCCATCCACCGTCGAGCCCCAAAGCCCAGGCACACACTTGACTCGGCATGCTTGTCAAAGAGAGTCCACGGGCTGCATTACGTACTCAAATCGCCGGTGCCATGGGCGCAATCTGGCTTTCATTTATTCCCGATCCTCCCATGCTACCTTTCTGGGTCTTTCATCTCGCCGGCACAGCGGTGCCATCTTGCCGGCCAACCAGACACCAGACGATTGAGAACGGGCACTGCAGACTGTAAAGTACTTCGTGCGGCTATTCGACGTGGGGGCAAGCGGCCGAAAATCTGTGGCGATCACTCGCGCGGTGCAAATCCTCCGAATATGCTTTGCCTATGGACACGGCAGTAGCCAAACGCCAATCGAGGTTCGGGTTTCCAGACTGTACAGAGTAGCTAGCGACTATGCTGTAACATGGAACGTATGCTTGACTTGTTGTCCTTGCGGATAGAATGTATATTTTGAGGATTGACATTAAGTCTAGAGAAGTAAAGGTGATGGTACAAAGAGAATTAAATAATATTGTCGAGATAACTCCACATGAAAGTATGTAGGATGAGAGCGACAGAATGAGGGTCAGTTTCCGGCCTGATGCTGCGCACTGCAATTCGACGAGGTTTCGCCGCCCATGTCCCGCAACTTGATAAAACTGTCGTGCTGTTTATTTTGTCTTCCGAAACTCATGGTCCCCGACTCGCCCCGGTCTCCTGTCCTCTGGTTGGACTCGTATCCAGTGCGTCGGTTCCGCGACCTCAGACAGCTCAAAAGTGGTCCTAGCACAGGAAGACTGACGCAAAGTATTGCCAGGTTGGGTTCAATCGTCGAGAGGAAATCGGCATATATCATGGTCCCGGTAAGGTTGTTTGTAAGATCGACATTGAGGAGCGAGACGATACGACAGATACCGACGATTGACGTCCTATAACTCGTTAGTCAAATCAGAGAGTAGATTAGCAAAGCCAAAACATACAAGATACCGATGAGAAAGATGGCAATGACTCCAATCTTTGCCCTAGTCTTCATCTGAAGGGTCCAGATGGTGTGTATGGGAAGGAAAAATATCAACACATCGGTGATAATGTTGAAAGCGCCAATGGCGATGAAGCTGCCGACTTGGTCGCCGCAGGTGCCGGGGACGGTTGGGTCGTAGGTTGCGGCAAACGGGCGACAAATCAGGAACACTTGGAGGATATTGCCGACGGACCACAGTAGCACAAAGGCGATGACGTATTTTGTGACTTTCTTCAATCTCGGGTTGACAAACATTCGAAGGTAGAAGCATAGAACCGATAATTTGATGGAGCTTATAGAGGTTGCGTATATTAATTCGTAGGCGACGAGAAGCTGGTGCTGGTAAGTATTTGTCTTGGTGGAATATTATAATGGCTCGACTTACCCTAAGAATCACACCAATATTGACAGCGACCTCTGTCAGGGGATATCCGATACCCATTGGCAACCCTGACAAACATTGTTAGTCGACTCTCAGGATATAAAAATGACGTTGATGCCATACAAAGACCTTGGATTATCAACATGCCTACTCCTTGAGGCTGTGGTTGCTGTTGTTAGTGAAAGTCATCAATTATTGGACGCTTGATAACGTACAGCAGAAATGAGAATGAGAGCATCATCCCATCCAAGGCCCGTCTTGTACGCCAATCTGGTGTACACTCGAAGGCCAACAACGCATATCGCAAGCGAAGTCAAAACACAGTTGAAGATGAAATGGGCCTTGACGATTGGCAGGACGGGGAACTCTTCCACGGCGAGCATCGTGAATTCGCAGAACGGTACAAGATGGCGTTTTCGAATCGAGAGGACATCCGACGGCAACTTAGTAAGTTCCTCGGCACTTGAAGGCAGAGCAAGAACGTATATAACATGGACTACCTAAGAAATGCTACGAATTGAAACCAGACCAAGCAGGAACTTGTGGAGAATATGCATCGTCACACATACCCCGGTATCTCATGCATCATATCACCGGCAAATTTAGAACAGACTTTGCATATGCAGCACTTATCAAGGCCAGAATAGGAAGCGCTTCTAGGGGCTTGTGGGCAAGGATCACTATCCCGACAAGTTGGACGAGGCAAAATTCTGCATCTCGTCTGCAAGGTACTGACTGCCGAAGGAGGCCGCAGAAAAGTCAAAATTCACGACCTCACAACCCATCCAACATGTCATTCTTTGATTGAGAGTGGCTGTGACATCTACGTCCATTTATCGACACAGGGCGGCAATACCACGAGATGACCCAAATATTGAATACGACGCTACCACTAATGGCTGAATGTATCGAGGTTGGCCAAGAAATACGAAATATTGAGATTCAAGTCGCCTTTGGTCAGTCTAGCCCAAGCGCAGAGCAGAGTCCAGATGTTGGTCGTTCTATTCTCACCGCCGCCCACATTATTCGTCCCTGTAACTGAGCCTCTGGTCTTGTCTACGTGCGGATCATGGTGCGGACAGACTTTGTATAGTACGTATGCGACGACGAGTTGGCGGCTCTTTCTGGTCAGTGGCAAAGTATTCTAAATTTCCGCCCATACTCGATCCGGGGTAAATGGACCGCTCAAAGCTGTTCAGCGGGATTCTCCTGAACATGATGTGGGTCATACTGCAGTTGCAATTTCTAGTAAACTTTTACGATCACTAGGATTAGTATAGATTGCCGAGGTATATTGGGGGCCGATACTATGAAATTATCTTTCTTTATCAATTTGAGCATAACGAGTATCATTTTGAGCATAACGCGTACCGTTTATCCAAATCTTAACCAGGGACCGGCGGTGAAACTGCATGTGAAATCTCAGCCAAACAGAACGACCGTAGATGAATTATTCCCCGCTGGTAACACAAGACGCAATGAGTGCATTCCGTAGGTCTCACGACTTCATCAGCTCGTCCTCGCCGTCTGTTTATCGGAATAATCAAGAAATCTACCCTTGCGGATCAACAATGTATTGGTTCCTAACCAACCTGTGGGCTTGAAGTGACCCATTCAAGTAGCACCCCCCTCTCCCCTCTGGCTGTCCAACGTTTCCTTATTTGACTTGAGCAAGAGAGGCTAATCCGGATACCCAGTCCCGGGTGGCTTCCGCTGAGGGCTGGACTTGTCTGTAATCCACTCGGACCGTTCCTTCAATGGATAACGCCGTTAGTAGCCCCTCGGCCGAATCCACCTTGTTGATAAAGTGGGACTTTGGCTTGGTGACATGATGCATCATATCATCTTTGACCTTGTTCAATTTCCTGGTTCACAATTCTGGTTCGCAATTTCAAAAAGCCCCCAAGAGCACTTGTATGGACCATACTATGTCCATGTTTACCGGGATATTATCAAACCTCCGAAGAAATACAAACTCCTAATGGTGTGCTGAATTTTGATTTGCTACAATGTTGGAGTCTGGAGAAACGTTGCTGGCGGAGTCGCTCCACTTCATGTTAGCTTCACATGTTGGTGAAGCTCGTACGTACGGTAAGGCGATGGGCACGGGGGGTCTATAATCTGGCAGAATGACTGAGTCCCTTGCTCATTTGCCCACAAATGCCGCCACAATCCCTGGCTTTCTTCAGTGTCCCTGCAGCCTGCAGCACATTCTACATGCCAAGAAGAACTATATCCATTGACGGTTTGCGATTCGAACGACCCCGCCCCTGTGTGACCGGCAATAATGTACGTACGTACTCTGTACAATGCGAACACAGGCTTGACAGGCTTGACAGGCCGAGGCCTTTGATTGTGTAAGATATTCCAATAGTATGTTATTCTGGAAACCATGGACCAGCCCCAAAGGGGCATCTGCGCCGAGTTGAATGGTTGCTATCGACACGGCATATGTGACACTTTCCTTTTCTACTGCCTGCGTACAAATATCACTCCTGGTCATCTATCCTCTGGATTGATTTACAAAGATAGAATTGCAACGCATCATCTTACTTCTCCAATACCAAGGCAATTGCATCTCTTCTTGTTTCAGCTGCTAGTTACTTCTCAGCATATATACAATGTCAGAGCTTCATGAGCAGTTTGACTACGTCGTAGTCGGTGGCGGAACCGCGGGTCTGGTCATAGCCTCGCGACTGAGCGAAGACCCCGAGGTCAGCGTGCTTGTGTTGGAGGCCGGTCCCGACAACTCCAGCGACCCTTTTGTCTTGACGCCAGGTCTTGTCGCGGCGCAATACGGACAAGAGAAATATGACTGGAACTTTAGTTCAGAGCCTCAGGTAGGGCGCAAACCAACGACTGTAGATATTGCCCATGCTTACCACCCAACCAGCCGAATTTGAACAACAGGAGGATCAACCAGGCGCGAGGACGTCAGCTTGGTGGCTCCTCGGCCCTCAACTTCAACATGTTGCTGTACCCTTCGCAAGCCAATATTGATGCCTGGGAAAAGCTCGGCAACGCTGGCTGGTCCTACAATGACTTGCTTCCTTATTTCAAAAAGTTCAGCACCACCCATGTGCCCCCTGCTTCGGCACTGGAGAACTCGGACATGGAGAGATATCACGACAACTCTCTCAATGGAAACGGACCACTTCACGTCTCTTATGGTGAGGGTTTCACCAAGGCTTTCAACGGTGCCTGGATGGACACTTTCAGCACCCTCGGCCTGCAGAACAAGGCAGACCCCAGAACCGGAAAGGCTCTGGGTGCCTTCCAGAACCCGTCTACTATTGACCCGAGCACCAAGACGAGGAGCTTTGCCGCTACAGCATACTTGACCCCTGATGTCCGCCAAAGATCGAACTTGACGATCCGCTGCAGCACAGTGGTCGACAAGATCTTGTTGGAGCAGAGAGGGGACACAGTTGCAGCTACTGGTGTAGCAATCTCGGTGGATGGCAAGACGCAACACATTGGAGCCCGCTCCGAAGTCATATTGGCGGCCGGTGCTCTCCAAAGCCCGCAGATTCTGGAGCTGTCAGGAATCGGCGACGCCTCCTTGCTCAAGAAGCACGGCATCCCCGTGGTGATTGACAGCCCCAACGTGGGAGAGAACCTGCAGGACCACGCCATTGTCGTGCAGAGCTTCGAGGTGGCCGACGGCGTCCCCTCTGGGGACGTGCTCCGGGACCCGGCCGTCCTCAACGCCCTGATCCAGCTCTACAGCACCTCGGGCGGAGAGGGACCCCTCGGACAGAGCACCATTAGCGTCGCGTACAGCCCGTGGTCCAACGGCGCCGGCCCGCTGTCCGCCGAGAGCAAAAAGGCCCTGCTGGACGCGCACCTGCCCGCGTCCGACCCCCGGACCACGGACTCGGCGCTCGCCGTCCGCGCCATCATTGAGAACCCCAGCGAGCCCGCCGTGGAGTACCTCCTCTTCCCGTCCCAGGTCACCATCAACCAGGAGCCGGTCAACATGGCCGAGATCATTACGCCCTCGCGGCCCGAAAACTACATTACCGTCATGACCATGCTGAACCACCCCTTTTCGCGCGGTTCCGTCCACATCACCTCGGCCGACGTACACACCAAGCCGTCGTGGGACCCCAAGTACATGTCTCACCCCTTGGACATGCAAGTCCTCGCGCAAAACGTCGAGTTCGTTGAGCGCATCGTCTCCACGGAACCCTTTAGCGCCATCCTCAAGCAGGGCGGCAAGCGCGCGCCCGAGACGGTGGCGACCGACTTTGAAAAGGCCAAGGAGATTGTTCGCAGCAACCAAATCTCCGTGTTTCACGTGTCGGGCAGCTGCTCCATGTTGCCCCGGGAGCAGGGTGGTGTTGTCGACGGCCGGCTGCGGGTGTACGGCACCAGCAACCTGCGCATTGTCGATGCCAGTGTCTTCCCGCTCGAGCCATTGGGAAATATCCAGGCTACCGTGTATGCTGTCGCTGAAAAGGCTGCGGATTTCATCAAGGAGGATCGCAAGAGTGCTACTGTCTAATGCCGCCAAGTACCAAAGTATCAAGTATAATAGAAAATCATAGCGTTCCGATTTTGAATAATCAAACAATGCATGAGTGAATAAAAATCTCTGGGGTGATGACATTAATTTCTGTTTCCGAAGCTCGGGCTCTTGATGATGCAACAAGAGGACAAACTTTAATAGATCTTATCAGAAATCTTTATTTGTGCGCAATGCCAGAACCTACGACTTTTTGTATTATTTTTTTGCCACTGAGGATTTGTGTCACCAAGAAAGCCGAAGCAATGTAGGAGCCTCAGCAGTCTTGGTTTTGCCCAAACACATTAGGGAGATAAGGGTTCAGAGCAAAGGAACTTGAGAGAAAAGCGGAGTTGCCAGAGCTGGCAAGATGTCTTATTATCTTCTTTTTCTTTTCCTAGGTTCTCTATGCTCAGCTCCCAACTTCCGCTCCCAGGCGGCGTAGTGGCCCATCGACAAACTCGGTCGCGTTCATGATTTCAGTCGCGCCATAGATGACTCTCTTCTTGGCTCTTTCGCCACCTGTCCGAGTGATCCACTCTTGTAGATTGCCATACTCATCCATGCTGCCGCCTCCTACCACAAACACAATGGCATCGGTGTATCCCTGGCGCCTTTGTCCAAAAGATGCTCCCATTCCCGGACCTTGAGTGCCGGGAAGACCCCCGGGAGTGCTACCTGTTCCAGCTCTGACAGCACTCGGTGTAGGCATTGTGCCGCGCGCATTTGCACTTCTAGGATCGAAAAACATGTAGCCTTCCGTCTTTGCTAGTGCCGAGCTCGAGGCTGTTTGTGGGTCCATGACGGACTCGACAATCTTGGTGACCGTCAAGTCTCGGTTCACAGGTATCAGATTCTTCAGCGCACCGCTCAGAGAGTCAAGGTTCAAACCACCAGGCAGCGTGACGCCGGCGTCCTTGACCCTGTCGGTAAGTCTTGAAGACAGATTCGAGAACCGACCAAATAGATCCGATCCAGCTTGTGCTGACGGTTGCGCGGGGTTGTTAATGGTTGTTAGCTGTGTCATTTTCGTGGTAGCACGAACTCTGGAGGGCAATTAGCGAGGACAAATATCCGAGGCAGGGAGTCACGTACTGTCTTATGTATGGCAGGGACGTGGTTTCGGCACCCGCGGCTTGCAGAGCTTCCTCAAATTGAGTCCATTCCGCGCGACTGACTTCCTGCTCTGTGCTCAAGAACCAGATAATGAACAGACGAAGTTTGTCCAGCGGTTCTTGGCCCCTGGCTTCATCCTTGATGGCCTCCAACACTTGCGCCTTTGTCTGCTTCATCACCTCCTCTTCCATCTGAAAGTAAGTATCAAGTTGCCGGTTCTTAATTCCTGTAAGAAGAGCAGCCAGAATATTCATGTGCATATCGAGAATCGCTTTCCTTTCCCTCAGCTCAGGGAGAAGAGTGATCGCAGCTTTGAGATGATGGGCGCTCGCACTCGTATCGTTTTGAAGGTCTTCTATAGATGAAGCACCTGTTTTCTTTGTGATTTCGGCCGCCTCATCCTTGTACCGTGTCAATTCTGCATCTATGTCCTCGGCAACCTGCGGGAAGGGCAGGGGGGCATTCTTCTCCCAGAAAAAGTCTGTGGCCGTAAGGTCATAAGCCTTTTTCGTCTTTCCCTTGCTCGGATCTTGCTCGTTGACGGGTGTCTCAATGGTGATGCGGTTAAGCTTCATGTTTAGAACATCGTGCACGAGTGATTGGTATGTCCAGGAATGGGAGAGCATGGGATTGAGGTCCACATTCCGGTCCAGGATGACCAGTACAGGTCGGGAGGTTGGAGTGCTAGCTGAAGAAGCAGGCCGAGCGCTCGCGGAGAAAAGGTTGTCCTTGGAGTTCAGAACGTGATCTCGAAGTTTTCTATCCAACTTGGCGGCAATCATCTCAGCTGCGGCACCCTTTGGGCAGCGTATTATGGGTATTACACCCATTGTGACCACGACGCTGAAGAGTCCACTGACGATCTTGTCCACGACATGATCCAATTCCTCATCGTTCGTCTTTGCGCTGTTCAGGGCCCAGTATGTGTTCTCCTTCTGCATTCCTAAGCTGAACAGGTCCGGCTCCGCCACAATGAAGTTGAGATACTGATCGTAGAGCTGGGCAATATGTTCAGATGTACCTGCTGTCGCTGTCTGAGTGGCAAAGTCTTCTAGCAGTGGCCTTGGTATGGATGATGTGAAGTTGATGTAAGCCGGCGAATAGAGGCCCTTCTGAAGGTCGTTGGTTATGGACTGAAGATTCTTGGCGCTGGGTTCGAGGAGATATATCACTGGCACATCGGGTATGGGATGTCTCGAGCCTGACAGATGCCTGATCACGAAAAAGTCAACAAGACTGTGATAGCGCAAGCGGGCATGGGGGTCTTGAGAGCAAGGAGCCTGGACCTACATGTGCATGGTGATTCCCAGGGCGCGCAGGTCGCTTACCCTGAGCACACTGCTGATGACATCGCGACCGAGGTCGTCAAAGACAAGAACCTTCCAGATTGGCTCGCCCTCAGATGTTACGAGGGAGGCGGCAGCACCGGAAGCGCCATTGGCGTGCAGGTCATCGTCGTCCTTCTGGTCAACGGGGTCGTTCAGATTGAGGATCTTCTTGAGGGAGGCAATCTGGCGGTCGCGCAAGGAAATTGCCTTGGCAGCCATGTTCGGCACGGAGAAGACTGTCCTCGGTAAACAGCGGCGATTACGACCGGGTGCAAAGGAGCAAATATGCGCGGTCTGTTGCAATATTCGCCGTGCTGGAGGTTCTCTTGATCTCGCCTACGTGGTACGTGCCAGGAGCGCTGCGCCGGACATGAAAGAGCGAGTACGTTGCACTTGCCCAGGTACCTTACCTGCCTAGTCAAACTACGTATTTGGTGGGGCAAAGTACTTCGGACATGGAAATGATCAAGGTTGCTGCACTTGAGAGCTGTAAGTCAATCCATTGCAATCGCATGTAACACGCTGATACAAATAAATAAGGACTGTAAAAATTAAGGCCAGTGTTCTCCCAAGAGCCACGCGCACGAATATGTAGTTCTCAATGGTGATCTTCTAAGGACAGTTGCGCAGTTGCAAAATGCTTTGCTGTCATCATTCGCCGTAGTGTGCACATGGGCAGCTGGGCAGCTCTCACTAATTGCATACAGGCGCACCTCCAGCGCATCTTGTACCCAATGTACATACCGAGCTTTGTAACGCAGCATATTAGTCAGGCTAGTCGAGATGATTACATTGTTGAACAAAAGTAGAGTCATGGAGTGCTAAAGAAAACGTGTTATTACAGCAGCATAGATGGTGATACAGAGTTAGATGAAGCAATATGGTCTTTTCTTGCATTAAATCTTAAGCTATGCCACTACTTTGCTCACAAAGGCACTATCAGAGGAAGGTATGGATGCAATGTATCTCCTAATCTAGTACAAATCCGGCGGACATGCGCGGTGCATGTATGGAGTATCGCTACTACTCAGGTACATGTGAGGATTCAGGAACACATCAATTGTTCTTGCATTTTGCCATTAGATGGAACTTAATGCCAAAAGACCCCATGGCCGTCTACTTAAGCAGTGCGTTTTATGAATTACCAGGGCACATTTGGATGGGGGACAAGTCTTCTGAATAGAACCGCCTGGTCAATCCTGTTGACGAATGATGTAGGTTGTACGAATGGTGCCGGCCAGTTGACGAGCACTTGACGCGAGACAAGGATACCTAAAACAAGGACCGCCAGCCGCCAGGATTTTTCATTCGCTTTCAAGGTAAAGGCCAGCCGATAGCTCCCTTTTTTTAATTGGCGTGACTGGCGTTCACTGCACCTTCGAGGTTGTGTCTGTCTCAGTCACTGCGCCCTCCAGCTAGTAGAGTTTCCAGCAAGGCCATTCATTGATTACATACCTTTTAGCCCTGGTACCTTCCTCCATCCGCCTGCCACTGGGGGTCTAAGCTCGGCGCTTGGTTTTCTCCCCCTCCGTTGACGCTGGGGCATTCCATTCCACCTCCCCAAGCCCCAATCTCTTTCCTCCTTTCATTTGTTGTCGTCGTCAAAACACGTTCTGTTGTCGACCATCATCAGCATCGACACATCCATCGCGCATCGTGCGGGAGGTAGAAGACCAACACGGTCTTTTAAAATTTTTCCATCTAGACCATCTGTGTCTAGATTTCAGTGCATATCGGCTACTACCGGTGGGCACTTCAGGGGCATCTAAAGCCTCTTTCCTCAATTGCCACTCCCGTCGCATTTTTGTTCTTTGGGACTGGGTGCGCGACTGGCCACTTCTTCTCCTTGCGACACGGGTTGAAACTGGCTTTTCTCTTTCTCTCTTCGTCGCTTTTGAATTCTAGACTACCACCGCGGGATTTTCAACCTTTTCTCTCCGGTCTGGCCACTCTTGCATCGCCAGCAGGGATCATTTTGTAATTGATGCAGCGTCTCTCAGTTGAAGAGGGCACTTAATTGATCAAACGCTTGATCTCCCCGGCACACGCAAGTCCAGGACCCAACTGCGTACTTCCCCAACATCATCGACGACAAAACTCACAACTCGGCCCAACGCCGCAAATTATAGGGTATGCTTAACTAAATCTCCTCCCCATTTTCCCACATATCACAAACACACACACGTCTCTCAGCACTTGCACCTTGCTATTATCGCGATGTCCAAGGCTGCCCAGCCTTTTTAATGTCCTGCCTACATATTATGTATGCACATGTTGTTCAGCGATCTTCCTACCGCTGCCCAATACAGGCTTGCGCATGGGAGTGACAAAGAAGAAAAAAAGAGCTAAAGAGCCCCCAAAAGCTCGCAGCAGTGAATTGCAAGTCTGGCAGGGGTCATAAAGAACTGCTGAGTGTGAGAGAGAGTACCTGAGTGAGTGGGCGGCCTTTGCTCCTCATTTGCTCGCAAGCGACCTACACAGTACCTGGCAGCCAAATGCGGGCGTGCACCCATAACGGGCGCGCCTGTCAGCCTTCACTTCAGCAGGGGCTGGCTTAGCAGTGATTGCTAGAGCTACAGGTAACTACCTAGGCCAGCTCCTCGCCACCTGCATCAAAGTAACTCATCCACTAAATTCCCACCGCAATTGGAGGGAGGGTGAAACTGGACTGCAAAGAGCGAAAGAAGCAGGCAACTCTGATTACATTGTGGAAACTCCGACCGTATCAATCTGATCAGGTTATGGCCTCCGTGGTTCGCCTTCCAACTAGCACGTACGCACGCAATGACAGACAGACAAGCCCGCAGAAAGAACAATTTGAGATTTTTGGCTACTAGCGGCAACAGCATCCACCCAAATCCAGCCAGCACCCAGCATGCAGCATCCAAGAACACCACAACCATACTCTGCCACCCAATACCACCATTCCAGCACAGAATTGTGGTCTATAATTGCCGGAATAGCAAAACCCGCCTGGCTGCTTGCTTGCAATATTCCTTGCCCTCGCTAGTAAAACCACAACGTTTGGTAGCATCTGTGGCATCAGTTCTCTCGTCCCCATTATGTCTGTGAGCATTCAAAGCTCTATTCGCAGGGGTACCCAAAAAACGTCGTCTAATCATTAAGGTCTGCCTTTGCAGATTCGGGCCGTGACGGTCGTTGCTTGGATACGGCTTACTCACTCCATTGCGCTCTGGCCTCGTTTACTTTGCGCATCTTGGCTGATCATTCATTCCCACGCTCAAATCACATCACATTCACTGGCTTCTTTCCTTTGAAGATACATAAACTCATTGCAGATGCTGATCGACCATCTTGGTTTAGTTTCTCGACTAGCCCCAATACGGCTTAGTTGACTTTTACTAGTCACACACCACCGGTTCACTGAAATTCACAATCTTCATTCCTATCATAAATCCCACTGCCTGATACAGTGCTTGGGTTCGACTGTGGCACAATCAAAGAGTAACCGTCACAACTTCAATTCCTATAGACAGCAGCGGTTGATTGAAGCTTTTTGTTGTCGAAAGGTTTGATTTTAAAGGTAGGCTTGAATTAGTGTATGTCATTGCGCACACCCTAGTTACCCTAGTGGCACCCCTCCCCTCCAACGAGCTCTACCCCCACGTGATAGTATACTTCTTGGGAGTCATATCAACTCACATACTTCATAATTTGTAGGACGCGAGCCTTTCAAGAGCTCAGGGTGTTTGAAACAGCATGGCTCAGGGTGGCCATAGCTGGCCAGGAGGGCAGTTTCATCCCAATGGCATGGAACATAGCGGCGCCATTGACCCTAATGCCGGGAACCTCACGTATGGTAGTGGCCTTGGTTCGGATACTGAGATGCTCTATATGGATGATTGGAACACAATGAACCAAAATCCCGCCAACTTTGGAGGCCAGCCTCATGCTGCTCCAACAGGTCAACAATTCTACCATGCACCGCAGTCATATTACCAAAACACCAATGCCTTTAGTGACAGCAACCGCCAGATCGACCAACGAACATCGTCACCTGCACTTGCCTACGGAAGTAGCCTGTATCATGAGCCTGCGTATCAACGACCGGCGCCTCAACAGCAAGAGCAACCGCAGCATCCCCCGGCACAACAACAGTCGTATCAACAATTCAATACCGATCTGGGCCAACGGAATGCTTCGGCTTCAACTAACAATTTCCCCGACGGCTCATGGCAACCACAAACGAACCACGGTGGTCAGAATCAATATGCTCAGCAGGCTTTAGCATACGAAAATCCGCAAAATATGTATCAACAGCACCTGCAACAGCCCTCGCATGCACACACACCGACACCGCCACCAGCTCAGAGGGGCACTGGCCAGTATCCCCTCAGCCATGGCGGACCAGTGAACTCAAGACCGAATGTCGTCACGCCACCTGCCTCGAATATTCAGGCTCACGCTCCTCCCCAACACCTTCATCCGGGCCCTTCCGAATACCACTTTCAGCCGAACCAGGGACAAGCCTCGCAGGTCACGTACCAAAATGCACCCGTCCATTCAGGTCCTATGGCTCCGGCATATGCTAGCCAGGTACAATTTGCGCAACCTCCTCAAAGCAATGGTCACGCCAGCAATGCCCCAGCAACGTCGCAATCCCTTGGACAACAGCAAGTATATGCGGCACAGCATTCTGCAGGAGTTTCTAAGGCGCCAGTCACTCGTACCATCAGCCCAATGTCATCGGGCCAACACGTATCTGCGCCGTCTCCTGTCCCTTATATTTCCAACATTTCAGCACCACCGGCACAATCACATATGACTATTCAGCAACAATCCACGCATAATCCTGCCACATTCACGGTCATTCCATCTCGTCCTCCTTTCGATCCACTCTCACACGGTGGGTTCTCGCAGCTCGATGGAGAATCCAATCTCTTCTTGTCAGAGGCGCCTGTAGAGATTGAGTGGACAGACTTTGTCCCGGACGATTCCTTTTCGTTCTCCGCACACTTCAACGCAAATGATGGTCCCCTCATGCCAAATCGACAGAAGCGACTACCCTGCGAGATTCGGCGTGATTGGAAGTGGTTACGGAAGCAGGAAAAGTCTGCTCAGAATGACGCTCAAAGGCGTGCGATATTGCTGGAGAAGGATAGGCTGGACCGAGAGATGGTTGCAGTCTCTGGTGAACGAAGTAAGTCATGCCAAAAAGATCCAATGATACAATTATTAACACCTGTCGCACAAGTTGAACCAACAACCAAAGTTGGCGTCAAGAAGATTGGCTCCAAAAGCGGCAGCAGGCCCACATCAGCACCAAAGACTGGAAGTGACTCATCTGACGACAGTTCGGACTATGACAGCGATTCTGAATTCGAAGAAAGCGAGGAGGATCAGGCAGCTCGCAAGATCAAAGCGAGCGGCAGGCCAAGTGACCCTGTCAAAGCTATCGAATACGATGTGGTCATGGCTGTCTGGCATGCTCCTGAGGAGGAAGCTCAACCCAATTCCACAGCAAATTCCATCCAAGCATTTGGTGCTCATATCGAAAAACTCTGGACTAAGATCAAAGATCTTAAGAAAGAAGTCAAGGCTGCCAAAGAAAAGAAGAGCAAGAAGTTGGAATCTCTGGAAGTGGAAGTTGGGAAACAAATGAAGCTCATGCTTACAGCTATCGAAGCTGTCACCAAGTTTGCGGAACCTTCGGTACTCGAAAACATGGGTGGTAATTCAAAGTTGGCTGTCATTTTGTGGAATGCTTTCAGGAACTCACTGTCTGCCAAGGACTTCAATGGTCCCTTACCCAAGGCCATCCTCTCCCTTATGTCCCATTTCACTACGATGGAAAGATCACTCGTATTGGGCGTTCTCAAAGTCCCAGAGTACCACAAGAAGCACCAAAAGGACTTTGACAAGACCTGCCTAGGCTTTCTAGATCAGATCCAGTCCAAGGCAAAGGGTACTGCTGCTGATACAGAGAAGAAGGCTAAGGAGCTATCGACAAGTGAAACTAAGGAGCCTTTGAGTGCGCCAAAAAAGAACCCGGTTTTCATGGCAAAAGACTTGGTCTCAGCATCAAAGAAGGTAGTCTCCTCAGAGTCGAAAAAGGTGCAACCCACTGGCCCCGCTGTTCTAGATGCTAGGAAGTCCAGTAACGTTGTCACGAAAAGCGTTGGAAGCTCGCCATCCAAGAGGCCTCGTGATGAGGAAGCCGATTCCCGAGCGGCCAAAAAGGTGGCTGTCGATGGTACTTCAGGTACATCCGTCACCAAGCCCAGCTCTACCACTACTACCAAGACGACCACTGTTGTGCAGCCACGTGCAAAGTCTACCGGGTCGCTTCTTCCTGGCCGTACAGCTCGGCCAGCCGTCAAGCCCGCCACAAAGAAAGTCGAATCGCAACAATCATCTAGCAGCCTGTCAACCATCAGCGGTTTGCTGGCAGAAATCGCCAAACCAAAGTCCCCTCCCAGGCAAAAGGAGGAACCTACCAAGGCTCCCGAGACAGAAGAAGAGCGGAAGCGCAGACTTCGCAAGGAATCTCGTCGTGGACTCCGGGTCATGTGGAAACCTGATCACGAACTCGAGCAGGTTCGCATTTTCCAGCACGATGCTGCTGAGGATGAAGGCCGGGCTAGCAACATGGTGCGTGATGCTAGAGACAATCGCTCCGAAGGTCAGGCGCTCAAGCGAGCACTTAGCCACGTGGAAGATCAAGACGGAGACGCGGAGAAGGAGGACGACGAAGAGGGTGCCAATGAGGGTAATCCCAAGGAGACTAACCTGCGACCGTGGCTCGACCCGCCGGCAGTCGATTTTATGCACATCGACCAGGTGAATCCAGGACAACGAGACAAAACCTTTGTCACTCGTGGAGGAGCCACAACTTTCCACACGGAGGAACAGCAAGCAATGGAGAAGTACGAGCAAACCCAGTTCATGGAAATCTACACGTCAGTTTCAGATATCCCTGAAACACCAAAATCGCCTACTCGCAAGGAAGTTGAAAAACCTTCTGTCCTTCCCCACGTATCCCAGCTTCCTGCAGATACACCCAATCTGCAAGAACTCCACCTGCGCTGGACCGAAATCGCACAGTTTGGAGCAGAACAAGCAACACAACGAATGCTTCAACGACTGCGCAACAAGTCAACTCCCGAACGTGCTGCCAAATTTGACCGACTTCTAGCCGATCTACGAAACTCCTCGATGATGAGCCAAGACCGAAATCAACCATATGCATTTGCGCCAAGTGCATCGCAGCAAGCCTACTCATCAAAGCTTGCCGCCATGACGCCAGCTGAGCGTGATGCCGAGGTGCTTCGCCTTTTGAAGTCGGATGCGGTTTTGAACTGGGTTGACAAGCACCCAGTCGACCCCAACAATTTGCAGACTGCACAGCGACACGATTATGGCGACGCAAAGGTGCAGGCAGATGTTGATGCGGTTGAAGCGGTTGTCACAACATTTTTGGGCAAACCATACCCCGTCACCGAACCTCCAGAACACCTGAGGTCGAATGCGGCTTATGTCAAAGAGTGGCAGACTGGGTATGATAAGGACATGGCAGATAGATCATCACACGATGCAACAGCACGCGCAAAGAAACTCGCCGAAGAATTTGCCCGAGTCAGTGCGGCATCCGTTCCCCAAACAGCACCCGTGCCTGCCACAACCCAGGCTACACAGGATCCCAATGCGGCGGCGTGGGCTGCGTACTTTACACAGATGGCTCCAGCACAACAACAACAAGCCCAGTCGGCACAGGGGCAGCAGCTTACATATGACCAATACGCCGCCATCCTCCAGCAGACACAGGCCCTACAGGCTCAGCAAGGTGGCCCCGGTGCACAAGCTCCTGGATTGCAGTATCCGCAACAGCCACAGCCGGCGCAGCAAGATCCGAACGGACACATTGGTGCTCTACTGGCTGCGCTCGGAGGTCAGGCTAACCAGTCACAACCTGCCGTCGCAGCACAAGCGGCGCAGCAAGATCCGAATGCCGCTGCTTGGGCTGCCTATTATGCATCCATGGGCCAAGCGCAACAGCCCCCTGCAGCAGCAGCAGCAGCAGCACAACCACAGCAGCAGCAGCAGCAGCACCAACCACAACAACAACATGCTTACCAGCATCGCGATCGCGACCGAGACAGAAGCAATCGCAACTACAATGGTGCTGATGCCATGTTGGACTACGGTCCATCTGAGGCTGATTCGCGCGACAAGGCGCACCGTGGCGGCCGCAAAGAGAATAGCAAGGATACCTTTCGTGGCGGCAAGGATTACGACCGCAAAGGCATCAACCGCTCGCTTATTGGCACAAAGCCGTGCACATTCTGGGCCCAAGGCAAATGTGCCAAGGGCGATCAGTGTACATTCCGACACGACCCAAATGACTTGAAATAAGAGGGCACCAGATCCACAAGATTCTACCAAACAATTTGACTGGCACAAGACGCCAATTGTAACCATAGCAACTAATGATTTGGAACGGCAGCATTTGATAGGGCAAGAGGTGTAACATCACGCATTGAGAGGCATTTCAAAAGCATTGCTCTGGAGTTTGGGTCACATGATTTGGAGGAGGAATAGGGAGCTTTGGCTAAGAAGGGCCAATGAGCTGGGCTGTTTGAGGTATTTTCAAATGCATACCAAACTCGTGCAAAGGTGAGCCGAGTTGTGGCCAAATCTGAATTTTCTGGTGAAGGGAGTGGCAAGCATGTCTAGATTTCGATGTCGGATTTCTTCGGCCGTCTTCTTCTCGGCGGTGGTCAGAACGTGTATGTTAATAGTACCTAATGCATCAGGTATAGCTGCTAAAGCTGCCCAATGTAATACAGAAATAGTTTCGTAGTGAACAAGACGACCGTGACTGGATGTTGTGAATACCGAGCCGTCTTACCAATGTCTTTCCTGCTGAATGATCAATCACACTAAAACGATCCGTATTATCAAAAGAACGCTTGTTGGCATCGTTGACGTCACTAGTGTTGGTTCCTCCCAATGAGCGACTAATAGCACGGCGCATTGTGCAACGACTATGCTGATCAAAAAGTATATATTCTAATAATAGTCTCACAAGAAGGGAATCTCATTAACAGAAGTATGATCTCGCCACTGCGTCTGTATACAGTACCTCACCTATCCAAGATGCCTCAATCGACATGGGCGTCCATCGCACGTGGGCCTCATGCTACACCACCATCGCCAACAGTACTCTTGGGACAACAGTCAACTCAACACCATGACCTCCATATGCGTGCGCCTTGTCAATCTGGTGATCCCAATGGAAGGCCAATACACCCGCCACAGTCTTCAATGGATCAGCAGATGGCTCTGCCGCGACAGCGCAAAGATGCCCATCGACCACGGACGGGGCCACCGCGGGCTCGGCCGGAGCAGAATGGCAGTAAAGACGCCAATACCTACGAGGAAGAAGAAGAGGACTGCTACGTCCTGACACTATTAACTGACGGCCAGCACAACGCCGAGATGTCGGCGCTCCGGCGGCAGTGGTTCCCCGCCAAGCTACGCAAGGTGGACGCGCACGTGACTCTATTCCATGCGCTGCCGGCGTCGCGCCTGGAGCAGGTGAGGGCTGATATCGGGGCCGTGGCGGCGCGCACGGCGAGGTTTCCGGTGCGGGCGCAACCTCGCGGGGTGTTTCGGATGGGTAAGGGTGTCGGGGTTGAAATGGACCGGGAGAGTCTTGCGCGGGTCAGGGCATTGCGGGAGGGGTTGAGGGTGCGATGGAATAATGAAGAGCGGGAGGTGGACCAAGACGGCACTGATCATGGAGAAGGGGGTTGGTTGAGTGAGCAGGATGCTCGAAGAGGGTGGAAGGGTCACTATACCGTCATGAACAAGGAAAATGACAGGGCGAGAATGGAGGCGTGTTATAAAGAGCTTTCACATGACTGGAAGGGCAGCAAAGGAGTTGTTGGTGGACTGACCTTGTGGAAATATGACAAGGGATGGTGGAAGAAGAGTCAAGATTTCCACTTTAAAGATTAGACAAAGAGATAGAGAAGAATTAGAGACAGGAGTAGAAGAATTTTCGAGATCGCACTCTATCGTCGGGACTTGGTCACCCGAATCCATGACCGTGGGTCAATATGTAGTGAACAAGTCCACCACGTTGTGAAACTTGGTGGAAGAACGCGATTGAGCCGGGATTTTGCTCTCTTTGCGCTGCGCTGTGGAGCCCAGATAGTAGATAGGATCGCTGCCGGGGTGGTGGATGGAGAAGCTGACCATCTACCTGCAGGCATCATTACTTTTATTGGTGATCATGAACAACCAGTAGCGCTGACTGCATGCAATAGATCCATCCGAGTGTCACGTACCAGGGGTTGATTGGGGACTAGGGAAGCAATTGGACGCCAGCTATTAGAGAAAATCCATCTTCAGCCTCGTCCAAAAGTCCTGATCCCTCCCCTTCTCGCGTCCTGCGCATCACTTCACTGAGCTCACTATCGAAGGCACTTGGATGCCTGTGTAACAACAATGATGGCCGACGTTCACGAAGTCCAACCGCTGGTTCGAGATGTGGCCCCTCGCGGTCAACGTGGATCGTACGAAGGCGAGCTTGGATCAAGTAAGTCAATGTTTGGTCATGTCATAATAATCAAGACGCGCATACCTCAATCTCACAGCCGCCACTAATATTCATCTCTGATTATAGCCGATTTGATAAATGCAGTTAAAGAAGATAACATCAATTTGATTCGCACTTTATTGGGCATGCCAGAGCATAATCATATACTCCATACAGCGAGAGATGAGGACAGTCGCACTGCCTTGCACTGGGCGGTGATCAGAGGACACCAACAGACGTTGTTTGAGCTTATGCCCGTGTGTGACGCAATTGTCAATGCAAAAGACCGTTTCAACCGTACAGCGCTATTCTATGCCGTTGGAGGCCAGGAATTCTCGAATTTGATGGTCGAGATGCTCCTTCTTGGTGGTGCTCAGGTCAACTACATCGATGTTGATAGGAAAACACCTTTGCTCATGGCACTTGAGAGAAAAGACCGCCTGCTCACTGGGCGATTGGCCGAGTTTGATTCGATCACAATGCACATGATCATTGCAGAATGTCATCCGAGTAACGACAAAAGCGAGGGCATGATCAACATATTAGACTTTCTCCTCACACATGGAGGCAAAGATCTAAAGAGCACCAAAAATCGAAAGGGCCAAAGCATACTTCATGCATCAGCAACCACGGGAAATATGGCTGTTGTAGATGTGTTTATGGAACACGGCCGGATCAATCCTCTGGAAGTTGTACTAGAAATGGACAAGGAAGGCGACACACCTCTAATCTCAGCCGCTCGAGGTGGATGGTTCGAAATGGCAAAATTTCTCGTGCAGGACTGTGATTTCAACAAAGATATCGTCGACGCCAACGGAATGACGGCACTGCACTGGGCTGCACACCAGGGTCACACGGCAATCGTATCACTTCTGGTGGACGCGGGCGCTGACATAATGCGTCAGACCGAGACTGGCTTTACATCTCTTTTCCTTGCCTGCAATAATAGGCGAGATGAAACGGGGGTTTTACTGTTGGAGAAGACAGGCATCCCAAAGGCTCTGACATTAAAGGATGCTTTTGGCCGTGGCTTGACACGTGTTGCGGCATTGAACAACTGCAGTAACATTTTGACCAAACTCATTGAATATGCCAAGGAGGAAGGCAACGATGCGCGAGTGTTGTGGGAGCATTCTGAAGGGTGCTCACATGCTTTCGCTGCCATCGGAAGCGATTGCCGTGAGAGTGCAATGACTTTGCTGAAAGCCGGCGCCGCCGTGACAGGGTCCAATGGAAATCGTGACACAGCTCTTCACTGCGCAGTATCTCATGGCGACGCTGATCTAGTCAAATGGCTACTTGAAAATAGGAGTGAATCGCGTCTTTGGATGGTCGCAAAGAACAAGGAAAATCAAACTCCCGCAGGCGTAGCTGCTACCCGTCTGGAGGGGGGTGTTCTTGCCGACATACTTGCCGACCTCTTACACTATGAGGAGCCGGCTCGTGTCCGAGATCTTGACACTACAGGGTGGATAGGAATTCACTGGGCCACATTCTACGCGCGTCTAGATCTCATCAAGTTACTCGTGCGGAAGACAGCAGATGGCACGAATAATAGTGTTCTTGCGGCAGACACTAGTGGTCGAACAGCTGCAGACCTTGCCCGCAGGCTACACCCAAAGCAAATGAAGCTGCTGCAATGGTTGAAGCCGGTGGACACGCTTGGAGATCCAAGTGATGTGCCACTCCTCCGGGAGCCGAAAGTCTCTGACGAAACTAAAGATATCTGCGGTAGAGTACCGGCATTCCTGATGGATGTATACGGTAGGCGTGGTACCCTGGTGATACTGCTGTACGTTTCCGACATCCTCTGCTATGGGCCCGATCCGATCATGTCCGTCGAAGCAGAGAAACGTGGCATGGATCGCAGGTTGAGATCCAGATGGATTCACCTTCCACTAAATAATGTTAGTACCCTAAAGTCCCATGAAATGCTGTTTATTACTCAAGTTAACCGTGATAGAAAATATGGCTCAAGGTACATTAACTCATGGGATCAAAATTATTCCTTGCTCACCTTCACAGGACCTCATACATAGAATTTATTTCGATATTGCAGACGAGAACATGGACAATCTGGAAACAGCGGGCAACGAGTTTGAACCTACTTCTCCTAGGGGTTTGGCTCATAACACAGAAACTAGCTGTCGCGACCTCGACAACTTGACAAATTTCAGCGCAATTTCTCCAGACAACATACCATCAAGTTTGGAAGATGACGCAATGATTGTTAGCGGGACACAAACAAGCACCAAGCTTTTCTTTCCAGATGCGCAAAACAATCAAGTAGAATCCGAGGAATACCCAACAACGTTACCGTCAAACAACTTGCACGCCAAAGGAAAGCCTGCAAATACACCCCGAAGAATACCACCTGAATGGAGGTCCTTGAAGAAGGTCATCGATCATGCAACCATTCAGCATTCAAAGCTTTCTCGCTTTATTGACGAGAAGATGTCATCCGAGCCCCGCGTTGGATACTTGAGACCTATTGCGCCGTTTATTGATGTAAGATATCGTTGACCTTGAAAATATGCGCCATCTAAATCTTTTAGTTCTTTCAAGTAGCATCTAGGGACTTGAGGAAAGACGCGTATCATCCTTCCGCAATAGAAGGACTGAGGGTCTGCATTTCTGTGAGTCGACCCCTCCATTTCTTTTTTTCACGATCGTAATTCACAAGTGCAGATGCCATATTTGGCTTTTACCCGAGAAAGCAAGCAGAAACAGTGGCCACAAGATACTCGAAACGAATCGACCACGTCGCTTGAAGAGGTCATAGGCGCTCAATACACCACAATACCACCCGCACTCCAACGACTGTTTGATTATTATCATCATGATGATCAACGCAGGGGGGCGCTTCAAGTTCCGCAGACCTTGGACCAATTTCACTACCAGTCTCTGTTGGTCTCAGATCGCAAGACTAAAGACCAGGTGCTTTACCGTCACCAGCAAAGGGGCGAAGATCCAGATGCCGATCCTTTCATCTGTCTAGTAGATCAGCTTTGGTTGCACGTTGTCGATGACGGTAAGTTCTTCTTTCTTGGCACAGCGAATCGTGGTTTCTAACTAGTACTAATATTCTATGGTTGCAGCCACAATTGTAACCTCAACTTCGCAACATTTGGATGATGATATCCTCGATCTTACGACTGCCACGACAGAGTTGTACAAGAGCGATAATTACAAAAGTGTTCGGAAAGATTCTGTTTACGGCTTGATACCCTTGATCTTGGCGACCTGTATTCGAAAGTCAATGGAAAAGGAGCTGGGTGGTAAGAAAGAGCGGGTTCTAGACATGTTTGCTGCTGCTGTCACAAATACGGTGTGTTTGAGTGCGACAATCAAGCTGTGCAGTCCTCTGACTAACACTTTGAACAGTCTAAACGCCAAGTTGCGTTGTTCAACGATTTTCGGAAGAACATATCCAATAGCAGCCAGAGCCACGACACGGGTGATACCGATGTCACTCGCGTTCTCACGGAAGAGATCGACCTGTTACAAGAGGTGAATGATGTCCTTATTGAGTTGAATATCATCAAGACAGTACTTGGTCACCAAAAGGACATCCTTGAGAGCTACTCAAACTTTGTCGATGCCGAAATAGACAGAGGAAATGGTTTTTACAATGACAGCAAAGGGGCAAAAGTCATCATCGATACGGTTGTGACTTGCAAAGCCCTGAGTAGGATTGACGTGTACATTGGTGAGGTCGAGAAGATGGTCTTCGTGGCCAAAGAAACCCAGAACAACGTAAGAGCCCCCAAATTTCAGTAGAGGAAAAGGATGTACTCACAAGGCCTCGCAGCTGCACACTCATCTGGATCTTCGACAGAGAGATGCGAATCTCAATGAAGCAGTATGGGCACGTAAAGCGGCCCAAGAAACCACGCAGCAGAGCAGAACCATCATGGTTTTTACCGTGGTCACAATATTTTTTGTCGGTTAAACATTGCCAAACTACTGACTACCTACTCACTCCAAAAACAGCTACCAATCACCTTCCTCTCTTCACTATTTGCGCTCGACATTACCGTATTTCCTCACGACGACGAAGGCGATCTCAAGTACGGCCCTGGCTGGGCGTTTTCATGGTTATGTAAGTTGACGACCGTTGCCCGCTTTCCCGTAGAAATGTGCTGAATGAACCACCGTAACCTCCAGTCGGTATGACCATTGCCGTATCTTTACCACTGGTCCTGCTTGCCTTCTACGTCAATGAAGTCGCATTACTTTGGAAGAAGTGGATGGCGCGTTGGCAAAAAGACCAGAATCGCGGCGTCGGCGTCAATGAAAGAGTTGGGTTTTTCCCAATCACGAGGATAATGAACTCGCGGCTCAGATTTAGGACAAAAGGTTCGCGCAAAATGGACAGGGCCGAAGGTACTGGCGCAAAAGAAGTGGTATAGATTGGAAAACAAACATTGTGATCAGAGCAATTGTACCGCTATCAATTCAATGCTATTTTGATGACGTTTTGGTGGTGACGACATCGAATGTGCCCTATTATGGCCGCTATATTGATCCCACCCCAAAATACCTGTAGGCCCTGGCATATATGCGGTCTGCGGGTCCTATATACTCTGTAGATGGGGCCCCCGTGGTCAACATGGATCGCACAAAGGCAAGCTTAGATCAAGTAGACCAAACACTGGTCATGTCTTGAAAAATTAGATGCGAATACCTCAATCTCACGGCCGCTACTGATATTTATGATCTCCGAAGGCTGACGCGACATCGGTTTCGCTATAGCATATTTGTTGACCCACACCACCGCCACCTCCGGACGCCTTAATGATAATCTGGTAGAATTAATAACGTATCTATCAACAGAGAGAATCACGCGTACCAGAAATGCTAGGTTACTCGCTTCCTGTAGAGCTTCGTGAGCATCTTTCAGTAGGCCAGACCCTTTGATCACAGGTACGTTGGCGGCAATGGCAAGCTCACGTGCCGTATGCTTGAGCCCTATTGCGTTGATAGCATCGGCATCCGGACCGACGAAGAGCATGCCAGCCCCGTTCACACGGCGGGCGAATTCGACGTTTTCACTCAAAAAGCCGTATCCCGGGATCGCAGCGTCGATACACTGCTCTGCACATATCTTCAAGATAGCCTTGCTACTCATAGAACAATGAATTTTGTGATTGCTTCAAATTCGCCCGGCTGAGCTCCATCCCGAGGAAGAAGGACACACATATCTGTGTATGCATCCGAACATTCGTCTTCAAGAAGAATGCCCACGTCAGCTAGACGTACGTGGATTGCGTGGCTGTCGGCTTTCGTGAACAATGCAACGCTGGTCAACGAGAGAGCCTGGCAGGCGCGAATGCACCGCACAGCGATTTCGCCAAGGTTGGCTATGAGAACGCGCTGGAGACGCGCCATCATGTAAGCTTGAATCAAGTCGTGGATGCTACGCTGTAATAATTTTCTAGCACAACTGCGTGCTGTAAACTTGTGCTATTTGTAGCAGTGCAGTTGAATCGCGTACAGGTTTCCTTCAGCTTTCACGGCATTGATTCGCTCAGAAACTGGCGATCACTTTATTGGCACGTACAAACATCACCATGGTCTTGAGAATGATAACGCATACCAAGGCACTCACTCGTTGCTATTGTCAGAAACGCCTTTCCCCAGAACTGCCCTCGCGCGGAATCCGACTGCAAGCGCCGTTAGCGCTCGATATCTACAGATTGCCTGTCTATGTCATGAGCCTGGCAGCTTGTTATAATTGCATCAATTCAGTCGCTGATCCGAGTCGGCACATGCGCAAAAAAGTGGGCTATTCGTATACTTGAAGAAGTGGCGATAAGGATTCACCTTATCGCGCCAAATGACCGCCATTGGCGCCACGCATAGCTAGTGGAAATCACAGTACGACCTGTTCAACAATTAGGAGCATGCGGGGCTGCTGTTAGTCACTAGAACAACGCTGAGCAGCGCAATCAGTCATGAATGTGCCCGAGATGATGACAATTGCCTACAAACGTAGTAGCCTTGCGACATTACACGCGTGTCTAGAGAGTCGGGAAGTCATTACAATAAACTAGCCATGTCTCGCTCTCTGGCAGGAGGCACTGTTGTACAAATTGTTCAGTATCGGTCTCTGGTTGTCCGACCTTGTGGAAGCAGCAGTGTCAGAGACGGTCCAGACAAGGAAGACGTGATCGCTTGAGGTTTATCCACGATGACGCACCCTTTCGTCGCTTCCTCCAACGTGCTACATCGAACATTCAGTCACAAGCCAGAAAAGGTTGTGGGCTCCTCTGGCATCAAGCTTATTTTCGAGTCTGGAAGGCATGTTTATGATGCATCGGCCGGCCCTGCAGTATCAGTGCTGGGCCACACCCGCTCTGATGTGACCGAGGCGCTGGTCCACCAGATGAACGAGTGCGCCTATATTTACTCTGGCGCGCGCTTCACCTCAACCGCCGTCGAGGACCTCGCCTCGTTCATCCTGCGGGACAGGCCTGGCGGCCTCTCCAAGGCCATCTTTGTCAATTCAGGTAGCGAGGCCACCGATGCGGCCATCAAGCTAGCCACACAGTACTGGCACGAAGTCGGACAGCCCCGGCGGCGCTTCGTGATCGCGCGCAAGCAGAGTTACCACGGTAATACCATCGGCGCGCTCTGCGTATCCGGCCACGACTCGAGGCGCTCTCTCTACCACGATTGGCTGTCTTCCAACGTCAAATTTATCGATCCTTGCTTCTCCTACCGCTTCAAGAAGTCACATGAGACAGACGAGGATTATGCAAAGCGCCTAGTTCTGCAGTTTGAGTCTCTAGTATTAGAGCTTGGGCCAGAAAATGTGTCCTCTTTCATCGCAGAGACCGTCAGCGGCACCACCTTGGGATGTGCCACTGCAGTCCAGGGGTACTTTAAGGGAATTCGGGAAGTCTGTGATAGATACGGTGTTCTCCTGATATTGGACGAAGTAAGTGTTCAATTTGAATGCCGGTATCCTGAACAAGATTAACAGGGTTCTTCTAGATCATGTGCGGAATGGGCAAGACGGGTACCATGCACGCATGGGAGCAGGAGGACATGCGTGGACCCGATATTCAAACCATTGGCAAAGCCTTAGGTGGTGGGTTTATACCTCTGTCGGGCGTGCTTCTCCATCACAAAATATTCGATGCATTGAGCAACGGCTCCAAAGGCCTCGCTCATGGGCACACATTTCAGGTGCGCAAAACTCCTCAAGTCTTACAATTGTAATGATATATAACTAATCAGTCACCAGGCTCATCCCGTAGCTTGTGCGGCTGCTTTGGCGGTGCAGAAGGCAATAGAGAACGAGAAGCTGCTGGAGAATGTGGTTGCCATGGGGGCTGTGCTCGAAGGGCTTCTAAAGGAGCATATAACGCCCCTCAATGTTGTCGGAGATGTTCGTGGCCGAGGCCTTTTCTGGTCCGTTGAGTTTATGCTCGACGGTCACGAGAGGGTACCTCTGCCGATTGAATCCAACTTCGGTGCAAGGGTAGTGGACCGCGCCTTGAACCTGGGGTTGAATATACTTGGAAATCTGGGACAGACCGGAAGCGTCTATGTGGACCATGTCATATTATCGCCAGCATACGTAGTGACCGAGGAGGAGCTGCGGCAGATTGTCAGCCTTCTCCGGACGGCTATCATGGAGACAACGGAAGAGGCTTTCAAGTGGCTCAATCGTGGGGTTATCGATGCACTAGTATAGAGCCGAATATATGGGTCGCTTGCATTGACCTCAGCGTCTAATCGTATGTTTGCTTGCTGTAAACCCGCGTGGTTTCATGATTCATAATATGCATGCAGTTATAGTCGGCCAATCGAACGACATGATACGAAGTACTGTTTTCCACAAACGCGCCAGTCTTCAAGCCATGTACAAGCAGCTGTGGGACATGTCGTATTTGAATAATATTGACCCAAGCCTCATGTGATGGCTAATTTATAACCTTTCAACTGGATTACATCCAACCAGTCTACCCTATTTCCACTCTCGTTTCCAGCACCCGCTATCCTTAGCCTCCAAAGCTCGTCGAGTATTTGGAGACATACTTCTATGTTCCGAAACCGGCGATTTTCGTTAATCACTCGCATCTTCTCTCGGATTACTGCAATATGAGCAAGTTCTTCCGCCTCACCGCCCGCCATAAAGAGTGGAAACAATAAAGTGCATTCAGGGAGACATCCGGTAGGCATATCGCGAACCTTGGCGCATATAGATTCGACATGTCTCCGGATCTTCTGGTTGAGAACTGTAGCATATGCAGCTAGATGCCTGCGTAATGTTCTGTACAAGTGCAACAAGGCAGCGTCACGATACGTCTCGGCGAGCTGGGCCAGAGAGGATCCACAGTATTGACTTGGGTATTTCCAGTCAAGCAACTCATTCTCTATAGCTCTTGCCCTATCTGAGAATTTAGCTCCGACCGCACGACCAGGTAGATGGTATGAGAACAACGGATCTTCAGATTTGGCGGCGGCGAGGTCAGCGTTAAGGTGACTGGTCTGTCCAACCAGAAATACGATCTGGCCCGCGAGGCCAAAATACGGGTCTGCTGGCTGGTCGTCCTGATCAACCCAGTAATCACCAGCTAGTATGGGCGGGCGGTCCATGGTGACGCTCGTCAGAATGTCATGATATGCAAAGTTTTTCATCAGCCACTTGCCCTCGATGGTCGCTAGTTCCGTGATGTCGCTTGAGTGCGGCGCACTACGGTCAAGAGAGAATCTCAGTGCGGTGGCACCACCAACGAGATGTTCATACCAATTTTGAACTCCGTCAGAAATGATCTCCATAGAGCACAAGGCCATGGTCACGGCGAGCCATATTTCACGCGATATCGTCGTTTCCTCGAGCTCTGTTTTCAGAAGTCTGAGTGCAGCACCTCGGTGTTGCAGTGCGACTTCCTGGAACCGGGTGTCTATTTGCGAGAGATGGATAGACGCCCAGGCTGTGAGGGTGTACATCAACGTAGTAGACTCAAAGGCCATCGGTAGGAGCACTGCGCCGCCTGATCAGCAACGCAGCCAAGCAGAGGCAGGTATCTAATCGAGGGCACACAAACCTGATAGGAAACAATTATTTTCGTAGTTGGTGCTAAGCATTGCAGCAAACGACGTGGTATAGTAGCGGAGCATGGCCCGACGACTGCTCGATGGGTCAGATCGGCTCAGGTCACCATCGAATGCGAGCCCGGTTAGCAAGGGCGTTGCATCAATACACGAGCTGGGGGCTGTCAAGGCCGAAGCTGCTGTGGGCGCGGCGGTCCTTTGTTGAGAGGCTTGTCGTACAGACCGCGGAGACTCGCGCTCACATATGAGGTTGAGGCGAGTGCAGTGGCCGCACACGGGATAACAACGGTCACACTTCTTCTTCCTTGACATGTAACCACCGTTAGCAATTGGATAGAAACGCATCTCTAGGACTGTACACCCTGACCAGCGGTGCCCCGAGTCGAAGGCTCATGATGTCTTCCGCAAGGAATGAATGGCCGATCTAGGCTGCTAGGGCCACGGACATGACGCAGATACACGGTAAGCCGATCCACCAATGGACCAAACACTTACCTTCGACGGCACGTCAAACATCCTAAGCGCTGTCGTGTATGTCCCGTTGATCTGGGCTTCCTGTTTGCCTGTGGATCTTGTAGCATGATGAGACGGGATAGGGGTGCGCACTGCGACGTCCGCGGGCGCTGTCGGCGGTGATAAGACTCCTAAAGACCGCTGCAGGTGGTGGGCAGCGATGGGCAACAATCGTCAAGAGGGAACAGAAGTCGTAGAAATCTCCATCTACTCCATGTCGACTTGAATTTGGTTAGCCATGGTGTACTAGTCTTATTGGGTTTAAAAGCCTCATTCATTGCTGCTTTGGCGGCTGCATACCTAAGGTTAGGTACCTATCTATCGAAGATGTCAAGACACTCTACATGGACTAGTCTACATCGAGTTTAAGCATGCCATACAGTACATGGTCAATGCTAACGACCAGCTCGCATACTATACCTGACTACTACCTGACTCGGGTTAGATTGGTGTGCAACGCCCTAGAGACGCAACGGGGCGACGGGCGCCAATGGCGCTCAATCGCGGACGCTTTACCCACGATAACAAGCAGACTTTGGTCCCACCAGCACACATTCGTACGAGAGCCGAGTGTGTTGCACCAAGGTAGAGAATACGTTTATATACTTTCTAGACTAAGGTAGAGAATACGTTTATATACTTTCTAGAAACCAGTCAAATTACTGCCCTCCAAATCGACCGGGACAAATAACATTTCTAGTAAACGTACTTATACTGTTCGACTGCACTTGAACCTTTCTAGGTCTGCTCAATCAATCCCAGAAGCCACCCCCCTTGCCTATTCGTACCTCGTCAGTCGTTCACCATGGCCATCAACCATAACAACGGAACTGTGACCCTGACACCATTCGCCCCCGCCGCACAGGATAAATCGAAAGGCATAGCTGTGCGAGATAATACAGCTGTTGCATATCGCGGCCCGCCCCTACCTTCAGTTCCCGATGATATCGTTGTTCCGGGCATTTTCGACTTGAACTGCGACGAGCGTCTATGGATTCCTCAGGCTCCAGATGTGTGGTTCCGTCCCCTCGTCTTCAATGTGTCACAGGGCTACTTTGTCAACATCCTACGTGTGCGCAAGTCGGGTGTCCTGTCTCGCCATCGTCATGCCGGCCCAGTGCACGCCATCGTCCTAAAAGGCCGCTGGCACTACCTAGAGCATCCATGGTGGGCAACCGAAGGCGGCTTCGCTTTCGAGCCCCCGGGCGATATTCACACTTTGGAGGTTCCTGATGATGTGGAGGAAATGGTTACCTTATTCCATGTGACGGGTGCTTACATTTATGTGGACCCGGATGGCAACCCTACGGGCGTTGAAGATGTGTTTAGCAAGCTTGATAATGCTAGGAGGCACTATGAGGCAGTCGGCCTGGGTGCCACTTTTGCGGACCAGTTCATTCGATAGATTTCGATCTGTCGGGTTGGCTGGATAGGGCAGCATAATCCAAGTCTTCATTCCGTATGCATACTGTCATACGCATCAAGTTTCTAGAATCTTGTGCAGGGTTTGTCCGCGGGGCTGAGCCTTCACAGCAAATTCCTCCGCTCCCGATTATTGTTCAAAGTGCCAACTTTCTTCTCTTAATCAACTTCGCTCAGTAGCAGAATTTTTTTTTTTTTTTTTGGTGCAACTATGTGATGATTGCATTGTGAGGTGGTACAATTTATCTGCATGGGACATTTTGGACGAATAAACCACTTCTTAGATGTGCTCGATAGATCCATTCTTCGCCTGGCTAATCTGCTCCAAAGCTTCTCTGGCCGCAGCGGCATTACCCAGTGCACTTGGTAAGTCTGAATGAATACAAATAGTAAATGATTGTCTTTCGAATCCTGGGCTTACAGCGGAGCCGATTGAACTTACGACTTCACCCCTCAAAGTAAAATCACGAATTCGGCGGTTGACCAAATCCGGGGTGACTGGGGCATACTCGCCGATTAGATTCAGCCCACCCTGGACATCGTAGTCGATGTCCGGATAGATTTCAGGAAGTAATGGTACGCCCAGACGATAACGCGCCTCGGACATGCCGGCCGTCTGGAGGCCGTAGATGGGCACGTCGAACACACGAACAGCTCGAAGTAATGCCTCCAAGACTTTGGGCTCACGCTGAACCTGAAAGTACAATTCACCAAGCGGCTTGACGTGGTAGACTTGCATCCCCTCCGTCTTCAGCATGGTAGCGAGGGCTTAAACTGGGTAGAGAACTGGGGCATACATATCATCGGGGGCTATCGTCATCTATCAATGTCCGAAGCCAAAAACCTCAGGGCATACAGGGATGGGCGCCCAAACGAACACCATGCTGCTTGGCTAGACGAATAGTGTTGACCATGATGGAAGGGTCGCCCGCGTGATAGTCACAAGCTACATTAGCCACATCCACGAGTCGCATCACTTCTTCATCCGGACCCTGCCAATTATCTTACAAGTCAGTCAATGAGATCCTATTGTAGTCTGTCTACTAAGGTCACCATTTCCACCATGCTGATTGCGGGACATATACGCCACTCAGCTTTGCTGGCCGCAAGCTTCACAAATGATGATGATTTAAGATATGGTGGAAAAGGACACGGGATGAATGGGTAACTATACAGATCCTCTGCACTCACCATCTTCCATCTTCCAAAGCCCTCCTCCATGTCACAGTTTACCTCCAATCGACGTGCGCCACCCATGGTTGCATCTTCGTGCTCGGCCGGCGGAGAAGATCTTGGTGTGTGAAGACTGATTCCCTAAACGTATACTGCCATGAACACAAGTCATTCGACGATATGACCACGGGTTGTGAAGTTATGCTACCTAGGTAGGCAAAGAGCCATTTATAGTTTGACTGGTTCGCCAGAGTTGCCCCGAAGATAAATGCGTCTGACAACTGACTACCGCCGGGACAACCCGCCCCCCCCCCCCTCTCTTTCTCTCTTCCACAGCGCTTGACTTTGAATTGGTATGATGTTGAGCTTGGCACTTGAGTCTTAGAGAAATAGCCTAGGTAGGAAAACTCTCATTACGCAACCATAGATCTCGTCTGCACTGTATGTACAAATGCAATCTCATAATAAATTAAATCAGATTCAGCTTACTGACGGTTCTCCGAGGGTTTACTAGATGCTTATATCGAGTATTATGGATACAAGCACGATAGTTCTGAGATCAGTTAGATACACTAAAACCGTTCCATTATGCTAGCCTAGTTCCGCTTTCTCCTTGTCAAGATACGCAATGCCGCCCATGGCGCCAATCGATTGGCTGAGGTCAATATATCGGGTATAGTGCGAAAGCACTGAACCTGTTTTTACTGAACTTGATTCTTTATTGAAACCGATCTCTAAAGACATCTGATAGTTGAAGGACTTTATTAAGGGGCTGCAAACCATATATTACAAATGATCTGCTTGTCCTGGTTATCACTCTTCGCGTCAGAGCGAATTATAAGAACGAGCACACCATTGTTTTATCCCGCTACGATTCAAGAAACACTCTTCATCAGTTTGAGCTCAACAATGGCCGAAATCGCTTCATCCTTCGAAAATGTTAATATCCGATCGTTTCCGAAAAAGGAGCTTGACCCGGTTTCAAGAATGGAGAGCTTGCAGCCTGGTTTCACCGAGCGTTCACTTGCCCCGAACGAAGAGACTCACCGTGGATTCAAGCCGCGACATGCGCAAATGATCGCGATAGGAGGTGCCATAGGCACGTCTCTATTTCTGGGAAGCGGTATGGTCCTGAGAGTAGGCGGTCCGGGGTTTCTCCTATTGTCCTACGCTTTGAACTGCCTCATCGTCTACGGAATAATGACCGCCATTGCTGAAGTCGCAACTTATTCACCTGTCCCTGGGGCAACAATGAGCTATTTTGCAGACAGATATGTCTCCCGCAGCTTTGGTGTGGCCCTCGGCTATCTCTACTGGTACTCTCTTGGAATACTCGTTCCCTACGAACTCACGGCCACGACACTTCTCATGAGTTACTGGAACCCGACAGTGAGCCCCGCTTTGTGGATGTCGATTATATTGCTCGGTATCATTATCGTCAATTTCCTTCCTGTCAGCTACTATGGAGAAGTCGAGTTCTGGAGCGCCGGACTCAAAGTACTGTTGATCATCGGCTTGATTTGCTTTTCATTCATACTATGCGTTGGAGGCGGACCCTCACATGATCGATTGGGGTTTCGATATTGGGTCACTCCAGGGGCGACCAAGACCTATATCCTAGAAGGCGGTGTGGGTCGCTTGATTGCCTGCCTTCAGTGCTTCGTGCTGGCGTCATTCGCATTTGTCTTGGCTCCAGAACAACTCATTGTCACTGTAGGCGAGATGCAGTCGGCCGAGGTGAACCTCCCCAAGGCGTCACGCAGGTACTTTTGGCGCTTGCTGCTGCTCTTTATTCCAACCGTCGTTGGCATCGGCGTTGTCTGTCCATCAAATGCAGAGGATCTTGACTCCTCGGGAGCATCAAGCTCCCCGTTCGTCATCGCCATTCGTATCGCCGGCATCCCCGCTCTGGATAGTATTGTCAACGCCCTGGTCCTCTCTTCTGCAATCACAGCAGCCAACGCATTCTTGTACTCTTCGTCTCGGAATTTATACTCCCTCGCTGTTGCCAGGAACGCCCCTTCCATCTTCAGGCGTTGCAACAAGCATGGGCTACCATACATATCTGTTGCTACGAGCGCCTTGTTTGGCGGACTTGCCTATATGAGCCTATCTTCAACGAGCTTGACAGTATTCAACTGGCTTATCAACCTCACAAACACCTCCGGGTATATTAGTTGGATTGGCTGCTCGATCATATATTTCAGATTCCGTAAGTCTTGTGATTATAAGGAAATCACCCCTCCATATCGATCGCGACTACAACCTTGGGCCGTGTATTTCAGTTTGTTTGCATCGTTGTTGCTACTTTTCCTCAACGGCTTTACCGTCTTTTTCCCATCTCAATGGTCTTATGAGAGCTTCTTGACCTCGTATATCGGTATTCCTGCTTTTCTGGCCATATACATTTGTCATCGATGCTCAACTTGGAACGATCCCTGGTTAAAGGCGATCAACGACATTGAGATGTAAAGTTGGCTTCAGGACACACAATATGTTCCGACCCTAGAATAATACGAGTAGCTGTGCTAGTGTTTTCATTTGCTCTTATAAGTCTAGATGTATATTCATTTAAAGCTGCAAGCGAATTCTTGTCCCATTCTCGAGCAAATAGTATTTTCACCACGAAGTGTTCCAGAAGTCAATTGTGCCTGTTCCCCCTTGCCTTCTGCAACGACTGGCTTACCGAAATACGCGAATACGGATTGGCTAGTCTGTAAGCCAAAAAAGACTGCATACGTACGGTATAACCATACTTGAATGCTTTGAGTAACCGCGAGAGTCATTTCTTCGCGCGCACTCTCTTTTGTAAACATCGCAAACTCAGTAGAAACACGATAATTGAATTTAAATAGACGCGCATCGAAACTATTTTTGGAACTCAATTCTTGTTTCTGGAATACACTCTAGAAAGTCGCTCTGAAAGACTCCAGCACTTGTTTGGAAACCAGGCTTCATCTCGTCTGCCAGGACTCTTCTCGCTGCCTCCACAGAGGCCAATGCAGTGAATGTGTACCCATTGACAGTATGAAGTACAGCTCTAATCACGGTCTCATCGTCGCCAGTGACCAGTATCGCTGCAGAGTAAGGGTTCGATTGTCTCTGCGCATGCGTAGGACCGTCGGGAAGCGACTCCAGATCTGGAATAGGAGATGGATCCCCTGACACGTTGATAAACGTGCGGATGTTCTTAACACTTGTTAATTTCCAGAGCGTGATGACATCAGCAAGGGTAAACTGATGACTGATGACTGCACCCCGTCCGTCGGCGAAATCAAAGATCGCTGTAGTCGCTTCATCGACCTGTTGCAGAATGCCGCTCGCTCGCTCCAGGCACTCTGTTGACATGTTTTCTTTCGCGCTAATGGCCGATCCCTTCGACATTGGCCCAGAGGCATGGAGCGCGATATCGATACTCTGGGGACCATGGACATGTCCTAGGGCATGGCGCGCGAGAAATCCGAGCATGGTAACACTGCCGCCACAACCTGGCAACATCATGACGTTGCGTCTTACTGCTTCCTCGTCGAGCTCCTGAGCGAGTCTGTAGCTGTCGAGCTCTGCGGCAGTATCAAGGTAGTGCACGCCATTCCGTAGGCATGCTTCGATGAGAGGCTTGGCCGTGTAAAGAAAAGGCCCAGCGCAATTCAGCAGTACAGTCATGTTCTTGAGACCTTGATCTACATCATGAGGGGTGTCGAGGTCAAAGACTCGACATGCCAGGTTTGCAGTGTTGGCATACGCCTCGGCCTTTTCCTTATTTCGTCCGGCGATGAGAAATGGCAGTTGGATGCTCTTTGCGTATTCGACTATAAGTCGGCCCGTGTACCCAGTGGCACCGTAAATCAATAGTGATGCCATGGAAAAGCCAAACCTGTTTCTTACTTTGACAAAGCTTGAACGTGTGATGATTACTACCTAGCTGTCCACCATCAGCCCAGGGATGGACTGATTTGGCTTCGCACAAAAGACAGCATTTGGAAAGCACTGCATGCTTATAAATCATAGATGATGAATAAGCTACACGGCCTCATTCCGCTCTTGGTGCGATGAGTATAAGTCCAAAGTCCGAGGTGAGACTTTCCAGGCAGCAGCCAGTTCCGGTACTAATCCGCCTACCTGTCGCTTATTGGATTAAAATCTTATCATCTTCTTGTCTTAGCTAATCTCCGATGTCTTTATATCAAGAAATCTAATTATCAATCGACCAAGCCAATATTCAAGCATGCCTGTTTTGTGTCCCGCCATCAATCTGGCCCAAGATTCTTCCAAGAAGGTTGCATCAACTCATGAATGTCTCGCGCACTACAAAACAAAATTGGTCTTGATTTGCTAATGTCATTTGGAGTACTTGAACTTGTGGCTGGAGACCCAAAGGATATTAAAAATTATATCCCAAGATTCATGACAGATTCTTGGTTGTGCCGCCAGCCATGGTTTTTAAATCCGTAATGATGCGCCAGGCGGCCGCCCGGTTGATGCTATGATTATTATCGCACCCATAGGAGCACTTTGGTGCTCACACGTGTCTCGTACGCGACACCACATTGCCAGCATTGCGATCAAGGGGCCAACCTTGAACTCTCGTGAACAATGTACTTGGCACGGCACCGCGGGCGTTGTGATTCGCCCATGCCCTGTCTCAACCGCAGCCACGGCTGGGCCTTCATGCATGCCAATGAAGCGAGCTGAGAAGGAAGAGCTGAATTCGTTACCGAGAGACCCCAAATGCTCCCCAACCTCTGATAAGCAACTTTGCCCGGCTTCTATGTGACTGGGTACGGAGCCCGATTTATCATATCCGGGCCCTCCTCCACCTTGACAGGACAATTCGTTCGACCAGGCGAGTTTGTCGTGGGCGACAACTAATCCCCCTTTACAACAACACAGAAATGGCGTTATAACTGTGCGAAAAACATCTATGAAAATCCTTTCGCGGCCATGTCGAATGCGACTTGCGTCTTCATATTAGTCTGTCTCATTGTGGTTGTACAAGGACAGAACTGTAGCATTCCACCGTTGTCTCTTGCGATTCAGAACACGACATTCAGCGATGGCATCGCGGTCAACCGGGGCGTCCAGACTTTGCTCGGGGGCCAGTTACTCGGATTACGTCTTTCGCTCAGCCAAAACAACACGCGTGTACGAAACGCACGAGACTGCTCTGTGATCCCAGCAAACTTCTCTGCATGCCAGGGAGCTTCGGGAGGCGTCTTCAACGTCGCTAACAACTCATTCACGCAAGTTCCTCTCAGCAAATGGAATGTCTCTGTGGTAGATCGCCATCCGCAGGACGCGACAATCATATACGGGTACAGCTCATCTGAGTTTCCAGATAGCGCGGCAACCATTGATGAGCTACCGTTTGAGGTCTGGGCCGACGCAAATGCTGCGAATAAGTCCGAGTTGGCCCTGGGTCCAAGCTCGTCCTTCTTTCAGCGTCTTGTCGAGGCATCGTGGGCGCCTACTCGTAACTTTGGGATCTACCATGGATCGAGGTCGCAAAATCAGGCGAGAGACGGTGAGCTTGTCATTGGCGGCATAGACGTGGCCAGATTTGACGCGTCAACACCACCCCAAGAATTCCCGATAGCCGCATACGGGGCGTCAACAGACTGTCCTCTACAGGTCATGCTTTCGGACGTCGTTCTGACCAATGTCAATGGTAACTTCTCCCTGTTCAAAGACCCGGCTGCCAGAGTACCGGCCTGCATCGATACTATCCAGAACGCCTTTACCTTTACGAAGGCCATGTACGCGGAATGGGCTCAGCTGACTCAACACATTGATTATGACGGATCCAACTACACGGCGCAAACATACCCAGCCGACAGGGAACCTCTTATCGGGCACTTGACCGTCACCTTGTCCAACGGTTATACCTCGGTGATTCCGCACTACGAACTCGTCTCGCAACAACGCGGATCTGATGCCCAGGGCAAGTATTCAGTCACGAACGCGTCCCGCATCATGGCAGCAGTCCAGACGGGCCAGGGCGATCTGGGAGTGGATGTTCCTCTGCTGGGCGGAACTTTCTTATCCCAAAACTACCTGCGCGTCGACTATGACCAGAACAAATTCTGGCTATCAAAAGCCATCATTGATGACTCGGTCTCTCCATCCATCGAGACCACCTGCGAGCAGACATCCGTAGTAGCAGGTAATTCCGGACAGGGCGCCTCGGTGAGTAGTGCCAGCAATGATATCGGCCTCAAAGTCGGCTTACCCGTGGCCTTTGTCGTCGTTGCAACGGGCTTGTTTGGGTTCTGGTTATTCAAAAGGCGCTCCAACTCAATAATTACAGGGCAAACCGATACACCAAAGCCGTTTCGGAAAGGCTTCATCTTTGCCGCAAAGTCAAAATCTGGGTCTCGCCGCGATACGGTCGACGACCAGCCAATCTCGCCCGACTTTCGACCCCGGGAAGTCTCCGAGGTAGAGACTATAGAAAAGCCGATGCAGCTCACCACCAATACTGCGGAAGTGGATAGATTTGAGAGATGGACAGCAGAACCCGCGGAGCTTGCCTCGCCTACCGGACTTGGCAAGTAGACACTCTCGTCCATGCAGAAATACACGTGTCCGGGGCGGAGATCTCAATGAACATTGATGCAGACAATGATTCTGGTGATTCTACGCTCCGGCTCGCGAGTGATATATTGCGTGAGAGTGGAAAATACGATCCAAGTCTCATGACCTTCCTTGCGAAACCATTCCTTCATCTGGTTCATCTGGGTCATCTGTCCAGCAGCGGTGCTCTTCATCAATGACGATGAATGATGAATCTTGGAGACCCGCTTCGACTCTCTCGCAGCCGCATGCGACAGTCTGGGAAATCCTGAGGGGTTCAAATCTGCACCATTTGTAATTATTCTCCAAGTCGAGCGTCAAGAACGGTATATCTGATTCAGCAGCGCATGCGCGTCACTGGGATTCTTCAGCGTCGGTATCACTGCCATTTCCAGGATCTTCTCGCAACACTTCGACCTATACGCTCGTGGCGTGTGAATGTCGCACCGCAAATTCTGGGTGTAAAGAGTATAGGAATGATAGAGATGCTCCGCGGCATGTCTAAGATGTAGGTAGATTTCCGAGATGTCTTCGGTCCGCTTCGCATAACGCAATTTATACCGCGTGGTAAAGCTACCCTTACATGGTTTGGAGTTCGAACGCAACTGGGCATTAGTACATGGCCTGAAGGCTGAACAACGTTTCCTAGGCCTTGGAGCTTGGGCCGCGCTGTTGACGAGTAGGCTGCGTCATCTAGAATTTTCATGCACTGCCGATTCAGAAAAGCTTAGGGATTTGGGGGACATTGATGTCATCATTGCGCCCATATTATGAGATAGACCAAGTTTATACTCGATCTGAAGAGAAAAGGATGTTTCGTTCTGAAGAACTGAAGAAGAAAAGAATATTGGCATGATTGAATCTTGTAGTTCCACCACAAGAACTGTTACGCCCACGGATCACGACAGGGAATGTAGAGAAAAGGTGACATCAAGACCTCTTCTATTGCCTGTGCCATTGCGAGCGAAATCAAACGCTACGCGGGAGAATTCCCAAGCACGAGATGGCTATCGTTGGCTCCTACCCAGAATGAGGCGAGTGCATACTCCAGGAACCTCATCAATAAGGAGAGCATATGCGCTTCTGGAATTATACCCCTTTGAGATGAATCAAGCCGCCTACTAATCATCAAGTTGACTGCTTGTGAAAATGAAGGCAGCAATCCAGACAAGTAGAATCGATTCATGACAGCTTGCAAATTTCCCATTTACTCCATGCCGGGGCCGGAAAGCTGAACCCGATCATCACCAGTCATCGTCCAACTTGTTCCACGGTTTGAGTACAATTGCCTCAACTCGTTTGCATTCATGGTTTCCCCCATATGGGGCCATGCCCTTTGGCCGTAGAATCTCATCATTACGGTTTGAGCGCCCCATATGGATAGAAGCTGTGGGTCTCGGTACTGGACAGCACCGGACACTTGGTTGCGTTGCAATTCGTCCATTGCAGGATATCGGAGGCAACCCAATGATGCATGTCTCTGGGCTTTGGACTTAAAGAACTGCATGACAACGTTCTCGAATGGGATTCTGTCATGGCCTCACTCGTCTCTGTCGCTTCCCACTTGACGCAGGACGGCCTTCAGAATTGAGTCTTGCGGAATCGCGATCACCACGTCTCTTCTGCGGGACTGTCGAACCCATCGTGGGGGTCATTGTCGAGCCAGTACTTGACTCTAGAAAGTATGGCCGGTGGATAGCTTCCGTATCCGAGTGATTTCTCAATAAAAGAGCTCTACCAGAACACCTGGCTCGTGGGCGTGTTTCTGGTGCGTCTTGTGAAGAAAAGGACATACATGGTGCTGGTCGTATTCATGCGCTCTTGGTACACCTTGATGTTTTCATGATTGATATGGGAAAGAGGGTCATTGGTCCCTAGACTAGGTAATTTCTACGAGAAGATCAAGGTCATCTGCCTGACATTGGGTACGCTGACACGTCATGTGCAGTTCGAATGTGACCGACTAATTGATCGGTTGGCCGTTCTAAAGAACAGGTTAGTATTCCATCTCTCCTTGTTTTCTTGGCATATGATGAAAGCGCAAATGTATTGGAAAGGTATCCTGTATGCTACCGTCGCGTTGCTCGAATGTATGGTCGTAACTTGTACGTAGTCCTGGCCTTTGGTATCTTGTGGCAGAATGACTGAAAAGGCACTGGAGAGAGAGAGTGTTTAGGCAATCTCATTCTAGACTTCAACCAGCAGACTCTCTGAAGACTATAAGAGGGAAAAGAAAAAGAAAAGAGATAGGATCCAAGCAAGGATGTGCATGGTTGGGAGTCATCTAAGCCTCGGAACAGTGCGCTGCTGCTGGTCGGCTTAAGTCTGTCCTCCTTGTCCTCGTTATTGGATTCATTCTCCTTGAAGAAGCATCTCTCAGAGCCTTGCGGTATCGCCGGCAACCAACGGCAACGGCTTGTTTGAGCTCATACTCGACCGAATTCGGCTGCTGGTGCTTTGAAAGTCAAATACCCGGCTTCATACGTTTCGTATAAAGTTGATTATGTATGGTTTGCCCATTCTGAAGTCCCCATTGCTCGAATTCATCTAGAACAGCAGCCTTGTTTCCTAGGCCCATGAAATTAATTGTTTGACGTGCAGTTGTCATTTTGGAAAAGTCATGAATAGTGTGGCAATCAAAGTAACAAACAGGGGAATTGGATCAACGGTGAAAAGTCTGGAGCTGTGAACTCTTTTCTGGTGTTACTTGGAAGAAGACTAGAAGCACCAGCTGAGCACGAGACCATTAATCCATATCCATTGCGTCCTCGTCGTTGACGCTCGTCCAAGAGAAAAGTTGCACCAGGTGGCTGTTGGCGGGTGTTGTGTAGGTATATTCTGAACATTGATATGTAAATCTGGCACGCAGATTGGGCCGTTGAATATAGACATGGGCCTCTCGTGACCGAGATTGTATCACACCATAAGCCATGGTGTGGAACTTGCTTGTACGTAATCGCACACAGCTAGCCAGCTGCTCTGGGCACCTTGAGTCTCAGGATGCATCGGTCCACAGGTCCAACTCCTTCTCCGATCGAGGCGAGTTGTATACATCATGTGTGTAGACAGTGAAGAGTTTCCGTCCACGCTGGTTACAAACACTCTAGATAATAAAGCCAGGGTAGATAAGATGGTCGACATGGAACAGGGGTATTGGCGCCATGATCAAGTCATTTCTTGGACCCAAGGTTGGACCCAAGATTCCCAGCCATCGGCTCGTGTGGATGTTCCACCACATTCGATTGTCGGTCGAGACAAGGTGTAAAAAGAATGGTCTTTTCAACTCAGCTTGGCATCGATTGTCGCTCTTTGATTCGAGAGATAGATTGCCGCATGCAAGGCTCCGAGCTGTTGGTGTATCGGTATCAGCTCTGTTGTGACTAGACGCTAGTAGATGGAAGATGAGGAGGGAAGGGGAAAGCTTCCAAGGCAGCCCAGCATTGACGATGCCTCTCGCTGGATGTACTTGTAGGCTTCGGGTGTCTTGTAACTAAGCATGAGTGTATAGCTTATTGTGTCTTTGGTCAAAGATGAAGAGAGGGGGTCGGCCCTCCGAGGGCAGATTTGTGTTCAGGAGTTTTGGACTTGTATGGATATCATGAATAAAAGTATCCAACAATTTGGGAAAGACCATCTTATATATTAGTTTCTTTGGCGCATATTAGTCAGTCTGGATCTCTTTCTCTGAGACCTAACGCAAACACAAGCAAAATCGATTAGTGACTGTTTGATGCTCCAACCACAAGGTGTAGGTCATTGTGCTGGGATCCAACTAGTTATTCAGGTTTCAACAAGCAGAAATCACAAAGAAGATTGCCTTCGAAATCAAACAGAAACATACCAACGGTGGAAAGTAAATGAACAGAAAAGAAGTTGTTCGTTCAAGTTGGTCGTGATTGTGGTCATTCAATGTACTCACCATGTCGGCAATAGAATGAGAAAGGCTTTCCCAAGAGCAAACAACGGCTAGTTTGCAAAGGACTGCATGTGACAGATGAAATCTGTATGAGACATCAACTTTCATGGCCACGTCAATCATGATTGCCATGCTCAACTGTATTGAAAAGTATGACACATGATCAAGATTGTGTATCAAGAGGAAGAAAGGATACATGGTACATCTTTTGATTTGCTTCTACTCCTTGATTTATCGATGACCGTATGCACCTTTGGTAATAGACAGGGGATGCCTCGGCTCATCACCAATCTCCTCCATCTTGGCCTCCAGCAGTGCAGTCATACCAGCCACCACATGACTGTACTCTGGGGAGTGATAGACATTAAACAATTCCAGCGGGTCTTTTTCGCAGTCAAACAATTCCCACTCCTTTTCCTTGAAATCCGTGCCAGGTCGAGCTCCCGCAGCGCCGAGGGCTTCATTGTACCAGTAAATCAGCTTGTACCGCTGGTTGCGCACGCCATAGTGCGCCAGCGCATTGTGAATAATGTCATTATTCATCCAGTACCGGTGGTAAGCGACTTGCTGCCAGCCCGGGGGCGCCTGACCCCGGGCCTGCAGAATGGCACGGAACGAGACGCCCTGCATATACGACGGTATGCGCAAGCCCGCGTAATCGAGCCAGGTGGGCGCAAAGTCGACGTTGCTGATAATGTCGTCGGAAATGCTGCCCGCGGCGATCTCGGGCGGGTACCGGATCAGAAACGGCATCTGGAAGCTCTCCTCGTACATGAAGCGCTTGTCAAACCAGCCGTGCTCGCCGAGGAAGAAGCCCTGGTCGGAGCTGTAGATTACCATGGTGTTCTCCGCCAGACCATGTTCGTCGAGATAATACAGCATGCGCCCGACATTGTCATCTATAGACTGAATCGTGCGCAGGTATCGTTGCATGTACCTCTGAAACTTGAAGACGGCCAATTCCTCTGGCGTGGCAAAGGTAAAGACTGTTCCGTCCTGCTTGTCAATCAAACGTATACCGGAAACATCATTGGGCGAGGGAATCTTTCTGTCAATGCTGGAAGACCCCGGGAAGAAGCGTTCCCCCACCTCATCGCCTCCCTCTGGCTGCGCCAGCCCGAGATCAAAGTAGGTCATGTCCTCGGCGACGCGCATCTTGGCCAGCTTGGCAGCCTTGGCCCTGTTCTTGTAGTCATCGTCAAACGTCTCGGGGACCCGTATCGGCTCCTTGTAGAGATCTTTGTGCTTGGGATGGAATTCCCACGAGCGATGCGGCGCCTTGTGGTGGCACATGAGGAAAAAGGGCTGATCTTTTTCCTGAGCCCGGACCGAATCAATCCACTGCAGACTCTTGTCGGTGATGATGTCGGTAGCATAACCAGATTCTCTACGTTTTCCATCGCGGTCAATAAATTGAGGATCCCAGTAGTCTCCTTGGCCGGGCAAAATTGACCATTCGTCAAAGCCCGACGGCTCGTGATCGCTACCTTCGCCGAGATGCCATTTTCCTGCACGTCAGACGATGGTTTGTTAGCAAAATAACTACCATTTATTCATGGTGCACATTAAACATACCAATCATGGCAGTTGTGTATCCTCCAGTTCTCAAAGCTTTTGCCACATTGGGCAGATGCGTGTTGATCTTGTCGTCCAGGGTCAAAACACCATTGACATGATTATGCATTCCCGTGAGAATAGTGGCACGCGAGGGGGTGCAGATTGAGTTGGTTACATAGCAGTGATTGAACTTCATTCCTTCGTGAGCCAGCCTGTCAATGTTGGGCGTGTGGTTAATGCCCGCACCATAGCAGCTAATGGCTTTCGAGGCATGATCATCTGCCAGTATAAAGATGATGTTGGGTCGTTTTGCATTGGCCCGCTTCGTCATGGTGAAGAGGCTGCAAATTTTATGGCTGAGAACAACTAAGTTTCAGACAATGTGCGCTGCTATGGTTTTCGGTTGAGACGAGCGTGGTGCTCTGCCACAATTTGCAGTGGGTTGCTGTATAGTCGTTGCGAAACCTGCAGCCGCATGGAAATGCGGGCGATGAGAGTAAAGACCTCTGTGAAGTGACGTTGCAGAAACTGTAGATACCAACGAAAGTGAAATGGTCTTCTCTAGATCACGAGCAAGTCCGCAGTCGGCCATCTGCCTCGGATCGGATTAGTGTGCAGCGCATAGCATTGAGTGCTGGAAAAGTGGACATGGGCAACGAGGATCGTGAGGGGATTCGGAAGTCGGTCGGTCTTCATCGTGATTGAGCGGATTCCTCCGAGCCCCGGCATTCAGGAGGATCAGCAGTCCCCGGCCGAGACTTGGCTGGGAGGATATCGCGCCGGATTTCCTATGACGCCGACAAGAAATAGCCCAACGTTTATTTCCGCCTCGCTGGGCGATTCTTCGTCCTTGATGATGAATATGTTTTAGCTCTGAAAAAAAGATTCGCCTGTACTTCTCATTTTGCTTGAAGCTTTTATTGGCGTACAGTGGACGTGGACCCTGGAAGCCAAAGACTAAAAGCTACAGAGGGCCGGTTGAGCTTAATGGTATGAAACATCAAGGAATGGTGTATTCATTGAATTGAGTTGTCCAGCCACCTTGATTTCTTTCTCTGTGCGACCTCTTCTATAGGCTTAATTGCTGGACGTCATGATCATCAGCAATTCATGCAGTTTCATCTCAGATTTAGGAATATAGATGCATTCAGGGTGCCTGTCAGTCTTGATAAGATGTAGCTGCATGCGTTCAGCTACAGTATGTATCCACCGAGATATAGTGAGTGCATGGGCGCTGCAGCCGCCACCAAACCTGTCATCCCACGTTCGTTCAAATGGCATGGCTTTGATCTTCCGTCAAATGAGGATGTTGCAATCTTTTTGCACAAGTCTGGCGAATGTTCCCTCGTGGGATTCATGATGGAAATTTCCGAGCTCAATGCATTTATTCTTGATGATCCGATTGGTGAAAGAGCGCCAGATCTGGTCATTCTTTGTCGTCCGCGTCTGATTTTAAGTTTCGGCGCATCCATGTTTTTAGGTGCCCAGAACAAACACCAAACCTAGGTACCCGAGACTCGCATACTCAACGCGTTTCTAACTTTTCTTCTAATGCTGCTGTTCATCCGCTTGAGGGAACTTTTTCTCAGGCCAAGGCCTCTAGGATACCTTCTTTTGGTCTCCTTCGTCGCTACCGAGGTGGTTTTTCCTAATATTGTGGACTCTTGACTGGAGCTCATTCTACACTTCAAGTGAACTTTGGCATCCTGGACTATTTTGTGCGGTTCTGCAAACGATGTTTTCGTTTGAGGAATATCTGTCTCCTGCAACAACCACGGTTTTAAGCGCGGAATCCCATTGGATTTCATCGACGGTGTTTGCTCTTCTGGGTGCAACCGCGGCTTTGCATATACCAGCTCCGACTGCTACCCCATTCTTGATTGACGATGGCGCAAAGGATATGATCATTATCGCCAGGAGCGAAACAGCTATTCAAGAGGCTGTGCCACAATCGACAACGCTGAAGGATTCCGTCAGCGCTTCCAAAGGCAGCACCAGTAACAATGTAAAGACGGAAAACGCGATCTCCACGACAAAGAATGGTGCTGCTGCCGAGTCTACAAATACTGCCACCCTGACAAATGCCCCGACCTCATCCCAAAGCAACAAAGGCAAGCCGCCAGCAACATCGATTGCCTCATCGGTGAGCAATAGCCATGAGAGTGGAGGCGGGAAAGGACAACAGCTTGAGACCAGCATATCGCGGAGTATTGCTGGTCCCATTTCCCCAACAGTCAGTGGCAGCATCAGCAGCCCCACAGGACATTGGATTCCCGTCTCGATACCCACCGCTCTCGCTTCAGGAGCTGGTCTTTACGAGAAGCACAGCAAGATCTATGATGACGGTTATCGGCAAGGCTACCACGACGGTTGTTATGACCATGCATATGCCACACATCCGGCGACTCTGGGCGGCGAATACTATACCGGGTACAAAAAGGGCCGCGATTCCGGTATAAGGGATTGCCGACCACTGAATGGGAACGATCAAGACGGTTCTGGATGGTCGGGCGATGTGCTTCTCCCGTCGCTAGGCTCGGAAATCACACTAGCACTGTGGCTCCTAGTGATGCCATGCGTTTTGGCTTTCATGTTGCATATGCTCTAACAATGGAAGTCGGGCTCAAAACGAGGATCGCGTATCGTACATATATTGTCTTGTTCGGCGTTTGGAATATTGATATGAATGATTGTTTTGGGAAAAGTGCATTGTACCTGAATTCGGGGATTGCGAGCCCGGGCCTGGTAACGATTAGAAGCGGGCTTCTTTAAATTGTGTTACCATCAAGTTGCCAGAATGGGCGAGGGTCTAGTAAACGATCGAGGTCAAATTGCTGTGTAGTTGATAGATCCCCAAGCAAATCGTCCAACCAGCTTGTGTCCTCTGGAGGCGGTATGACATTATTATTGAGCAGTGGGCCAGTCGTGACTGGAATGGCATTCAGTGCGTCGTTTAAATTGGAAGCAAATCTTTCTTTCCATTTCTGATGAATAGAAACAAGCAATGAAGCAGTCCGAAGAGCTTCCTGCGTGGCATCCGTGTTATAAACGGCTGCAACGCGATTAAGGCATTGCAGAGCACCCCTGAGCTGTGATGTTGATGCGAGTGTATCGATCGCCAAGAGCACACAAACGACCTGGAACGGTACATTAACCATATGATGCCACGGTGAACGACTGTCCAGAACCGCCGATGCCGCCCAGACGCCTTGAGCACTAAGCGACAGGATTGATTCCAGAGTGGCACCGGTGAAAGCAACGTTCATGGACTGAAGCCGACGGCAGAGACACAGCATCAAATTGCACTGCGCAAGAATAGAGGGCGGCGTGTGGTGGGTGCGCTCAAGAACAATGGACATGGCCGACTCGAGCTCGACAACATTGGAGCACCGTTCCGGGTCGAGCATGAGAGAATAAGGGAGGAGTTCAAGCAATTCCACTGTGCTGTCACCTGGGCGGGCTATCAAGGATTCAGTCGTGACATTGACCACTGTTACTCGGGAACGGCCCATGTCAAATGAGACCCAAATATTCAGGTGTTGAGCAACAGCCACTAGTCGCTTCCTGATTTCTGGGTTGATGTTCTCTCTGTGCGGGAGGAGAATGGATTCTTGAGCACGCTCGTACTGTAGACCTGCTGCTTCCACCATGTGCATCAAGATGCAACTAGCCATCCATGTTGTGTGAGGCGTAGAAGTCATTCTGAGATATGTCACTCTAAGTGTCCAAGCCGTGACACTGGTGGACGAGGGAGGGTCGAACATGGTCCGCTCCAAAATGGCTCGAGCTGATTCGGCAAGGTCGAGTTCCAATGCGCCCGTTGTGATATGAGAAAACAAGTACCCCAGGGCCGCGATGCCACACAGCACTGCGTCCTCAGCTGGAGCAGCCGTCAGCGTTGCCCAGCGCCTTCTGATCCGGGTGTCGACATCTTGGCGGTCAAAGAAGCCGTAAATAGGATCAACTTTTTCGAAATATGTGTTTGCTAGCTCTCGCATGTCCACCTCTGAGAGCATCTCCAATATTGGCCGTGCAACTGGCGTGTGGACGATAGAGCGCGTACCGAGGAAGGCATTCCAAGCAAAGGCATGCATACGGGGTGCATTGTTGGCATCGATCCTCAGGGCAAGCCTGCGCAGGAAAGCCGCTCCAGAGTTGGCCTCTAGCGACCGAAGTCGTGTGTGCAGGTTTGATACTGCCGGGCGGCCAGTCTCAATGAGGGGACTGGTTAGATTTGCAGATACTGACCCGGCCGCCGAGGGAGACGTCGTCGGCATCCTCGTGATCCTCCTGCTCTTGCGACCAGCCGGCTCAGAGTAGGAACAATCATATTCAAAGCGAACACATGTTCCACAGGGCTCAGAACCGTCACATTTACGCTTCAGATCCCGACAGGTGTCGCAAGCCAGCCGAGCTCTCTTGCGCCCTTGTGGGACAGACATCGGAACTGGGGGTAAGCTTCGATTAAGCTTACATGAAGCGGGCGGGTATTGCGGCAAGCGGGTGTCGTGCTGACGACGATACAGCGGGGGCGCACCCAGGGCGCAAGTGACATGCAATTAGCCTCAGTCGAGCTCGCAATCGAGCACTTTCAGAGGCTCAAGCTGGGGGATCGGCCCCGATTGTCGCGCTGTACGGTTGGTAAGAATCGTCACTTGGCAATGGCCGAGGCAGTGACGGTGAAGGATGGAAAATACGGGTAGAGCGGGTGGGGCGGGGATGGCGGCTTAGTAGGAAAGAACGGCCAAGCACATGGACTCAACCCTAAAGTCTAGGTAATGTAGATACTTGCTGGTTGGCAGACAAAGGTCTCGATATCAAGGCAAGAAGTCGCTCTGACAGACATTTTATCTTGTACAATATCAATCAGAACGCAATGCGGGGACGAAATTCAACTTTACTTCCCTAAGTTTTGTTCGAATCCCAAAAAAGAATCGATGCCCACCATGCAAGAAAATCAAGTACCGTCGACTTCACCACCAGCCCGTGACGATTGCCTCGTAGAAGATGGGGGAACTTCACCTGGAGTCTCCACAGAAAAAGATGGATATGCAATAAGTCACCAATCTGGAGAACCTCCCGATGGCGGTTGTATTGCTTGGACTCAGGTTTTGCTAATGCACATTGTCTTCTTCAACACCTGGGGGGTTGCGAATGGCTATGGCATCTTCCAATACTATTACACAATCGTTTTGGGGCAATCAGAATCTACAGTCTCCTGGGTGGGAAGTTGTCAGGTTTTCTTTTTGTTTTCAATTGGCGCCATCACCGGTCGACTATCAGATGCCGGCCACTTCAAGCCCGTCTTTGCCATTGGCGTATTCCTACAACTTCTAGGGATATTCATGACCTCGCTGGCGACCAAGTTCTGGCACATTGTTCTCGGTCAGGCTGTATGCTTGGGAATCGGTAACGGTTTCACATTCGTTCCGGCATTATCAATCACTTCCCAATACTTCAAAAGAAACCGGACCGTTGCTGTTGGCTTGTCAGCCTCTGGTGCCGCGGTCGGTGGACTCGTATACCCGGTCATGATAAACCAGCTCTTATTTTATGACAATTTCGGTTTCCCCTGGACATTGAGAGCAATGGGATTCATCATGCTAGTAACATATCTGCCCTGCCTGGTCTTATTCAAGCCCAGACTTCCCCCACGGAAGACTGGATCCTGGATCGACACGTCTGCGTTCAAAGAGGCACCTTTCATGTTCTTTGTCGCTAGCAAGTTTTTGAACTTTTGGGGCCTCTACTTTGCCTTCTTCTTCTTGGGCACATTCGCTCGAAATCAAATCGGCATTGCCAAGCCAATCAATCTGCTTCTAGTGCTCAACGGAGTCGGTATAATTGGCCGCATAATGCCAGGCCTAATTGCCGATCGATGCACGGGCTTGTTCAACCTCATCATACCGCTTAGTCTCTCAGCTGGCATTCTCGTATACTCCTGGGCGGCGATCCACACAGAGGCTGGGCTGTATGCCTTCGCCGTCATCTATGGTTTTGTCGCAGCGGCCTTGCAAGCCCTGTTTCCTGCGGGAGCCACCACAATGACTCCAGATCCAAGCAAAACAGGTGTTCGAACCGGCATGGTCATGAGCATTGTCAGTCTAGCCAATCTCACCGGACCTGCAATCTGCGGAGCTTTGATTCAACGCGGTGGTGGGAGTTATTTAGGTGCACAAATATTTGCTGGATCGTCGATTGTCGCGGGCATGATAATGGCAGTGGCTGCGAGGATTGCTAAAAGTGGCTGGACATTCAAGGCAAAGGTATAAGTTATTACTTTGAGTATAGGCTAATATAGTGATCGGGGTCTGTGGCACAAGCTATTAGCATATCTTACCTGGACCATCAATTGTATCCAGCGACTGAATTGAACCTAGATGCCATTCTCGAAACCATTCGCATCGGAGTGAAGGGATACAAGCGTGCGATTGAATTTGTGGGCACTGTCAAGAATGTTGTGATAGTTGCCATTTTCGAATAGATACATTATTCAGCAGGCGCCGGAGAACTTGCTTGCAACGCCGCTAAGCGCCGAGGACGTGTGTGTAACAATCGGCTAATCTTGTCTTGACTTGTTTGCATTCATCCGGTAAACTCCTCTCAAGATACCAGTCCTACATCGATGCATTTTTCCTCTTCTCTTCTAGGTTAATCCCCTAGCGAAGATGTCGACTGATGCACCACAGAATCATTTCAAACTCCGCGTGCTAATCGTGGGTGCAGGACCCTGTGGATTGGCTACCGCGATTTCAGTGACTCTCGCAGGGCACTCGGCGACCGTGTTTGAGGCCACGGACGGACCCCAACCGTTTGGTGCTGGAATCTTGAGCTCTCCGAATGGAACCAGACTCCTTTCCAGATGGGGATTGAACAAGATCCTTGGGTCGATGCGCATTACACCGAAAATATTGCGAGTTCTTGACCTCAATGGCGATTTGATCGCCGAAAAGAAGCAATTCGATACGGACGTCATGCGCACTTGTGGCTCTCCACTATGCACATACCATCGCGCAGATTTGCAAGCCGGACTACTACGGAGGGCCCTTGAAATGGGCGTCGAGGTACATTTCTCCTCCAAAGTGAGTAATGTCAATATCCATGAGCATTCCGTCAAGCTACAAAAGGGCGACTCCCATTGCGGGGATCTTGTCGTGATTGCCGACGGAACATGGTCAACTTTGAGGTCAAAAGTCCTAGGAAGAATTATACAGCCACGCATGACGGATAATGTCGCATACCGCGTCACCATTGACTTGACGAAAATCGATGGTCAAGAAGTGTCCGAGCCAATGAAATCTGCGCAGCTTCACATTTGGAGGGGTACGGATGCTCACGTTACCGGGTACCACGTCCGTGACGGTAGTTTGTTCACCCTTTCAATAGTCATGGCAGACGACTTCACGTCTGAAACTTCGAGTATGCACGCAATCATTGAGGAGCTTAAAACCCGCCTATGCGAAAGCGATAAAATGTGAGTACCGTCTCATATCTTCTGTGAACCAAGGCTGACTTGTATTGCCAAGTCTCGCAGCGTTGCTAAAGGCTGTGCAAAGGGTCAACAAGTGGCGTCTCGTCGAGGGTATGTAGCATCATGATTCTGCACTTGCAAAGTCACATTTATCTAATGGTCTGTATTCAGTATCTGGCTTATCTTGCTTGGATCTACCTAAAGGGTTTGTGCTTGCAGGCGACACTTACCATACTCTGCGCCCCAGTCTATCGCAGGGATTCAATCTAGGGCTGGAAGACGCGGCCACGCTCGGCTCTTTACTGGGTCATGTCAAAGCCGTGGAGCAAATTCCAGGTGCTATTGCCATGTACGAAAGATTGAGATCCAGGAGGGTTCAGCAAGTGCTGCACGCAACCCAGCGTTATGAGAGCGGCGGCCTTTCTACAGAGATCGAGCCAAGGACACCCAAAACGCCTGAAAACTCTAATGTCTCTGCCATGAACGAAGAGTGAGTTGCTCATGAACCATGCGCCCCAGTTTCTAAAATCTGATATTTTTAGCATTGGCTATGTTGCAGCACAGAATGATATCTGGGCCTATGATGCCTACGAGGCAGCAGAAACGGCATATTACGACGACCCATACTGAGTATTCTCGTCTACACGGACAGTCTCTGAAACACCCACATGCGCCATTGAAAATTCGGGACAATCACAAAAAGCACCAAGACCCAAATCATATCATCAAATAGATTTTTTTATTTCTTTCAGTGATAACGAATGACAATATTCCCTTGCTATTCTCTACAGACCATGGATGAGTCTCCAGTAACCAAGCTTATGCCTGAATGGCAATGTGCTCACTTCCGTTCAACACCTGTGGCACCGCCTCATCCTCCTCCTCCGTCATACCACCAAGCAACATGGAAGGCGGCGCCTGAGCCTGCAGCTCGGGCGGGTTGGTAAAGGCAAAGAACTTTTCGTCGTGCCACTGGCCAGCCGTGATGTACCGGCCCTCGCTGTCGGTAAACATGGTGTCGTCCTCGGCGCGCAAAAAGTAGGCAATAGAGTAGCGGTGCTCGGTCGGGTCAAAGGGCACGACCCGGTGGATGCACGACTGCATCTTGTGCCCGCTCGCGAAGCGCAGCGAGTCGCCCACGTTGACAATGGCGCAGCCTTGCTTGGGCTCCACGAACCCAAACTCGCGCGCGCGCGGCGGTCGGATCTGGAGGCCCCACTGGCTGCTGTACAGGAGCGTCAGCGAGCTAATGTCGGTGTGCTTCTGGTGGCCAATCTTTTGCGCGACGGTCGGGTCAGACGGGATGTAGTGCATCATGGCCATGGTCGTGGTCGAGGGCCTGTCGTTGCGGTGCGAGTTCTCGAAGCGCGCCGCTCCCGAAAGGCCGAGGCCGGTGGAGAGGGCCGAAAGGATGGTCTTGGTGACAACATTGCAACCGGCGATGCCGTTTTCCAAAATTTTGATGTCGGGGTGGTTTTTCATCACATCTGGCAGGTGAGGGTTTGACCTCTGAATCTCGTCTCGAGAAACCTAGACGAACGTGTTAAATGGTGTCTCGAGTACAGCAATCACTTGGTGACTGGGCACTCACCTTGATCATTTCGTATCCGTCTTTGGTGTCTGCAAAGACACCAGTGCGCGAGCCGACTGGCTCATATCTTGAATCGCATCAATCAGTCTACAGCCCCAGAAGTATCACAAATAGGGAACCGTTGCTTACCCGAGATGAGGAGAGATGAGACCAAATTGGTTCTTGGCCTCCAGAGGCGATTCAAAGAAGCGATGCATGAGATCGAGAGTCTTGTCTTGATCCTCCAGGTATCTCCGACCATCAATGCCTGACAGGTCGAGGTAGAAGAAGCCCTCGGTCTCGCAGCAGCGGACTACTCGTTCTAGCTCGGCAGGCTCTTGGGAGAGCAGTCGCTCGAAGCTGATTGTCTCCATAGGATAGACTGGGACATTCTTCCCGTTCCATTGGACGGTTCGTGGAACTTCGTTTGTGATGGCCATTTTGACAAGTGTAAAGGATTCAACTACAGTTATTGACGCTTTAGATTGATGATAGTCTCTCTTACACTAGCAATAGTTTTCATTGATAAGCCCTTGGGCAAGTCATCTTATAAGCATATGTTCTCGATTACCATGACCTCCTTCGCGTTGAGCAAACGTGATGCCGAGGATAGCTTCCCCTCTCCAGCTCAATCTGCATATTGCCAATACACAGCATGAGAGCATGCCGCCACACATGACTTTATCCTGGCCAATCCGGCTAAAGTCTCGAAACCACGCGTCCCGTGGAAATGCATGTTTCAAAATGCGATAACGTACGTGCTGTCACTCTACCCAATCTCCCACATCTCGAGCAACACAAAGGGACGAGGAAAAGAGGGGCAAGCGCATTGATAACGAGCTGCCCAGCCGGAGCGCCATACGCCTCGGACGATCCGTCGCTAATAATATGAGCGGTAAATATCTCCGTGTTCAAGGAACCCTCATTCGGATCTTGAGTGGCGACTTGTACGGACGGCAGATGTGTTGCCAGCGTGTCATGGCCGCTCGTCCTAATTTGTAGAGACCATGCTGTAGTCTCGAACTACCAAGACCATTGTATTCATCATTATTACACTCTGATAATGCAGGCGAAATGTCCACTGCCCACCAAGAACTGTTGCAGCCGCCGCCGTCTTTTGCGAATGGACAAGACAAGAAACATCATGTGGCGACGACATTGAATTACTGGGATGACCCAGGCGACGGCTCGCGTCCGACACCCATCGTTATCGGCAAGGGGCGCATCACCAACGAGAGACCGCACCAAACGCACGATTTTGTGATAACAGATGTCAGTGGCGAGGAGGACCAGTACACGCTCGACCGCCACGGGTTTCGGTACCATAGCCACGAGAGCGTCGAGAAGGAGTTTCTCGATGACCAAAAGATCCTTGAAGTCTACTACCCCGAGTGTATCCGACTTTTACGAGAGGTCACTGGGGCTCACCGCGTCCACGTTTTTAATCACAAAGTGAGACGCGGGCCAACACATTGGCATCATCTCGGATTAAAGAATCTGGCCAACCGCGGCCCCGTCACCAAGACGCACGTCGACCAGTCCTACGAGGGAGCTGAGCTGCGACTCAGATGGGAACTCCCAGATGAGGCCGACGAACTAGTACATAAGCGATACCAAATCATCAATATATGGCGCCCCATCAAGACGATCCGCAAGGATCCCGTGGCCGTTGCCGACTCGCAGTCGGTGCCTGATGAAGATCTCGTGGCTGCCGAAATGACGGAAGACGGCTACAGAGGGGAGCAGTGGGTCGTCAGACATAATCCGGCCCATCAATGGTATTTCAAACACCAGCTCCGGCCCGAAGAAGTGCTCTTGATCAAGTGCTTCGACTCGAACAAGCAAGTGGCGCGAAGGGCCTTGCATTCAGCATTCGAGGATCCCGCTTACAAGGATGAGGAGTCTAGACAGAGTATCGAAGTCCGGTGCATAGTCTTGTATGATTAATGAAGAATACCATGCCTAGAAGTGTTTCTTATATGGGATATGAAAGAGCGCAGTTCCAGAACCAAATCTAGTAATCTCCCAATCCTTGTCCGCCCTGTCTAGAAGCTTAGATCAAACCGACTGAGGGTTGACAGCATTGCGCACCCTATTTAGAAATATCCAGACCTGGACATATTGGTAAGGAACAGTTGAATGTACTCCTATACCCAATGCACGATCCAATGCTTCCCGGTTATTGAACATTATAGTGGGTCTGCGGTGTTGGAAATGAGTATGTTGACAGTGCGACAATAATTGCCAGGACGAGAAGTAGGACAGGACTACACTGCTTGTGTGCCACAATGATATGGGAATCAAAAGGTTGGTTGTTATACGAACATTGGTTAATGTGACCGGGCTTTAAAGAACCCTGACGCAACGTGGTAGGTCAGCCATCTTGCTTTTATATCTGATCTGGTCACAAATATACGATCGTGCGATTCGATAGTACGGTTCTACAACCTCTATTCAGCTGTAGCGGGGATCGCCATCCTTCCCGGCGCCTCGGTACTAGAGAATACAGGGGTCGACCAGCTGAAATGCGCACAATGCCCTTATTTTCTTCGAATTTCCAAGCCGCCTAACGAAATCTAGATGCCACATTTGTTCAATAGTGCCATGTACACAATCATAAACTCCACGTCTCCAGTCCAAAGATATTAAATTAAAATGATTCGTGCGCTGGATAGCCGCTGACGTAGAGGGTAATGGACCCTGCATAGGGCCATAGCAACGGACTAACAAGAACAGCAAAGATTTCAACAATATTGTGTATTAAAGACACCTGCGTCCCTATAGCTTCGCTCTTTGGATGATACATGTATTACGCCTTCACTTTATTGCAATATGCGGCCTCAGCGGTGGTACACATGGCTTGGTCTGCTCGGCTTGGCGGCAGCGGCAGAGGTTGACTGGGCGTCCCTTCACTGCCCCGACGACGACTTGACCACTCTGCCCACGCCCACCTACGGCAGCGAGGGCGCCGTCTTTATGGCGTGCACGGAACTCATCATTGACGCATCGGCGCAGACCATTTACGACACCTTGATTGATTTCAAAAACTACCACGTCTGGAACTCGTTTGTCGTCGACGTCGACGTGCCCCCAGAGGTGCAGGAGACGCCGGACGACGTTTACGTCGGCATGCCCATGACCTTTACCAGCAGCGGCTTGATCCCTCTGATCAACACCACGAGTGATGAGAGAATCACTGTACTGCAAGACGACAGCAGTCTGGGATACCTCATGAACACCTGGAGATTTGATCCCGCGTTCAACCTGTCCTTTGCCCCGGCTGAACATCCCAATATCCTGACTGATGCGGGAGATGGCAAGACGAGATATCTTTCTTATGAGACGTACTATGCAGGACTGGGGACCCCTCTCGTATTGACGCTCAAGCCTCAGCTGCAATCATCTTTCGACCAACAAGGCCTGGATTTGAAGGCGTATGTTGAAAGCCTCTAGTTCGGGAGACGTCACGAGGTCTGGCAAATTGTGTCAGACTACATGATTATCGACGACAGTCTTGTGCTCACGCAGCTGAGAATAGAATTAGCTATTCGGTTTGAACTTGGAAATTCCAGAATGCCTCCATTCAATCACTACCTAGACATGGATCTTGCAGACGAGTCCACAGCCGTTGCTCGACATCATGCACGCGATAGCGCAGACATATGCAAGAGCACACGTCTTGATCGCATGAACCATGAGTGAGCCTAGCACACATTAGACGTCGGTAATCCGGCGATATGATCACTGGGGGAATCCATAAGTTAGCTTGCAACATTTGGTTTTCCTTTCACAAAATGCGGGCAACCAAGTGTTGCCCTTCTGGCCCCTGGATGTTCAGGTATTACAATGCATTACGTAAACACAACTCTATGTCCGGCTCCCAATAGATCGACGGGGCCCCGTCGATCTATTGGGAGCCTCTATGTCCGACACGATTACGATCCACAGCTTGATGGAATATGAATATTATAAGGCATAACATGATATTCATCATCTGATTCAAAAGCGGTCTGCATTAATATTGGGAAGCTCCGGCGCTCATCAGCGATCACAAGTTTTTTCTTCATTCTGCCCTGCAGAAATCCAGACTGATAGTGGAGTATGTTGCTGGAATGGGCTCATTTCAGGGTGCTGTGCCGCTGTCAAGCGTCTTTGCGTTATCTGAAAGACAAGGGTCTGGTCCGCTGAAGAAACCAAACAGGTGGGAACACCAGCTCGGTGAAAAATCATTCACATCTCGAAAAAGCATTTTGGAATGAATATTTGCTTGACCAGATGAGTATGCCACAAGGGTGAGGAATTGCGGCTATTGCGTCCCAGGAGAGCGAAACGCCCTTATTCCCGAAAGTCAGCCAGTAAAGCGACAGCTACATGTGGGATATAAAGAGAGCGGGGCTTGGTGGGTTGAAATACAACGTGGTTGTCGACAATGGAGAACAATCGGCATTTGCAACAGTGCGATTCGCCAGAGACCATGGGCAGCCCATGTATTATTGACAGAACAGCTGGGGCACCTTGTCTCCGTCGACAACGGCGACGCTCTGATTGGAAGAATCAGACTTGATATTCGGATGAACAATGTTTCCTTTCGAGTCCGAGGAGTGGATGATTGGTGCTCTGCACAAAATACAAAAGAGACTGCTGCAGCCTGGTCGCAAAGTATTGCATCTTGTAAGGCGACTTTAAAAACCTGCGATTGCGCCAGTTCTTTGGCCTCTCTGTCTTCCGGATAGCGTGACTTGCCGATCATATCACGGCTGCTGCTGCTGCTGCTACCGTAATGACAATCGCAGACTTGTCCGGCCGTCTTCCGGCTGGCGTAACGGCTCACCTCACGACCCAGAATGCACTACTCCTGCTCGGTCTCTGGCTCGGCTATAGAATCGCTTTGGCGCTATGGAACATCTCCCCTCTGCATCCGCTCAGTCGAATCCCGGGACCAAAGTTGGCTGCTGCGACTTATCTGCCAGAGTTCTATTACGATGCCATTAGGTTCGGTCGGTACACGCAGCAGATCAAGAAAATGCATGACGAGTATGGTAAGATTTCAGCTTTCTTGTGAACCATGAGCCAAAGGACTGAAACTGTGGAATGACAGGCCCCATTGTGCGCATCAGTCCTCATGAAGTACACTGCGCCGACAGTGCGTTTGTTGATGAAATCTATGCCGTGGGTGGACGCAAGCGGGACAAGCCTCGGCACCAGGTCAGCGGTTCGGCCATGGAGTTTTCTGGTTTCGCGACCTATGACCATGACCTGCACAGATTACGTCGGGGGCCGTTGGCCAAATTCTTCTCTCGAACTCAGATCGCCAAATTGGAGCCATCCATACAAGACCTTGTACAGCGGCTGTGCGACAAGCTTCTCCTAGAGAGCGGCCGTGGCAAACCCGTCGATGTGACAATGGCCTACTCATGTTTTACCTCTGATGCTATTGCTGAGTATGCTTTTGGCGAGTCTTTCGGTTTCCTAGCTCAAGAGACCTGGGAGCCCAATTACCGAGCCAGTCTGTACGCGTTCTTGCAGACCGTCTATATCTTTCGCTTCTTCCCTTTCCTGAAGCATGCTACCCTCGCTGCGTCCTGGTTGACCAAGTACATGTCCGAAGACATGGCACTGCTGATCAAGACGCTTCATATTGATATTCCTGCTCAGGTCAAGAGCACCAAGGAGGACTACAAAGCCCACACGATACACGATCGGCCTACCGTATTTGGTTCATTGTTGGATTCGGACATGCCGGAACACGAAAAGTCGATTGTTCGGCTTTCGGACGAGGCTTCCGCGGTACTGGGTGCTGGAACAGAGACTACAAGCTGGACGGTCTCTGTCATCACCTATCACGTCTTGACGAAGCCCAAGATCCTGGCCAGGCTAACTGAGGAGCTCAACTCTGTGGTCAAAGACCCCAAGCATTTGCCAACGTGGACGGATTTGGAGAAACTCCCCTATCTGGGGGCCGCCATCCAAGAAGGTTTGAGATTATCATATGGTGTATCTGCCCGAACTTCACGGGTTCCAACCGAGGAGGACCTGCTGTACCGTGGCCAGTGGACGCCTAAAGGGAACGGAAAACCCGTCGACGTCGAGTACGTGATTCCCAAAGGATACGCCATTGGAATGTCATCCTCCATCAGCCACCACGATGAGAGCGTTTGGCCGGACTCATACGCATTTCTTCCCGAGAGATGGCTCGACGAGAACATGGAGCGCAATAAAGAGCTTGAGAAGCAAATGCTGTCCTTTTCCAGGGGTAGCCGAGCTTGCATAGGCATGAAGTATGTAATATGTCCTCGAATATTAGAATTTGTGCTGACACTACCATAGTCTTGCATTTTGCGAGCTCCACCTGGTTGTTGCAGCCTTGACCCTTCGTGTTTGGCCAAAAATGAGGCTATTTGAGACGACGGAGAGAGACGTACGATATGACCATGACATGTTTGTTCCGCTTCCCTATGATGGTAGCAAAGGCGTCCGCGTAACGGTTGATTAACAAATCAAACCCAGAGGCCAAATCAAAATGAGTGAGAGCAAAGATACCGCTGATGGGAAATGGGATGCTTATGGCCAGGAAATTTGCAACGCTTCGTGGAGGCTCCAGGTGCTGTATCTCAGTAGTCCATACGAGACCTACAAAACTCTTTAAAATTACCAATGGCCTAAATGAAAACCTAACCAGTGCTTGGTTCAACTCCTCTTAGTTCTTCGGATATCTTGAGTGCTTCCAAATACTCGTCTCGCTCCGCCATGACAATTCGGTTTCGTTGTTGGAGCTCTTCGCATTCCTTCGTCTTTGCGCGCAGCCTTCGTATAAGTTCGTCTTTGTCTAATGATTGCAGGTCCTCGATAACGGGTCGTAGAGATCCAAATAAAGCAGCAGTTGGAGGCGGGGAGACATGTTCACCGAAATCTGCAGATAGCTTGGGAACAGTCTGAGGAATGTTGACCTTGAGACGCTCATCCTGGCTAGTGGAGACTGAAGGGAGTGGTATGCAAAGATAGCTGCCTCGCTTTTCGCCCTGCGCCGCTTGGGAAGGCTCTGTCACAATGTTGGGCTGCGCGAGAGGTTGCGAGGTTGAAGGCTCACGAGCAGCGAGGCGTCTCTCTTCCATATCATTTGGCTCGATTATGACTCCATGAGAAGTCTCCATATGGCGGCGATAGTTGTCAAACCGCCCAAATCCCCAGGTTTGTCTTCTGCAGGCTGGGAGGCGACAAAAGTACTGCCGCCCGACACGATGTCTTGACCTGCGGTGCCGCGTGAGTGAATCAATTCTGGAAAGTCCCTTGCCGCACTCGGGACAAATATAGTTGCCAGGCTTGTGGCCAGAACGTCTGTAATAATTAGTCCATGGTTCGGGGGTGTTGCGCAATCCGCTGCTGCTGTACACGGGTCACTAACTTCCACTTCTCCGTTTCCTCGGCAGTCATCGTCCGGGTGGACTCAATGTGGGCAAAGGTAGCCTGAGTACGGTCATGGCCAACAGAATTTTCAAATCCATCCTCTTCGACCATGTCGGCATCAGAATGAGACGACTCGGGTCCGGATGACTCGTCATCGCTCATCTACACGGATAATTTGTTAGTGCTCTTCCCTTTTTTTTCCTTCACCCAGAGCAGAGCAAGCCCAGGAAGGAGTCCCGATGGGCGTATCGAGAAAGACGACTTACACGACGAATGTCGGGTATGGTTGCCATGTCCGAAGCCACACTGCGCTCGTCAAGTAAATAGTCGTATATGCATCAAAAGCAATGGGATCGTGTGTGATTCTGTGATTAATGTGCCATTTGATGACCTCTGGTGTTGTCGTGTGGCGTTTTCTGGGTTTGGTTGGTGTGTTGGTGTTGGCCCGGGAGGTGTTTGGCGTTCTAGGGGCGGCACCTGGTGTTCACACCGGATTTTGGTGGAGCCCCACCACCGTTTGCGGTCCCAGTCCAAGGAAGTCACCTTAATTCGGCAGCGCCTCCAGCGAGCTGGACTCGATGACAGATGTTACGGTCAAAGTTAGTTCCGACCCGCACCAAGTACATATGTAGGTCAAGTTGCAGCTGGAGATCCACGAACTACATGTACAATACGACCTGGGTGGAAGTGAGATACATAAAGAATGTACGTACATAAATTGAAAGGTCTGCACATGGGAAGCATTGTGGGAGCAGGGACAGTGAAATTTACCCGCTTTTTTATTTTCCAGTTGCGAGTGAGCAATCTGACACAATGTGTACAAGGTTCATATCAGTACATGAGGGGAGACTTGTTGATGCCGCCGACATTCTTCTTCCTAATGTCCGTCTCCATTTGATAGAAAACTGCCAAGCCGGGCCCTTTTTTGTTCCTCGCCTGGTTCCTTGCTTTGCTTCCCTTTCCAGTCCTAAACGCCATGCTGATCAAGAAATAATTCCCGTAAAATATAATATACAACGGCGTACATCATCAAGCTGTAACTGGGGCTTTGTACACAGTGGCTGGCCTCACTTTCCCTTGTCATACTGAGTTGGACGCTGTACGTCTGGCACGGAGCAATACCGTTGCCGGACCATGACAGCACATCTGCTCGCGGATTCTTCCCTTTCCGTGAGCCAGTAGACGTGGCGTGTCTGTCAAGCAGACCCGTGCTCTGCCACAAGTTCTTAGACATCAAATGTCGTCTTGCCTTGACTACGCCGTAATTCTCGGAGAGTGGCCATGACCCCGTTTGACCGCAAACGTTCCAAGACTAGCTTCATACCGTCGCGGGACTTGACCAGCTGATCATCAGTCTTGTTCGAGGCAATAGATTCGATGCTACCCTGGATGCGTTTGGCACCCCAGCCAGAAATCCAACCGCCAAACCGCAAAGGACTAGAGTCCTCGGAGTCTTGAGCGGCTTTGCGACCACCAAGAGTGGAGCGGTAGGAGAAAGTAGTGGTGACGTAGGTACTAGGTGACAAGGGCCGAGACACGGTAGAGAGCCCAGCTCCTTGTTGTTCCGGCGGAGTCGTCGAGTATCGTTGCTGCTCCGTCACACTGAGCACACCAGTAAAGTTGAGATTCCGACTCTGTGTAGTCATCCAGCCTTCCTTGATGTCCACGACGCTTTCTTCCAGCACAAAGCTAGACTTGTCTCCACCACCGCCAGTAATGCTCGTCGGCAAGAGCTTGACAACGGCCGATGGCATACGAGACTTCTTCAGGTGCAGACGTGTCGTATACAGTCGACCTGACTCTGGGTCAATGTGCGACGAGATGGTATCGGTAGACAGGACATGACTCGAGAACGGATTGAGCTGTGGGGAATAGTATCGTAGGAAGAAGGCGAGGGTCACTGTCGGAAATGGGTGAGAGTAGTTGTGGTTGGTCGTGTGCGTGAGAACCATCTTGCCGTTCGTGAGAGGGTGTAGGCCAAGGAGATGGGGAAAAGCCAAGTTGAGGCGTTGAATTCGAAAAGTAATTGGGTGATGGTACAGAACGTAAAGGTCGTTGATGTCGTGCGCTATCGATTTCCGCGTGCGTCAATTGTAGGATGGGAATTGAGGAGGAACGTTTTGCTGTCTGGGTGATATTGAGGACTCGTGGGTCACATTCAAACACGATCAAATGTCGTCGCTAGACATGACAGTGGCGAGGAGGTGCGTCAATCGTATGATGCAGATGGAAATATGCGTACGAGCGGGGAGAAGTTCGAGGGTTGGTGTTACACTTGGGCGCTCATCGACATATGATCTTAAGGTTTCCACCCTTCAGAAGTAAGTGATGTCGTACGACCCCAGCACCAAAAAACGACCACTTGCTGCAAAAGCCAGAAAGAGAGTTGGGCCGCCCACCAACGTTTCTTTCGGATGGGATTTGGGGAAGAATTGGGGGGGGCGGGGAGTAGGTCCAAAGTGTAGGTGTAATGTTCTCGACTCCTGCACCTTAGGTAGGCTTCTGTAGGTAGGATCGGTCGGCTCGGGGTGTCGCCTTTCCATGCCAATCGCCGGCCGCAAAGCCAATTTTTCTCGAGAATTAATCCGACGCGTCCGATTCGCCCAATTCGTCCCGTCTTTGGGGCTTGGGCGGCTGTCATTGGGTGAGAGCGCCGGTACTCCAAAAGCGGGGAATGAGCACAGGCCAGCGACACTTTGAGAGCTTTGACTGCCCGGAACTCGAGTGGCAAAATTTGGTCATCAACGACAATTGGCTGGTCATGTACAAGATCGACAAAGCTCCAAGCTTCCCCGGATTTTCGGCTGCATTCTGGAGCCAATTGGCTTGACAGTCCGGCACGTGCTCGTGTGTATGACCACCACGATGCGACTCATCACTTATACATTAGTCTCTTGTTATTTCTAGTCACCCTGTTTAGTATCATTAAGAGAAGCCATGCAGAATTATAGATTAAACGTAATTAGCAAACCTTATTTCTTGGCCGCAATACTATAGAAAACTATCTAGTAGTCAGTGCTTGATTCTCGAGTATTATAACTAGGGTGTTTGTTCTGCAGCCAAAATCCGCTTTCGGAAATATCGACACTTCCAACGCAAAAATAACGAAGAGATTTACTGACAGTTCAACAAGGACAAGAACATTAATCAAGTGAAAAACAAGTAAACAGAAGAGGAATACTTGGATGTAAAAGAAACGTTTGAATAAAATTAAAAATATCTGGATTAGAGAGAAATACCTGAATAGGGGGGATGAGAGAGAACTGCTTGCATAGGAGAGAAATGCTTATACTCTTTTCCGAATTCAGATAATCCAACATATACCACTACTTTACTACTTTCAAACTTGATCGATCAGCCTTCGACCTGAAAAAACGTACGACGAACTAAATTCTTCGATCATTTCCTGCCATTTTCGATCGGTAACTGTCCCCTGCTTCGGAAATATGGCCTTTAGCGACAGTTCCTCAAATTCCAAGTAAGTCGGGATCCATCGGTATTTATGGTTTTGCCGAAAAATTCTTCTTGCCGACGAGGCCAACGCATCCACTCTTTCGTTGCCTATAACACTGTCATGGGCTTTCACCCAGTGCAGTTCGATCCGGCAACCCCTTTCCACCAACCTTTTAGCCAAGCAATTGATCGCCTCGAGAAGAGCTTGTGTGTCGGCACCTTGATCCTTGTCTGGCGACAAAATCTCGTTCATTGCGCGTTGGCAATCGGTAAACACCTGTACCACCTCTTGGTTCGCAGTCTGGGGATACCGTCGTAAAGCAGCCTTTAAGGCTTGGTGGATTCCGAACAACTCGAATGGCGCATTTCGCGGCCCTCGAAGGACGGCTATTTCATCACACCATAAGTCGCGGTGCGGAACCTGTTTAAACGCGATGGCAGAACACGCCAGCTGCCGTGGGTTCTTGAAGTTCCAGGACGCATCGGTCCACAGTACCATGTCTTTCTCAGGTTGGGATGAATTGTACACATTATCGGCGTATACTACGCTTGCTTGTGGCGTCTTAGCTATTACAACAAGCCCGCCGGCAAGAACTTCTGATTTTGTTGTGTCGAAAAGATGGGCAAAGTCTGCCAAGAACTGCCGTGGGTTGATCTTATGTATTGCGAACTCCTCTGGGTGTGGCACATCCGTGAGAGAGTGGAGTTTGCGCTTCTGTATATCAAATTAAGTTGCTTGTCAGATCTCAAACATTGAATCAATCATACCTCGTTTGAATCATCACTCTTGATCGAAACCGAGCAGCTCAACGTGTCTGACTGGTTCCGTCGTTGGCCTTCTTGCTTTTCACGGTCTTCGCGGATCCTTTCGGCTGATCGGAGACTTTCCAGCATCGCCACTACTACCGAAGGAAAAGGCATCTCCTCGGGAAAAGTATCAATGGCTCCCAGAAATTCTTCAAAGCCGAGAGATAGTGGCAATTGACCTCGATCGAATTCTTCAAGATCGTTGGGTATTTCCATTTTGATGAATAAAAGGTTATTTGGTGTATGGTGGGTGTGTGGAGTGGCGTCTGATGCATGTAATGCTGCGTTTGTTTGTATTCCAGCGGGCGTAGACGTGTGATTTTGCGCTTTCAGAAGTTTGAAAATTGGAAAAAAAAAAAAAAATATGAGGTAGGGCCACTGGCTTTGACAGAGTATCACCGGATTCTCGAGATACCGGAGATGGCAACGGCCGCAGACGATCGATGGTGTTCCAGGTGGCCAGTGCTATCACTTGTAGCCATCACCCCGTCAGACACAGGGACTTGTGCTCAAACGCGATAGTCAACAGTCGCTTGCATTGGAGGCTGTCAGCTGGCTAGAATCTCCACTGCCAGTTCCATTCATTTTCAAACAACTCTTCTAGGATTGCAGTTCGATCCCAGTGCAACCTTCTCTTCAAGGTACCTCACTGATGCCATGATCGCGCGTTTGGATAACTGTTGCATCCCTTCCTCTTGAGACCAGAAAACTGTTGTTCGCGAAAAAAGAAAAAAAAAACCTGGGATCCGTATAACTTATTTTTTTTCTTCAAACTACTGACGCTGAATAGTAATAACCAACCCTCCTGGCCTTCAAGGCACCATCCGTTTGCAGTTGTTACTTACAGGGCCATTGATTTAAATCTGGGAAAGCTTCGTCACAGCCCTGATCTTGAACCAACCCTGTCCGTTTGCAAGCACCTCGAAAAGATCACAGGTCGATTTTCACAACGCCCCCCTTTTTTTTTCAGGGACTTTATCGTCTGTGCTAAAAGATTCGCTAGCCTTACTGCCGTGAACTATTTGCTCAGAGAAATGATATACAAGTACAACAAATTCAACTTCAAAAAAAGAGAGAGAAAAGAACTAGATTGAAGTAAATAAAAACTATAAAAAGAAAACCACGCGTGTCCGACAAGTCGGGGCCATCGAGGTTCCGGAAAATTAATGCCTGTGGGAACGGGGGGGCAGGGGGGAGTTATCCCGATCCCGATGACTTTTCCATTACTGTTTTGCTCGAAAGAATCGTTGATACTTTCCGTCGAAAGTTTGACACAAGCGATCCTTTAGAGTGATACTCAAACCACTCAGCCACCGTGGCAGCTTCTCGTCAACAGTCCTTGTTGAAGGTGCCATTAATCGGAATCTATAGACTCTCCCACACAGCCCCGAACTTTAACCAGCGCATAAACATTTATTCATTCATTGATTTGCATTTCTTATTCATTCATTCATTCATTCATTCATTCATTCATTCATTCACTCATTCATTTCTTACATATTTCCTTTTTGTTCACTTCTTGCCCATTCATTCATTTGCTCATTGTACGGGACAGGCTCATTACCTGAGTTTCCGGGCTTCCCACAGCCATTTCACCATGTATCAGTCCATTGTTCCCTTGACTTTTGTGCATTCATCGCAACTGCATTTTGGTTTCATTGAGATCCGAAATCAAGCAGACACTCCTTTTTCCACTTATCATTATTGGTTTTCTTTGAAGTATAACCAGATGCTTTGCCACATGTAACTGGTCTAGGGTGTGCCGGAAGAATGAATTAAACAATAAAGGGGGCGAAAGCATTTGGCAAGCAGGTCCACGTCATTTGGCAGCATGAACTGAGTGCGATATGCATCTTGGGATCATCATGGCCTGGACGTAGCAGAAGGTCCTATTTGGGAACAAAGGCGCAGTCAGACAAAGAAAATTTGGCGTCAGATGTTGATCGCAGACCCAAATGGCGGTGTTGCGACCACCTACTAGGCAGATTTCTGATTTGTCCTATTGACTACACGGCCTCGTCTTTGTCTTTATAACCTAGACAATGCTGCATGTTGTAACCAACAAGAACATTGTTCATTACAAATCCTTTCACCAAACTCCCAAGCCAGCAGGGAGATCGTTGTATAAATCAACAACCCTGCGACGGCAAAGTTCCTCTCCCACTACCATCAGGATAAAACAAGTCCGTACGTGAGCACCCTACCAAAGCAATCAAAACTTCCCTCATCAGATCAACACTAACCTAACAGTACAAACTTCAAAGCGAAAATAACCAGTCATCATGATTCATCCGGGATCTCAAACTTCGACCAATGTGTTCCACAATGCAGCAGAGGTGCACACCCCGGTTGCGCGGGCCGCAAAGGTCATATCTACCGGAGAGTTGTCATATTCCACGACTCCAATGACTTCTCGAGTTGCGAGTCAGGTTCTGAACCCAACGACAACAGGATGTGCCATGGCTGGACTGGGCTATCTTCAGCTGTCCAATGACTACGGAGTCGTTTCCGACAGCATGTGGACGGCATTGACCACTGTCAGAAACGGTCTCGATACGCCAGAGGCTGTCAGTACTCCTCACCCAGGCGGGTTCCTGGGCTATTTTATCATGGAGAATGCCACCCAGTTCACTAGCGAAACCGAGTTTCTGAACCTCCAGGTGGTGACCGAACCAAAGGGAGATAGGAGCATGTGGGTGCATCCCGCTTTTGACTCGCTCCGGTCCCGGCAAACATTCATCTGGGCAGTGCGCATCGGTCCCAGGAACTGGAGGAACATTGCAGATGACAGAAATGCCCACTGGTGTCTTGTGGTCGGTGAAATCGAGGCACGACCGGCAACCGTTGTGTCGCGAGGCACCACGTTCCCATATACCAACCGCCGGGAAGACTTTGTGGACCTTTATTACGACCGGTCCATCCGATCGATCCAGATCTTCAATCCATTGATTGATGACGACCTGAACAGAGAACGCACGCATAGGCTTCTGGCACGAGAGATCACTGTCATGTTGACACGAGCAGGCATTGCTGTTCATACGGAACAGTTTCGCTTTGGCCAGGCAGAGTACGGGCAGGTAACAGAACCTTGGCAGACTGGATTCCAATGCTTTGGCATTGCACAAGAGTACATGCGCCGACTCAATGTTCGTGCAAACCTTGGTCTCGAAGACACATCGGAAGAGGCAGAGCAAATGATGCGCAGCACATATGTAGGTCTACCCCGAATTTCCGTTCTTCGAGAGTCAATGATCGCCGCTTGTGCTACCAGGGCTGTCATCCAGAGTGACTACAAGGCGAGAATCGCAGTCGAACTCCCCGGACAAGGTATTGAGGCGGACACGGTAGCCCCTATGGCAGGTGGAGGCTTTGGTGAGCATCCGCAACGCATCGATGACCCTGACAATGAAACGCCGACAGCCAACATATTCATCTCAGTCAACAAGGGACCTCTACCGGGCCCATTGACGGCATGGCAGCCGACGACATCGTAGTTCCCTAGAAGGATAGCGAGATGGTAAATGAAAAGATGAAGTCGAGGTGAGGGCTTTTGATGCTTTAGGTAAGTCATTACATGCAAATAATTCGTGTAAACCTTTTCGAAATAGATTAATTGAGATACATGAATCAATAGTCTGTGGCCTTCCTTCTGCCATGCAACGTCTTGTGAGGTCGTGTACGTGTAGTAGGTAATTGGATTGCACCATCCAATAGCCAATGGTGCATCATCTTGTACGAATGAAATTGTTTTATGTTCTTCAATCATTGAACTGCACCATTTACCTTGCAAGTAATTCATTCTTTCTTCCATCACTCTGAGCGTGGAGGTCTTACTTCCAGTAAGATTGCCAAGGTCAAGGTGGACTTGCAAGTTCCAAGCATTGAGGCTCTTCTCTAGTGTGGACGTAACATCGTCGCCCGGGCTTGGCACTGCACGCCAAGCACGTGGCTCATGATGAATCTGTTCTGTTTCTCTTTGTTTTCCAACGTCCTTGTTACCTGCCAGCATATTTGAGCTGTATTACAAAGGGACCTGACCGCCTTTGGCCGCGAATGAAATGCTAGATACCGACCGTGCGACTCACATATGCAGTAGCTGGCCACTAGTCTCTCGGATCGATCGTCTGATCGCCGCCGGGCTCCTGTACGATTAATCATGTCAAAGACTTTACGAAATACATTCTTCAGATGGGCGGATCGAACAATTTTTTGATCGCTTGTCAAATTGGGCGCCAAGAGCAGACAAAGAACCGGCGCTCTGAAACTCGGATCTGGGAGGCCCTGGGGGTCCTTCCCCAAGCCCCTCTAGATCCCTGCGCAAACTACGCCGCAACGGTAGAGGTCCGCCTATCACAGCCCATGCTGGCGTTGACCAGCTTCCCAGATAGGGAGGCCAAACAGAACCCATCCACAAAAGAACCATTGAGCGATCACAAGCCTAGCAGAGATGCCTCGACGCGATTCGCCCAAACCTATGCGGCATCTGCCTGTTCGCTGCTCGAGTGGAGAAAACCCGCCCTCGCCCGGTCGTGTTCTCTCTCTCCGGATCGTCATCAAAAAGTCGGCCCCTGCTGCTTGCCGTTTCTTATCTATTGGCCATGATGTGACCCTGATGGCGTCGCATTGTGCTCGTCATATAACATGTCGCCCAACCGTTCCTTGCATCCTTTTTGCTCCACCAGCTTTTGCTGTCCCACTGGAGTCGACATTGCTTTGGTTGTGATTTAGAGATTGCCAAGCTGGTTGTTTCAATAAAACACCAATTGGTTTTTTTCAATTCAGTCAAGAGGAAAGTGAGCAAAAATGCGCTGGTCATCCATCGCATCCAGCCTGTTGCCGTTGGCAGCATTGGCCGAGTCCCGAAGCTGGCAGCATGTGGGCAAGCAGGCACCGAGGGCAGCCCTCAAGACCGACGACAACTTTGTCTCTCATTACCTTGCCAACAGGCAGACAACTGGATCAAAGTTCCTCAACGACAATACAACGAGTACGGAGAGCTCTTTGGCAATGATGATGGTGGAATGAAACTTGCTGACACGCACATGACAGGCTTTGCCGTAAATGGCACCAGTCTCCCAGACGTCGACTTCGATATCGGCGAGTCGTATGCTGGGCTGCTTTCAATTACAGATGACCCAGAGGCAGCTGAGAAGCTCTACTTCTGGTTCTTCCCATCCGAGAATGAAAAGGCAGACAAGGAAATTCTGCTGTGGCTCAATGGAGGCGTAAGTGAATTTAGGTGCCAATTGATAGGTCGTGTATTGCTGACTTGTTACACAGCCCGGCTGCTCGTCTCTGGAGGGTCTGATTCAAGAACACGGCCCATTCATTTGGCAGTACGGAACTTTCAAGCCGGTACCCAACCCTTGGAGTTGGCATCGCTTGACAAACATTGTCTACATTGAGCAGCCTATCGGTACAGGTTTCTCCCAGGGCAACGTCACTGCATCAAATGAGGAGGATGTCGCAGCACAGTTCCTCGGCTTCTGGAAGAACTTCATCGAGCTGTTCTCCATGCAAGGCTACAAGGTGTACATTACTGGCGAGTCCTATGCAGGCATGTACTGTCCGTACATTGGATCTGCCATGCTGGACGCCAACGACACCACCTACTACGACCTGGGCGGTTTGATGATCTACGACCCTGTACTCATGGACGATATTGTGCAGACAAGTCACACGGTTGTGCCATTCGTCGACTACCACACCAACTTGATGCCGTTCAACGATTCCTTCAATGACTACCTGCACGAGCAGCACGATTCTTGTGGCTTCGCCAACTTCTCGGCCACCTACCTCCAGTACCCTCCTCCGGGCCCTCAGCCGAGCACCAGCGATTTGTCGGACGAATGCGCCAACCTCTGGTATTACGTCTACAATGAGGTCTTTTCCGTCAACCCTTGCTTTGATGTGTACCAGGTCGCCACCACCTGTCCTCTGCTGTGGGACGTTCTCGGTTTCCCTGGCTCTCTCTTCTACATCCCCGAAGGTGCCGATGTGTACTTTAACCGTACCGACGTGCAACAGGCCATTAACGCTCCCATCCAGGAATGGGAAGAGTGCTCTTCAGGCAATGTTTTCACCGGACGCGGAGATACCTCTGACCCCTCTGGCTACAAGGTATTGCCCAACGTGATTGACAAGACCCAAAACGTCATCATTGGCCACGGTATCCTGGACATGATTCTGCTGGCCAACGGCACTCTGCTCTCGATCCAAAACATGACGTTTGGCGGCAAGCTGGGATTCGAAAAGACGCCCGTGGAGCCCTTTTACATTCCCTACCACGCCCTGAGCACCGCGGACACTATTGGCTACGAGGAAGACCCGACCCTGCTCGCCACCATGGCCAGCGCCGGCGTCGCGGGTGTGGCGCACACGGAGCGCGGTCTGACCTACGTCTCGGTTGACATCTCGGGCCACATGATTCCGCAGTACGCCCCCAGCGCGGCCTTCCGCCAGCTCGAGTTCCTCCTCGGCCGCATCAGCAACCTTAGCGACACCACGCCCTTTGAGACGGAGCCAACCGCGCCGCAGTCGACGGGTCCCTTGGGAAACGGCACGGGTCCGTATACCTACTATGACGGATCAGAAACTGTGGATTCAGCCGCAGAGTCCAGCTCGTCTGTGCAAGCCCGCAGTGTCGCCGGAAGCCTGCGCTTTGAGCGTTGGGGCCTTGTTGGCATTATTGCCGGCATGGTCTACTTGCTGTAATTCGGCGGTAGTGGCAAGATGGTAACAATAGGCTCAGCCTTGAGTAACTTGGTTGTAATAGACAGTTAGAAACATGTCATGAAAATGAAGCTAATTGACGAAAATGACGATAATGTATGAAAATGGGGATAGCGAGAAAAGAAATCAAGATTGTTCCTGATAACATTATTGCTTCATGCCTCCATTCTTGGAAACTCGGTCTCACGTATCACGATTATTTCATTCATACTCCGTCGGGGACCAGACGGACGCAGTCTGATAATACACTGGCTTATGCCCTAGTGATTTGTACCAGCCCCAAAGCAGTCAAAGACATCCATTTCTCTTTGTCTGATTGTAATACAGTATGGTACAGTCTATGTTCTGGCAGTGGACGAATGCGACAAACATTGCCTTTGTCAATGTGTGGTGTCGGAAACGGAAACATACCACCCGGGCGTTCATGTCATTATTTCTTGTTTTGTTTCCCATTGGCAGCAGCTTCTTCCTCTTTTGCTATGAGCTCCTCTTCTGCAATCAGAGCTCGAATGTCTCTTGCCACGAGGTATTCCTTGGTGCTATCCATGACCTTTTGAAGCACCTCTCCTCCAGCCAACACATCGGGAAGATTGTGTACATCGAAACCAGCTCGGTGATCGGTACAGCGGTCCTGCTGGTAGTTGTATGTTCTGATCTTGTCACCTCTGGTGATCTTTTCCTTACTGAGGACGCTGTTTCTCAGAGTAGCTGCCTTTTCTTCCCTCTCTTCTCTCCTTTGTGAAGCTACGCGGGATCGCAAAAGTTGCCATGCCTTGTCTCTGTTTTGATGCTGCGATCGTGAATCTTGTATCGAAACCACTGTTCCGGTAGGTACGTGCGTTAGACGAATGGCGGATTCGGTCTTGTTGACATGTTGTCCTCCGGCACCACCAGCTCGCATCTTCTCCGCCCTGACCTCCTTAGGGTCAATGTAGAAATCGGACGTTGGGTCGTTGAAGTCGGCTTCGGCTTCGGAGCCACCCTCGGGGAAACTGGGCAGAACCCAGACGGCAACGGCACTCGTGTGCGTCCGCCCCTTGGTCTCGGTGGCGGGAACACGCTGCACACGGTGCATGCCCGCCTCACCGCGGAACCGGTCGTATGCGCCCGTGTCGAGAATCTCAATGACTGCTTCGCTGAGGGGTGTTTCTGAGCCGGCGCCTCCTTGAGTCTCTCCGCCGTCCACTGTTTCGTATTTTACAATGTTGGTTCGTATTCCTACGCGAGCACAATACGCGCGGTACATTTTGAAGAGGGCGTCGGCAAAGTAGCGACCCTCCTGCCCACCTGGACCAGGTCGTATTTCCAACAGACATGGCATGTCTGCGTAAGGATCGCGCGGCGTCAATGAAGCTGTCAGGGCATTCGTCATGTTTGCCAATGAGGCATGCGTCGTTTCGAGCTCATCTCGTGCCAGTGCCTGGAGCTCCTTGTCGGAATCCGGGGACGAGATGAGGGAGTTGAGCTCCTCTAGAGACGATCGCGCCGTGTCCCATTCTGCCAGGGCATTCGCGACCCTGCTCAGATCGCCCAGTCGTTTCGCGGCCTTTGCGTCAAAATCCTCTGCCAAGGTGGTTTGCAAGTCTTTGTGCTCGGCGGCAATGTTGCGGGCGCGTTGCAGCAGGGCTGGTGGAAGGGTCGTCGCAGTCGTAGCATCGTTGGTCGCATATCTACGAGACAGCAATTGCACAGGCCGAGGTAATTGGCCTCGGCCAGCAGCAGAGCTCCTCAAAGCGAAGGCGCATCGTTGACACACCCATTGTGTTGTGCGCATGATTGCTGACCGTATTGAGATCGGTCAGTACAAGCAAGCCATGACGAACTGTTCAAGACCGAGCTTAAAAAAAAAATCCAGGGCGTCACCCGCCAAGGCACGCGCTGCTCTTAGCGTCTACAGATGGCGGGAGCTTGCCCCAGTACCGCCAGTAGGGTGCTGAACCCAACGTACAAGCAAGTGGGTACCGCGAGCACAGTACATGTCAACATCCATGTATCTATCCTCACCCTACATACCTACATATGCAACACACAATATCATGCGGAAGTCGTATACTAAGGTAGCTTTGGCAATAAATTTACACCTGTATCTGTTCATCTTTGAATTCTTCCCAAGACGAGCGAAACCGCATGGCCCCTAACTACATATCATATCTAGTGCACAATGACCACTGTCATGAATTTATAAACATTGACATACTAGATACTGTAATAATCCATCACCCGAATATGGATCCAAGTCGCACTATTCACAAATATTCATGTTTTCTCTTTGAAATATGATACGATCTCGTTGTGCCAAGTACTGAAGAATTCTGCCAAGAAAGGTCCCGCAATCCTACAGCTTTGGCTCGATAGACTATTCGCTGCGCTGTGTTGTAATTAATCTCCATCACACCCTTCGACCATCTTAGTATATTAAAACTTTCTCAAATCTGCTCTAGCCAATGTGGCTCCTCGCTTTGACTTTAAAGTGCTCTGAGAAGAACTCAGAAACACCCCCTATTATACAGAAGTATTAACACCGTAAACCAGAGGAAAACTATTCGTTTCAAACTGGTATTCCAAACCAAACAAAACCGAATCTAAAATTTCTGCCAACTCCATCTTTGCTTATACTGTTCTTCGAGATTGTGTTGATCCGTTCTCTGCACGCCATTTCCAAAATGTCAAACACAACAGGTATGACGACTGGAAGAAGGAAACAACAAAGTTGGCTAATTTCATTACACAGCTCCATTGCGCATTGCTGTATTGTTATTTCCAGCGTTGACAGCGTTGGACGTCTTTGGACCTCTGAACGCCTTGAATCTACTCTCAATACAGCACCCGATGACACTCTCCTTGCTATCGACAGACCTCAAGCCCGTCAGCATCGACCGCACCATTATCGACGGCGTGTACCAAGGTACATCGACATGGTTGTCACAGGTCAGTACATCGCTATCGTCGGTTAATAAACAGTTGTCTGGATGCGGTTTAAGTCAAGTTTTACTGACTCTCCATACTTGATATAGTATTTTAGTGAATTCGTGCTCCCAACGAATACGTTTGATGATGATCTTGATCTCGACGTCATCATGGTCCCCGGAGGCGCGGGAACTCGCAACCTGAATGCCACGCAGCCGCACGTTGACTGGCTCAAGGCTCGAGTTGATGATCCCGACTTGGACTACATGATGACGGTCTGCACTGGTACGTCGATTCTGGCACGGACTGGCATGATTGCGGGCAAGAATGCCACCACCAACAAGGCCGCATTCGACTAGGTCAAGTCAGTCGACGGCGCCGAAGACGTGAACTGGATCGCCAAGGCGAGGTGGGTGGTTGATGGAAATCTCTGGACCAGCTCCGGTGTGAGCGCCGGCACGGACATGACCCTTGCGTGGATCGAGCATGTGTATGGGAGGAACGAGAGCGAGCGCATCAGGATTATGATGGAGTGGAACGCATTGAATCAGACAGACGACCCGTTTGCTGAGCTCTATGGTCTGGTTTGAGGATACAAAGAAACATCTCAACGAATCTTATGATATCAAGCTAAGTGAGAAGAACTAGATGGCTCAGTGATGAAGTATGATTTTGGAGACGTACGGGATTAAAAGCATCACTAATCAATTCCAGAAATTTCGGTATCGGTGGTGAGGCTACAGTGGAGACGTAACTCTCTATACTGGCAAAGAATCTGTCTCCATCAGAGCCGTGCTGAATCATTAGTTTAACCGCCAACACAACTTCTTGTATCGCAAGCGATGGAATCAGCCCATTTTTGTCAGCCTGACGGCCGCTTGCCAAATAGGCTTGACACAATCGAATATGTCCGTTACGGTGCTCACATGACCAGTTTTAACTCTCTTTAGTGTTTCTGGGGAAGGCGATGTATAATTGACTATCATATGGTTGGAATGTGACCTACTACGAGCATGGGGACTGCACTGGCGAAGCGCGTCAAGTACGAGTCAACATAGCCGCTTGTGACACCCCAAACCCTGAGTTCTCTTCTGTACACATTGACGACATTTGCCGCAACATCTATGGAGGCCCTCATCGTGTCTCCCTGTACAGCAAGGGTCACTGCGGCTGTCCTACTTGCAGTTCTCATGGCTACGACACCTTCCCCGGGCAGTAGCAGATCCTTGAGCCCCTGGGCTCTATATCTGCCTCAGTCCTTGCTACTCTCCTTCATAATCTGCTCCACAACGTCCAGTTTCATCATCTTCCGCAGTAACCCATCAACCATCCAGGTGGGCATCAGACTCATGAATCGCCCCCAAATCGCATCTTGGCCTCTCCAGATAATAGCCGGGGGGTTTCGCTGCATCAAGTCACTCACAACTCCAGCAGCCCACTGTTCGGCCGTGATGCCTCGCCCATCGAATTGGTCTTGGCTCATGACATCCTCCACAACGGCGCGGGCTGGCTCAAATAGAGATCCTCGAGGCAGCTGTTGCGATTTGCCCTCGACATTGTTGTTTTGACTGTTCTTGATGAAATTCGTCATGACCATGGCGGTTTTGAGCTCGACCACGCGAATTCCCAGGGCTGCGAACTCTAGTCGCATCGCATCGGATAGTCGTGCAAAGGCAGCTTTTGAAGCACTGTAAACGCCCTGAAAAGGCAAAGCCGCCACTGAGCCGACAGAGGTATGGTTGACTATCATTGGTACTGCGAGATCGTCCTTGGCAGCCGAAGGAGCAGAGGATCGGGATCTCATTAATAAAGGCAACAGTGCTTGAGTTACAGCAAGCTGGGCCCATACGTTTAGATCGAAAAGCGCCTTGGCCGAGGCTAGTGATGCGTCCGAAATTGGCGCCGTATAGTGTCCACCAGCATTGTTGATGAGAATATCCAGTCCTGCCGGGACGGAATCATTGTCAGAACTAGACTTGGTCGAAATAGAGCGCTCGACAGCCTCGACGGCAGACTCGATAGAAGAGGCCGACGTCACATCAAGAGTCAGGATCTCTATGCCTTGAGATGCGAGATCAGACAGCTTCGAAGGGTCGCGTGCAGTAGCAAATACATGGTGTCCAGCTGCATGGAAGGCCGATGCGAGTGCGGCTCCCATTCCACCTGGTGAGCATCCAGTTATGAAAACCGTGAGTCGTTTAGAGGGTGCCATGATGGTTGAAAATTGGGTTTGTTTTTGAATGATATGGTTGAGTGGACTCCTAGATAGCTCAGTCGACACATGAATAGTTCGGTGAGATACATTACACGGATGGCTGTAAATGCATGTTTTTATACGAATCGCTACCATTAGACTTCAGGTTGGGACTCGGAGCTGTCATATCGTAAGAGCGGCGTTGCGGACTATGGGCTAAGCGGCGGAGTTTGAGCTGGCGGATTATGCGGAAATCGGACTATGTTTAGCCAAGCATCTCAGCACTAGAAGGAAAATAAGACAACGCAACTAAGAATTTGGAATCGATACTAGGTAAGCATCTTGAATGAAAGTTGAAATGTCCATTAATCGGATGCTTTATATGCCGCGCTGCCACTTCTTAATCATTGAATTTGGCGAGTGTCAGTTATGCAAGAAAGCTGTGTATCACTGGTCAATACTATGTAGCGACTAGGTACCTATAAATGACTGGCTGGACAGTTTGAATTGACAAACTGCGGAATTGATGCGAGAAAAACCGATCTTTTCCTTCCAAACGATAGAATGTACATAAATACTTGGGCAATCTCACACTATCAGACTCGACGATCCCCTCTCGTTGTGCTAGACAAGCTGCCATATTCCTCAGCCACAATGTGGCGCATGAGGTGAAGAAATGGTCCACTTTTTTCAATTGACAATACATAGTAGTATAGCATGTAACCATCATGTAACGATCTCCAACAGTGTTAAATAGCATATTTTGGGCCTCACTTTTTGAGGCACCTCCACCACTTAACCACCATCTTGCGGCGACTAAGCTGGACTTTCTCAGGGTCACTACTGACCTTGTAGCATTTTAAAAATTAAAGGAGCATTTATATCTATGTGAAATCATTAATATGCCATGCAATTGACAGCTGTCGACCCTGTTTCGGCTCTTCAATTTTTTAACTGATTTCGTGCGTGAGATTGTACCCACCTCGGAAGATTAGGGGTGTACTATTCTTAAATCGTCCTAAGCTTGTCGCATTCAAAATTCCTTTCTTCTTCGCACATCCTCACCAGACCCTCGATTGAAAGACTATGCTTTGCAACCGCAGGCTTCATACTCAATTTCCTCGATTGAACATGGGTCCGTCAGAGATTGCATCATATCATACCACGAATAACCCTTTCGACACAAGTCGCCACGCGCACCGAACGATTGACGAAGATGTGGCTCTGAATCGCCTTGAAGAAGAACTCGGCAATATCCAAGACGCTGCCAAAGTTCTGAGAGATCAGCTTATCGGCATTGAAGAGAACATTGCCAGATTCTGCGAGAAAGAGATTGATACTGCTGCCGAGCTGATAATCTCTTTTGAGGCAGAGAAGGCTAGAAAGTTAAAGAACATCAAAGCTTTAAATAGCCGTTCTGGTTCCCAATACTCTATGGTCGAGTTGTCTAGGACCCGACCGAAACCATTTGGCCATATACTCGAAAAAGTATTGCAAGGGAGAAGAGTGGGATATTATGACACCACCGATACTTGGGAAGACGCTCGTGATGCAGACATGAGCCATGAGTATGAATGGATGCGGGATTCAGGACCGCGTGCTGAAGAACTGCAAGTCATTGAGCTTTCTGAGGATGAACCAGACGACCATGCGCCACAACCTAGGGCAAATGCCATCAGAAACTGCGACTCCTGGTTGGATATCTCTGCCGGGGCCCGTCATTCTGAAACAAGAGATTACTTGCATCACATCAAGCAGCAACGCCGAAGAGGTATCAGGCAAAGCAACGTGGGACCAGAATTCAGACAGCCCCGTATCAGGAGTTCTGATGTATACATCGAGGAGTTTATTTTCACCTTGCGGGAAGATCCCCGCAACTCCTATGTCCTGAGATGCCCAAATGCGACCGAAATCCGAGCAACGTGCAACGGAATGGTGACAGAGTTCCTTGATGGCGGGATATTCACGAAAAAGCCTTTTGGCAGGGGACGTGCTTTTCAACACTTTTTGGAGTATCATTCCGACATATTCGATCTTGATCATTATCCTTCAAATGAATCAATATTTTATAAATGTGCGAGAAGAGGTTAGTACCACCTTGATGGCTCATTCTTCGCACTACTCACATGGCCGGTGAAAAGTGTGCTGGGATACGGTCCCGAAAGACAGACTAAACAAAGACGGCGAGGGCCCGGAGTGTGGGCTTTTTGATTGTAAGCTTGTATTGAATCCTTCTTCAAATCTGGATAATCAAGACTGATTATGCTCATAGATCGACCATCTGGAAAAGTTCTCGAGTTGGCAGAAGACATATGGGAGGAAATAAAACTTGACCTCGACCATGATGATATCTCCGCCTCCGGTGATGAGGGTCCCGAGGACCACGAAACCAATGAGGGGACATTACAATCAGTGCCGGAAACCAGAAACGACGAAGATCGAGTAATCGAGAATGGAACCAGGACGGTTATCAGATACCAAATAATTCAGGATACTCCTTTGCGCACGCCGCAGTCAGCACATATCCACCGGCCTATTCCATCTGCCTCACTGAGCAATTCGCGAAAGCATCCCTGATCAATGTCTCCAGTAGGACACGATCGCAAAAAGCCAACGACTCAGCGAAACAACAACAACTTCCTGGTCAATTGAGTCGGAATGATTCGCCAGAAGAGGCTACCGATTGTACTGCAGGGGCTTTTGACTCTCCGTTGTGCGCACCATTCCTTTCTTGTTTAGAAGAATCATTTTCATATTAACCTCATCTTCTTCGACTCGTTCGTTTCACAAGATCAACAAGTATACATGTATACTATCTGCGAGTTGCATGTATCGCGCAATTAGGATTATGTATGCCACACGCACAAGATCTTCCCGGGGTGGAGTCAAAATTGACTGACAAAGCCAGTTCTTTTTACTTTTCTTCTTTTTTCTTTCAGGGGGGCAGCTTTGGTCTTCAAGATAACCAAGTCACAATTTCTATTATTTCCTACAAATTATATGATGCAGTCAATAGCGAACAACTATAAGCGAAATGAATATGCCAAGCTGCTGTCTTTTATGATCCCATTCATTCGCTACGAAGGACTTACGGTTTTATGGACCAACTTGAACCCCCAAAAAGCGGAAGACAGTGTTGATGGGGCTCGAGCTGTATACTCGATCCATACTTTCTTGATGGGTTGAAACTAACGAGTGGATCGCGGCGCCAGTGGTCGTCGTACTGTTGTTTTCACATGTCTCTTTACTCGTCATGTTGCTGGGTAACAGGTATGGAGACGCATTATACAAGACTGGCAGCATTTTCTTATACATGTAAGGCTTCTTTGATGAGGTGTATCAGCCCGACCATCTGCTAGTTGTGATGAACAGATTTTTTTCGCGACAAGTGAGGCGTGCTGAAGACCGCAAGAATAATGCTTGCGACGATTGCACGATAAGCAATTATTCCGTGTTGCTTTTTTTGGTCCTAGGGTCTAGTCCTTGGGTGGGCTGCCCCCGCCTACGATCCCTTGTAGTTTGGCGATTCTGGCCTAGAAACTCTAGCCGAACGCAAGGAGCTTGGGCCTTTGTCTCCAACGGTTACAGGCGGACCCTTACCATACATTAGCGCCTTCGTCACCTGGACAGCCCCTCAATTGCGACGAGATAACCGGCAACAACCCAGAATGACGTTCTCGGGGATCATGGCTCTGCAGCTGCCCTGTCGGACCATTTTTTTGTTATTTTGTTGTTGTTCCTTTCTGTCCATGAGAACAACCCGATTGACTTATTAGCTTCTTCTCGGCTGCTGTCGCATGGACGTCTCGTCTTGCTCAGTACGACCACCGTCCTCTTGAGCCGACATCATGGCTGTCCCCAACCCCATCGCCTTCCGTCCTAAGCAGGTCACCTTCTGGACCGCGCTGGCCTATCTTGCGCTGCTCATACCTCTGATCATCGTCCATGAGACTGTTCCGGCGGCTCCCTCCCCCGAGAAACTCCAAGATGGCCTCAATCTCGTCGAGGCCTGGTCCGATCTTGCCACCCTCTCTCGAGCGTATCACCCGTACAATAGTCGGGAAAATGATGTTGTCCGCAAGTGGCTTCTCGAGAGAATAAGTGCGATCAAATCAGAGACCGGGGCCCACAGCGACAACCTCGTCATATTCGACGACAAAGTCAACAACATCACCATGGCAGGTGACGAGAGGGCCCCGAAACCTCTCCAAGGCCCAGACTTTCACCCCAAGACCATTGGGACATATTTCGAGGCCAACAATATCGCCGTTTATATCCGTGGCAAACAGGATCCTGCTGGGAGTTGGTGGGAGAGCGACTCCAAGGAAAAGCCCATAGGCAAAGGAGGGGTCCTGGTGAATGCGCATTTCGATTCTGTTTCGACAGGATTCGGCGCCACTGACGATGGTATGGCTGTAGTGTCCATTCTTCAGCTCATCAAATACTTCTCCCTCGAGCACAACCAGCCAGAGCGGGGCATCGTGGCTCTTTTGAACAACAATGAGGAGGATTGGCTCTGGGGCGCACGCGCATTCGGTTACCACCCACTCATGCCTTTTTGCCATGTTTTCTTGAACCTAGAGGGTGCTGCGGCTGGAGGCAAAGCCAATCTATTCAGAACCACCGATGCCGAGGTTACTCGCGCGTACCAAGGTGGCACAAATCCTTTTGGATCTGTGGTGTTCTCCGATGCTTGGCAACTTGGAGTCATTCGAAGTGGTACTGACTACTCCGTCTTTCATGATATCTACGGCATGCGCGGCCTCGACCTGGCCTTCTACAGACCCCGTGCGAGGTACCACACGAATCAAGATGACACTCGCCACACATCCGTCCACAGCTTGTGGCACATGCTGTCGCACGCCGTTCATACCACTAGCAGACTGTCTGGCGATACTGGCGAAACTTTCCTTGGCGAGCGGCCAGATCAAGATCAAAGCAAGGTCTCCAATGGTTCTCCGAGTGACGGTGTTTGGTTCGACTTGTTTGGGAAGGCTTTCATCATGGTCGGCTTGAACGACTTGTTTGCATGGTCTGTCAGTCTGCTAGTAGTGACACCCCTCGCTCTTATTTTGCTCTCCGTGATTCTTGCTCGATGCGACAAGTTTTACTTCTTCTCATCAAAGAAGTCCGCTCAAGAGGACGAGGGCGTTTCGGTGTCGGTTGCGCTTGGCGGTCTCAAAGGAATTGTCCGGTTCCCGTTTGCGCTCCTTGTCGCGGGAGCGCTGGTCGTCGGCTCGGCATATCTACTCAAGAAGATCAACCCCTTTGTCATTTACAGCCACGAGTACACAGTCTGGGCCATGATGCTGTCCCTCTTCTACTTTACATTCTGGGTCATTGTGGCAGCAGCAAATTTCTCCCGGCCCAGTGCACTGCATCGGGGTTACGCATTGCTATGGTTGTTCCTCATGACATGGGCATTTTTGGTAGCAGTGACGGTTTACGAACATCAGCGTCACATTGCCGCAGGCTACCCATTTGTATTTCTGCAATCAGCTGTCTTTTTGGCCACTCTACTCAGTCTGTTGGAACTATCTGGATTACCAAAGAAGTCGGCATTTGCCCAAAAGGTCTACGCCAATCACTCCTCGCGCGAGTCCCTTGGTACCGAGCCGGACAACCAGGCTGAATCCCAAAGCGAACCTGGTGCAGCTCAGGATGGCGATGAACAGGGCGATGAGGCGACCGAGGATAGCCCTCTGATCGGTGGAAGCAGCAACAAGAACCGAGGCTCGACTTTTGGAACAGTGTATCGAAGACCTGTGTCTAGTAGCGAAAATCAATCATCGGCCGGGGACGGTACCAGCAGCGAACCATTCGGCCACGAGCAGCCATGGTCGGGCAAGCTACCAAGCTGGCTTTGGTTTTTCCAATTCCTTCTGATTGGACCATTTTTCTTCACAGTGTTCGGTCAGTTGGGTCTGGCACTAGTAGCATCTGTCAAGGAGACTGGCGCCGATGGAGGCAGTACGCTGATCCCATATCTTTTGGTGGCTATCACTAGCATATTGCTCGTCCTGCCCATCACGCCATTTGCCCACAGGATCACCCACCACATTCCTCTGCTTCTCCTTGTGGTCTTTGCCGCCACACTGACGTATAACCTAATCGTTTTCCCCTTTAGTGCTTCATCCAGGTACAAGATCTACTTTTCCCAAGATGTCAACCTAGATACGGGAGAATCATTCGTGCATTTGATGGGTGTTGAAGAATACGTGCGCCAAGCTATGGCAGTGATACCATCTGCTATGAACAGTGAGGTATCATGCGAGGCCAAGGCATCCGACAGACCTGATATGGGCTATTGCACGTACAATGGCTCTACGGTGCTGCCGCAGGTCGGCCCTCGACACCAAAATCTCACAGATTGGATCTCTTTCAATGCCACTCGAGACTCTCACAAACTCCACTTTGAAATCGATGGTGTTGAGACGAGAGTTTGTGGCGTGCGGTTTCCCGAGCCAGTCTCCAAATTCCAGGTCAAGGGCGGCAATCCGGTCGATAGCCGCTTTGGAGCAATCCCCAAGAGTGGCTTGGACAGTATCATGCTCTATCGCCGCGACTGGGACAAGCCATGGGCGGTAGAGGTTGAATGGCCAGCAGGCATAGACCTTGACAAGAAGATTGATGTTGAGGTGTTTTGTAAATGGAACGACGCGAACAAGCAAGGAGCAATCCCAGCACTGGACCAAGCTCTCCAATATACTCCCGATTGGGTCGCAATCACCAAACTTAATGATGGATTAGTATACGGTAATAAGTCATATACGGTATAAGAAGGTATATGGGTGTTCATGGTTGTGGCGTCAAGGCATCTTCCCTAGGTACATATTTAATGAGTGCACTGCTTCTTGTTTGTAAAGCCGGCGAAATACACTCTAATTTACGTCTGATCATTTTGACGCGCCATATTTGTCTATGTCTTTGCTTGAAATATGGACAATATTTCCCATTAGAAACCACAAACTTTTCAACTCTCCGGGGCAAAGCTTAATACCCTGATGATTTTTGTGGGAGTGACTCGCAGGGTCGGAATGATTTCGCCATGTTCGTCCACACCCGCAGAATCTTCCATTGTAGGTCTTACCATAGTAAAGGTGCTCATAATACAATCATCGTACACGCCCATGAAGCTAACTGGCACGCCAAGGTCAGGCAGACTCGTTGTAGCCACCAAGACGGGAGCCTCCGTGGTAATGGCCGCATTGGCATCGAGGGTCAAGATGTAAATCTTGTTCCTGATTTCAAAGAGGACGCGCTTGCCTCCAGCCGTCTCGCTTATCGACAGCCAGCCACCCAGGTCGAATTCTGCGCCATTGCTCGGCTCGCACTCAATAATGGACGTGACGGCGGCAAGATCAGCGTCGCTGCGCAGGGCCCGCTCCCAGTCGGAGCACACCACGACGCGGCCGCCCCTGGAAACTCCGACCATGGTGTTTCCGTCGAGCATGCCGGCGCCCCACTCGTCGTCTGATATCGGCGGGGTGTGCACGGCTGCGGGAATGGGCTGCCCGGACCTGAGTGCCCCAGGAATGATTCGGCAGGGCGTTAGACGGTCTTGTTGTGGCGTCCTTGGAGGAAAGGGGGCGTGGTCTTGGTCGTCTGAAGGGACGAGTCTTAGAATCTCACGACGGACTGCTCCATGTTAGTGCATCGAGAAACATTACAGGTTTGGAAAGAAGCATTTGCCGCCATGTGTTGCTACAACTTACCCATGGCAAAATCAGAGCGCGGCGATGTGGGATGGTTGACATGGTACATTTTAAACGGGTCTACCTGGTGCGGCCGCAGCTGGCCCAAGGACTCGCCCGTCGTTTTATCATAAAAGTGGTACCCCTCGGCGCCCATGGAATACATGACTGCACGCTCATTTTGGTCTAGATGACCCACGGCACCATGCGGAATGTCGAGACGGGTGCGCAGAGTGGGCTTCTCCTCACCCGGGGGCACATTATAGACGAAGCCGTGCCCGTCGGTCGACACGACGCACAGGGTGCAATAGGACAGTTGAAACCCGCGCGTCTCGGCGTCGTGGTGAAGCAGCTCCACCTGCCGGAACTGGCCCCTGGGCAGGCCCGCGAGGTCCGTCCGCCAGACCTCGAGGGTGTTGCCGAAGCGGTCCCACACGGCCGTCCCGGTGTCGGGCTCGTACTCGAGGTGGGCGTAGCCGCGCACCTCGCCGTCGCCCTGCAGCGACCACAGCGCCGCGCCCGTGTCCATGTCGGTGACAAAGACGCCGCCGGCCTGGCTCGTGGAGATGACGAGCCGCCGCGCAAAGTCGGGCTTGAAGCGCCAGACAAAGTGCTCGGGCGCGTCCACGTGGATGATGGACTCGGTCGTGGTAGGGCGGTAGGCGTTCCAGTTGCGGGCCAGCTGCATCCGCCGCCGGCACGCCTCCTTCCACGACGCGGTCTCGTGGCCGTACTTTGCAAACGACGTTGCGGCCCGGAAGGCATCGGCTGGCTCGGCGCCTCCGCGTACTGCTGCCCCTGTTGACATATCATCTTCGACCTTGGCTGCGTATATCACGTCCGCATAGTCGGCGTCAATGAAGCCGTGCCAGGCCTGATTGAGTCGCGTGAGCTTGGCCAAGCTGTCTGGCGATGCAAACTCTAAGATCCGCAGGACAATCTCCGTGGGCAGCGTCGTTAATGGGTCCATGTTGACATGAACTCTGAGCAGAATTGTATAGTTTGTCAACCAATTGGGGCAGGGGTTGGACAACTTAACGTAGTTGTAGAAGTTTATATCGTTCGAGAAAATGAAAAACTTGAGGCGCACAGTGGGTTGCACATGAGAAGCTATGGTGGGGCTATTACATAGTCCGTGGAGACAGATGGGAATGCTCTGTAGATCACATGCATGTGGTGACTATCCCTTCTTATACTTTATTTGCATCAGATTGGTTGCAGATAAATATACTTGAATTGAAATCACGCTTCAAGAGATGTCTAATTGTTCTCGTTTTCAATCAAGATTCTGAGAAATTTTGAATGATATTTGGCCGCATTTCACCGTGACCCACCGGACTATAGCGCGCTGACATCATTGTACTTGGCACTTTTATAGACTCAGACAGCCGTGTGATAACCAGTGATTAGAGTTCTCACCCTTGCAATAACCGCCCACAGTCCCAACAACCTCCGATAATTCTCCAGAAGTTGTTATACACCTCCTCCAGCATTATAAACGTTAGATCGGTACCAAGCCCCATATTTGAATCCAGTGATTTACCACGTACTCTCCCATATATTTTGTGCTGCTTAATACTGGCTGTTATAGAGGTTCTTCGCCTGGTGCCCACACCAGTTGCTAGAAATTTCTATAAGCCGTATTGTACCATAGAAAAAACAAGGGAAGATACCAGGCACACCAGAGCAAAGAAATATGGGGCATGTACCGATCTAACGTATATTATGCTGGAGGAGGTGTAAATCATCATTTCGTTCACACGTTGACAAATACCTGGGGTTCCCCTTGATTGTCGCCGTATGAACCTATGATTTGGCCGAGTGATGATTGACTAGTATAAGTACGGAATGCGCTGCTATTCACTACCGGGAAACACCAATCGCAGAAACTGTCTTGTGTTAATTTGCGCGTTTGGTGCTCAGTATTTGCTGAGCCAGAAATCTACTTAGTTATTCAGGCATATAGATGGCCAATCTGGATCCGGCCGACTTCTCCTGCACTAAAGCCAGCATGCGATACCTCGTCATCCGTAGCCTTGCCATCATGAACAGAAAATTCACCCCAAAACAATTTTTCTTCCGCCAGGCATCGTTCGGCCCTTGAATTCGAGTCATGCCCAATTGAGAACTGAGAGTCGTAGGCAGTTTCGACGTTGTACCTCATATTTGAATATAAGCCCGGGTCATTTGATTTTCCTGCCTGTCTCTCATGACTAGTCTCAATATCTGGCGATCCAGCTTGACGTAGGGGAGGGCAGGTTGCGGCAGCCAAGGAGGCGCTGCAATTTGCAACCAATGGCATATAATTTGCTCCTTCATACCTCTTGAACCAACCCAGCGCACAGACGCCCAAGAGAAAGAGTGCCAAGATACCCAGCGATGCCAAAATTGGGCCAGAAGAGTATCCAACAGTTGAAATCAGATTATCCAGATCCTCGAGACCGTCTGGTTTATAGACCGAGACGCGAAGGACAAACAGGCTTTGCGACAGACACCAGTGTAAAACTGTGCTTATGGTCATGAGAGGAATAGCAAATTTCCAAGGCAACTGCAAGAAATACGTTCCACGTTGTGCCGTGTGTCGTCTCGGGAAACTGACTCGGAGGCCGCGATCACGTACGGCGTAGGAGCTAATTTCATGATGAGCAAGCATCGACGTCAGCACCGAGTTGCACGCAACATAGACATATGTTACGGCAACTTGTGGCACGTTGGCGATTAGAGTGCTCCTGACGACACCCAAGCTCTCGCCCGGTCCGGATCCTTTACCCACCGAGATTGTGGCCTGGGTGGAGGCCTGGCCAAAGTCGAGGAAGAGATAGCCATCTAAGCCAAAAGCAAAGAATAGGGCAATGAGAGCAATGATGGACAAGCCGGACGGTAGCATGTATGTCAACCATGTCACCCCAGATGGGCCAGTGTGCCAGCGTGGTGCTTTCTCCACCGCCCTCTTTCCCCGATGTGACTGTTTTCGCCTGAAGAATGGCAATGACGGCAATCGTGACGGTGAGGACTCTCCGACTGTTTTGTTTTGCCGTTGGCTTTGTCCGCCAAGCCACTGAAGAGGCATTTCTGTTCCGAAATCCCAGAAGCCTGCCTCGGTCATGTCGTGGCCTTGTTGCCTACCGCCTTTCCGGACGAGGCGAGCTGATGCAAGACACCGCCCGGCGAATCGAGTATCGGGTTGGCGCAGATAACTTGCGATCAAATCTCCATTTGTGACGATGCGCTCCTCACCTGCGCGCCGTGGCTGGTGAGACGTTAGAACCCATGTGCATAAGAAGCAGAATACCTTGATGGCATTGGCGGCAGCAACCACATAAAGTATGGCGGGTGTGGTTCCGATACGGCATGGCCTGTCGACGGTCTCTGCGAGACATCCCGTGACAGAGGTATTGGAACTGGCGATATCTGCTAGGTACTGGTTTGATTCCAAGGTCCTCCAGCCCGAGGCGGCGGACAATGGAGTCCAGTATGAGCCGTTGTTTTCAGCGAGGCTTGAAATCTCACACACGGTCGAAAAGGGAGATGGAAAGCCACAGACCCAGGTGTCTCCAACACCGATCGTTCCATTATCGCCATGTTCATCTGCACCAGTAGTGTGAATCCCTGCAAAGAGCAAGGTGTTTGTTTTGTTCTCAAGGTTGAACACAAGGGCGACATTGCTGTATTTTTGAAGCATCGGCGTACCATATTCCGTGATGCAATCAGAAGCCGTAAGACGAGTGACATTTGGGCCGCTCATGGCCTTGAGCCAGACATCGCTAAAGTTCTGGTGATCTCCCGTATACCACCCCTCGATAAAAAGAGGACCATCCACGGTGGCATTGATGCCAGAATCAAAGTTGGATGTTACACCACCGACATAAAAGTCGTTCGAACTGACAGTTTGGACAATGGCCGAATTCCACAGCAAATGCAACGGAAGCGAGGTGACAGCGAGCAGAACACAGAGTACTGACCTCCGCCAATCGACGTGTGCGAGGTTCTGGAAATTTGGCACGCCGATTCGTAGCCATTGTCGTTTGCTGTGAGCAGCATCAATTTCGTCTCTGGTAGGCGATGCCAATATTTGCATGCAGTAATTTGAGCATCCCAATAAAAGAGTCGACAGAATGTTGATAATTAAATGCGTAACAAGTGAAATCGTTTTCGTTGTTTGGCAGCTTCCTTCATGAAAAGTCGAAAGGCCGTCTTCGACTACGATGCCGGCCAGATTTCGCGTCTTGTTGAGCTGGGCTATAGTTGCCAGAACCAGGTTCAGAGCAAGCACCGCTGAAGAAACGGTGATGCAGAATGCAATTCCGGTTCGCCATCCCTTCCAGTAGTCTATGAACCGATCCTTGCTTGTCTTCGCGCGATGCTTCGAAAATATGGCCAGTTTTTGTAGCCATGAACGATTGCTGCCTCGCGCGACTCGTCCCGTACCGGGCTCCTCAATCCATTGTGACCCTCCTCCTGGGATGTCAGTCAGTGGTACTGGCTCCCACTGTGGCATGGCGAGTTCGATGCATTCGCAAAGCGTGGGGAGACGAGAACGGAATCAACCACAATGAAGCACAAATTCAACGACGAGGCTCTTGGAGTTCTTTAAGAGCAAGAATTCTTCCAGGGAAATGTTTTCTACAAAAAAGGCGACTTTGACAAGCAGCTGACGCTCTGAAAAGACCCCTGTTAGAGGCTCCCTACTTGGATCCTTCGCGTCTTTTCATGTCGATCCCCGCCCCCAAAGGAGGCGCTGTCGTCGAGTCGAGTCGGCGCTCCCAGCAATCAGGAAGCGGGCCCAAGGCCCAAGCGAGCTGAACTAATAGGAAGAAAAAGATGGCAAGGTACATACGGTGAAAGGAGGCTAATTTCGCAAGTCAATGGCTTGGCAGGACTCAAGAATCTTGCCCAAGGTATGAGAGATCCAAGATTTTGGTATTCCGGTCGTGATCGTATGAAACCTGAGAGGGAGAAGGAGTATTATTCTCATTCTACGGAAAGGCTAACTTGAGAAGTTTCAAGCTAATTTAGAACCCTCGTTGGCGGAGGTTGTTCTTTCTGCACAGGTAAACCACTGAAGTGCACTGGATTAAGCTTAACTTCTAGCATTGCAACGTTAGATTTAGTGACCTATTTTGGGCTTTCCAGCACCTCAATTCCCCACAACCAATACGTACGGCCATGCACTGGGTAAGCTCGATTGCAGCCACTTCTCGCCTCATGGGTTTCACGATTATGCAAATTGCACTTTGGGCATCTCGATGTGCACCAACCACGACATCATGCAATCTCTGCGCTGGAAAGCGAAGCCGCCTGTGCAGTCCTTCTGCCAAGAAGTGTTTCTTTTTCTGTAGGCAGCAGAAATAAATGTAGAAATTCATTTGCATTCCGCGGTACCACGAGACCAAGAAGTCCTGTCTAGTGGAGCCAGCACAGACATAATCTCAAGGGTGACGTTAATATGCACTTCACAATCAAGGCCGGTCTGATTTAAACACACCAGGAGACCAAGCCTCAGCCTCGTTCCTTTTGTTCACGAGAGAGCTTGACGAACATCTCAAAACATCCCGTTGCTAACAGGTTATGTCTCGCTAGACCTATAAGCTCATAATTATTATTGCTACTTGAAGTTTAATGTTAATCTATTATATAGGTAATTGACCCACAAGAGCATAACCATCTTGCCAAACCATGACCAAATCTTCAGGAGAAAAACCATATACGAATGTAGTGAGCCGTTTGGGGGCTTTTGTCCGGTTTTTTTTTTTAAACTTGTCGTAGTCGCTCGAGATCCAGGCATAGGTTACACTATCTCAGGCAGCCTTTCTGCAAGGAGGGGAAAGGAGAGGAAAAGAAAAGAAAACATAGTGAGGGGTTGCAACCAATGCCGGCTCATTGGCGGGAGCCTCGCCAGTAAAGGTACACGAAGACTTTTTCAAGGATCACTATTAAGTCGCAAGCAGAAACTGTTATTCACACGAATTCTGGAACTTCTTATACAGGTAGTAAATGCTCTCCATTTTTCAAATCTAAGTAATGTTGTAGCCATAAATTGAATGGGCAAACACAACCATGTCGGCGACATTTCTCTCTCCACCGTTCAACTACCAGTCTCGCATAGACTCCGCCTGGCTTCGGCTGCTTCAACCCATCGAAATCTCCCAAAAAAGACTCTCTTTCAGAATCATCCAGCTACGGAGAACAGCGGTGCCAGATTACACTGCCGTGTCGTATACTTGGGGGGATCAGTCACCATCCGAGGTCATCTATTTGAATGGCCAGAAATTCAACGTCCGGCCCAACCTCTGGTCATGCCTCTACTACCTGGGTCGAGCCCAGCAGACATCGCCCGTCGGTTATCTCTGGGTTGATGCGATTTGTATCAACCAGAGCGATGATGTCGAGAAGACAGCACAGGTCCGTGTTATGGACCAAACATACCGCGATGCAGCATTCGTCTCGATTTGGCTTGGTCTAGTTAGCCTGCCCGACCATGTTACGGTTGAGAACATCAACAACGCTCCAATTAAGACATTGGATACGGACTTGTTCGACTGGCAAGATTCAATGATTGATGTTTCCAATCGCTCGTATTGGTCGCGAGTCTGGGTGATACAAGAGTTCCTTCTGGCCCGCCACATTAGGCTGCATTGCAGCAACTGGAGCATCGACGGCGACGAATTCAGTGATATACTTTGCCGGGAGGCGGGAATCGACCATTTGTCTGATGATCCTCTCCCCAAAGCCTCCCGACAAGCGCGGTCAAACATTGATGCACACGGTGCACTCCCACTGATTCTTGGTCGGCATGTGGATAAGCACCCAGACTTCCTCCAACCGCTTCATCGTCTGATTACTGAGCATCGCAAGTCAATGTGCGGCGACCCGAGGGACAAGGTGTTTGGTCTCCTTGGCCTTGTCACTATGGATGAAAGGAAACTCCTTGAATGATATTTCCCAAACTATGAGCTGTCCAAAGATCACGTCCTAATCATCACCTTGGCCCATCTTACCCAATTTGGCCCTTTGGTGTCGTCGCTCAGGGATCAAGAGACCATCACACCACGGTCTGATGATTTATTTGAAGGACTTGGCGTAGGCTCTCTTGCCCAGAGAAAACGACTTCTCCATCGATCCTCCAAGCTTGATTACGTTGGGCAGTTCTCAAGCGAACAATTGTCACGGATCCTCGAGTCCCAAGATGAGTTGGAGCCATATGAGGCGAGTGTGGAGCCCGATGAAGAAGCCGGTATCGATGCTCCGTGGGCCGGTGAGGCCCGGTTGAGAGCAATGGAAGCTTGGTCCAATACTGTCACCGGAACTATCACTCTCGTGATCATTGGCTTGGTCCTTGGTTACTTCAATTATGTCAAGGAATGGAAGTGATTGCGTCGTTTCACAGGGTTCATGATACATGAAGAGGATCTTGAGAGATGGAGCATCAAAGATAGCATCTTGACTTGTTACTCACCAGGTCTGGTTTCTCGTATATGTGATTATGGCAACCTAGGGCAATGCAATGTGGCCTTCAACCATGGCTCGATAATTTAACTACTTGACGTTTAGGCGGAATCTGCAAGGACAGGTAGAATTGCTTGAACGCAACCGACGTGGGCTTGGGTGCACTCAGACAGGATTCGCAATTGAAGTAAAAGCATTATCGTGGTAGAAATACATATTAGACAAATTATCGCACGCCCGCAACTCCGTAACTATGATTACCTATGCCGTCCTAACAATTGATCCCATCATAACAAGTTCGTGTCATAAGTCTCATTTGATGACATGATAGCATACTAGGGAGTGAAACATTCGCCCCAAACGCCGGCTGATGTGAACATGATCGAACAAGCTGGAAACAAGGACTTCTCATCATCATTGGCAAAATGCAAAATGCTCAACCTTGCGTGCCGTACTCGGCAGAATTTTCGCGAATCAACGGCATGCGCTCCAGAGCGGGAGCATCCTCGTGGTGAACTTCAACTTCAAAGTCCCTACCCTTGATGTAGACATAGCTGGTGATTGCTATGCCTATTATCGTACCCAGCACGCCCATGACAGCATTGATAGGGGTAGGATCACCATTTAGAGGTCCATGCGTGAGGGCATCAAGTCCAGACTGACTAAAATTCACCAGCCCACTAAGGCAGGTGATCATACCGTATACACGACCGAATGTGGCAAAGCCAAACACCTTGGTGGCATAGTCACTAAGTAATGTTAGCGTGACTGGGATGATATCGTAACAGGATGCACCTATACTTACGATACAGCCGAGTAGTAAAGCGGGCGAAACAGAACGAAACTGATCACAGTCGCATAGCCGGCCCAGACAAACGGTAGGCAGTTCAGAACTCCGATCAACGCAATATAGCCGGTGAGGACAGCAAGGACAGTGGCGACACTCATGTTATTGAGTAGCATGCCAATGAAGGGAGTAGCGGCGATACCGCCAACGGGCAAGGCAATGTCGAAAAAGTCATTGATTGCCACAGCGTACTCTTCCGAGCTCAGCATGTAGCGGTATTGGGCACGGATGGTGGCGATGAAGTAGTTCATTCTGAGCATCTGCAGTACCGTTAGAAGGAGGATGAGAATGAACCAAGGGGTAAGCATTTGCTTGTGGGCAGGAAGGCCGTGGAGCACGCCCCAGACGCCGCTGACCACGTGTCGCTCCTCCTGAATCTGCGCTCTCTCTTCTCTCTGGTCAGCGTCTCCAATGAGATCCTCGAGACGATCCAGCTTGGCTTGGCGGGTATCAGCACGGTGGCTGCGAACCCGTTCCAATTCTCCGTCGCTCAGTTCTTGGTCCGAATCATGCATATCCCGCATGGTGTCTTGTGCTTTCTCAATCTTGTGCTCCAGCTCTGGTGTTGTATGATACTCGCCCTTGGGCATCAAGGCAAACTCTCCAATGAGCATGATCACGGCCACTCCAATGTAGGCAAAGAAGAATTGCGATGGCTCAAACCGATGGCTGGTAGCTTCCCAGGCCAGCCGATAAAACAGAAAGACGGCAGCAGAAGCGTCAAACGCGCCAGTGATTACAGCCACGACAAGTCCGCTGTGTTTGGGAAACGCGTTGGCGAGTTGGAAACTAGGCACAAAGAGGAATGTTCCACCCAAGGCCAGAAAGATATTGCCCACTAGATAACCATCAAACTCGGGAATGGCGAATGCATAGCCCATCAGCAAACAACCGACAATGATGAAGAGGGAAGAAGCAATGTAGCAGACTCGCCGCCCGAATCGATCCAAGGATGCACCAGCAAACAGGGACGAAACGTTGGTAGTGATGGAGGCCGCAACGAAGAACAGGTTGAGACGGAGATCCTGCTCCGTGCAAGGCACCTCAAAGGGGTCTTGATCATCTTCGGTCGCATTGGTTGAAGAGCATAGTTCTCTATAGACGCCTTCTGCTATAAGAACTGGCTTCAGAGAGGCATAGCCAAAGACGATACCGGAAGCAAGGCAGCAAATAAGGACAGCGAAAGCAACCTGGACTGTTTGTTTCGAGTTAGTCGAAGTTTTTTTTTTTTTTTGGCCCTGGATTGGAGCGCCAATATGAATGGTCTCGGAAAATGATTGTAAAGCGACTTACCTATACGCCTAGCTGGGGAGATCTTGTACGCGGCAATGTGCGGAACAGGATCAACGACTTCAACAAAGGCCAGGGGATCGGTGGGCGCAAAAGCGTCGAAGCTCAATCGACGCCACCGCGGCTCGCTCCGGACATCGCAATCATCATCATCTAGGAATGGACTTTCTCGGTCGACGCCCTCGAATGCGGTAACATGCTGGGCGAGAGACATTGACTCTTGTTGAGAAGAGGAGTTATATGATTGGGCGGGAAAATAGGAAAGGCAAAAAAAATGAAGAGTCGCGATTGGGCGAGTTGCGGGAACTTAGCGTTGACGCGATGCGAAACCCAGATGTTGCAATCGATGCTAACCTAGAAGCTGCTCAAGGTCGAAGCGAAAACATGGAGAGGAAAGGGAAAAAAGCGGGCAGCCGAGTCTGCTTTATTCTAGGAAAATAAGGGCATGTTTAACTGGTGGCAGGAAACCCGAGGACAAGAGTGAGAAAAAAAAAAATAAACAAGACGACTCCATCGTCCCACGGAAGATTCCCGATAACGGATGAAATGTACGGAAAGTTGCAAGTTTGGCGAACACATGCAGGTAGCCAGGTTGGCCCAGTGCTGCACGAGGATCGTCTTGTCGTAGACTCGTAGTAAGGGAAACTTCCCACGAGCTTCACCGATTCGCATTATCCGTGGAACATGAAAAGCGAAATGACAACGCGTGACGTAAGAAGAGCGCTAAGGCCTCTGAACCGATAGCGACAGTTCTAGGCCTTTGGGGGGGCTGCCTTTTAGGTGGTAGCACTGGTGGATAGTGAGATTCCTGGACCCGGTCGCTGGAAAACCATGGTAATTTGCAGAAAACACGCCAGTCAGACATGTTAGTGGAAGCGCCCCCTCCTCCCCTGGCGCTGCGCTCGTGCTATGCGTCTATCCAGGTCAGCTAGACTATGCATTTTCCAGATCATCACCTGCCTCCCTCCTAATGCGATTCCAGCGTTATCGGACAAGTACCTGGCAACAGCTTTTGGATGGAGAATCTACTGTTTGTGCGTTGTGCTTTACCTGGGCAATTGGAGGTTGCACGACACACGAAGAACCCAAACCCGGTCCCAAGCTGGAGTCATCTGTAAAAGAGACCAAGACAGCCAACAAACGTGATGAATCCTATACCTTCACCAAAAGACACGGCAATCCAATGAGAGTTTCGAAGTGAGTCCAAGTGGGGCTTGTCTTGACAAACGGGAAAAAAAAACAAGATGGGAACCCTGCCAAAGTTAATTGGCTGGCAGAGTTGCACAATCAAGTCCATGCACAAATGCCAAAGACACTAAGAAAAGGCCATTAGTAGTGTAGTAGGTATAGCATAATGGAAATCAACAGTCCATTCATCTTGCGAGGTTCGTCTGAAGAGAAAATTGCTAGCCGGTACTATTTTAGTGGCTACCGAAATGCGGCTCTAATAACCAACGCAAGCTAAATTCGTCCTTGCGTACTAAAGTGCTCGGTGCTTTGGCGTCTATCTTCTATTTCTTTAAAGTCCAGAAATCTCGGGTCCACATTCCGAGTCTCAAGCTGTTTGTCCTCTACATGAATAACCAAGAAGCAAAGCAGAGACCTTTCCTCACAACACCAACACCTGCCGCTCTCACTGTTTGCTCACTCCACTATTTGGGTATATGCACGTCTCGAACCCACAAGATCAGTCCCCAGTTGAGAGCCGCCAATATCGTGATGACCCAGAACGGCAGCCCCACGCAATTGTTTTGCAATCCCCAACCGAGCAGCAAACCCGCAAGCGTCGGCCCCAGCATCCGCGCCAGACTACTGGTACTTTGTGCCACGCCGTGAACCGTGCCCAGCAGAGTTGGGTGCGGAGCACATTCGTTGACCAGCATGATGGTGGCGGGGCCTACAAATACTCTGGAGAATACATAGGAGACCAGGTCCAGCGACAGAAACGGCCACAGGATCGATGCCTTGTCGGGGAGGAGAACCAGATACGGAAGGGCAAAGTAGGCGAGAGCGCTGAAAGCTAGGAAAAGACGATAAGATGCCTTGATGCCCAGCTTCCCGCTCAGGTAAGGGAAAAGCAGGATCTGCAGAGGAATGCCCACACAGCCAATAATGGTGTTGGCGAATCCCAAATCCCGCGACGACATGCCCAGACCACCCGTGAACCGGAATGGATAATGCGCATTCTCGTTGGATGACCGCGAAGTGGGCAACATGGTGAAGAGAAGTGTATTGAACGACGATACATGCAGTGTCTGGACATGATGTTGGAGAAGCGTGACGATCACGTTTCGGGACCACAGTCGGCGGAGAGGAGCTTTCTCTTCCACTGCCGGCTTTGGACGCGGCGGCGGCGCTTGTTCCACGTCCTCTTCCTCTTCATCTACGGACGCGATGACGAGAGCCTCGCTCTCAGGTCGATTTTGGTCGTTGTTCGTCGCAAGGGGTTCATACTCGTGGTCACTTGTGTTCTTGGAACTGCCCTTGCTGAACATGGTGCGATAGAGCAGGCTTCCGAGTCTTCGTCCAGGATCCGGCTTGTATCGCAACAACGGATGTGTCTCATCAAGACCTAGTATCACGCCAATGGTTGCTATAATCAAGAGCGTGGCGCAAACAAGATTGGGCAGGGCGTAAGGATACTGTCGCATCCACGCCACTCCATCTTTCCCGCCTAGAAGAGACCCTGGACCAAAGACGTCCGGTAGAGACGTAATTGGGTCTGCTAGGAAACCCCCAATGAGAGGCCCAATAATGACACCAACATTGAAGCACATGGGCAACAATAGGAATGCGCGCGACTGGTATCTCTTGTCGACGATTATCTCCGAGACCATGGTCCTAAGCACACCAATATTGCCGTTCAAGGCGCCCTGCACACATCGGAAGAAGACTGCTGTTGCATAAGACGTTGCAAACCCCATGCCGAGCGCAGAAATACATGTTCCCAGGAGCCCAATAAGCAGAACCCTCTTTCTCCCAAACAGTGGGCTGTCGGCCGCATGGCCCCATAACATAGCAGTGACGCACTGCGCTGCAGAGAATGCCGCCGTGAGAAGTCCAGCCCGGCTGGCAATTTCAGAGTCGGGCAGCGCCGGGTCAAACCATCGCAACTGGTAAAACAGATACGAAGTCAGCGATCTGGCGGCCAACGGCTCAGCCAGCCGCGCAAACACAATCATGGCCAATTGGCCCTTGTTCGGTATCGACCTCCATGATACCGGCGGCTCTGATTGTTTTTGTCGCAACATCTCTTCTTCAGCATCGCCGTTGCTCGTCACTGAGCTGCTATCGTTTCTCAGAGTTGACGATCTTCGGGGCCCGAGGAGAGGTCTTTGCTCGCTCGGAATATCACCGTCATTCTCGTCATGGTCTTGATAAGCCGAGCGCTCGGAGTTAGTGCGTCTCTTAAACGGGCTGCCATGTGATGCAGGCTTTCCGCCTTGGGACGCTTCAGCACCCGGCATGACAATTGCTCATATAAAAACGTGTCCTCGAGAACGGCCAGTTTGGAATGGGCAATGTGCAATATGGTTAAAAGCAAGGTGCCTTTTTTGCCGTGTCGCTGATCCTCCGAAAGAATTCGCCCAGATCCGCCCAGTGGGCTCGGCTTTTCATCCTCGTCGGTGCCGCGTCGGCTAAAGAGAGACTGGATTGACAGGGCTCGACAGGGATGTCGCGGTCAGTTCCCTCATCACGTCATTGAACCTCGCTCTTTGCAATTATGAATGTCATCTGGCTATTGAGTACTTGATTCATGGTTGCAAGACTATCAGCTTCCTGGGATATAGTTTTGTCATCGTTATTGTGTTGGTGAAGTAGCTTGCTACCTGCAGGCGGAGGTGACCAAATCAGGACGGATACGACTAATCCGATAGGGAGGGCTGGCTTGGTCGCCAAAGTTGGAGTATTGCTCCCCATATCCAAATCATGGTCCCTGCATATCGCATGTTCAATAATACATTTTCTCCGACATGCTACAACTTGTCTTCTTGCAAAGGCCATTCCGCAAAGCTAGAAAGATGCAAACAATATTTACTTCAAGGCTCATACAAGGGTACAAAGCATTCTTCAGACGATGCCAAAGCCAAGATGACAGACAAGAGGGCAGCAATATGTGTGCATCACAATGATATGGGCCCGCCGCCACGCGGGACAGGCCGCGCAAGACAGTATTCACATCTGACATGGGCCATGTTCCAGCGCAACACCCGAAGCAGGTTCTGGAACTTTTTGACAACCATGTTTCTGCTCTGTACCCCAGTACCATTAGAAATGTGACCTATCTTTAAAGAGATTCTTAACAAAAAAAAAAAAGAAGGGGGGGGGGAATATGGGAAATGATACGGAAAGTAAAAGAAAATGGACAGGCTGTAATTTGACTGGCAGATACTTTCGACATACTCTGCTGATCGGCGGAATTGGCACCATTGATATACGCAGGTGCTTTGGGAACCAAATTGTCGTTTTCAGTACCACACTTGGTCTTGCTCGCACGATTTTCAGGCAGATCGTCGAATCCCACAATGCTAGCGCGACTATCGATGTATTCGCGGCGATGGGTGGTAATCACTTAATCACTCCCACCTCGACACTAGAGAACACTTGATTGCATTTTTTTTTTTTTTTTTTTTTTTAAAAAAAAAAAATCTTCAACCGCATTGATTTTGTATTTCGTATCATCGCATCCGTGACTCTAATTATGCTCTCGTTTTGGAACAATTTATCCAAACATGTCAGCGGGATCCCCTCATCAACAAATCTCCCCTACTGCTACTAGAACTCCAATGAATCTCTGATGTTACTCATAGGTTCCGTATCAACGTCGTCGTGGGATCTTGTGAACTCCGCCGGTTTCCCACTCAATTCCTCCAATCTTTCAACTGTGATCAAGCTCCGAGGTCGACTCTTTGCGGCATCCCACACGGTTTCCCCATTCAAATCCCTGGCACCTAGGTCTGCGCCGTGCTTGATCAGAAGAGCCACATGCTGTGCATCGTCTCTCATCACGGCCAAACATAATGGAGTTCTCATGTCGCCATCCTTGGCATCTATATTCGCTTTCCTATCAAGTAGAATCTCCGAGAGCCTGGTGAAACCATTTAATACGGTGGAGTGCAGAGCCGTCCGTCTCATTCGATTCAGAGCATTGATATCAATGCCTAGAGATAGCGCCTTGAGCACACCGTCCTCGTGGTCTCTCTCGGCAAAGACATGAAGGATCGTCCTTCCTGAAGAATCTCGGACATCGGACTTGGCGCCGTTGGCAAGCAGAACTTCAAGGTCCTCGGGTTCCCATCGCTTGGCTGCCGTAATCAACAGCGGCTTGGTGTCGGTATTTTGTTCGTTAACCTCTGCTCCAAGCGAAAGTAATACTTTCACAAATTTGACCATGTTGGCGTCCACAAATGCATCTAATACAGGGCTGATACGCGGTGGATTCGGAAGTTTTCCTTTTTCAGCAGCTGTAATGCTAATAGCAGTTTTCACTCTCGACCAGATGGCGTCTTTTGAATGAAGAAGCAGATCCAAGGCGGGCTTCAGGGGAGCCTCAACCTTATCCGCTGCGGTAAGCTGCTTCACTTAATTCTGCACATTAGCGATAGTTCTTGTTCATGTACTCCAGCCAAGTACTGAGATTTCATGATCCATGTAAGTTGGAGAAACCCATCCTACGACGAAAGAGGTCTTGTGGCATAAGAAAAGGAAAACTCAGTAAAGCCATCGAAAATACCTACTAATATTACGACCGACATACCAGGCAAGCCGGCAGCCATCAAAATCGTTCCAGAGGAAGAGAATTTGATGTGGGAAAAGATCTCCTATATGCTCACTGTCTGCTCGGCCTTTGTCCGTAGTTATGAACCAATTCATAGTAAACCCTCTCATGTACCAGAGTTGTGCATCGGTGATGGAATCAAGACACGACAATTCTTTGGTACGCATCAAGTTCAGGAAAGACATAATGATAGCCAAATGAGATTTCCCGGCCGGATCAGCCTCAAGGTCCTTATCGAGAAGCTTGATTCCTCTCTGGCCTAGAAAGAAGTCGCGTACCGATTGATGAATGAACTGGACTGTGTGATCTGAGGTGATCTCGACCAATCCCCGGGAAAGGAATCTAACTCGTTTCTCAAAAGCCTTCCAGTCCGCTATATAAGTAGACGACGACTTCCATTCTTGAAGTGAATGGTATGTGTTCAAGCCAAATGAAAGGCATTGGGCCATTTCTCCATCTTTAAGTGGACTAGAGGCAAACAAGACGACCTGGATCAGGAAAACGGTTGTTTTCAAGTCATTTCCTTTCGTATGCTTGAACAAGTCGAGAAAAAGTTCCTCCAATCGGCTCGGCACTGTGTCCAGCCTCTCTTGCAGAGATGCAGGGTTGGCACCCATCCCGGAATCAAAATCCTCGAGCAAGATTCGTACAACGAGTACAGTCCAGAGGAAGATACCTCCGGCCCTCCGTACTATCTGTTCCCGAATCTCAGCGTACATTCCTTTTTGTTCCTCTGGGAATAATTGTGCGTGCACGTAGAGACTGATATCATCCTGATTTTCGTCCTCCACAGTAATCTCAGGACAGTTGCTCACTGTAATGTGAGGGTAATGACGACTCGATAAACAGACGCTTAGTCTTGCACCGTTCGAGGTGGCCGTTGTCGTTAATTTTCGGAAGAAATTGACCAGATCCCGAATTTCGGTTTCCACACACTCATCGAGGCCATCTATGAACAGCATTACAGGTCGGACATGTTTAGTGAGAGCTTCGCGAAAGAGATCCTTCAGTTCTTCCAAGGTCCAAATGCTTTGTGCCTGATTGTCTGGTGGGGTGGGTTTCGCGAGAAACCTCGCCATAAATTTGGATCGAAACACTTCGTCACTTCTGAGCAGCTGATGCCAGAGCGATCGGAATAAACCAAGTGATGTTTTCTGAAGCTCGACGTTGCCACGGCTGTGGAAGAAGAAGCTGGCATAAATGCCCCCGGTCAGGGGTTCCTGCGCGCTCGCATCGTTGAATGCTTTCTTCATCAATGTTGACTTACCAGCTCCGGGTTTTCCTTTGATCCACAGCAGGCCTTGATGCTCTTCGCATTTCAAGTGCTCAAACCAGGTCATATATTTTTCTTCAGCAAAGAGCCACTTGCTGGTCTCGGGATGAGGGCTGTCGATTTGGCTCCTTCGATATTCCATTTCAGTGAACCACAATGAATCCAGGCATTTCTTGAAAATTTCTTCATCGTACGAATCCGAGACTGGCTGCCCGATATCAGATTGAATGGCCGTCAGGCTGGGTGACGACCAACCAACATGGTTGATGGGTACTTTCGAGTGTCAGCCTTTACTAGAAGTAATCCCAAAGAACTCGCTAGGCTTTAGCTCGGGAACACCCACCGATCAATTTTGAAGTACGCTTCTCTGCCTGCTGCACTAATTCGGCGATATCCTCCTTGACCATCGTGTATCCGGGATCATCAGGACCACAAAATCTACACATCATTCTGTGATCGGCATTGATTGTGCGTGATCGCTGACTCGGATGATCCAGGGATGACGAGTCTGGGGGTACTATCTGCATGGATTGTGAGTTTTACCCAAAGCCCACCGTGCCCGTTGCAGATAGACACTTACGAGCTTGTTCATTCCACCCCAAGTCACACCTGTCAAGCCCTTTGACTCTTGGAATGTTCTCACAGTGAGTGAGTCGCCGCGTTTCGCCCATTGTGCCGCGAAGGATTCCCGACACAAATCCAATTCTGGACCAGTGGGGAGCAGCGAATGTACAATCTGCAAGTTTACATCGACGCCACCCAGAAAGCTCAGTAGTTTGGCCATGCCTTCACCGAAAGAGGCCCATTCTTGACTTCCACGGTGGGGAGTTCCCATGAAGAAGACGCCGATAGTAGATTCGAAAACCCTTTTTATCTTTATATCCAGGTCGACCTCAGAACGCCTCAGTACTTCCTTGGTGAGAATACCACCGAGCGAATGTGCAATGAATACCAATGGACGATCTGGAGCAGACCGCCGTTTGGCCTCTAGCGCGTAGAGCAGGTCCCGAGCATGGGCAAAAAGGCTGGCTTGGTTGGCAGCTCTGTAACCCTCTGTCACAATGGTATTGTAGCCAAAGGTCATGACCCTGGCAGTTGGAAAATCCGCTGCAAGCAAGTCCCTAGGCCAGTACACGGCCGGATCTTCGTCAGGGCCATGCTCGTCGGTATCTCCGTCAGTCGAGGGACTGTTTGGGCGCGATGAAGATGCGCGACCGCTCCGCGAGAACACGGACCGCAAGATGCTGCGACGACCTTTCTTGTCTACTTTTGGATGACGACGACTCGACTCAGGTTTATTAGAGGTGTCCTTTGGCTTCCATGTCCAAGTGTTTTGAGGGTGCCCTTGTAGACCATGAACAAAGACAATGCTGTTGAAACAGATTAGTGACTAAGACTTTACAAAAACCAAACCAACACGAGACACACTCAATCACGGCATCTTCGGGGCCGTTGAGGACAGAGAGTCCCACAGCCGGGACGGACATGACCATCATGCACGCTCATACTCAGACTTGAACCGCTTCGATTGTGGCTCTTATATGGTCCAGCCGAATACAGAGGAAGTCGATCCAAGGATTGATGTTCCGCATAACGGCAATACCCAAATGAGGGGACTTTCAGCTTCGTGTGCGGGGTTGGGCGGCGGCTGCAAGGATGACGATCCCCAGCATCGGACCAGGTATAAAGGCTGACAGCACCTACAGTAGATGGCGCTGTGGTGTACAGAGTACAGGGGCCAGAAAGCTCCAATACATACATACCTCCCTTCCATGTCTATCCGGCGTCCTATCATGTTAAATGCAAATGTTTTCTCGACATGTTGTAGCGATTATAGAAGTAAGGGTGACACATGTACCACAAAGGCCCCGGCCCTCCTCTGTAGAGATGAGAGAAGTGACGGAAATATGTGGCGCGGACCGACTTGCATTGTATATTGCGACCCTGTCAGCAGAAAACCAACCACTATTTACTGTGAGTAGAAGGAAGAGAGAGACGAAGAGCCATTCCCCCCAAACCTTCTTTGACACGGTTGCGCCCGGATTTTTGACATTTTACTGAAGGCGAATGGGATTTTGCCCAATTATTTGAGCCTCAGAGAATGACTCCAGTAAGGACTTGTGCATTGCGACGGGTATTTGTGCACAATGGTGAAGACCTATTACATGAGCTGCGTTCTTGCTGGAACCCCTACGTACTGTCTGTCTGACATTCTCATTTGTGTGGGCCTGGATGAAACTCGGTGTTCATGCCTGGTCTACCTTGACTTTAATGTGTCCAGCTGTCAATAGGTATTATATGGAGGCCGTCCTTGGTTAGCTATCGATTTCTTCCTAACTATGTACCCTAGGTAGTATTCCCATGCTGCATGTCGGAGACACTTGAATAGGTAAAAGACACACTCTGAAGATTCGTGGCAATGCAGCATTTATGGAAAGCCCTGTCACCGAAAATCCAACCGGGCGTAAGACACACGCTCCGCTACGGTAGGGATGGATGTGGCCTGTCATTTTATCTGGTGGGTTACACGTCCGATAGAGGGGTCAATCCATCAACATGTGAATACAACCACTGTCCTAATGGTATTGGTGTGAAGGTAAAGAGACCTTCATACTTGTGACATATGCAGGCTCAAGGCTCATTGGGATCTTGGCACGCGTCCCCCCATCCCCCGCCCTCCTTTGGGAACAACACTCATAAGTAAACAAGAGGCCCCAGCCGCACAGAATTTAACGATTCAAGTTTCTCAACCAAGCTATAGTCATATAGTGATATCAGCATTTTGAGTATAAACGTGCCCGACATCACAAATGCCACTATGGCAACCAAGGAGAACAGCAAAACCACCCCTCGAGACATCATCGATGTCGAGACAATCATAAATGATATCAGAAACCAGCATCAGCAATGCACGGAGACGAACGCGATGGAAGACCTCGAGCTTCTTATTACAATGATGTGGCAGGCAATCGAAGCGATCCCCAAAGACCATCCCGACTACGCCAAGATACTGAGTGGCCTCGCAACCCAACTCGGAAGCCGATATACGCTGACCAAAGCGACGAAAAACCTTGAAGAAGCGATTGTGATACTGCGGCGAGCTGTCGAAGTAACCTCCAGGAAACCTTCTCAGGACTTCACAGGTCATATAGAGCCACTACATAACCTTGGAACTTTCCTGACATATCGGTTCATGGGGACAGGATCAGCCTCCGACCTCGAGGAAGGTATCAATCTGGCACGGCAAGCCGTTCATGAGGCGACTCAGTTGAACTATCCTCGTCTGATCACACTGTTGAATAGTCTCTCGATTCGACTTCAGCGACGATACACCCTGACAGGAAATATCCTCGACCTCGACGAGAGTATTACCACGGCACGTAAAGCCATCGAAGAAAGTTCTCAGAAAGATCCCAATCATGCCGCGTATTTAAATACTCTTGGGATGATCCTAAGGAGTCGCTATACAAGGACAGGTGCGAGAGAAGACCTTGAGGAGTCTATCATTTTGGCTCGCCAAGTCATCAAAGAAACGCCCCGTAACAATCCAGATCTTCCTGGGTGGCTCAACAATCTTGGAGTAGGCCTGAAATACCGCTATACATTGATAGGAGCAATCGCGGATCTCGAAGAAGCTATCATCGCCGCGCGAGAAGCTGTTCAGGCGACCCCTAGGAATCATGTCGACCTCGGTAGACATTTGAACAGCCTAGGAGTTTTTCTTAGAGACCGATATGGAGTGAAGAGAGGGATGGCTGACCTTGATGAGTATATCAAAGTCATGCAGCAAGCCGTTGAGGTAACCCCTCAAGACCATATCGACTCCTCTCAATGGCTAAACAATCTCGGACTTGCATTTTTCGACCGCTACAGGACAACAGAGGCAATAGCTGACCTTGAACAGTCCATCACGACGGCAAGCCAGGCGGTTGAGGCGACCCCTCAAGACCATCCCAACTTTAGTAGATGGCTCTATAACCTCGGGAATCGGTACGGGGATCGGTATGCAAGAACTGGCGAGATTTCAGATCTCAATGATTCTATTACAACAATACAACAAGCCGCAAACGCGATACCGCAAGAGCATCCTTACATAGCCGATGTTCTGACTGGTCTTGGAGATCGACTCAGAGAACGATATGCGAAAACGGAAATGATGGCAGACCTTGAGGCATCTGTGCAACACTTCGAAACTGCGCTTAACAATCCGACGTCTCTAATGGTTCCACGGCTAAGAGCTAGCCATAACCTTCTCTCAATGTCGTCGGTCCTGCAGAACAAGACGCACGCACTCCGTCATGCTCGAACCGCAATCTATCTACTTCCTCAACTAGCGCCGCGGTCCCTCAAGAGCACTGACAAGCACCAAGCTCTGATGCAAGCCGCAGGGCTGGCCTCGAATGCTGCCGCTATTGCGTTGCATGCCGGACAGCCCCCATCGATAGCCATTGAATGGCTTGAAATCGGGCGCGGGGTTTTGGCAGGCTCCCTCCAAGATATGCGCAGCGACATCTCCATGCTTATGCAGAAACATCCCGCACTAGGGACCTCCTTCCAACGACTACGAGATTTTCTGGACGCGCCAGCTCAACAGTCCATGTCTACTTCAGCTTCTCCTCCTTTAGAACGTGCCGATTTCACGGTTCAGTCTAGTACAGATGAGCGCATTCAAACTCAGAAACAGCTCGAAGAGCTCGTGAATGAAATCAGGCGCCAGCCAGGGTTTGACCGCTTTCTTCTTCCCCCATCAGAAACCGACATATTGAAGGTAGGAGCAGATGGACCAGTCGTGGTGATTAATGTAAGCACGCACCGATGTGATGCCTTGATTATCCATGAGCATCAAATGAACTGCCTCGAGCTGCCACATGTCACGGAAGAGGAGATCATAGAACAACGCCGTCACGTCTCAAAATCATCTTTGCTGATGTTGGAGTGGCTTTGGGACGGTATTGTGAGTCCTGTCCTAGAGAGCCTGGGTTTTACTCAGACACCATCTGATGGAAACTGGCCACGGATATGGTGGATTCCCACGGGACCGCTTGTCGGCTTCCCATTACACGCTGCTGGATATCACCTGGATAAAGCCTCCCGTACGGCTCTCGACCGGGTCATATCGTCTTACGCAATTTCAATAAAAGCCATCATGCACACCCGTGGGCAGAGTCGTTCTAGAGTAGAATGTCTATCTACACAACGTCTCGTCCTCGTAGCCATGCAAGATACACCAGGACTCGATCAGGGCTGGCTACAGCATGCAGAAGAAGAGGTTGCAGGTGTACGGAAAATTGGCTCTTCTATGCAATTGTTGATAAGTGAACCTACGAAAAGCAAGAAAGAAGTCTTATCGGCCATGGAAGGTTGTGAGATTTTTCATTTCGCTGGGCATGGTGATACGAATCAATCGTGGCCGTTGCAAAGCCACCTGCTCCTCGACGACTGGAAGCAAGATCCACTCACGATAGAGAGCCTCCTGGAAACCAATCTTCAGCGCCGCGCACCATACCTGGCCTACCTCTCGGCCTGCGGATCTGGCCGAGTCCTCAATGACGCTTCCTTTGACGAGGGAATCCATCTGATCAGTGCATTCCAGCTGGCGGGCTTCCGCCATGTGATTGGTACGCTGTGGAATGTCGATGACCGACTGTGCGGAGATATGGCCAGATTAGTCTACGAAGCTTTGAAAGACGGCCGTCTTCGCGATGAGTCGCCAAGCCGCGGGCTTCACTTTGCCACCAAACAGTTGCGGGACAAATGGATAAAAGATTTCCGTACTGCGATGCGCAGTAGTATGCAGGAGCTGGCTACGTCTCGGGATGTTGAAGCAGTGGATGAATCAGAGATTGAAGGACTTCCCTGGGTTCCATATGTTCATTACGGGGTATAGACCTTGTTTTCTTTTCTTTTTCTTTTTTTGTGGTATCTTGACCAGTCGAGCATGATGTGATTGCTTTTCGCAATCAAACTTTTTTTCCCCAGCATATCAACAGAATCTTGATCTGTATAAATCTCATGCTTTCCATATCCATGTACTTAACAGATCTCTACATCTTCTTTGAGTACTATGCAGATCGGGAAATTTATCGCTGTCCAACGCTCCGTTGCAGAAATACACGCTCTGTTTGATGTGCGGCTTTGTTCTGACGTCGTACGTTCCCCAAGTTTGGGTAATTCCAAGAAGTCGAAAGACGTTGGGTGGGAAGAGACGAAGACCTTGACGATATCCTCACACGAGCGGTGACCCACCTCCTTCATTCTGTCTGGCATTTTCATCACGATCTTTTTCTCCCAAATCCCACCACGACGCGAACCACTTTCCTTCGGCGTGACTACTGTGTAAGTTGCACGGCAAATATTCTCAACTTGCCAGAAAGGACCAAGGTTGTACATGTAAACATAAATAGCATCATCACCCAGGTTCCTTATCACCAGATTTGCTGTTGCACCGTCTTCCATTGTTATCGGACAATCTTTGTCGAATGAAGTTCCACTGATGATGAGGTGAGCACTAAAGGTGTTTCGGAAAGTACTTGTCGATTCATCACAGCCCAGGTCTTTGGTGAGGCGGAATAGTGCGAGGTGCTTCAGTACGTCGCTAATTTCATCAAGGTTCGTCTGACTTCGGCGCTTGAGCGGCTGATTCATGATCTTCTGACCCGCCTCATTTCGAATCTCGTATTCTTGATTGAAATTGAGTGCAACCTCGAAGCAGTATGCACGTTGGTCGTCATGACTATGGACGTGAAGGGACCGATTCGCCAGCGCTATTAGCCATTTGTCTCTATCGGGAAGGCTAGACGAAAGTTGTATGGGATATCCGCCGAGGTCGTGTTGCGAAAGTGTGGTCGCCCTCCACCTTTGCTGGCCGTGGACTGGCAGCGTGGTGAGCGGCTTCAATTCTGACGAGAATGTCCCGGCGTGAGCAACCGTGCCGATCACCATGTCGGTTTGTGATCTTGGTTCCGCCGAGCCTAGAAGTTCAAGGGCAAATCGGTCGTTATCATGCACGCCATGAGCCCGGCCGACTGGTATTTCAAGCGTGCCATTAGCCTTCCTACTCAACAGTACGGTGGCTGTAAGATGTCCCGAGCTCGGAGGGCCGAAGAAACCTTGGTCCTTGCTCCCGTAAAGAACGGGATATTGGCGCAACTGACGACTCCGAAACTCGGCGCGCAGGCAATCGTAGACAAGTTTATGGTTAGAATTCAGGCTGTCGTGCTCCTTCAGTATCCTGAGAAGAAGATAGGACAGGATGCCATGGATCTTTCCTCCCTCGAACGGCATTTCACCCGCCTTTTCGTGGGGGCCAGATGCAACAAGTATCGCATATTTGTCAGGATTGATGAGCCAATTTGATAGCATCGAGGCGTCACGAATGTCCGAGGTGCTGTTTCTGCCATCGAAAATTCTTCCGGGTGGTGGAAAGCGGGAAGCTATAGCTTTGTCATACAGCTTGAAGCGGTTGTTAACTCCACCACGTTCAGAGCCTGGGGGGCGATAAACGCTAGCCGAGAAACAACAATCCAGGACGAGGGTAACCACCAATCCCTTGTTGACCATGGCGTTGACCGAAAATGCAAGACTTCGGCCCCAGAGATAAGTTTCAGGGTCTTCCTCATTTCCAGTGAGAACCACCAGTGCTAAATCGCCTGTGGCCTGGTTGTAGGACCTGCCATTGGGCTCTTCTCTGGTGCCATGCCCAGAAAAGTGTATGTAAACAAAATCGCCAGCCTCTGCCGACTTTGTAACCACTTCAAAAGCAGAATAAATGTTTTGGCGTGTGGGCCAAAGCTGTAGGCGTTCAACAGGAACAGACGACTTCACGCCAATGGTCTTAGGCGCCGTCAGCATGATGATGTCGACACTATCCAATGTCTCTGTAAGATGTGCTTGAATTTCCAGCACATCTTGGACAGCCCCTTTGAGAGGATTTTGCTGATATGCATCAATGCCGATTAGGATCGCATGATGTGCGGGCTTCGTAAATTGATCATCCATCGAAATTCAATCTAATCTTAGTATTTGCTAAATAGCAATAATTGGACAGTGAAATGAGCACACGGAGAACGGTAAGGGGCTGTGCATTTGCGATTTGCAGAATTGAACCATCCGCTATAAGAGACGGAAGTTTTCAAACCACGACAAGCTGCAAAGAGTCCCAGCGGACATCGCGGGAACAGAAGTGCTCGATTTATTCCGGCTAGATCAGGCAGCCGACCCATAAGGACAAGAGACTGCAATTCCATGAAAAAGGCAGGCGCCATTGGTTGCACAACGTGAGCAAAGATGGTTTTTAATAGGATGGTATGTTGTATTCAAAATGCAGAGAGGGGCCACGTGCATGGACGCCCCGACGAGCAGCGGAATAGCTGCACCTGTCGGCCGCGGACTATCCGCCAGGTAACTCTTGTGGATCATCAAGCAGCCTCCACATCATCCGTATCTATCTCGGCACCACCCTCCACGGCACTGCCATCTTCAAGACTCAGAGTACATTTCCCGGTAGAGGGAAGTGATGCGACAACATAAGGACCTGTGCGGGATCCAGCTTGAAGTAAGTATACTTTATCTCCCACATTTAAGCTCGGTTTCTATACAGTTGAATCAGCAAGACGACCATCAAGAAAGTTTCTTGCGCACAAACCTGGACATAGTCTTTGACGTAGGGGCGTTCGTCACTTTCTGTGAAGATGGGAGTCTGGCCGCTAATCCAGATAATTCAGAACCATGTCAGGAAGAAGGGGTGAGTGTCACGTACTCTTGAGTAGTAGACATTGTCGGGCGATTGCACAAGAACTGGTCCAGTAAACGTAGTCGGCGCACTCGAGATAATCTGGATTGATGGCCGATCACCGACGAACACCCAGTATTATATATGTCTCAATTTTGAGTACCCACCCACCAGTGCCCGGCTTCACGGTAAATGCAACAAATGAGCAATGCATGGCAAGGCCGACCGTGGGTGCCTAAAGTGACTGCAGCCGCCTTTCCCAGCCTTGCTGCCGTCGCAGCCTGTATTCGGTATCGTGGCAGTGTCCACTATACTGCAGCTAATAATGCCTTGGCCGTTGCATTTGCCAACGCTGCGTATTTCCGAATGTGTTAACCTTGCACTCTCGATCCGTTGTCCATGAAAAACCTTCAGATCTTGTGCTGCTACTGTAAAAATGCAACAAAACCGATACTGCCTTCCACAGTGGAATCGCTCACAACCCTCAGGGGCAACACGAGCGCCGGTCAAGAAGAGTGCCTAGTTCGGCCAACCCTTAGAAACAGACAATATAGATGTGCTAACCTATTTAGTTGAGGATTATCGAGCCGGGTATCCTCGATTCACTGCCCTCTTATCCGCACATCAACCATATCTTATTTGTCGACCCTTCACTCAACTTCGTGCTCGACTTCTTCTGCTGAAGCAAGACCGCCTCGCTGTTCTTGAGCAGACACTCGAACAAATTGACCAAGACGAGGTGTCGCCTCTTTTCCTCGGCAAGAGCCGCTGCGATAGAAATACGGATCGAATCGCTCTCCTTGCGGAGATTGATTCTTGCCTTGCAGATTACGGTACTTGCAGATACACAAGATACTTAGTGATCTCAAATTAATGGTCAACAGATCGATTTGTCGAGCGTACGAATCGCACATTGAGCTTCAGCCCAGCCGAGCCGAGAGATGTTGAGAGTCTCCAAAATTGGTTGAACGGTACCGGCTGCGTAGCCAGAGAGGAGAGGGCGTACCTCTCACAACGTGAACTCATATCGGTAGCCCCGACACGCGATAATGCAAGAGTACAGTTTGAAGCATGGATAGAGGATAAGCTTATTCGATTCTACCGCGGCTTCCGGAAGGTGAGATAAAGGCACATCGAGTACCAAAAGTGAGCTAACCAAACCAATAGAGCCACCTACACGATATCTCAAACGACCCAAACGTGTACATTTATTCAGGGCCTGTAGTCCAGCGAGCCGCCAGAGCACTGTTGCTTTCACTCATGGCGCTTCTGTTACTCTTACCGGTCGTTATTTGCAATGCGACTAATATTATTTCAGCTCGCATCATTGTTATGATGGTGTCTACGATTTGTTACCTTGTCGCAATCTCTGAACTGACGCAACCAAAGACGATGGAATTGATCCTCGCAGGTGCCACGTAAGTTATAATTTTACTCGCAAAAAATGCGATCACTGACCAAAAGTCATAGATATGCTACTGTTCTCACAGTGTTTGTTTCGGGTACTAGTGAACTATAAGGCCAGGGCTAGAAATGTTGCCAAATGGGGAAAGCTACGGCTTGCTAAGATATACGAAAACGGCCAGTCAGGATGAAAGTCCCCTATCTCCAGCCACTGGCCATTTGAACACCAATCTCATGGTGATGGTTCAGTGAGTATGATCTTGTGGTTCATTTGATATTATGACTTATCAATTAGTATTCTTAAATGGACCTGACACTGATCGAGACAGCAGGCAAGGAGGTCAGTGAAAGCTGAAACGAGTTATTCATTTCCAGCCTTTTGGCTGCTGCTATTTCTTCGGTCTACTCCAACGTATAGTGCACAGGGCTTAGCATGGAGAACGAGGAGCCGGCGGGGCAATATGATCATGATATCAGCAGAAGGGAATTTCTTTGCTGTGCTATAAAAAATCGAACAAGCCCTAATTAGATTTTTAATACAATACAAACAAGATTGCCAAGATAGGATGAAGGTTACGAGTAGCGAATTTTAGTCGGCGTTCTAGAGGCAGTCCGTAGTCGCCGGTTGATCATACGGACTCTCGTCCAGGCCGTTCACAGGTTTAATATGCTGGGGTTATTGACCCGCAGACCGAGTAGCAGCTCTCGTGTGTGTGTTGGTGTGTGGGTGTGTGGGGAGTCTGTTAGGTGGTGGTGTTACTTGGTCACAAATAGTGGGGAAAACTACCCAACATCATTACGAGCTACCAGAACCAGCACATTCTTTCATAGTAATAAGAGTGGGACATCGATTAAGCAAGCCGCCGTCTCCCCAAAGCCACGCGTTCAATTCCGACAAAGCTCGAAAAAATCAACAATACCGAAACAAGACCACTAAGATACCGAACCCCCTACAAATCACCACGGATTACACCGGGTCAAGCCAAACGAGCTAATGGCGGCAGGTCAATAGAGGGTACAAAAAATATTTAGGAGGAGGGCAAAGGGTAAAGTATAAGGTTAAGGTTAAAATAGATATAATACTATCGCACAACCCTCGGATCGTCTCGGGTTAGTAGGGTGGATAGCCGAGTATTAGGTAGTGGTGTTACTTGGTCACAAATAATGGGGAAAACTACCCAACATCATTACGAGCTACCAGAACCAGCACATTCTTTCAAGTCCCCTTGTTGGTTCTGTAATTATAACGAATTCATTCCATGTATGCGCTACACTAATTATTGAGGCTAACCAGACTGTGGTCCACTGTCAACTTTCTTGGTGCCTGTACGAAGTATGTAATCAGCTATAATATGCGCGTGGCTGGGCGCCCTTGACCTCGCGGAGCGTGCGGGCTTGCAGCGTGATGCTGGCTCGGAGGAAAGCAGTTTTGTAGAGTCCATGGGGAGCCTGATAATCGCCGCTATCATGACGACCACCGCTTTGCACATGACTGTCACTGTAATCTGCATTCCATCAAGCTGGGCCATGGATTTTTGATTTGAGAAAGGCGAATGGGATGAAAGATGAGGAGGTAAGTTTTGCGCAGCAGAGATCCGGGTGGAGAGCTGGCAGGTTCCTTAGGGAGGGCGTGGCGACAGATATTTAGCGCACTCAGCAACTAATTATCAGGGTTCCAGCGTACCTTAGCAAGCGCTATCCTTGCAACAGGGCAGCACCAGCACTATAAAGGTGTTGCAAAAGTCCACTATTTCAAGAATTTGCGTTCGAATCACTGCTGCATACCTATATACATGGATCTCTCAAAGTCAAGTCAGAATACTAGAATCAAGGGCGAGGCGTACCTAACTATCCTGTCTCCCTAGCAGGGTTACTTGCCCAGATCCTGGCTCCATCTACTCATTTATATTCGGCGCCTGTGCCGCGACAGTGCAGCATAACGTCAAGTTGCCTTCAGCCCTGGAGGAAGCCATTCGTAGTTCCCAGAGAAATTGATGCACTGACCTTTCCTTCCCGCTGCCAACTGAATGGGTTATGGCAAGTTCCAACATAAGACCCTCCATCGCCATGATGTGACACTATTTATCAACTTGACGCATCTCAAGCTCAACCGCCCATTCGGTGGACATTACATGACGGTGACACTTCACAATCATGTCGGCCTCTACAACCAAGGACACATATACCTGCACCGTCACTGTAGACCGCGGCACAGCACCAGCCGAGGGCGCCAAAGCACACCACGTCTATGATGATTCTGGGCGTCTTGTTCGATTCAAAAACCCTTGCCCATCATTCGGCAACTGGAACGAAGTTTCTCTTTGGGGCTCCGCCGTGATTTACTTTGGGTGTGTAAATTTTTATTTCAACTTGATTTTCTATTAAATTTTACTGACTGTCTTAGTAACCGCCTGCGAGGAAGGCTCCCAGTCCCCGACACGTCCATTGCCAAGATCCCTACGGTCGAGGCGCAATTCCTCCAGTCTCGCACGGCAAAGCCTAACGCTCTCCGCGCAACATGGATTGGCCATGCAACTTACTTTGTAGAGTTTCCCTCGGGTTTACGTGCCTTATTTGACCCCGTTTTTGAGGAGCGCCATAACTTCATTGCTCCAAAGCGCTTCACGGCCCCAGCCTGTACGCCGAGGGATTTCCCGGCTCTGGACGCCGTCTTCCTCAGCCACAACCATCCTGATCATCTCTCGTATCCAACTGTCAAGGAGCTTGTCAAAGCATACCCTAATGTTCACTTTTTTGTTGGACTTGGAGAATCCCCAAAGTTGCGTGAACTCGGCGTTCTTACCGTGACAGAAATGGATTGGTGGGATGATGCCGTGGTAACCTTGGAGAGGCCGGCTGAGAAGGACGAAGAGCCGAAGCGTATTGCTGCTCGGGTCTCATGTCTTCCCAGTCAGCACGGCACGATGCGGACCCCTTCCGACAAGGATCACACGTTGTGGGCGTCTTGGGCTGTCACATCAGGCGGCAAGTCTCTATGGTTTGCCGGTGATACGGGCTATAGATGCGTGCCAGATGGAATGGAGGAATTTGGGCCAGGCTTCGATGACTTGCCAAAGAACCCGCACTTTGCACAAATCGGCGAGCTTCGGGGACCATTTGATTTGGGCCTGCTTCCCATTGGCGCTTACCACCCGCGTATGATGTATAGCCCAGTGCATGCGAGCCCCTATGATGCTGTCGAGATATTCCAAGACACTAAATGTAAAAAAGCCTTGGCAATGCATTGGGGGACATGGGCCTTGACATCTGAGCCTGTTAATGAGCCGCCGGAAAAGTTGAAGGAGGCATTGAAAATGAAGGGCATTGCTCAAACTGGTGTCTTTGATGCCTGCGCTGTGGGTGAGAGCCGAGAGTTCTGATTACATATCTTTTTTCCACCTCTTCAGCTTGATGTAGGAGTGGAGGGCCTCAACACTGATCAAGTCAGTGTAGTTTTCATCTTTACTAGAAAGCACCTGCATTGTCCTCAAAGTGATGATGAAAGCGTCCATATTTCCTTGAAGCCCGATGCAGATAACATCAAGCTCGAACGCCAGAACTTCATACAGAATAAAAAAAAAAAAAAGAAAGAATTGGTTATCTGTGGAGAGTTGCCATTTCGGCCTGCGACCAAGACCTAAAGAGCCTCCTCTCATTAGCTAAGGATCCCCCCTTCAGTTAAATGACACAATCCATTCTAGAAGCATACAAAATACAGAGCCACTAAATAACCTCGTTGCATTAAATTGTCATTTTGTACTGAACTGGCAAAAGCTAAGCGTGGCTTAGCCGGTCAAACCTCACAAGAAATCCTTCACTTGCTGCTCGCTCCACTCCCAGAATTGCTGCGCATTACCATTACCGCCTTCACTAACGGGAAGTGTGGCCGGTAGGAGGTCGGCTCGGAGCGGCGCAACTCGTCCCCAGGGAATGACTGGAGAAGGTCAGCTATCTTTGCTCATTGTCTCAACGTGCTCGAGTAACTTACTCCATTCTTTGGTCCAGTCCACCTTCTCGTTGGTTACTTCAGACGAAAAGCCCGCATATAGCTGAGTATATACCCCATTCATAACAGGATAGGTGAGTGTACCAGCAATGAGCTTCATAGCCAGGCCTTGGTCCCTCGCAAGTTCGGTCTTGAGGTTGCCTGGGTTGATGGCAACACTAACGATGCCGTCGGCCTTGTGGCGGCGGGCATACTCGACAGCCAACAGCCAGGTTCCAGCTTTGCTAATACCGTAGCGATCGATAGGTTCTCGGGGTATATGGTAGTCGAGGTTGTTGAGATCGATGCCTCGTCCTTCGGGGGCAAATGCCTCCAGACCAAAAGAAGAGAGCCAGACAACACGGACTGCACTGCTGCCCACAGGCTCGTCCTTTGCAGCTGCCACCAGCGCAGGAGTCAATAGTTTTGTGAAAAGAAACGTGGCAACGCAGTTGACACCCAAGGCCAACTCGTGGCCTTGCGCAGTTTCTGTTGGAGATGTATTGGGCCCCGTCATGACTCCCGCGTTATTGAAAAGAACATGAAGCTTGCTCTCGGACGACAGAAACCTTTTGGCTGCAGCTTGCACGTTGGATAAATCAGCTAGATCCAGAAGCAGCAAGACCAAGTCGCCTCGTGACCCGGGTACGGCTTTCTTGATCTTGGCAATGGCCTCGTTGCCCTTCTTCTCGGAACGGCACGCAGCGTAGACCTTGGCACCTCTGGCGTAGAGGACTTGGGCCAGCGCCTCGCCCATGCCACTGTTGGCGCCCGTCACGACATAGACCTTGCCTTGTAGGTCATTTGGTATGTTCTGGTCAGTAAAATGGGGCTTTGGTGGGAAAAACTGCGTCCACGAGAACTGCTTTTCTGGTCCTCCCATCGTGATGGATAACTGGGCTTTGCGACCGGCCGAGGATTGAATCAAGCAACACAGGCATGCACCTATCCTTAGAAAAGTGAGTGGAATGACACAAGTGAGACACAATGATGAACCTGTACCAGTCGATGGACCTGGAAACTTGCCTCATTTATTACCAAGAGAGGGGATGCTAAGCACAGCACGCTGAACCTGGTACTCACCGCTCGCCCCCCCCCTTCTCCTCTTTAACAAGTATTTATATATGCAAATTGAAGGATATATACCAGATCCCAAAATGCTTACGCCACCCCTCGAACTCCCGGAACTAACATTCCAATACGTTATGACAAGGGTGTTCACAGGCTGCCAGTCGATGAGGAGCTGATAAGGAATTGATAAGATCTGACAAGGAGTTGAAAGCTTGTACAGCTGCTGGAGGGCAAGGTGCATTGTCAGCGCGGACAAATTACCATTCCTCTGGTGCGCCACGCTGATCCTTTGAAACGAGAAAGTCCAATAGAGTTGCGTCGTTCTCTAGGGCCAATCGCTATATGTCGGCCAACTTCCCCTGCATTGAAGAAAGCTTAAATCTTGTTGGGATGGTGGTAATATGAAGTGCCGGAAATAACGGACGTCAAGCTTGATATATTAGTCCAGTATTGCGCTGGCCCAAAACGATTCGACCTGGAACATTTTGTATAGCAACAGCCTATAGACTGACTGCCAAGATTTCGAAGCGTGGGGTCATATATTTGCCTTCCCCCATAACTGTGCCCCCCACCTGCGATTGATTTGAGACACATATATCGGCCTCGCCAATTCTCACGCCTCACAAAGGCAACGTTGTTCGCGCAGAATATGTGACGATATTTGCAAATTTCCTGATTGCTCCAGGGGATAGGACAATGAGGAGGGCAAGATCCGCCTCATATGAGATTTACCAGAAGCTGAGTTTGGGGGAGGGGGACGTTTTGTAGATCAGAGCCCAGCTGCGACGGCAAAGCTACTAGTAATCAATGCACCATAGGAAAAATAATGGCTGATATGTTTTAGAAGAATTAGAATTATTACGTAGCTATAGTGACATTTTAAGTAGCTAATTGTCAATTCTCCTCTACACGGGAGATGTTGACAAGCCAAATATCGAGTCGCTGGATCTTTTTGTGCGCAGCCGCTCAGTACTTTCAGTACTATGTGATCTTTCCTTCTCGGGCCAAGTAACGTCCCGGCTACCTGTGGGACTCGGCTTGATCCAGATCTTTACATCGTCGGGTGATGCCGGGCTGATATATTCCGAACTCACTTCGTACGTCTTGCCGTGAGTAATCACGTTTGATAGGCTCTCGAGGTCGTTTCTGCTTCGTGCGTTCCTGGCCTCGCAGCGAACCTCATATGATGTAGGCCCGTTGTTGCCCGATGATGATTTTGCCGGCCTGGTGCCTTCCTTCAACGAGTTCATGGTCAGCACGTCGGCCGCGCCTTGACTGCCTCGGCGCCGACTGCTCATGTGCCCGCTCAAGTGGGCGCTGCGGCTGCCGCCCATCTTTCCGTAGCTCGAGTGCATGTGCGATGGTCGCGTCGTCAGGCCAAGTTTCCAGCCCAAGAGTCGGAGGAGCGGGCGCAGCGTGGCCAAGCTACCGGCGGCAATGGCCAATCCTTGTTCGACGGTCGACCATATGGCAATGTCCAGGGTGGCCCAGAGAAAGTCGGGGTCTCGGAATCGGGGGAGATAGGCAAAACGGACCACGACAGCTGCGCTGGCACTACAAGTATGTCAGTCTTATTCGTGGGTTAGTCATGACTGCAGAAATGACTTACACGCAACCCATGGCCATGAGAGGGATCAATGCAAATTTTGTTCTCCGGTGGAGTTGCAGACCCATGATGATCCAGGCGGGCAACAGCGCAAAGGTAAAGTCGGTGATGACGCTGCAAGCACTGTAGAGGTAGGCCAACCCAATGATGACCTCGATATTGATGCACGTGCCGTTGTCCTGGTGCTTGTTCCAGAAGAAGGAGACCGGCGAGCATTGGAAGATGACGACAAAGAAAAAGATTGTGCAGGTGATTCCGGTAATGACCATGGCACCGTAGATGATCCAGGCATGTATCTTCTTGACGGCTACGCGCAAGAGCAGGTAGCCAATGGAAATTTTGGAGAGAATCATGGTTGTGCAGTACATCAAGTAACAAAGCCACCAGAACTTGACAATGTCAGCGATATGTATTCAAATCAAGGTAAAGCTATAGATATTTCTTACCATTCGTCCATGTGATACATTTGTTGCTGGAAGGTCGGCTTCATGACGACCAGTGCCGTATGATACTCCGGTCAGAGAGAATGAGCAGTAGAGCATGAAAGTGACCTTAACAAAAGAGTTTTAGCCTTCTTCACATTGATCATACACTTTTTTCTATTGATTCAACTTACGGCAGCAAGGCTCATCAACCAATCGTCAAGGCCAAACGATCGAACAATAAACAGCCGGACACCACATCGCAACAGAATGGTAACAAAGGCGAGGATGGCAAAAGTATAGTCGACGACCGCAAGCTGCGGTCCCCGATTCTCGATAGCATCAGCCATCTTGAAACTCTGGCCGATCAAGCTTCAAGACAGCGGGTTTCTGAACTTGCACGTTTGTAACAAGACGGCGCAGCAAAGCTGTCAAGGCAACGGAACGGGGATCTGTGACATATAACAGGTCGACTGTCTGTCGGCTTGGTCGGAGACCTCGGCGGCGGAATAAAAGAAAAAGCAAAAGAATTATGAAGTCGCCATACACAGTAACCTTGCCATTCTACATAGCCACCTAGTCACCGCGGGCCCGGTAGAGGCGGTACGAGTCCACTCAGCAAGCGTGCAAGTACTAGAATATGCCGACTTGTCATCTCGTGCGTTTCATGTGTCCCTCCCTGCAGGTCACAAAGAAGGAAAAATTAGGAAATAATTATGCAGATTTCAACGGACGCACAGGGTATAGCAGGGCTCTAGGCTGCAGGGGGACATTTCTCTTTGGTGTACAATTGCAACCCAAGAGACTGGGGTCCCAGGGTTATAGTGAGCCGGTTCAGGTATAGCAACGGCGGGTGGAGTTTGTTTTCGACTCTAGCCAGGGGCCCGAGCTGATTTTGACTTTCAGGGGTGGGAAGAGGGAGGGGCAAATGCAGAGGTAGTAGGTAGTATTCGTGGGCCAGGTATTTTGCTGAAATACTTCACCATGCTCACCACTCGCATATTGTCGACCCAGTTTGCCAGTAGTATCTGGTGACGCCAAGAGTTCTTCTCGACGCAAAAGCACCAGCTTTGACCTTCTCGCTACGTACAGAGTAGGACCCGGTAGTTCATGATGTACGATCTTTGTTCGTGTGACCTGGGAAATGCTCAAGATATCATGTACGTGGCCTAGTACGCGAACATCTGCCAAGATATCATTGTGCTGGTGCACTTCAGAGTATCGAAAAGTTTCCCTTGATTGGTACGTTTGTTATCTTGCAAGACTTCTCGTAACGTGCATCTGCGTCAATCTCGGATTCGCAGCTATGGGTGGGTTGTCTGTATGCAAGCCACTCGATGTCGGTGCACCATTTCCCAATCCCGATACTCTGGCCGGGCCGCGGGACATTTGTCATGGGTCATAACCGACGAGCTGGGAGCAATCTCATAAGCTGCAAATTCTATATGTGTATGCGTGTGTGTGTGAGTGTTTTGGTATGCATGAAAAAATGCTTATGCCCGGCCACGACATCGCATGGCGCGTTCAATCGGAATTTCGTAGTGACATAGTATTTGTTCTGTGCATGGTCGAGGCAATAGACCGGGTTATTCTACGGGTGGCTTGCAGAAACAGCATGTATTTCGTCAAGCTACCATCAGCCACGCGGAGCAATGTCGGTCTGTAACCATTTCTTGAATTTTCTTCTTTCTTGGACCATGAATTTTGCCAAGACGTGACAAGAGAGTCTGGGTTGCATCAATGACCCTGAGATTGTGCTGACATTATGGAGAAGATCCACATCTTTCATCCGTATTCTGTTGTGCAGTGTATGTATTGACATGGGACTAGAGAGTGGAGATCCGTCCTCATGTCGACCCTGAGGCCGTGAGATTGTCAATACCCACCGCCCAATAGCAATGACCCAAGGGATACTCCTCCCCCAGATCTTAACCAGACTCGTCCAAGGCCATGTCTCTAGATGACTTCCCCGAGAGAACAGGGACTATGATCTCCGCAGTGTCTGAGCACGATGTATGCATGCAAAGAAGAGCCAGAAGAACTACCAGAAAGTGGGTATGGTGGTTTGCATTCTGGACTAGTCCACTCTGTAAGCAGTTCAGAGTACATAGTAATTCCAACGGCTTCTCCATCCGACCCGCGATTCGGGGCTTTTTTGTTTCAAGAATAAGCGCACGGTCATCCAAGTCTGGTAATTCAGTGAATGACGATTTTGCTTTTCAGAGTTGAGGATAGAAAGAATCGGAGCACTTTCGTCACTTGTCACATCACAAGCAGACGCTCGCGCGTCATTCTACACGACTTTGTTTTCAATCAATTGTGGTAGTCGCCGACACGGGATAGAGACGAATTTCGTTTCGGCATGGTCTAGAATGAGCGGGACCAGTCTTTAAAGTGCCCGCCATCTTTATATAGCGGACCGTTCCAGTGGCTTTGAGCGTACTCTGTACTAGCAGTCGTACTATTGCTGCGGCAGAAACGGGCCCGCAAGGGACTGGCCTTTGCTTAAATATACCTACCTACAAACGACACCTTGGCGGAGGAGATTATGATCAAAACTCTACTCTTGCGGATGTCTGGATTTCTCTAGCAATCATCATATTAGGAGCTACAAGACTAGCCAAACGTCAATTAACCTTAAAAAGCAGGGCGCCATGTGCGTTGGGGTATTCATGTGATGGTTGTGTGCGAGCGAGATCCGACCGAGGCAATTGTGTACCGGGCTGTCCCTCTCGTGGGCGCATTGGCCAATGATTGCATCCCTGGACAAATCCCGTCAAACACAGCAAAGATCGCCAGAATACTAATGAGCAATTCGCTCTACACCCAAACCTTGATAAGACGATTTCAGTGTGCTAACGATACCACTTTACAGCGATCCGATCGCTTGTCAACGAAAATTTGTTAGGGAGTTAACGATATTCACCCCTGTATATAGCGTATAATGATAATCGTTGGAGCTGGCCGGACTTTTGCAGGTATCGCTATATAGTAGATGTTGGCACCCGTATTTTGTAAGGTGTATCGTAGTTTCCAGGGCTTATGGGGGCCTCCTCCTTTTGGACCTCCAGCTGGTAGGTGGCCAGTTGGCCAATCAGAGCCCAAGAATTCTGGCGCTCCACTGGAAGCTCCACTTATTTTATAACGTTGTCTATGTTGTAGCGATAAAAACCCTTGGAAATGAATATCGTCTTATCTAGTTTAAGGTGTATTACCATGGATGTTGCGAAGACTGCCACGACTCCCCCTCTGTACTGTCATTTTAGTCCATGCTACGTCGCCTTGGAGGCAGGCCATCATATCCGACATTTCGGCGTCTTCCGTTGTTTATAAGATAAGATCCTTGCTCATAATAATGCTCCCGTCTGTCAGTACGATTGCATACATAGTACATGACAGTATGCTCCTATTGCCACTGGCCCATACCAGATCAAGACACCACAGAAGTGTCGCCGCGAACCCGGTCATATTTGGACACGATGGTGACAATACTGACAGCAAGGTGGATAACATGCCCAACGTCTAGTCGTCGGGGGAAAACATTCACTGCAAACAATATGCTATCCACTGACTTGTAGTATAATATACTTGAGAGCATGAATTCTTGGATCATCTTCTTTTGCAATACCAACATGCTCAAGGAAGTGTATCCACATGTGGCCATCTTTTGAATGCATCCCGATCAACTATTGGTCATAGAGAAGAGAGGCAGGAGTCGCCAAGAATCGACCCACGCCACATGAGAATCATTCATATACATAACAGAAGGGTCCGGCAGTTGTCGAAATCAGCTCACCCAAACTTCTCTTCTTATTTAGTGGCGGGAACGGAAGGGTATCGTCGAGTGTGGCGTTTTGGGCCAAAGGAATACCGGCCCACGAGCGTGTGCCGCCCACGTTCTGGGCATGATACAGTTAGTCAAGTGTCCGAGCGGAACACATGTGCCGGATCAGCATATGCATGAGCAACTCACCTGTCGGTTCTCCCAGTCCAAGTTTTGCCAAATAAAGTAGAGTCGATCTAGTTGGCCGTGGTGTAGGTAAAAAGCGGGTTCTCCGGGACTGAAGTAAAAATCACCGCCCGGATCGCCACCTATAGGTGGTATATCGTTAGTTTACGAACAAGATACTCATGAATCGACTTACCGATGATAAAGTGACCGCCGCCATGTACACCAAAGAACACATTTCGTGCCTGCGCATAACGTGTGTCTCCTTGCATGATGGCTTGGAATAGCTCAATATTTGGGCTGTCGAGAATGACGCTGGTTGTGTTGCGCAGCGATGCAAAGTTCTTGCATATAAACGGGTTCAAGTCTCTCTTCAAACATCGTGGAGCATATCGCGTTGGATCCGGATCCGTAATGAGACCCAAGTTGACGGTAAGGTTCTTGAACGGCCCACTGTGGACGCAGCCGCCGCCGGTCCCAAAGAGCATACCAGACAGGTCGAAGCCTGGGATCGTGGGGGCGGTACGATTCGCAATCTTTTCGCCGTTACTGCCGAGGGATGTAGCGGATCCATCGAATAGAGGCGAGGCGTCGACGTCGTCGCAATCGAGTCCCCATTCCCAGTAAGGTATAGATCCTGACAGAGCGGTCAATATCAAAACGTCCATCCATTTGGGTTGGAATACTCACCAGTATACCCACACTCGGCAAGCTTTTCAGCATATGTGAATAAGAAGTAGCGATGGAAGAGGAGGAAAGAAGCCTTGGCAACATGTATCAGTACAGTTTGGCAATTCTGTCTTGTTGCATCTACAACCTACCGAGACGTGCACATATGGAGTCAATAAGATATGGAGCACAGTAAAGTCGTCGAATGCAGTTCTGGCCAGTTAGTGGCTATCCCATGTCCGTAAATGAGAGCATGTTTGCTCACTTGGACCCTTCAAAGATGGACATCAGCCCGGGTTTGTCCACGAGGCATTGCACGGCCTTTGTGTACGCGATGCGTTCATCACTAGGGATATTCCTCCTAATGAAAGAACAGGGTCAGTCAGCACTCGCTTAGCATATGAGAAGTTGTGAGCTGCTCACCATTCCTTGTAAACCTTGACATTATCCTTGTTGCATCCAGATGTTCCGTTACTTTCCAGGCGGCTCATTGCATTTTCGTACGCTAGTTTGCTCAAGTCTTTCAACGCATCTCCCGAGTTGATCTGCTCCTGAGTATACTGGGGAATCGTTGCTGAGACAGACCATATTGCCACAAACACCAGAAAGAGGAGTCGTACGGTAATGTACCATGAAGCCATTGTGACAAACGATGTGTTTTTCGAAACGTAGATGATTGCTTATTGGAATAGGTCACGGCAAGGTCCCTTTATACCGCGTACGTCCCGTTGCATCTACCCCAGATTCTGTAATATACAACTTGTCTTGGCACTCAAAGAGCGGAACGGCATTGTGTATATTTTATATGACGATGGTCTTCGAGCGACGGCATTGGCCCATGACTTTGGGGAAGCGAATACAACATGCACCTCTGTTAGACACGATTCAGTGGAACTTGATGCTCAATTCGCTGGAAATCATACTCGGGGTAAGTTCATCAGGAGATGAGATTCAAGATGACCGTTCATCATGTGCAGTGCCCCTCTTGTGAAAAATTAATTGTCCAGTCTTTCTTGCAGCTCTGCCGCACATAAGTTGCCAATTGCGTACAATGGAGAAATTGAGCTCGAACTTGGCATCTTACAGCCAACGAGTTACAGACACCGTGATGTTTGGGGTTTGACTGATCCTGTCTCTTCATATACTACAATGCACACATATGAGACACCCTCCATGGTCTCCACACAACGTCTGTAGTATACTTGGTCTCCATCCCAATGCGGGACGTAGCAGTTCATGAACAAACTTTACCCCAGGATCATCAAGTTCTTGGGCAAAAGTTTCATGGAAGAATAGAACAATCTGTATATAAGATACTTTGGCTGCCCTGTAAGTCGGCGGATACATGAAGTGCAATTGTTTCATTACTCAGACAACCAGGGAGATGGCGAATCCAAGCCTTGGCATCTTTATACAAACCACGCACTCTGGGTCACATCAGCCGTGAGCTTTCTTGTTGGGCGCGGATAAATGAGTGATGGCTGAATTTGACTGGCCTGAAGATGCTTCACCCGCTCTTTCTCCGCATTCATCTAGTTGCCAGGTACAGCTCAAGATGTTGCAACGTTTCAACAATATTCCATTTATATCTAATACGACGAGATTATAGCTGGGGTAAATGAAAATCCACCTCGGCACTGGTACTCGGAGTGTGCTCGGAACAAATGAGACCTACCCTCTCACGGTGCACCGTTGCCCGACTTTTGAATCAAGGGTTCAAATAGCCTCGGTACAATGGCTGCTGCATCTCCCGCAAACACCCAATCGACCCCCGGTCTGACGTTCTTAATGTCAGAAATGTCTATATTCACAGTCGCGATCCGGGCGCCCTTTTTTCGTGCAAGATCGGCATAGCCCGCGGCAGGCCAGACGCTACCCGAAGTCCCAATGACCAGGCAGAGATCAATCGGCTCAGCGTTGTGGAACATGGCATCGACTTCAGCCATGAGATCTGCCGGCAGGGCCTCCCCAAACCATACGATATTCGGTCGCAGCAGACTGGTCGCGCACCTTGGACACTGCGGCAGATCCGCTGGCGAGAGGTTGGACGGTTCTGGCACCGCGGCCATGCGCGACTCGATGCTCTCGTTGCCATGTCCCGACTTGAGTGCGGCTTGGTCTGCGCGCGAGTCTGCGGCTTCTTGATACCCGGCGCCCATGATTTGCCTATTCTTCCTGGCTATGCCCTCCAACAGCCAAGCAGTAGCTTTTGGCCTTTTAGTGCCGTGACCTTGTCCCATCACGGAGCTTTTCTGGTCGTCGAGCAATGGTGCCAATGCCGGCGTGATTGGATCCTGAAAGTTTCCCCTCTCGACATAACCGCACTTTTCGTCTGCGCAACGAAGATTGAATAGATTGCCGTGTAGAAGCTTGAGCTGATCTGCCGGGTGTCCTGCTCTGGGTGACAGATTGTCTATATTTTGTGACAGCGTGACGAAACTAGGAACGCGGCGCGCCAGCTCCGCGAGTGCATAGTGTGCGTCATTCGGGGCAGCGGCGAGAGCCAGTCGCCGCATATGGCTCGTATACTGCCAGACGAGGCCGGGATCGTGACGGAACGCGGCCGGCGTCGCAATCTGCGTAGCGTCATGGTTACGCCACAAGCCTGTCGAGCCGGCGCCGCGATAGGTGGGCAGCCCCGACGCGACGGAGAGCCCAGCTCCAAGGACGGCGATGATGCGCCTAGACTTGCAGAGAGCCGAATGAAACTCGGCCAGCTGAGGGTCTTCCCAGGTCACGCTTGCTGTCATCGTGGTATATTTCGTTGTACAAGCTATTTCTCGTTTTAAGCCCTCTTCTACTATTAGTGCAGTGAGACTGATGTAGCATTTGCATTGCCTTTGAATATAAACCCGCGAGTCCTGAAATGCGCATCTTGTTGTTCTACGTAGCGCCAATTTTGGCCCAGGCAGCAGCTGAGGCTCTTGTCAAGCTGACATAGCCACGATATCCACCTGCATGGCGGGTTGGCGTATTGAAACCGGACGGATGACAAGCTTTTGGGATGGGTGATTTTTCCATAGAGTGAATGATCAAGCCTTAGGCTCACTACATACAGCTATTTATCCTTTAACAGCTAAGTTGGGATTCGGAAGGAGGCGATAGTCTTGGGAAAATCGGAATATTTGCGGTTCATGTTTGGGGCAAAGATCCGTAGGCGGGACCAGGGTTTGTGATCCCCTTTATGAAGGTTAAAATTGCAGTGAAAGTGTTGCGGCCCGAAGGGAATGCTGTGTGAGGCCCCTATATAGTGCCCTTACCGAGTATGCGATAGCACATCGCGAAGGGGGGCGGGCACGATAAACGTAGTTAAAAGCAACTAGCCGCCAATAACATTGCATCTATATTTATTCTCGAAAATGTCAATTTCAAAGAAAATATGAATCAGGACTTTTTGGAGATCGCTACATGATACCAGAGGAAACGATCAAAACCATTTGTAAATACGACCAGTATTACCCACTGCCTGTCTGGTGTGAGGCAGTATCTCCGCCAGCGGAGGCTCCGCAGGCGGCCGCAAGTGACGCCCGATACGTTTACTATGGAACCTTGCGCACATACATCATGCATCGCGTTCGGGTTGCTCTTGGCAATCATGTTTAGAATTCAAACATTTCGACACGCAATTTTCGCTTCTCATCTGAAGCTACAATATGAATTATATGGAAATATCATCTTAGAAGAAAGCGTCAGAATTGAGGGTGTTTGATGAGGGTCATCGGGTTTGGAAACGAGCCTACCACTTTCGAGCCATGCCAATTTACAGCAGCATGACAGCCAAGTACCAGGTAATCAGTCGTCATCACTGCTTCATCAATCCTCGAGTCTCGTCAGTGCAAGCCGCAAACGTCACATTGAGTTCACTAACATCACCCAATGGATTACTTGAATATGCTCTGGCTAGCCTCCGACACCTCACACGGCGCTATTCCTGGGTATACGGCAGCTGGGTGACACGAGCTTGGACGTTGATTGTTATTTCCCCTCACTGAACCAATCCCCATCGGTCAAACTCTATACTCTGCTAGAAGCGTTTTTACCGTCATTGAATAGTAATGCACCAGCGCTTATAAAGACAAAATTCATTCCAATTCCCTGGTAAGTGTTTATTTACCAGTCAGAGATTCATTCTATAGGGTAATGCTTCAGTGTCCGCCAAAACTCTCTGGGAGATAACCATAATTAAGGCGAGGGGCAATCACTTGATGCAGACGGATATTCCCAGAATCTTGGCTTTGCAAATGCGCTACAACCGTGTCTTCGCGTCACGATGATGCTGGGCTTCTTCTTCGCATACATACTGCCGTCTAATGGGAAACGGCATTACTGAGTCCTGGTTGCATCGACGTCTGACTCGGTTCTGTTGTTGTCTACTAAATTGAGATTTGACGGAAAACAAGATATACTTTCAACGACCTCGGCTCACATGTCTCGGTGGCTATCAGGTATATAGATGGCTATTGCTGCATCGCTGCGAAGTTGATGTTGGGTAATTCTGCATTGTCTCACTCCAGCTTGCATTAACAGACATTTTGAACTCGACGATATTCGACGACCGCCAGCATGACGTACTTGGAAAGATACCGTTCCGGTCATATCAACAGATGGGTCCAGAGACTGCTGCGTCTCCTTCAATTTCTGACCGCCATTATTTCCCTGGGTTTCTTCTCCAGGAGACTGAACAGGCTGCTTCACTTGACGAGAGGGGCCTATAATAGAGGTGAAGGCGCCGTCGAAGGAATCTTGGCCGCGGCCGTGGTATACTCCATCCTAGCCATGGCCATGGCCTGCTGTCTACGGCACGGCGGTCCCAAGATCATACGTTGGCTATTTGTGCTCATGGACATCTTGTTCATCGGCGCCTTCATTGCCGTTGCTGTTCTCACACGCCGCCATGGGCCAGCCGGTGCATATGGTGGTGAATGTCGCACGGATGGATTCTTGGCGAATGCTGTACGATCAGATTTCAGACGGAGGCACGGCTGTAATCTTCCATGGGGTACATTCGTCCTGGCCATCATTAGCGCGTAAGTTTGTTTTTCCCAAGACGCTTTTGCCTGGACCATGAATTGACAACTGGGTTTTGGGGAAACAAAAGTATATTGTATGCCCTTTCAGCATTGTTCCACGAGGTCAAGGACCGTCGCAACCGCGAACCATCGTATGAGACGGCCCCAGGCAAGGGCGCCAGGGGTTCTCACCATTCCACAAGCACCTACAATACCTATCCTGAGCAGCAACAGGTCGTCAACCCAGACGGTTCCTACCCTGTGCAGGCACCAGTCAATCCTGGCCACAATGTCGCTGGTCACCACGTGTGAAGCCGCCTTTCCTTGCATAAGGATAAATTCGTTAGCCAAGGGCATCGATCAGCCTTGCAAACTTGGAGGATATGAGAGGTGGAAGGAGGTACGACGACGTACGCACGATATATGATACACGACACAAGGCTTTAGGAAATCACTCATTCGTCCATTTTCTTTTCACTTTTAGCATTTTTTATACATTACCAGCCCTAATAGTTTGAGTCATCAGATTATTCATCAATAAATAGTCATATAGTAATAAAGGTATGATATATGAGCCTGAATATGCTTTGTCCACGTGTCGACACTTTTGGGAAGCCCTATCTGTAAAATCGCACGAATGATGCTTGACATGACGACATCTTTGACATCAACGTGCCGAAAATCTAGTCAAACGCGCTCCAAGCCAATGCACTCGCACGCAACTTTGTGTACTTATCAACTCACGAGAGAGTCATACACTCGCAGTCTCTTGTAATGATCACCTTGACGCAGCAGGTAAGACCACGAGACTCAGGATGAGGGATTGTGTTCATGAGATCATGTGCCAGATGGTCCATGTGCTGTAAACACGTCAACTAATCCTGCAAGTAGACTGTTGAAGATACCCGTCGAGCCTGTTGAGCAACTCGCATGAGATAGTGACTTCTGCCTTGAAGGAGAGTTGACTTTTGCGCTTTTCCATATCATAAACTGAACGCAGACTAGACTGATACTCACATCACAAGGCACTTTTAAATACGATGGCAGAGCATAACTGCACCTCAAAGCACCACTATGTTTGCTTCAAACCAAGCCTGTCCTCGATCACCTTGACAATTTCCGACCACTCCATCATGGCACCATCTCCAATATCGCCACAGGCCAGCGTCTTTTGCTGCGGTGGCAATACTTCGAACCAGCCGGCTCCCTTGCCTTGTTTTCCGACGCCCCAGTCCTCGCTCAGGACCTTGATCTGCGATTCCGTGACTGGGTGGCGCCACATGGCGGTATTCATGGCAGGGGCCACAATGATGCGCTTGATTTTTCCATGTCGGCCAGTTTGCTGGGACCGCGATGCCGCCCCATTGGCCGTTGTTGCAGCAGCAGCAGCACCAGCTCCGACGGGCAGGTCCCGACCGACGTCAGAGTCCAGCTCGCCGCGGGCGTCCCAGGCCCGGACGACGCTGGTAATGATGCCGTCGGCCATGCCCCAGACGATCTTGGCCATGGTGTTTGCGCTCAGGGGCGCAATGACTAGCATGTCGGCCCAGCGGCGGAGCTCAATGTGCAAAATGCTGTTGCCCCTCTTCCAGGGCTCCTTCCACTCATCCTCGTCAAAGTACACGGCATCCACGCACGAGTGGTCATAGAGGCTAGACACCGTGGGCTGCTCCGCGGACTGGCCAGCAAGGAAGCGGCGAGCAGAAGGGGTCAGCAGGACACGAATGCTGAGATTGGGATGATGGGAGAGAGCTTGGATGATCAATGGCAGCTTGATGGTGGCCACGGAGCCAGAAGCTGCCAAGAGTAGATGAACCTTGGAGTCATGGAACGAGGCCGTGAGGTTTGCTATGTCACTTTGCGTTGAGCGGACATGTTGAACATCATGGACAGATGAGACAGCCTGCAGCATGTTGACTGGTGATTTCAAGTTTAGACGGGGGGTCCTTGGCTTTGGAAAAAAAGGAATTATGCAAGGTTGTTCTGATTTGCTTGCATGTTACGATATCACAAGAGTGGATGGCTCCGAAGGCACCGACCGAGCTTGGGCGGGGCGGAAGTTTATAATATCCCAATCGGATGGTGTCGAATTGACTTTAGTCATCGGGCAAAGCTCGTGATAGATACACTCGGGGTAAAATTGTGGTGGTGTTGATTGAACAATGAACCGTAAATAAACTTGAATAGCCGAGTCAGTGAATGCAAGGAATGGATATGATAAGGAAACATCTAGTTGTTTCCAGTGGACTAACAATTTCTCACCATGGACATCAGCGGGTGAGCGTCCAGCGAGTTCACGATTGGGACATTTCATGATAGCGTTGGTGGTGGAATGAACCCCCCTTGCTATTGATCCCCGTTAATCGGCCATCATTGCCCGCCTGGCAGTTGGTTGTGGCGTGAGCTTCCTTGGGGTGGGATTAGCGCTCTCAAGGCGCGCCACAGACTTGCATCATTGTGAATTTCTCAGCAACATTTAGCACTACTGTAGCCTACCAACACCTCGAACTCGTAGCTTGATCGCATTCTGCATCGGATCTTCAAACAGCTTCACACAAAGAACGTCAAGATGTGGTCGCGTTCGCTCATTTCTTCCGTAGGTCCCATTTCAACCTCATCACTCCTACCGGCTTCTTCGGCGCATTACTGATTGACCAAAATCCAGGGCTTCCGCCAGGCTGCCCGGCCAGTCACCCGCCAGACCATCGCCAGACCCGCGCCCTTCCTCACGACTTTCCAGAACAGATGGCTTTCGGCCCAGACAAAGGAGGCTATCGAAAAGGCCGTTGGCTCCGCGCCCGTAGTTCTCTTCATGAAGGGTACACCTGAGCTGCCTCAGTGCGGCTTCTCCAGAGCAAGCATTCAGATCCTTGGTCTGCAGGGTGTAGACCCGGAAAAGTTTGCCGCATTCAACGTGCTGGAGGACGCCGAGCTGCGATCAGGTATGGACCCCTCCAACACTGAAAGGACAAGACCGCAAGATGGCTTACAAAGATTTCAGGAATCAAGGAATTCTCCGACTGGCCCACAATCCCTCAGCTTTACATTGACAAGGAGTTTGTCGGCGGCTGCGATATCCTCGTTTCGATGCACCAAGATGGCTCCTTGGCCAAGATGTTGGAGGAGAAGAATGTCCTCGCTGCCGCTGAAGGCGCCGAGGGCGAGTCCAAGGAATAGAGAGACCACGTCACCCAGGAGTTGTACGATGTTATTGGGCTGCAGGTGTGTACATTACGGTTAGAAGCACGACTGGCGTCCTCATAAAGTCTGTTTTTTAAATGCATTTGATTTGACAACAAGCCATCTCCGTCCCTACAAGATCAACCTCGCAAATAATGTGCAGAGGTTTCTATGAGAAGTTTGGATCCAGCTTGTATACAACCTACTGAGGAGGATACGACTATTGCGGATAGGCGGCACCATCTCCCCTGGGGTCACTTCCAGCCGACCAGATGCCCTCATTCTCGACAGCGTCAAGGCTCCAGCGAATGATTTGACCTCTACCGAATAACCCTCTGCCTTGGCCAGTCACAACCTTGACTGTATGGCCAAGCTTCTTCAGACCTTCGATTGTCTCCTCGGGCATCCCTTCTTCTACACTCACTGTCGGATCAAAGACCTTGCCGTGCTCGGGCATTCCAGCTCCAATGCAGATACGCGGTGCGTCTAGAGCCTGCTGGGGATTCAGTCCGCCCACGATCTGACCAAGCAGGACCTGGACATGGCCTTGAGGCTGCATGAAGCCACCCATGACGCCGTAGACACTGTGCAATGAGCCATCGTGTAGGTTGGTCACGGCTGCTGGAATAATAGTGTGGTAGGGTCGCTTTCTTGGCGCAAGCACGTTCGGGTGATCAGCCTGCAAGCTAAAGTTTGCGCCTCGGTTCTGCAGCGTGAAGCCGCATCCCTTGGGGATAATGCAAGTTCCGAATCCGCCATAGTTGGAGTTGATAAAGGAGATGGCGTTACCTTCGGCGTCTGATACGGCAAAGTAAACTGTGTCGCTGCTTTGCAGTGCTGGGCTGCCGTGGTGTACAACCGGGCAAGCCTGGTCGGGACTGAACAGCTTTGCGCGCTCGGCAAGGTACTCTTTTGAGATCATACTCGCCGTAGGGACTTTCTCCACGTTGGGATCAGTGACCCACCAGCTCGCGTCTGCAAAGGAGATGCGAAGAGCCTCGATGATGGCATGCAGGTACGGCGCTGTGTTGAACTCTTCCGGCTTGAAAGCGGGGATCTTGCCCGCAAGCTCCAGCTCTTGGATGATGCCAAGGGCCATCAGAGCCACGATTCCCTGGCCGTTGGGCGGGTGTTCCCAAAGCTCAACGCCCAGATCCAGATCCGAAGTGTTGCCTCCCGGAATCGACTTCTTCAGAGTCTCGGCTACACCTTGGCCCCTAAACTTGAGCGAGATGGGCTCGACCGGCTCGCTGCCCATTTCAAGATGATGCGCCATGTCCTCAAGTTCGAGGTGGCCACCCAGGTCCTTGACGACCTTGACAAATTCTTCGGCAATGCGACCAGTGTAGAAGCCCTTCTTTCCTTCCGAGGCCAGAGTTCTAAACGTCTTGGCCAAGGTTGGGTTCTTCATGATCTCGCCTGCCTTGGGCGCACGCACCCCATCAGGAGCAGCCGGGTCATTCTTGAGCATTTCGCTAAAGTTTGGAGATGCATCACGGATGGTCTGCTCGGCAGCGTTCCACTAGAGTCATGTCAGCGTTTGGCCTAGCCATGGTGAGAATCATGACACATACGTAGTGCCCGATCTGTTCTGACACTGGGAATCCCTTCTCGCCCAGTTCAACGGCCGGCGCGAGAATCTGTTCCATGGTCACTTTTCCACTTCCGAAACGTTCCACAGTGTCGCACCAGCCGGCTGCTGCGCCTGGGATAGTGACGGACTGCACGCTGGTCATGGGAATCTTGCCGTCTTGGCCGTCCTGGATTCCTAGCGAGCTGCGAATGGTCTCGAGTGTACACTTGCTTCCGGAGCGACCTGATCCATTCATGGCCGAGATCTTTTGCGTCTTGGCATCGTAGAAAAGACAAAACATGTCGCCACCGATGCCGGTCGAGCCCGGTTCGGTCATGTTGAGCCCAGCAGCTATAGGTTTTGTTAGTAAATGTCCGCAATAACAGTATTTTAACATGGCAACGCACCAACAGCCACTGCAGCATCCTGCAAGATTCATTAGAATGGTTTCCTTGAGAGATGTCTAAGCCATGCACTTACAGCACAGTTTCCGCCGGCCTTGAGTACCTCGATACCACATTTCGCTGCCAGAGGCTGCGTACACGAGACGATGCCCTTTGTGTTGTGAACTACGCTTCGCCGGCTTGGAAACTTCATGAATTCATCCGACTGGGGCGGGAAGACTGAGGGTGTTGTGAGAGGCATGTTGGGCGTCAATGATTCCCCAAGGTAGGTTGTATCGAAAGTGATTCTATACAAACTGTAGCAGGACCACCCGGTAATATTCAACAATCAAGAAGAAAACAAAAGGTCGTTCCTTGGAGCGATGAACTCAGGACAAACACGACTCTGATGGGGTTAAATCACTCAGGAATACTTTTTCAAAAGAGAATAATGATGACGAAGAAATGCTTCCCATGCAAAGCACCTGGGACGCATGCATGCGGCTGCTGGCCATCCGATTGGGGGTTCCCTTCGGAAGACGCCGCTAGTAACGAGACTCCACAGCTCCGATTCCCCCGCCCGAGGTTCGGAGGAGGCCCTTGGGACTATCTTCGTCTTGTTACGATAGAACTTCCAAATCAGGTCTAGGAGCATGATATCCAAGAGCAGGGGTATTGCATTTGCGGAGAGACCGTGTATACCTCGACAATAGTAGTAGTATCTTCATATAATGCACCAGCCAGTGAGAAATAAAGGCCCTTTTCCTACCTATTGGTTTCTTAGTCGGGTAGATAAGCTACTTGAACGTCCTAGAATGTGTTGAATATCTCTTGAACATGATGACCTCAACCTACCGTGAATAAAGTGGCCGCAATTCGCCACGAAGCAATCAAGACTTGTTTCCTTATTATAATGTCGAGAAACAGTTTTACGTGTTGACACAGGCATGAACAAATTAGAGAATGGTTGGTGCAAACAAAGCAGATCTTGTCTTTGTCCCATAACGACATTAATCTGCAGTCTGAACAATCCTTCAGTGCATACATCTCAGATTAGTAAAATTGCAATGCTTAAAAAATAGCAAAAGCTTTGGCACCGGTGAATATAAACTCCGTCGTCCAGTATTGCATCAAGCATATACAAGTCTTTGATTGCATGAACTCTACTCTATGGAATGATGAACAGGCCGGTCCGATCCGAACAAAGACCCAAAGCGCTGTCCATACTTTCAAAGCTAAACTGCCCAGTCAGTAGCCAAGGCTGAAGTGCCGGGCTGACTATATCCTTCATAATGACCCGCGGACCAATCAGGTGTTGTCATGAGGTCTCCAATTTCCAGAATAGATGGGTTCAATCAGCGGCAGTTACTTATTCCGTCATAACTGGCTTCCGATAACAAGTTCCGATGGCAGCCGTCCAGACTTTATCCGGCCATCCCAGTTTCGACGGCAAGTCGGGACCTACAACTATATCAGGAGCAAGAAATAGGCTTTCTGCCCGCGGACAAGTCGAAGAGACTTTTCCCTTCTTCGACCAGACCTTTCACGATCAAGCAGAATCTGAATCACATTCGAAATGTTGTTTCTACTATCGCTTTTGGCGCCCCTGGTGGCATCCCAGGAGTTGATGCGCTTTGGCTGCTCTCAGCTCACCATTGACCAGATCGATCCTCTGGTCGAACCTGGGAATATTCCTTCAGCACATATGCACCAGGTCGTCGGCGGTAACTCGTTCAATGCCAGCATGAGCCCCAGTTCCCTCGACCCTCCGACAGATGCGACTTGCACTAGTTGCACATATTCCGAGGACTTTTCCAACTATTGGACTGCCAACGTCTACTTCAAGGCCAAGAATGGCACATTCAAGCTGGTCCCCCAGGTCGTCAACCTCGGGCTCGGGACCAAGGCTGGCATGACTATCTATTACATCAGAGGATATCAGGCCAGCGCCAAAGTCACGGCCTTTCCCAAGGTATGGCATCTCGCACCTCGTGTTGGTGGTTCTCCAGCTGATTTTCATGCCAGGGCTTCCGTATGCTCGTCGGAGACCCAATGAACCGCGATGCCAGCAAGGTGCCAAAGGGCCTGTGCTGGAGATGCGAGTCCAACATGCAACAGAACCCCTTTGGCGGTGCCCCATGCACAGGCTCCGATACGCCGGGTTTCCCAAAGGCAGCCTGCGGAGGCGGGTGGCGAATGACGGTGACGTTTCCCTCGTGTTGGGATGGTAAGAACACCGACAGCCCAGACCACCGCAGCCACGTCGCCTACCCGGCGAGCGGCACCTTTGAATCGGGCGGCGCGTGCCCGTCGACTCACCCGGTCAAGATCCCTCAGGTCATGTACGAGGCCATCTTTGACACGCGACAGTTCAACAACAAGGCAGACTGGCCCACGGACGGCTCGCAGCCCTTTTACTTAAGCATGGGCGACAATACGGGCTATGGCATACACGGAGACTACTTGTTTGGTTGGAAAGGTAACTACCACCACACTGACTGCTCTCCAGTTTTATCTGTTTAAGGCATTTGAAAAGCTAATGTTTCCTAAAACTTTAAGGTGACGCTTTGCAAAAGGCCATGGATACAAAGTGCGCCAATGATAACTGCGCAGCTCTCAAGCGACAGACCAACGACCAAGCCATTGCCTGCACCAAGGCACAGGCGTCCAAGGAAGACATAGGAGCCAGTCAATGTAAGTCTCGGAAAGATCATTAATAGTTCCATGACGAAGAAACTAAATAGTCAATAGGGCTCAAAACATTGCCTGGAGCGACCATGTAGTCTTTATGAAACATGTCGGCCTTTTTGGCATGGGCAGAGGAGCGATGGTCGGGCTGCGGAAAGATATCTAGGTAGTCTGGGTAACAATCTCACCAATTTATTCCGATTTTTTCTTGTTCGGTGTCATATATTTGTATGTCTTGGTTTAAATTGGTCTAAATGTTCGTAAAGCAAATTTCCCACTCGTAATCCATCAATTGAGTTGACCCTGGACGCCTTGCTCCATCTCTCGCACGCACCCATGCACACACGCCCCTTTTCGCTGTCTTGCGGCAAGTCATGTCATGCAAGCTCTCAGAGAACTCTTGAGCATCTTCCTCCCAAGGTTTCATCCAGTAGTAGGCAGCAGGTAGAATCAGGCACCCCGAAGACCGTCGCGCCAGGTCATGGTTGCGGCGTGAGTCAAAGGGGGAATAAACGCAGCTGGATACGTGTTCCAAAAACGGAGGAAGAGGGTCTGCAACTTGGCATTTCTTGCGAGTTCCACCCCATAGTTGGCGTGTATATCTTGTGGTAGCGCAAAGTGTTGGTGGTTGTGGAACGTCACCCCGGCCGCGGCATTGAAATGCAGCGTCAAGAAGATTTGTATGTAAATGCGAGCGCAGGCGGGAAGGCCGGCGGCCCTGGATGCAGAGTCGGGAATTGCATTTCCCGCGATCAAGTTCTGTGTCCCGGCTTCTCTGGTGTACAGGTTTGCCCAGCTCAAGACCTGCCAGGCCGTAAAGGATTTGTGCTTCAGCGGTAGCCGTTGCCGTGCTGAGAAGACTATGACAGTGTTAGATTGAAATGAATAAAATATAGCTGACCAAAAATGTGGGTTTCAAAGTCTGCATGTGCATCTGCAGAGCTTCCAAAGTCCACAAAAGGAAGCTCGGGCCGGGATGACTTGGGTTTCTCACCGAGTATATTATATCCAGTATATGTTAAGTGATGATGTTCCAACGGCATATTACTGTTCAAGCCAGGACAGCCAGCAAACTCGAATGTGGAATTCATCCACCAAAAGTTCACCTGGCCTAATCGATGGGCAATTTCAGCATGCGTTCCTATCCCCGTGTCGTGCCAGGATCTTGTAGCGGTCTGTGATTTAACCAGAAAAAAGGTTAGTCATCCAAAATTAACTTGCTGATAGACAGCAGAATGGGCTGGGGTGGCACACTTATACCTCTCATCGTATACACTGAGGGAAAAGATATCCTGTCCAGGAGATGTTCCTTTATGGATGTGGGGGAAGAGAAGATATCGATAACGAGGCCAGATTCCCATGTTTGTTCTATCCGCATGAACAACAAGTGGAAGCCAAGCTTTGTCAAGGTCATCTCTTATCCGAACATGCTTTGCACGATTCTGTCGATGCTTTACTGCTCTCTCGACATTATGTGCAGGAAAGCAGTACGCCCACGCCGAGGTTGGAGCTGTTGTTCGTACACGGTTCATCAAATTAATGGCCAAATGTAGCGTCTTGGTCGGGGCCGGGATAACTGATGTCCTCGCTATTGCACTCATCATCTTTTCCAACTCGCTGCCTTCATCGGCAGTTATATTTGGCAGATGGGCATTCGGGTGCCCTGCCGTGTTGCTGAATGGGTAAGGATGGTTCCATCTGTGATTGAGTTGCGGTAGTGCCGCCATGGTAGCTAATCGTCGAGCGTTGAATTTTCCAAAGTATTGAAAAAATTCTTTTGATGAGCTACATGAGCTTGACGGCCAGTAATTGAACCATGTGCTCTCATCGCGGGTGCCTTTGTTCCCCTTCCCTACACCCTGGTGTCTTTGTGTGTATTGTTCATTTTGACGGAAATGAGAAATTCCACAAGATGGTATGGCTGAGCTATGCCTTATTAGAAAGCTCTTTGTCCTTTATACCGACGAAATACCTGTGAAAAGTGTAGGCATATTCCTTAAAATGCTTGAATGCTGAAAGACTAAACAATCATTGTCTAGGTTAATAAAATTGATTGAGCTAATTTAGTAAAAGGTACTAGCTATAGAGGTGGCTCTTCGGCACCTTTGATCAATGTTCATCCTCGCCATTTTCCAAAAGTCTGGTATACTGATAAGAAAATATGTAAAGTGCGGATGTAGCTATCCAAAAGATTTATGCCACTACCATTCTCTGTTTCCTTGAACAGCCCTTGGAGGCTTGTTCACACTACACCATGTATAAGTGGGCAGACCAATGCATAGAATGGTGTGCTCAAGCCCCGAAATTCTGTTTTCTGAAGACTACGCAAGAGATGAATACCGCGATGAAACTTGAAGAATTAATCGATGGACTTCCCTGTGCTCTTTTAAGCAAAAGTAGAAGCGGCAGATCCCCATTTACTTCAGGCCAATCTACTTTGAAGATCGTGATCCAAACAAGGGCATATCCCCCCCCGCAGCCTGCAATTGGTGACCGCTGCCGTATCTATAGCTGGGGCTGGGGATTCCTTCAGGGATAGAGGGGAGCAATCTCCAGTCCCCGATCTCCTCCAGACATTCCAGCGCAAATATGCAGGGCCAACTACACAGCTGACCCAGTGTATGCGTATGTCGTGGGAGTTGGCGACGCGTGAAACAGACGCCACCACTGGACCAAGCCAAAACAATGCTTCAGGCTAGGGAAGAGCGAAGTGTTTTGTGTCGAATATCTTCATGATTTCTCAACATTTTCACCCTAATTCGTGGACACCAGGATAAAGCATATTGTTGCTCCATGATCATGGAGGCATTTGCCGAGATGTCCGCTAAAATCTCGTTCATGTAGGCACCCACCTAGCTTTGCCCCAATTGCCAAGAATAACTGTCTCGTGCATCATGGTCAGCACTGGGCAAACGGCGAAGCTAACTTGTATAGGAGATTTTTCGGCGGCGGCCCTCGCTCAACAACGCCGCATTGTATGGTAGCATTACAACACTACACACTATACCCCACTGAGTGAAGCCAGATTACCGATGCATCATTTGTCTGCAGTGCCGACGAGTCAAGACAAAGCAATGGACCCTACTACATCTTGGATCATTCAACTATACTCAAGCTAGAAGTCCCCGCCGTGAACCTGTGCGGTGTCACTCAAGTTCCCCATGGGGCCCCAGGTTTATCTCCTTTTGAAGGACCAAGAACTTGGGACAGAGAACGAACATAGTCACGGATGACTAGAGCCGTCGATCTTGTATAAAAGACCAGGCTGCACAGCTTGATCATCTTTAACAAAAGTTTCCCTGATCTCCAGTATTGTGTACTAGTGCCAAGCCTTTTATTGAAAACTCCCAGACTGCGTCAGGATGAAGGACAATGATAGCATTTCAAACTCCAACAAGGAGCCAACTGCTGCTACAGAACATCACGAGAAGTCACCCAACGGTCCAGAGGCAACCCTCTTTGAAGACGTCTCTTATGGCTCAAGCGGTGTTCACGGACTGCTTGGGTCCCCATATGTCACTGGCGCCGCAGCTCTAGCCTCCTTGGGCGGCTTCTCCTTTGGTTACGACCAAGGTGTCATCTCCATTATCAATGTCATGCCACAATTTCACGCAACTATACCCCAAACCGCCACGCCCTTTGGCACGGGGCTCATGACTGGCATGCTGCTGCTCGGCGCCTTCGTCGGATGTTTGTTCATGCCATACTTGGCGGATAAGCTGTCACGAAAAAGAGCTCTGACACTTGTTGTCGTTATCTTCAATATTGGAGCAATCATGCAGACAGCTGCAAATTCATATGGAGTCCTTGTTGCTGGAAGAGCCATAGGTGGAATTGGTGTCGGTACACTTGCCATGGTAATCATATCCTTCGCCTCAACTATGACTGGTGATCATTGGCACTAACGGACATCTAAACAGGGAGCACCGTTGTACATCTCGGAGATATCGCCGCCTAATCTTCGTGGAACACTGTTGGTACTTGAATCGATTTCAATCGTCTCAGGTGCTGTTATTGCTTTTGTATGTGCCGAATCTTGATCTTGTTGATCCATATACTTCGCCGTCATTTCTCGTTCCGACTATCCCAAAATTCAATGAAAGAAGAAACACGGACTCGGCACTAACCTCTGATGATACTATTAGTGGATTACCTACGGAACCCGCTTCATTGATAGCGATGTCTCTTTCCGCCTTCCATTTGGGTTGCAAATGGTCTGCGCAACATTTCTCGGAGTCGGCATTCTCTTCTTTCCATACTCGCCACGCTGGCTCGTCCTCGTAGGTCGGCGAGAAGAAGCCCTTCAAAGCTTGAGCAAGCTGCGAGGTTTACCCCAGGACGAGAGCCGAGTGCAGGCCGAATACAGGAGCATCATTACCGAGGTCGAATTCCAGACCATGGTGCAAGAGAAGCGACACCCGGGCAAGAAGGGTGCGGCGCTCGAGTTTGTTCAGTGGATCGACCTGTTCAAGGGCTGCACGCTGCGCCGGTCGCTCGTTGGAGTTGGTGTCTGCTTCCTGCAACAGTTCATGGGAGTCAACGCCTTCATCTACTACGCACCTACCTTGTTCCGCTCCATCGGCCAGTCGGACGAGATGTCTCTGGTTTTGTCCGGCATTTTCAATATTCTCCAGCTTGTCACCGTCCTTGTCTGCTTCTTCGTGATTGATCGAGTTGGCCGGCGACCATTAGCAATCATAGGAGGCGTGGGGACTTGTGTTTCGTACGTCATCATTGCCATCCTCTCTGGTCTCTACTCGCACGATTGGGCTGCACATGCCGGTGCTGGCTGGGCCTGTGTGGCTTTTGCCTTTGCATTCATCTTGTTTTTTGGTCTCTCCTACTCCCCCCTCGCCTGGCTGCTCCCTGCCGAGGTCTTCTCGACTGCGAACCGATCCAAGGGTGTGGCGTTGGCCACTTGTACCAACTGGCTCTCCAATTTTATAGTCGGTACTGCGACGCCGCCAATGATTGCCGCAATCGGCTATGGCACGTACATCTTTTATGCTGTCTTTTGCTTGCTGGCTGCCCTTTGGGCTGTTTTCCTACTTCCCGAGACAAAAGGTACGTGGACAATCTTGATAGGAACAATTTCTTTATGCTTACGTTATGATCACCAGGAAAAACGCTTGAGCAAATGGATGAGATATTTGGAGATACGGCCAATCATGAAGAAGAGGAATTGATGCACATCGCAATCTCACACGTAGCATCAACGGTAAACCCAGCACAACACGTCTAAACCTGGCATATTCGTTGTTTCAGGTGCTTAGAAAAGGCCCAAGACCATGAGACGACAAGATAACTTGTCTTGGCATTCACGAATTAGAAAAAGACGGGTGTACAGCAAATTGATAGTCAGATTAAGTACAAGAGTAAGCTGTCAAGTGACCCTCAGATGGGATGCCCGACATTGTGATGTCGTACTAGTTGCTTCTTCCTTTGTGCCATTAGCTCCAAGACGATACTTCAGTTATAGCTAGGTACAGAATTGTTGTTGGACAAGAGTCGAAACTCGACGTTCATAGTCGGAATGAGGCTCTCATCGGCAGTCTGGTTGCGGGGAGTTATAGCCATAGTTGGAGCCAATGAGCTGACCGACGCGGACACCAGACTGCGCCGCCACGTCGGCAAATTTCTTGTTCACCATTTGATACGGTTCGACGGTGCACTGGTTGGGAGAGCAGAGCGGGAGTTTGATGGCATTGCCCCCCAAATACGGCGCCACACTATTATATATATATGATCGTCATAGTGGTAAAAGATCCCACTCGATAGATTTCAAGTGGAGATCTCAGGGGGTTTAAATATTTGCATTGCGAATGCGAGTCAAGAAAAATTAGATATGTGTGCCTAGATCTTTAAGGTCGCAACACCTACCGCTGTAAAAAGTTAAAACTTTAAAGGCAAGCTTGGCCAATTAAGATGGATTAATGGTATTGACCCTGCCCTGATCCTGGGCCTGATATGATATAGTCAGCAGTCAGTCCTTGGGGTCAGCGGTACGTGCCATTCTTGGCGCGATCCGCTTTATGGAGAATCCTGCGCAATGCCTCTCTCGCATTCGGATTCTGGCCTAGGCAACCTCTATTACACAACCAACACACGATGGCTGCATATGGCACAGAAATCATCACGAATAACGTAATTCTAGCAGCAGGAGGAAGCGTGTAAATACAACTTCATATAGCCAAGTTAAAGACTGACATGTTGAAACCATTTTCAGCTGCAATAATCGCCCGACAAAATATCTTCTACTTCTCAATTCTTCCAAGTAAAACATTTTTACCTTGGAGTTAGATCAGCAACACCCAGCATGGCCGATAGTCATGCTACATTTACCTTCCGGCACGGGATTGCCGCTGCCCAGCTCGTCATCTTTTCATTATCTCTATTTTCTGCCATATTTTTCCGCTACAGACATAGGAACGGCTGGTTTTGCATCGGCGTCTTTTCCATTTTTCGTATTGTTGGGGCTCGGTGTATGCTTGGTACCTTGACAAACGACGCGACTAGTGTATGGGCAGGAGTCTTTGTTTGTGAATCATTGGGTATGGTCCTGCTTGTCTTCCTTCTTCTGGAACTTTTACAGAGAGCGTAAGTCTTACTTTCCATCTCCTAGTTTCTTTTCTTCAATGACTCCCAAGATCCATTCACCATTTGGTAACTATGTGTGAAATATAGAGGCTAACACTTATCTTATCTCTAGAAACAAAGAAGTCGAAACAATAAACCCCCGCTGGTTCTGGTATCCTCAAATCATCACATGGGCTGATATTGGCCTCGCCGTCGGCGGATTCGTCTCTGCTTCGCATCATTCATCGCTCGCTCCCACGCCTTATACACAAGCCAGCTTTGGTCTCTACACGAGCATGTATCTGCTAGTAGTTGGTATGACATGGTTTTTATGGCGCAATCGGGCCAGTTATCCCATAGACGAGAAGCGCGCCATTCTTTGCGTCGTCGTATGCCTGACCCTGCTGGCAATACGTACTGCATATGCATTGATCTACCAAATCACCGGCGACAAGACATGGAACGCGGTGGAGGGGAGACCGACCCCTTACCTTCTCATGACGATGCTTCCCGAACTGGGCATAATATACGTGGCCATCTGGACCATTTGTCAAATCAGTCCACCGCCGCAAGAAAAACGAGGCCGAACGAGATCTGAGGAGCTCTATTCATTCGTCCACGGAGACTCTGGGGATAGGTTGAGAGCCCATGACGAAGAGAACAATAAGCCTCAATCAGCAGAGACAATACACATGTAGATAACGTGATAGTCACAATAGATAGCGAACAAACGTCCTTTAAAGGCGAGATTTTCATCGTTTGTGTGAATGCAAAAATCCAACGAAAGATTATACGAATAATTCACCTCCTCCATAATGTCATATGTGGGTGCTTGAAAAGTACCAAAAGAGAAAAGACTCTATCAGAGAGCAAGAACGAAAAATGGTGTCTAGAAAGGACAAAAAGAAGTGTATTTTTGCATAATCGGATTGTATGAGGCTTCTGGAGACGACATCCTATGTCGGACTATCCGCATATATACAGGTATGAGTTTACTTACCAGGGGCAACCAGTCGTCGTGCTAGGCTACATACAAAGTGGATGGGTAGGACAGTCCCTTGATCCTTTTCGCAAAGGTCATAATTTTCCAGAAATAATTTGTCATTTGCCAAGAATGATGTCAAATCAGGACACATGATTAGCCAAACGAATCTACAAGATGCACACTATGTAATTTGACTTTATACTGTCACTTGCCATATTGGTACCTGCATGTGGTATTTGGCCCTGAACCAGGACAGTAGACAGGCATTGGTCACAGCACTAAAACACTGGGCGCGCTTAACCAGATCAAGTACCGGACCTCGGCATCCTCACCACGTATCGTTATCTTTTACCACCCAGGCGACAGATTTGGAATTGTCTGCTTACCGCAATTCGGCCTCTACATGGCGACATAGATCTGGTTATTTACACATGTTCTTATCTTTGCGACTTTTTATTCTTTTCGTCGTGTATCTTTCCTAGACCGAGATTCTTTATTTCCTCCCTCATTCGTGCATGTCTCTGTCGCCGAACCACGGTCTCCTCGCCAAGTGTACGACGACTTTCCTGTGCCATCTTCGATCCGTCCCTCTCTGGGTCATTGCGATTGCAATCCTGATCTTGGGCGCCCTCCGGTCAAGAGTCGCATCGCAGGTAGCCCGACGGCAGGAGAGTTCTCGAAAAGAGGCAGAGGACAGCTCCCGGGCACCAAGGACCCCTTCGAAGACGAAACCGACGCCTCCATAGTCGCGAGCGAAACAACATAGTCAGGATGGTGTCAAGCGCAGCTTATGCGCGGCCAATCTCCAAGATTGCAAAGCCGGTCCTACTGCCCGCCTCGATTGCTGCGATCGCATACGCTGCCTACAATGGACGGATTAATGGTGTCGTTGACCTTGCCAAGCGGTTCGCTACGGGCCCTGGAAGCAAGAGCAGAATCTTTGCCCTGCTCATGGTTTTGGTGAATTGGAAGAGTCTGCCTTTGGCATGGACTGTACGTTATCTGATTTCTACTTGGCCTGCGTTATATGGCCCTTCCTTCTTGTCAAGTATTGCTCCGACTGACATGTGACTGTCGACTGCAGGTCCGCATCTTCAACACCATGATTTCTCACATCTTCATCCGCCCACTCCACGAGCACGGCCCGGAAGTCCTCTTCCACCCCGTAATAACCGAGACGCACGTGACGCTGCTCGAAGTCGACTACAACATTCACAAGTCCAACAGCACGTACTTTGCCGACCTGGACGTGTCGCGCTCACACCTGGCCTCGCATCTGTTTGCGCGCGGCATCCGGCTGCTGGGCAATAACGCCGAGAGCAAGCTGGTCATGGACCCGTCGGATCCCACGCGGCCAGCCCGGGGCCGCTTTGGCGTCAGTCTCGGCGCCGTGCACTGCAGCTTCAAGAAGGAGCTCAAGCCGTACCAAAAGTATGAGATGTGGACGCGCGTGCTCAGCTGGGACCGCAAGTGGCTGTACCTCGTCACCCACTTTGTCGAGGCCGGTGCCGTCAAACCAAAGTCTTGGGACGCTTCGAACTTTGGCCTCACGCGCAGCGAGGACGGCAAGCCCGAGGAGTGGCAAAAGAAGATTCACGCCACAGCCGTGTCAAAGTACGTCTGGAAGATGGGCCGCCTGACGGTGCACCCGGCGGTCGTGATCGAGTCCAGCGGGTTGCTGCCCGCGCGGCCCGAGGGCTGGGTTAGCACGGAGAGCGGGATGGTCACGCCCAACGAACCCGTCACCGGCAACACGAGCGAGGAGGCCAAGGAGCATGATGCCGAGACCGGGTGGGACTGGAGGAGAATTGAGACCGAGAGACTCAAGGGCCTTGAGTTTGCCAACCACTTTGCCGCTTTGGATGGCCTGGCTGGCCAGTTTGACGGCGGAGAAAATGGTGCGCTGGGCAAGTTCAGCCTTGGTTGAGGTCGACACCGTTGCATCATGGATCACGGGCTCAGGACGTTGGGGCCAGGCAAGTTTTATGATCAAGGTCCTATCCTTTTACACGCTCAAGAGTCTTTGCTTTAATAAACCAGAAGATAGATCTTATTTGCTGGCAGGATAAAGTTTTCACTGTCGAATTATAGAATAGATACAACGAATGTAAGAAGAGGACAGAAGTATGACCCTTGGCCTATAGGGTTATCCCATATGTTCTTCCTGTTGGAGAAACGACACCGGAGAGTGAGATGTACGAAGATGCATAGAGTCCCAGTTGGAGGCGTTTTGAAAAATTTCAAGTTGTCATTAGATTGGTATCATTTTCCGCTTATATCCCAGACTAAAGCATAGTACATTTCTCTTCCACTGGCACTCGTCCCGACGTTTTGTCAAGACACCTTTCTTTCGTGTCAAATTTCTTTTGTTCTTGTTTTTACAGAGCGAAAGCGAACAGGGCGGCGGCTCCGGCGAGAGCGCCAAACTCCAGACGACCGGCACCGGCAGTGACGGCGGCGGTGCTGGAGGAGCTCGTGCCCGTGGCGGTGGAGGTTCCAGAGGTCATGGTGGCGGTGGAGTTGGAAGAAGAGCCGACGCTGGTGGTGTCGGCAGTGATACCGACGGCCTCGCAGATCTCCTGGGAAATGGTGAGGGCAGCTGGAAAGTTTACAGAGTCAGTCTTTTTGTAAAAGATCATGGAACCGGGGAGAATATAAAGTTCTCAGGAGGGCAAATGGGGTGGAAGACAACGTACTCTCCTGATCCGCGGTGCTGCAAGCAGCGTCGATACAGGGGCCGGCGCTGGCCTGGAGCTCGGCAGCCTTGCTGCACTGGCAGGTATAGTCGGTGACGGTGCAGCCAATGTCGGAAGCACCAGTGATGAGGCAGGTCAGGGCACAGTCGGGGACCTGAGTGACGAGGGAGGTGATGTCATCGCTGGCGGCGGCGACGGCGACAAAGAGAGAGATGGCAACGGTCTTGAACTGCATTTTGGCGGCTTGTGTTGAGAAAGAGAGTGAGTTTGTCGTTTGGTAGTATGATTAAAGGTCGAAGATGATTAGTTGTAAGAAGTCGAATGTATAAGAAAGAGTGAATATAGTTCGATTAAGCACGACCAGGTTTTCGATCAACGTAGATGACGGACGAGATAAACAACTCTTTAAATAATGGAGGGTCTGGGACATATTATATATACTGAAAGTATCTACTACTACTACTACTACTTATTACTATCTACCGTACAAAGGATCTGGCAATGTCTAAGAGTAACAGGACGCCAAGATGTCGGGTGGATTAGCTTGGAGTGTCTAGGATCATCTCCATACATACATGGTACCAGCAAAAAGATACCCCTGACCCTGACATGTAGCTAAACCCAAAGCTTTGTTTGCACGATGGTTTGGGGCTCCATTTGGTTGGACCGCGATCGCAATCAAGCCGTGCAAACTTGGGGTGGGCGGCGTGGATGCTAGGGTAGTGGCCCCTGGTCGCAAGCTGCAGGCTGCTTAAAACGAGAATCGGTCTGCATGGGTACGAGGGAAGAGAAGGAGAAGATTACATTAGAACAGTCCATATTCATATTGGCGCGTCATTTGTTGAGTACTTTTGAGAATATTAGGCACTGTATCAAGGCGAGAGAAGGAGACGGATGGAAAGACAAATGGTATTGGTAAATCTCGATTTTTCTGCTTACATCCACCGACTACGGATCATTCTACCCGCCATTTTTTTTTTTTTTTTTTTTTTTTGTAGCAGTATTGCGATATCCGATCTACTTGTGTCGTTGCAAAGGAAATAGTAGAGACGGGGTTCGTGCTTGATGAGAAAACTGCTACTACCTGCCAATTATCGAGACAAATGCTGCCGTCAAAGCTGTCAAAACCGGGCCCTTTCTGTGCAGTAGGTCAGGTAGATCATCTCCCAAGCTAATATTATGCTCGCCGCTCGCCGTTCAAAGTCTAAGGCGAAGAAAAGAGAGCCGGTCGTGTCTGGGCGTACAGCTTGGCGCCAACCGCGCAATGCTTAGCAGCACGACCTGTCTTGATGGATGGAGGGCCAGGGCGACGCCCTGAGAGGGACTGTGCATATCTCGCAGGATACCTGCATATCATTCATTCGATAGAGCAAAGATAGACAGAGAGAGGATGGATGGATACATTTTTCAAGTATTCATGGCCAGTGCTATGCGCGTGTCATGGACTATCCAAAGAGGAACCCAATGTCTGAGACTGGCAAGAGGGCCACGCGCGTCTCCTGTTTTACCTGAAGTTTATACACAGTCAGTGGAAAGACGCCTACTGGGGACAGACAAGATGAGGCTTCAGAGTTCAGTTCAAAAAGTCTCCGACCGGATGTCGACAGTCGATGCTATTAGTGCAGAGCAAGAGTTGGTGGTGCCCTTGAGCCCAGACAGCGACAAGGGTCCTAAGCTCACTTCTATCATCGGGGTCCCTGGAGCCGGACCCCATATCAATCCTCTTTTGGCTCCCCTGCAGACTTGAAAAAGTGAGCGCAAGCAGCGCAAGGGGCGCTCCCGCATCCACTAAACTCTAGTGGCAGATGGTTGCAGCGATCATGCATGTAGTGGGGGAACAATGGGGGGTGATTTGGGGGATATCGAGCATCAATGGAAACACCGACTCTGTTGACGGGCGCTCCACCATGATTCCTTCGTTTGTTGCGTTGCTTTTTCCTTCTTGTTCATTTTTCTGTATTCTGTCAATGGTTCAGATCTAGCTGGGTCTTTTGATGATCTGAATCAGCCATCTGATGTATGTAGCCCACGTTGCGTTCCGGGCCGATCGGGAAGACGGTCCAGACATTGAATATCTTTTGCTCTCTCTCCACTAAATGCACAATTTCCGACCCAAGAAAGAAACAACTCGGCTTACACGTCTGGAACCGGTCCTCTGGTCCGCCTTGCACTTTTTTGACTTGAAATCTCCTTCGGGACTCGTCGATAGAGTAAAAAGGCCCATGACACGCTCTGATGATCCAAATAAGTGGTCAGCCTTTAGCGTCAGGCACTTGAGGGGCGTTCCTACAGATGATTTAATGTACACAGTAGTATGAACTGCAGCTCTCCCTTGCGCTACCTGCATTGGAAAGTACATTTATTAGCCTAGAGGTCCCCTTTAGCCCTGACAACCCTGTTCACCCTATTTCTTCCCCCATTCTAGCCAGCTCAAGCTTATTATTGCTTGTACTCGAGATCTGTGATTCCGCAGTGCTTGTCTCGCCAGTCTCCCGACTTGGTATTTCCCAGCCAAGTCAAGCCAAGCTAAGCCAGCCAGGTACAATTAAGCTACTTGAAAAGGGCATCCTGTGATAAGCACTACATGCACCTTGAGTGGTCTTGTTCCTAGGTACTAGGTAGTCATCTTTTATTTCTCTTAGCAAGTTCACCAACAGACATTATCCGGAATGGTCTAGGTCCCTTGAGCTATCCTCGTAGCTTCGTTTTGGGTCCGATTGATGTTGGAGCTCATGGTGTAACGTGTATATCATTCATCGTAGAGTTTCTCGGCAGTTCTGTTTCCTTTGATCTCTCCACTGTCGATCCTGGGATGGAAGCTACCGCATATGGAACTCGTGAGGTTTTAACTTGACACGAACTCTCCAAAGTCCCACTGTCTTCTAGGTAGCTGGTAGCCACTTTGAATGATTTTTCATTTGGAGATTTTCTTGCAGCCCCTTATTACTTGGTTTCCTTTGGGCCACTCAAGCACTTGCAAACAACCTTGGTCTGATAAATTCCCTCCCGCTAGAGTCCGGATCTCACCCGCGGGTTTCAGTTCCTTCAGGCCGACCAGCCGGCGTCTTGTCGGCCAAGGGATTTGCACCGCTACCAGAACGACTATGACAATTGCATTCCTTGCGTTCCCACGACATTGGCGCCGGCATTCCACCACTGGCAAGCTTGCTCAGGCGCCCCGTCCAGCGCCGCCCATTCAGTTCCGGCGCAGCTTCTCGTCCAGCGAGGTTTAGTGTTTGGTGATGACAACAAAATCCATTCCTCTGGTTCTTGAGTCATGCCAAGCTATAGCACGCCGAGTTCTCACCTTGCTTTGTACCATTGTTACCTCGTAGGGCGTAGGCCGTCGCTGTCGATTGCATACATAGTTTCTATCAGAGGGCTTTAATAGTCCATCCTCGTCTGCTACTTAGTTATAGGCTGACTGTCTCTAGAGCGGAACGCACGGAAATCATCTCGCGATAAAGATGTCAAGCCTGGATAGTCGGGGCTTGAACCTACAAATTTGGAACTTTTCAGGTCCTTTGATGTGCCGGCGAAATCTTTTTCTGATTGATCATGATGCTTGGCATTGAATAAACTCAAAGTATTCTAAGATTGTTCTCTTTCAAGCCATATGTCTTGTACACATGCGTACTAGCAACTTGCCATGACAGCAAGTAAGACAATAGGCTCAAGCCACGGCTGCTAACAATCGACCATACTACTCCGTAGAACAACTCTAATTCCTGGTGTTCATTACGGGCAAGTCGACAACCATGATTTGCGGGCTTTAGGCTGTTAGAAGATCTCAGACTGCTTTGGCGACGCAGCTATGGCAAAGATGAAAAGCAATAATGTATGCAGGTCCAGAACTCTGTCAATCTCGGAAGCATCATCTTGACTCATCAAGGTATTCGCAGATTCGGAGAAGCAAGCTTCACTGCCGTGACATGAATACTGATCAAGTCTCGAAAACACAGCTAACACAAGGGGGGAATCCCATTCACCCAACACCTGACACCATGCTTTTGGAATTGAAAACATATGATTCTTTGGCGCCCCTTAGACAGCCGTGGCAGGTGCCGTGGTCTTGACCGACTTGTAGAGGTCTCTGAGCTCAAAGGCATCGTGTCCACCTTCGGGCACCTCGCCAATGATGCGCGCCGGCTGGCCGGCGACGATGCTGAAGCTCGGTATCACCATGTTGGCCGGGACAATGGTGCCGTCCAGTATCTGTACATAGTCCTTGACAATGGCAAACTCGCCCACGACGGCGCCCTTGCCAATGTTGACGTGGCTGCCAATCGTGGCGGCCTGCACGACGGTGCCCTCTCCAATGAAGACGTGGTCGCCGAGGCGGAGGGGCATGTATGTGAATGCTCTAATTTTCCTCATGTCAATGCACATCGCTCCTGGTGTGTGATGAGGTTTATTGACTGGGACGGGTTTTCCCTCACCCTTTGTAGATGCGCCCCGGCGGTCGCAGACAACAGCCCTTGCTGAGGAAGCAGTACCGGCCGATGAAGACGGCGGTATTGCTTCCGGGTTGGCTCGGGTTAGTTGACGGTACGGTGCGTGACAAGTCACCACGAATCATGGCCTCGGGCATGATGACCGTCTTTCCGCCTAGCATAATGTGCTGCGTGCCCACTAGGGTGGCCTTGCGGTTGACCTTGTTGCCCGTGTCCTGCAAAACGCGGTCTTTTGTTAATATCGTTTGATCTTGGATCTCCTGGCCCAGTCACGACTCACCGTCTCTATCCATTCTCCCTTGGGTGCTTTTCTAGACATGATGGGGAACTGGCTTGATGGCGCGACCCTCGTGCGAGGTGTTGCCGATAGGGGTCTGAGGAAGGTTGTAGTCGTGTTGATGTCAAGGAGGAAAAGTGGAGCCAAGTAAATCAACAAAAATATCGAGTCGAATCAGCTCACATATTCCAGAAGGTTTCTAAAATATGAGATGCGGTATTGCACCGTGGTTTTTGTAAAGGCATTGCATAATCTACAAATGACTCTCAAGGGATGAATTGCATGAACAGAAGAAACAACTTATCCAACAAGTACATACTCGTGGTGCAAACAAGTCTTATGCACACCTTAGAACCACATGCGCCCAAGGCAGCCACAGCTGCCAGCTGCGAGCAGGCGCTGCCAGGATCAAGACCTTGGCGTCGCGCCTCTACCATGAACCGCCTGCATCGTTGCGATTCAGTTGACATTTACTCTCAGTACAATGCATGTAGGTAAACTGTACCATAGTCTTATTCGCGAATTACTGCGGGCTATGAATAGATTTACTACATATGATTGCGACCCAAGTCATCCAATAAGCGGGCTATGATTTGCCCTCGGCACCAGCCTGCATTAGAAGCCCCTTGGGATGACTTGTAAGTCGATTGCTGAACTTGAGCTCTGGCACAATATCTCTGCCTTCCAGATATAAAGCTTTCCTAACGTCATAAAGGGCCAGCAAGGATACTGCGATTATTCACATGCTAGCCTCAGCCAAATATTTGCGGCTCGAATCCTCCTCCCGAACTGACCTTTTGCCTATGGCTCACCATGGCCTCTGTCTCCCTTAGGGTTGTACTGTTCCGGCTCAAAATTGTCGAGGTTCTGATATATATGCTCATCATTGCCTATTAGTCAGAATTGGCACCATTTTTATAGTTTAGCATTTCCTTGGGAATAAACATGCCATTGTAAATGCTATCTTCCATGCTGCGATGCGGAAGTCCCAGATGACTGACTGAACACCAACGCGATGTTTCCTGAATGACATAGTCCATGTTAGAGACCTTTGTTCTGTCCCTCCTAGAGTGTTGAGCGGCGCCCGTTTTTTGTGGCCCGGTTGATTGATGTACTTGCTTTCTGCTTAACCTCCGGATTCACAACTATACTGAAGATAAAACCTATTAATACGGCCCAGGTTGTGTCCCGTCCTGCTGCGGATACAGCAACCTCGAGCCTTTGATAAAATCGATAGCTAAGCCCGGATCGCTGCCATGTTGATATTTTGCTTCCCGTTGGTCCAGCAGTGTTTGGATGTGACACAGTGTCTTTCTGCCAGATGACAAAGGGTCATTACATTGAAGATCATGCAGTAGGCAGTTAGCCGGATTCCACTTGATGCAAATTCAAGGGAATAATTCCTGATAAGCCAGTTCGGCAGATACCTGAGAACGGGAGTTCGACCAGAGTACTAGCAGGAGGTCCCCTATGGCCTTGTACATACGAATCATCTTCAGCCACCAGCATGGAATTTCCTTTATCGCTGTTGAGTTCACGTCGAACCCGATGCTGAATATATTACTGTTGCAAATTGTTTTAATAGAGGAGTTTTCCTGTCTCCAGGTCATTCGGAACCTCCCATGAGATGGGTTCGTGTTCCCTCTCGTGCATTGTCTGGCATTATATGATGCTACTTTTTTGCAGGTTGCTTTGCAGTATCATGCGGGTTATGGAAATAAGATCTCCACGGTATGAAGACCACCATACGACGCCATCCAATGATTTTGAACAGAAGGAATCGTGGGCGATCGCTAAAGTTGGCACTTTGCTTTTGTGCAGGAGATCCATTGTGGTTCGTGTACTGTTGAGTGTAGGACATGGATAGGGGGCATGATCAATGAGGCCTCGTACCTCTGGTGCTCTCTTGCAGGTCATTGGGGTCGATTTCTTTTGCATAATTTAGCTTGCCTTGTTCTTTTGTCTGTCCGACCAAACTCCCAAAAACAATACAAGACGTGAGAGTGGTGTTTTCAGAGCATGAAATTATCTCAGCCTATCTGAGGTTGGTGGAAGAGGATGGTATTCTGATTCAAGCTATGTGAGCGCTCTGCACCTGTGTACCCGGGTATTGTTATCATCACAACTCAGTATGTTTCGCTTAATTGCCAGGAAGCAGCTTTATCAAGATTAAATTCAAGGCTCTCTACATAATGCAATTGTGGTATCTGAGTTTTTGTCCTCCTTCTTTTCTATATCTTAATTGTCTATAGCGCAACATCAGGCTTGCCAAACTCCTTGATATACTCCTCAGAGTAGGGGTAGTCAATGTAACCAGGCTCAACCTTGTGGCCGATTCTCTGGTTGATGTAAAATGTCATTCTGTCGTAATCGTTGAAGGGTAGACCCTTCTTGACGCGGTATACAAGATCCGGCGTCGAGATGAAGCGACGACCAAACACAACGGCGACGGGATGGTCGCGGTACTTCTCCTCCACGGCCTGCTTGGCCAGCTCGGTCGTGAATCCGCCGGCAACAAAGAGGGCCTTCTCGCGGCCCCAGCTCTCCAGGGCAAAGTCCAGGGACTCGTTCTTGGGGTCCAGGTCCATGACACCGTGAACTCGGGGCTCGACGATGTGAAGGTATGAAAGGTCGAGCTGGCGCAGCTGCTTGATGAGGTAGGAGAATTGCGGGATGGGGTCGGCCATGCGCATACCCTGCCACGTGCTCCAGGGGCTGAGGCGGATGCCGACCTTGTCAGCGCCGACGGCCTTGATGACGGCCTTTGAAACCTCGATGGCGAAGCGGGAACGTTTCTCGATGCTGCCACCCCATGCATCCTCTCGGCGGTTGGCCGTGTCCTGGGTAAACTGGTCGATGAGGTAGCCGTGGGCAGCGTGGATCTCAACACCGTCAAAGCCGGCCTTTTCCACGGCATTGCGGGCCGCGGTGGCATAGTCGCCGATGGTGGACCAAATCTCCTCCTCGGTCAGCGGGCGGGGCGCGGGCAGACCGTCGGCCATGACAACGTCGCTCGAGCTGACAAAGTCGTGCTCGAAATCAAAGTCGTCCTCGTCGCGGACGGCACCACCGCTGGCCACCGGGTCGGGCCAGGCGGCGCGTCCCAGGTGCCACAACTGCACGTACATCTTGCTACCCTTTGCGTGGACACCGTCAGTGACCTTCTTCCACGCTGCAAGTTGCTCCTCCGACCACAGGCCGGGAATATGGCTGTAACCACCGGCCTTGGCGGTGATAAAGGTGGCTTCTGAGAGGATGAGAGTGCCGGGGACGACGGCGCGCTGGGCGTAATATTGGGCCATGACATCGGTAGGAACATGCTCCCGAGTGGCACGGAACCGGGTGAGCGGTGCCATGACGACGCGGTGCTCAAGCTGTGTCGAGCCCACCTGGAGGGGGGTGAAGAGCTTAGTGTTCTCGGCCATTGTGTAGTTGGGGATTATCGATTCCTGGGGATTTGGAATTGAGTTGAAGTGAATAAAACTTGAAAATTGCTTTGGATCATGGCTGCCGTTGGTGCTCTTTATATATCGTGGAGAGTAACTCTCTCATCGCCCCTTGGGATCCATAGCAACGTGTCAATATGGTGTTACTGCTTAGCAATCCCACGGCCATACTTTTGTCCAAGATACGAACGAAGCGAACGCGCGACATTATGCGTGGAAAACGGCGTCGCCGGGTTTTCGTTTTGGTGGTTCGTCGCCAGGTCCCCGGCCTCAAGGTTGTGTGTTGAAAGCTTGGTGGAGGCTTCCAGTGGCTTCCCATGTGTCAAGCATGAATATAAGTGGCTCGGGAGTTGAGCCCCATTGGCTGCCCTGCGTTAGTACCCCTGGAATTTTTCTCTTTAGCGCCTCATTGGGTGGACCTGCAGCGCTGCAAATACCTTCTATGATAACTCGGCAGCGTGCGGCCCCACCTCCGCTTCCGCTTCACTCCACTGTTCGAACGATTTGACCTGGTCTATCATATCTTCCATCCAGCTGAGGAGTGCCCTGTGCCTTTGTCTCGATGCTTTTAGATAGCGGTGAATGAGCATATGAGAGACGGAGTAGAATTTTTTCGAGTTGGATTTTTGAAAATCGTAATGACCAGTTAAAACCAGGTGTATGGAAACTACATGCCAGGCTCTTGACCATTGTGCTTTGCGGTCGAAAAGAGTGAGTCAAGAACAACCGTTACATACATGCCGATGAGCCTCCATCCTAGCTCCACATGCTGAATCAGCGAGAAGTTGCTCGATCTTCTTGATGGATCTCAGTGGAAGATCATTGGCCGGCTTTGGATACGTAGCTACCGTGAAACTCGAGATGCTTCGCCATGTCATCGCGCATGCGGCAGAGATTGACTTCCAGTGTGTCCAATGCTCCAATTTCATCCTCGGACAAAGTGTTATGGATATCAAGAAAACCCGAATGGTAACCCTATCAAGGATGCGCTGACCTTACATTCTGGTTACAAGTACATTATGTTCCCGACAATGGTCGCGATACTTCGCTATTCATTCCACTAAATTGAATCCAGCCCAGTTTGAAGAGCCATATGAACTGAGAGCCTGTGTTTCTTTGGCATTAGATGTGTCAAGTTTTATTAGCAAAACCTAGCAAGCACTGTGTATAGTGTAAGACTCATTTACCATCTTAGAAGCACCCCGAATACAAGTAATAGATTCATTACTGTCTTGTTTTGATAAGTGTTCAGATCATCGAACCAATTCCCTTCTCCTGTCGCGATGCTTTTCGCATTCGTTGCGTACAGCAGATGCAATATAATCAAGACGGTTCAGCGCCTATCAAATCACTCAGCTGCCATTCTTCTTGGTGTTGTAGTCCCATGAAATCTCTCACTCACCAAGTATGCATCCATTCGTTTAGTATTATCCCACTTCTGCCAGTATGTGATGTCAGATAAAGATTTTGGTCGACGCTATGCTGACTTACCTGCGTTCTAGACTGTCTCATGCTAGGATCTGGACTACTTGTCGTGCAACCCTCTTCATCATCTGCTTGTGACGAGACCTCCATATTCACTTGCAGAGCGGGTTGACTTGTTGATGTTGGACCACAATAAGCCCCTGCAAATTCGGCGACTCCAAAATCATCAAATCCATCGTAAGCCTTTCGTAGCGACCACTGCCACTGAGGAATGGGAGTCAAGGCACCAGATGTACTCAACACAAGATCGACAAAGATATCATGAGCCCAGTAAGTTGGGTCCAATATCAGGCTGGGACTGACCGTGGCCAGCCACTGATCTGGCCTGAGTAGTTTTCTTAGCACATCGTACCATATAGACTGATAGTTGTCCCAGATAATATTTGTTCCAGGTAACTCGGCATCCTTTAACCTGCGCGCAGCGGTCAAAGCCTGGTTATCTGCTTTCTGAAGGGCCTGTTCTCTCGCCTGCAGGAGTTTGATCCTGCTCCGGTGACTGCCATTGCTTGATACTCCATTATAAATATATCGATTGATGTCGGCACATCTGCAAGGCAAAGCCTCTATACCCTCATGAAAGAAAGTGAGGTACGGTATGTGCCTCTCGCTGCTCTGATCTCGGGTTTCGCTGTGGATGAGGGCTACCGCCACACAATTGGTGCTTGTCGGATCGCCCGCAACCAGAATTCTCCAACCGTTTACTTCGTCAGATCTGGCACCGCGAAGAACATGTTGCCAGATATCAGATGGATGCAAACGTTCCATGATCAGTATGTCTAGTGTTTGATTCCGATATTACTATTGACGAGGATCATGGTAGATAGCATCACATGGGCAGTCAATGCCGACGTATTGCATTGTGCCAATCAACCTTTGCTTTGATCCCGCAGACAATGAAGCATGGATCTTTAGGTAAACGATGATCGACACAAAGTCGGCCCTCTTTACTTGAATATCGTCACTGTGTCCTTTGCTGTCTTTGTCGTCAAGAAAACGTCTTCGGCTTAGCTCATCCTATACACGCGGTGACCAATTTAGTACATCGTGGCATTTTTGGCAGCAACAGATAACATGCGCTCAACGCGGAAAGAACCAGAATATTACATACTTCAAGGCAGATGTCGACCACAGGGATGCGTAAAATTTAATCTTCTTTCAGCGTCGTGTTTAATAATATGCGCACCATGAGCATCGTCCTCGATATGGTCACCATTAACATAGAATTGAATCTTGTAGATATGATCTGTCGCAACAGCGAGGTTGTTTTACTGGCATGGACTATAGGGATCACTGCCTTTAACTTGTCATTCTCGTCATATACCATTTGCCGGGGGTTATAAGCTATGTTTTATCGTCTGCAGCCAAGAAGGAAGGGTTTCGTTGCACACAGCCAAATGAACATGGGACTCTGGCTTCGGGTGGGTTGGAGGTTTCCATCAAGAAGATTGATGCAAACCGTTTGTACTTGAAATCGCGGGCAGATATGAAACATACAGCTAAGGGCTTATGATGCTGATAAATATTTGGATATTTGACGAAGGTGACGGAATATGCATATAATGTGGCATATTTTATGCTAGGTCTATCCAGCGCACCAGAATAAAGCGCGATGACTCGTCTGGGTTCTGTATAACTGCAGAGGTGCGTGCTATTTTAAAAGGGGATCACATCTCTGGATGGCTTAAATGGGCACATGTCATGAAAAGTAACGTAGAGGTCATACAATCACCGCTGCAGTAGCCAATCAGACCAGTGTGCTCAGTCCACATTTATGATAGCAATCATGACATAAAGAGAATGTGACGTCATTGACGGTGCCGCGTGTCCGAGACAGCAGTCTGTTACTGCTATTTTACGAGCCATTCTACAATTCGTCTTTCTCAAATCTTTATTATTTCAATACTTCATTCTAAATCCAAGCCTTGGCCTAAGAAAACTCAAATCCTACAAAGTTTTGTTCTTCAAGAAACCACGAACCAAAAAGCATAACTCACCAAGCAACAATTCAAGATGCCCAACAAGACCACCGTCCTCGGCAAGCCCAACAGCGCCGAAGTGCAACCAGACGGAACGGCGACCAACGTTACCACAAAGGGCGAATTTGTCCAGTCATCCGATCCTACTGCCCACCCCGATGCCAGTCTTGGCCAGAAGCTCAAGGGCGACGTACAGGGGGCTCTGCACACAGCTACTGGATCCCTCCAGTCGGCAGCTGGTGCAGTGACAGGAAACCAAAAGCTGAAGCAGGAAGGTCTTCACAAGATGCAAGAAGAAGATCAACGTATCGGTGCCAAGCACGGCATCATGCCTGTCGGCAGCGGCTTGAGAGAAAAGGCCTCTGGCGTACCATCGACGGTTGAGCAGACACAGACTAGGCCCGCCGAGTAGGCAGATTTGGCGTTGGGTGTCATGGAAAAGAACAGCACTAGACATGACGAACGTTACGATGTATGATTATACCGTCTCATTCTGCGCGGGAGAAGCAGAGTAGCCAGCACAATACCCAAACAATATGATTGCCTAATGTCCATTGTATCTTTGAACGTGATCTTGTAACTACAATACCTACATTAAGGTGCTGATCCGCTTGCCAGGGCGCCCTGGAGCTTGATGGGCGCTAATAACTGCCCTGTATTATGTAGTAGTAGCTGATCCTGGACCCTGACATCATTTAGGTTAGCTAGTGCCTGGCTACCCTTTGGTGGGGCATTTTTTGCAACTTTGTCCATGTCCTCCATCTGCCATATGCGCAACTTGCGGAGTGTGCAACGCAACAGTCCCAACTACAACATTCTGTCCCATTCGCAGCAAGTCGGCTACATTCGTTAAGATGTCGGAAAAGACCAGCGTTCTCTTTGTTTGTCTCGGCAACATTTGCCGGTCTACCATGGCCGAGGGCGTTTTTCGGTCTCTAGTCAAGGAGTCGCCTTACAATGAGATGATTGGAAACATTGACTCTTGCGGCACCGGTGAGTACCTCGCATTGCCCTCGAAACTCTGTTGTCACTTGCGTCTCTTGACTAATTCTACTTGTAGGAGCTTATCATGCTGGCGACGATCCTGACGACCGAACAATGTCCACCCTCGAAAAGCACGGCATCACTGATTATGTACACGCGGCCCGAAAAGTTCGGTCTTCCGATTTCGAGAACTTCGACTACATCTTCGCCATGGACCGCTCCAACCTGTCAGACCTCTTGAGATCCAAGAAACCAGCAGGCGCCAAGGCAAAGGTCATGTTGTTTGGAGAATACTCGGGCTCTGGCAAGGCCGAAGTTGTTCAGGACCCATACTATGGCGGCCAGCAAGGTTTTGAGACAGCATACACACAGTGCTTGAGATTTTCCAAAAACTTCCTTAGCGAACTCCTCACCAACACAGACGCCTAGGCCTAGGTTGTATATTTACTGCATATCGTTGTGGTCACCATTAGAGATGCGATAGACGACGATACCCCGCCCAAATCATGGGCAAAGACAAGAACAAGACAATAGACTACGATTGCAGCAGATTTCGTCTCTTCACCACGTGTAGCTCTCTTAGACGACGAGTCTGACCTTCAGTTTGTCATCTTTAATAATCTCCTCTCTTCTAGCAACAACCTCCTCCATGTCCCACGTAGCGCTGAGATATCTACCCGACAACCATTCACGCCTCTCGCCAGACAACCACACAACAGTCGAAGCCGCCAATTCAGGATTGTCAGTCAAGCCGGCCAAAGTATCTGCAGGCATTCCTTTCTCGGCGAGCTCTGTTAAGACGGCACCTGGATGGACGCTATAGGCTACGAGTCCTCTTTCTGCCGCCTCCACCAATAGGAACTCGGTCAGCTTGAGGACAGCAAACTTGCTTGTTCCGTAGGCGCTGGCCATGTGTCGCAAATTATGCGCTGCAACGCTGTTGATATTGAGGATGGTTTGTGGCCCACCAACTGCCGCCGAAATCAGAGGGACAAAGTACTTGCTCATCAAGTACGGACCCTTGAGGTTGACTTCAATTGTCTTCCACCAAGTCTCTGCATCCGATTCAGGGAGACTCATAGCGGGGGTCATGAATCCGGCATTATTGACAAGGACATCAAGTTTACCACCAAATTCCTCCCGAATAAGTCCGGCACAGGTACGGACGCTCTCCTCATTCGTGACATCAAGCTTGTGCAAAACAATCTGGGGAGGGTCAAAGCCATTGCCCTGAGCTGCCTGGATCATGTCATGAGCCAGCTTGTCGAAGTCTTCAGATATATCCGCGACTGCAATCGCTGCGGCTCCGGCTTTTGCAAAGGCTACGGCAATGCATCGGCCAATGCCTCGTGTCCCACCCGTGATCAAGACTTTGTGACCGACATGGGCTGTTTCCTCAATGTAGGGATACGGACAACTATGGGTTATGGAAGTGAACTTCAAACCTGCCAATCCATCTGATTAGCTTTGTTATTCACCACGGATAACTCGTGCGGATAGCAATGCGAACCATTCTCAGGCGCTCGAGGTGGATATGATGTCATTGTATATACAGGCTTTCCGAAAGGTTTCGATATAATATTGAAATGAATTTCGTGGATGGGGCTACTCTTGGCAAGAGAATGGGGTTCCGAGTGCATCAATTATAGTCCCTGGTATATTCGGCGTTTCTCCAAACGCCGAACCCCCATTCATGCATTCGGACATAACTGGCCAAACATTATGAAAGAGGAGCTCAGACTCCACTCTGAAAGTCTAATGTTGTGACGATGTCCCGTCACTTGAACGAGATCAAAGGTTATCTGATTGTTGACCCTGGGAAGGTGAACAAATCGCATGGTTCCACGATACGTGCCGTGGTCTCGAATTCGATGTGATGAGTCTGCCCAGTTTGCTTTCCTACGAATAGGGTGGTTCTTTCAGAGTAATTCAATCAATAATTCTTAGCTCTGAACAAGAAAGTTTCAGTATATTCGCAAGAGTCGGTATTTATCCTTGGTTGCACTATCTACATGGCCCTCGGATTGGTGATGGGCAGCGGAAAGAACTGGGTCCAGCCATAAGTATTGTCAAGCAAATGAAAGTCGATCGGAGAAATATCCGACTGAGACGTGTGCCATCACTCCTCGCTCAGTACTGCCGTGTGCCGCAGTGTCGGGAACAACTGCATCAACAATGACAAGCTCGGCTCCAAGCCATGAGAGAATCAAGTATAGGCGAGTAATCCCTTATTCAGACGCCGAGTCTCAGCCACCTAGATTGGCATTGTGTTGGGCTTGTACAGCCTGTTTGTGTCCGTGTATTCATCTATCTTGGAGCCATCAAGGTAAGGTCATTGTGCTGCCAAACGGTGAGGGGGATGAAAGCGGTACGGCAGGTGAGGTCAACACTACGTATGGAGCTCGCAACACACGCTGCCAATGGCCATATGCAAAGACGATGATGATAATGCAGGTAAGGACCCAGTCCACTGCACGAAACAAGAACAAAAACAAAAGTCCGCCTGTGCATAGACTAGCCAAGTCCTGTACGAAAAAAAATTACGTGCTTCAAATGACACGACGGTTATGGAACTAATTGTCTAAAGTGGGCGTTATTGACTCTGGTCGGTTGGACAGAATTTTCTGCCCAGCGCAGCCTTGGTGGTATTTTCATGCACCGTAGTTTTGCACCCTCGCATGGTCGCGGGCTCCCGCTAAGCCCTTTGCAGTATCCAACGGGTTCGAGTTGCCCCCCTTTGTGCCATGCGAGAATTGCACAGGGAAAAAGGTGATCTGATGCTACCGGAGGCATAACAGGGGGGGTTGTCCGGCAAGAGCATATATTGTCCGACTAAAACTCTAAATATCAATACAAGTTCCTCATCAAGGACCCGATTATGACCTTCTTTCTCCCTCTTCTTCTTCTTCTTCTCTTCTTCAAAATATGACTCCTTCAGACTCGAACGTCCACCATGACGCTGGTACACTGCGGATCAGAGACTCGTATAGTCCGCTCCACCACCCCACACTGTATAGAAGGCGACTAAGCTGAATACAGGATGTCACGTCACGTGGGGGTCAGACATTCAGGCGGCCAGGCCTGTCCGCGCAGGCCGTCGCCAATGGAGAGGGAGCGGCTGGAGAGGGAGGTGAAGGGATGAAGCCATTGACACCGACCTGAAAGTAAATACTACCGTTCAGAGGGCCGGTAATGCTTCTCATTCCGGGGCGTTGAGAAAGGGTCAAACCCACCCCCGATTCGGATCCGCACGCCCCAGCCCAGCATTTCCCAATCTATCGGAGTAGTACTAGCGCCCCCCTTGTCCTCCCCTGGGTGGGAATTTTGACCATGTCTCAAGACACGACAGCAGAACACGATCTCGTCACCACGGCAGCGGCGGCGGCGGCGGCATCCGCGGCGCGACAGATTGGAAGATGCGGTGCCACCACCGGCCCTTCTGCCGAGGACTGGGAGGCCAAAAGGGCCGTCATCACCGATCTTTACAAGAAAATGAAGTTGACTGAGCTGGATATCTTCATGAGGAGAGAACATAATTTCCATGCCAGGTAAGCATCAAATCAGGCTGCGCCAAGGCAAAGAGAGCGGTTTGGTGTAGACTTCTCAGCTGCCCCCGGGGACCGTTTCACAACCCCATAGTTGTTCGTCTTCGGCCCACTGATGTGTCTCTCCGCCTCAGCAAGCGCATGTACAACCAGCGGTTTAAGCAATGGGGGTGCACAAAGTATATCAAGTTTTCCGAAAAGGAAGATCTATTGAAAGAGTGCGGCGGCAGCGTGAGGGAACTCACCGCCCGGTATAGAGCGGGCAAGATCATGAAGCCGCAATACGAAAAGACGCTGCGATATATCAGGTCGAAACAGGCGGTCGAGCCCCCGACACCGTACATCATGGAGATGAAGACGCCAGACAATAGCACCGACCTCATCCTCCGGACCCTGCGGGACTATCACCACGCACTGGCGGATCCTGCTTCAAAAATGCACATTCCAAGCGATGACCGGGCTCTGAACCTAAACTCCTCCAAGGAATCCGACGACCTATGGTTCGGCATCCTGGTGGGCGTAAAGACCCTCCTCCGGAGCACGGGGGATAGCCCAAAAGCGCCATCATCCAACCATATTTCGGCAACGTGGGATTTGAACCAGACCTTTGCCATGCTGCGGCGAGTTGGCTTCCTCACGGCCCCGGCCATGCTGGAGCGGCCTCTGGACTTTGTGTACGAAGTCTTGATAGAGATGACGGCGCTGCAAGGCAAGAACTGGCCCGAGCTGCGCCACGCCATTCTCCGGCTCTTTAACCAGGAGGCCAGCCGCATCTTTGGGCCGTCGCACCCCGTGGCCGTCATCTGCCGCGAGATGCTCCAGGACACGGACCAGTCGGGCGTGACGTTCAAGAGCCTCGGCTGCATCCGCGACCTCGTCGTGCAGCTCTGGAGCCCCGACCACACCATGTCCTTCAAGGCGCAGATGGCGGTGCAAAAGGCCCTGCTCAAGGTCCGGGACCTGGGCCCTGCGATACAGATTGGCACGCAGCTTTTCGTGTCGAGCCGCCAGAAATGGGGCGACACGTCGCAGCAGGCTCGCATGGCCGCGCAGCGCCTGGGCCAGCTGTACACGGTTATGAACGAAATGGCCATGGCCAAGGGCGAGCCCGACTGGGCAGCCGTCGAAAGCGCGCTTGGGTGGTACAACGACGTGATACGGCTGTCCCCAATGGCCCCTGGTCGTGACGCGAGGAGGACGGGATTTATAGAGGACGAGACGACACTGTCGACAATGGGCGACATGACATACATTAACAATAGGATTGGCAAGGATGCCGAGGCTCTGGCGTGGTATCAAAAAGCGGCCGAGATGAGCCGTCGGATATGCAATCCAGGATCTACCATCATGAGAGCATGTATCAGCATGCTGATCAATAAGCAGAAGGAGATGAAACGGTTTGATCAAGCTGCTGCTTGGGATGCAATTTTGAGCCAGATGGAGGCTACTAGTTCCAACGAAAGCGTGAATTCATGAATTTGACAAGTTCAAAATCGTTTCCAAGTTTGTCGTGAGACATCATCGTGAAGCTACGTCTTGAACATTTATTCATCGCATCATGAATGTTTGTGCTCACATAAGGCCCGTCACCGCCAATCCCGAGTTCCTATCCATGTTTGTGCAAGCATCTAACATTGATTCAAGGTATACTCGAATAAGTGGATGCTGAACGCCAGGTTCCCCGATGAGTAAATAATGCTCCATTTTATTGGCAACCAGATAAATGCTCCCAATAGCCCGTTGCTGTGTTGCTTTCTGCCACCATATGCACCAAACGCCGATACTCCCTACCAAAGACCAATGATCCAAGCACTAGACCGACTGAATCAACCATGATTCGGTATCGCAAACACGCCATGCCATATCATGACAAGTCAAATATCTGATGATTCCCCACCTCTCCTTTAAGGTCGGTATTCAACAACGAACCGTCGCGCGACATGTTGCCTAACACTGTCCTTCTCCTCGCCGTCAAATTTCAAGCTGACTTGACCATCAGGATCCATTCCAATGACCGTGGCCTTGTAGAATGTAGTCGTTTGAGGATACAATGCGAGAACAACCTTTCCCGAGTCAAGCGGAGGCAGTGAAACGCCCTCCTTTGGTATGCCAATCATGCTACTGGCACTGCTGCGGAACTCCTTTTGCTTGCCAGACTCATCCATGTCAACGTCAAGTACCTTGTATCGGCGTGATTTGCCCTCACCGCGAACATCCTGTACACGGCCAAGGATCCAGTCTGATGAGGGCTCATTGTTCTGAGGCTTGGGTTTAAAGGCAACCTCCTCCTGTTTAGCAAAGGTGACCTTGGATCGGGCATTGTTGGCAGCAGAGTTTTGCGGCTCAACGCTGCCCGCTTTTGCTACTGGCGTCGAACGGTCCACACTAGGTGGCACTGAACCTCGATCGCCCTTGCTGGCATTGCTCCCTCCCATCCGACGAGCAACACTAGGATTAGGTGACGGTACTGACGAGTCACCAGAACCATCAAAGTCATATACCGAGGATGAGGCGGCAGCAGACTCCTTGGCCCGCTGGGTGGCAGAGCGTGAGAAGGATGGTTCCTGGTCCTCCTTGGCTTTTTGAATGGCACTCAAGAGTTTGAGGTTCTCAATGGCCTGTTTGATCTGCGCAGCTGTCTTCTCGTTGATCTTGACGCCCGATCTAAGAAGACTGTCAATGTTGCTGAGATCAGCCTGCAGCTCCGGACGTGTACCTGATAATATTTAGTATGCTTTGCGATTACGACAATAGAGGACGCAAGAGGGGGGCTGGCTACCGTTGGCATCGCGCTTGTCAAAGTCGCCAGCGTTTCTTTTTTCCGCCATGAGCTTATCTTGTGTTACAATGTCGTCCACGTTTTGGCTACTCTCATTGATGGCTCCCACAATGGAGTTTAATGACCCCTCCACGTTACGCCAAAGGCCATACTCCTCGCCAACCTCATTATTGCGGTTGGCTGTCCGCTGACCTCTATTTCTCTGAGACATGTTTGGGTCTGCAGGATGCGAGGTGCTGCCCGAACGACTATGCTGTGGGCCTTCCTCACCCGAGAGACCGTCCGAGCCTGATCTACCTCTACCTAAAGACCCCCGCTTCTTGGAAGGGGAGGATGAACGATGGGGAGGGGGGGTGCCCGTCGGGGTTGGGGACTGTGAACTCGAGACACCCGTACGCCTCGGTTTGGTAGGGTTCTCCCAACGCGGACCAAAAGTGCTCGAAAGCTGGTTGATTGCCTTGAGAGTTCTTTTCTTACTTTTCTTAGAAGGATCTGCAGGGTCCATTGTTAATAAGGTTTTTTGGCACTTGACCAAAGAGAGGAGAGGAAAAAGAATAGCAGTAGTACGATTATATGATACAGTGCATATAAAAGGACATGAGAGACCAATGATATGCTGCACGCCCGCGATAACCTGATGATGATCTGCCAGTCAATGAATAGTGGGAAAAGGAAGAGGAAAATTCATTACGTGGATGTTTACCTGTTTGTATTGCACTGCAAGCAATTGAGATGCGAGCGCAAGAGGGAAGCGACAGACAGACGGAGGAGTAAGATGAAGCCAGGCGCGCAGAGAGGTCAAGCAATTGTTGACACTTGCACTTTTCGTAAGCCGCGCCTTACAAAATGAGCGACAGCTGACCAAAAAGTGAAGATTGCAGTCGGAGTTTGGCGAATAGTTGAAGGAAATGGATGATTTTACGCGGAAGGTGAAGGTTGCTCCATGCCCTGGGGAGTCGTGGTAATATATAAGGCCGAGGGCGATAAAGCGTGGTTAAACTTTGTGCATCAGACTCTCGACGTGCGCATTTTGCAGGCTCATCAAGGTAATGGGCTGTAGTCGTTGACAGGGCCAAGCAAGCATTAAAGGTAGGTCGCGGGCGCCGACCGGGGCAGCAAGATAAGCCGGGGACTGGCTGCTGCTGTTGGTGGTGGTACTGGTACTGGTACTGGTACTGGTACCGTAGTGGCACAAGGCAAAGCGAAGGAGGCTGACTGATATTGGATCTGCAAAGCAAGCTGCCGAGCTGCTGCTGCCGCCCGCTATGATTGGGGTAAAGGAATGTCCGGGGCTTGATGTTGGGGAGGTCCTTGAAACGCGACTGAACTGGGAATTGCCTTGTGTCTCCTCCCCAGACATAAGGTAGAGACGCGACGAATGTTACCTTGTTATTAGCGAGCCGCTTCTCCTCTCCCTCTTGTCTTTGCCGCTTCTCAACCTTATTGGGCAGGCGGTCAAAGGCGGCCAAAGATCAAGAGGTGACGGCTCGATGGCCTTTGGTGATTGGGACAATTAGGTATTAGCGGTGCTCGGTCCATGCCCCTCGTGGTGGGGCTCTGTTGGAGGGGCCAGCAAAGAAGGATTGGAAGTTGACAAGGGCTGAGTGGCTGGGCCAGATGGTACTTTTTTTTTTTTTTAACTTTTTTTTAAAGGGACAAGGCTTATTTGGTTGATTGATTGATGAGTAAAATGATTGAATGCAGGTCTCACAGCGCGTGTCGTCTGGTGACAAGCAGCACTCAAATGGCGGGGCTATGATTCGGCGGGGTACTGATATTCACTGGACTCTGACCTTGAAGGTGCATCATCGCTTGTACCACCACGTCTTAGAGACATCAGAAGGACAACAAAATATTTAATGCTCGGTAAAGTCTGGAGTTGATTTCCATTTCTCGTCACCTTTGGCTGTCTCAACTCGCACTAGTGATTTATATTCTGTCGCTGACTGAGAATTGTCCAACAAGTCTCAAGAGTCAACAGTCAACACGCAAGCAGTGTTGATTCTCTGTCTCCACCTAAATCAGCCCGTCAACCAGTTTAGGAGAACTGTCATTCAAAATACGGGATACCTGTTCAATCAAACCCTGAATTGGATTGTTCTTTGTCCGTCATCACCACGCACCTGATACAGCATAAATTTCTGTTGGCCCAGCATGGTTCAAGTTCCCTTGTTCCGCCTCCAGTGCGGTGTCAACTCTTACGATTGGGGCAAGATCGGTTCGGATTCAGCAGCTGCCAGATTCGCCGCAGCCACACCTGCAGATGGCTTCAGCGTCCAGTCCGACAAGCCCTATGCAGAGGTACGTACATGAGCCACGAAATCTATTCGCACTCGACCAAACATGGTTTAAATAGGAGTTGTTGGTCAAGAGAACCACTACTCCCATCTGCATGCTTGCTTTCGTCCATGCCAGAGACTCCCTGCTAATCAGCACCGCAGCTATGGATGGGCACTCACCCCTCCAATCCTTCCAGAGACGTCGACACAGGTCGTAGCTTGCTAGACCTGATTGATGTCAATGAAGGTCTTCTCTCCTCTACCATAAAGGCCCGTTATGGTGCCAAGCTACCATTTCTGTTCAAGGTACTATCCATCAACAAGGCCCTGTCTATCCAGGCCCATCCGAACAAGAAGCTTGCCGAGCAGTTACATGCCAAGGACCCCAAGAACTACCCCGATGACAACCACAAGCCTGAGATGACCATTGCGGTCACGGCATTTGAGGGTCTCTGTGGCTTTAGGCCGCTGGGCGAGATTGCACACTTTTTGGCAGCTGTTCCTGCCCTGCGGGAGCTTGTCGGCGAAGATGATGCCAAGTCGTTTATCGCAACGGTGCGCGGCCAGGAGGGCGACGACTCGTCCGAGTCCACTACGCAGAACAAGCGGGCCTTGCAGTCGGCCTTTGCCGCCTTGATGAAGTCATCGCCGGAAGCCATTGCCGATGCTTCAAAGAAGCTGGTCGCTGATGCCGAGGCCAAGGGTGCCGAGTTTGCTGATGGCGGTGTGGAGGCTTCGAGCGGTGCTACCCTCTCCGAGCTTGTCATTCGTCTCAACAAGCAGTTCCCCGATGATATCGGCCTGTTTGTCTTGTTCTTCCTCAACTATGTCCAGATGCAGCCCGGTGAGGCAATGTTCCTCAAGGCCGACGACATCCATGCCTATGTCTCTGGAGATATCATTGAGTGCATGGCCGCCAGCGACAATGTTGTCCGCGCTGGATTCACCCCAAAGTTCAAGGATGTCCAGACCTTGGTTGATCTCCTGACCTACGACTACGCACCCATTGAGGAGCAGAAGATGGAGCCCAAAGACTACCCCTATGCTGTCCTGAACCGCACGGCCTACAGCTCAGGCTCAGAATCCACCCTCTACGACCCCCCGATTGATGAGTTCAGCGTCGTCAGGACCGTTCTCAAGAGCAGTGGCTCCAAGGCCACTTTTGACCCCATTGAGGGACCCAGCATCGTCATCTGCACCAACGGCAAGGGCAAGATTTCTGTTGGTCCGACGGTCAAGGAGATCAAGGAAGGCTGGGTGTACTTTGTTGGCGCCACAGCCGAGTTGGTGCTCGAGTCTGAGAACGGCGATGAGGACTTTATTACTTTCAAGGCATTCTGTGAGATTGAGGACCACAGCAATGGCGAGAAGCTATAGAAATGGTCAATCTTAGTCAGGACATTGATGCCAGTATTATGCGTGCAAAGTACTAGAGCGCGGCGAAAAGATGTTCCTTGCAAAGTTGCAAATCCAATACAAAGTTTGACTCGTCTACACATTGACGCGTTTGTTCCTACAAGAGTAAACTATGCGGTCGATGAACCTTCCTTTTCCCCTTTAGATCTGGGCGCCATGTTGATGTGAAAGCGACGTGCACAGCTCCACCTCCCGATCCTGAAGCTGATTCCGTTTGCATACTCCCAAGTGGTCGAAATCTAACGCGCGCCGCTTTCGAAGGTGAACATACAAGCCAATGAGCACCAAGATGAGAATCCCAGCCAGCGTCGAACCGACCCCTATCCCCGCCGCCATGCTGGTGCTCAGTCCGCCCTTGTCTTCTGCCATTTCGACCTCCGAGGATTCAGTACCAGCCAGTTTATCAGTGGTGCGGCTACCGGTATTCATTGATGTTGTCGCTTCTCCTGCGGATGCTTCGGCTGGTAACAAGTGGCTGGCCGGTGATGTGATACTCGGGGCGGGATTGACGGTTGACGACGCTCTCGACTGCGTCTGTGATGCCATGCTTCGCGTCTCGCTGGGATCCGTCAAAAGACCGGTGCTCGGCGCGATCACCACGGGCGGCGAGGTGATTTCTGTAATGGACAGCCACATGGACATTTTTTTCTCTCTTGCGTGGACTTTGGGCTCAAAGCCAAACCAATTGGGGCTTCAGTGATGCTATATCATGTGTCTGATGTCAAAGTGATATGCAAGAAGTATAGATGACGAAAAATAAGCATACTTCATCTACTGTCAAATCATTTATAAAAAAAATAAAAATAAAAAAAAAAGAGAAAAGGCACAAGTATTCCGAAAGGTTTGATCAGGAAGATACCACCGGAAGAAGAAACAAATTTCCGCTCATTGTAATGTATCCTTGGATGCACGTGGTAGGAAAGGGTAGTCCAAAGCATGCAGGTATCCGACCGCAAACTGATACCTCGTTCGCTGGCCGCGACTCACGGGTCCCAGGACCTGAAGCAGTTCTGTGATACGTGTGCTACCCGAAACGGTACTTTGCAATAGTCTCAACTTCAAAGTCTGGATCCTTGGGGAACCGGTGTGCTACAACAATTTGGTCTCATGTGGTCCAGCTATCTGTTCTCGAGCATATCATGTTCCGAGTACGAGTTGGTCTAGAGATTATTCATTCATTTTGTGGTCAGCGAAAACATCATAAGCCTATGATCTATCCTTCACACATGGATAAAATTCTATCTATTTTGGTTCAGTCCATAGCATTTGCTCTTATCCATCCTATTGTTCTTCATGAGATTTACTTAGACACCAACCTGAGTGATGCGGCCTTCTAGTCTTGGGGCAATTGCTTGCGTCCAATCAACCTCAAATTCTGCCTCGTTCAGCTCGTCTCCCGCCTTGCACTCGACACCAGCCAGTCGTGCCCACTTGCCGAACACTCTTCGCATAGTCTGTAGCTCCTTGTCCACCTTCTCGACGTCCTTCTCTGCCGCCACGTCCCCATCGTCATCGCTGTCGCTATCTTCTTCTCGGGGAATCACACTAGCTCGGCGAGACCTGATGTTCTTGGGGCTCCAGCTCTCCCAGTCGTGGCCCTTGGGCGCAGAAGGCGTGCTGGGAGTTGCTGCAGACGTGGGCTTGTAGCAAGGATGAGAGGTACCAACCTTGGTAGACACCTCTGACCAGTGCTTGCTAATGGCATTGCCCCAATTCTTCCACTGTCCCATGACGCGGAGAGAAATAAAGTATTGTCGCAGCATCATGGAGATGAGAATTCCATTTTCTTCCGACACGATCTCCTCGGCCTGGCCGCCCTCGGCTTCTATCAGCAGCGACTCGAACCCATCCTTTCCTCGGGCCATGTAGCCACGTGTGACCAAGACATATTTCTTTTGCATGTCAATGGCGTCACCCCCAATGGTAGCCTCGAGTATCCTAGATCCCGTTGGCTTGGAGCCATCGAACGTGTACTTGATGTTTGAGACTTGAGGGAATCTTCCTTCGAGAGCCGGGTACTGCGATACTCCATTCTCCAGAGCGTCCCATATTGCCTGGCCACTGACTTTGATCACCACTACAGGGTCCTCAAAGGGAAAGCAATTCATAATGTCCTTGAGCAGAACGGGACCTGGCGGGTAGATTTGATCGCCCCGAATTGTACCAGCAGCCATGATACAGCAGTCGCCTGAATAGTGATGGCGCATGATATCGCAAACCCAATTTGCAATGTTGCTTTCTTTGAGACGTACTGTCTTGAAACGGGCATCCAACGGCGCAGCCGTAAACCCAATGGGCTTTTGAAGCTTTGCCTTAAGACTAGCAGTCAATTCATCCACAAGTTTGACAGTATCCTGATGCTGTGGAATTTCCGACGTGACGTCGCGACGGATAATGTCGAAATCCCATTTCTTGGGATCATCCTTGGCACGTCTGGCCTCAATATAAGACAATTGCTTGAAGTCGGTACTGGTGATGTTGTCAGTATGCATCCAGTGATTTCTGTCAATCTTTACATACCCAGAACGTAGGACATGTGTTCCCTTGATGAGACTGTGATTATAGTAGTGATCATGACCACCGAGAATGATGTCAATGATTCCATCAGTCTGCTCGGCAAGTTTATTGTCATTTGGCTCGCGCATGTGGGTAATGGCAATGACGATATCGGCACCTTCTTCACGCAACTTTGGTACAAGCTCCTTTGCTGTCTCGCTAGCAGACTTGTAAATCAGGTCGGGCGGAAGGCTGTTAATGGTTGCCAGCCACTCGCGCTCGCCCAACCCAATCAGGCCAATCTTGATGCCATTGGAAGATGTGATCATGTGTGTCTTTTTGGCATTGCCGATGGGGACGGACTCGCCCAGGGCCGGATCCAGCACATTAGCAATCAACCAGGGAAACTTGCACTTGGACGCCAGGTGCTTGAATTGACGCACGCCAAAGTCCAGGTCATGGTTCTAAAGATGATGTGAGTTATTGAGGAATTTTTACTCGTGTAAGTGAAGGCAACATACCCCTAGTGCAGCTGCATCAGTGCCAATGTTGTTGAGCAAGGGGACCATATGAGAGCCTGTCACATTCATTAGCACATTCCCAGACAGGTTGATCTCGAGCCCATGCTCCACGGAAGTCCCCATCGATATAGTTCAGTATAACTCCAATCCATCCTCCCGATGGAATATACGGGACCCACCAGTTACATACCTTTTGTGATTGAGCTTTCCAAGCTGGGATTGTAGGCATCGCCAGAGAACAGCGTGACGAGGTTCGGTTGCCCCTCCCATTTCGCGTCATCACGGTAATGCTTCACCAAGGTCATGAAGCGTGCCGCTCCGCCAACAGGTTCGGCCGAGGACGAGTCGACATGATACACATCATTATAATGCAACAATCTCACGTCAGGAAGTCCATCATGAGCACCCGAGCTGTATGTGACTGATTCGTTGGGAGGAGGTATCGATTTCCCCGGCATCGTCCTGAATGAAAGAATGAGTGTCAGATGGTGTGAGTTTCTGCTTCTTTATCCCAAGGTTTCTAGATGAAGACCAAATATCCAAGAGATGAACACGAGAAGTTTAGCTTGATGAATGAACAATGAATCAAAGGATGAAACTGCCAACTAACGATGTTGTCGTCTCCTGATTCTGGAATGAGAATACCAGATCAGCCAGCTCACTTCTGCGGGGCAACTTGGTACGTACCTACCTACATAATAGAGGGGCAGTGCACCCGCCCGACTCACTGAATGCAAGGAACAACCGCCCGGATTTGGCGGCGCGGATGGGCTACACAAGCGCCAAGAGACCGACGCGGGGGCCTCCAGAGGCTTGTGCAGCCTGCGAATGACCACTAAGAGTTCAGGGGTTGATAAGCTGTGATAGGTAATGCATCATCGTGTCACCGAGCTTGGCAGGATCGGGTAAGGAGACTCCGTCTGCATGGTTGAGATTCAGGTCACCATGAATTTCGTATGTCTAACGAGGACAAACTACAGGAACAATAATCCTCCCAAAATACCTTAGTCAGACTCGGAAGTAGAATGAGCGAGCATTCAAGTCTTCAAAGTACCCAGGTCAGTATAGAAAAAAAAAAGCAATCTACAGACATGTCCATGTTTCTTTTGCCAATATCCCAAGGTTCTGCACAATCCCAACGCCTCAATATGAGCAAAGAAGTCAATGCATTTACAAAGGTCGTTTGCCGTCTTCCGGTGCCTTTCTAAACTCGGATTGTACTGATTGCTATATTCATCTTGCTATTGCTCAGCGTATATATGTGTCATCCTTCTACGGCTCGCCTGGCCAGATGGCATTGGCCAGCTCTCTCACGAGCTTGAGCTTGGCCACCATGTCGTCGTGAGTCACCGAGTTGCCCAAATGATGACTGGCGAATCCGCACTGCGGACTGGCACCAATTCGCTTGAGAGCGTCATCGCGGGATTGTCCCGCACCGCTCGCAATGATATCGGCGGCCTGGTAGACACGCTCCTTCAAGGCGCCAATATCTTCCAGCTCCGGGAATTTGCTTGTAATGACACCGAGAACTGCATTCTTGTGTGGTGGTAGCTCTTTGAGCGGCTCGAATCCGCCGGCACGCGCCGTGTCATATTCCAGGAAATAGGTGTCCACGTCAATGTCGTTGAAGAGCTTGGTGGCGATGCGGTCGTATCCGCCTTCGGAGAAGTGCTTGCTGTAGGCAAAGTTGCCACGGCAAAGGTGGATGCCGACATGCAAGTCATGAGGTCGTGATGCAAGACAATCATTGTATAATTTAATGTAGGAATCGAGGAGAGCATCCGAGTCTTCACCGTCTTCCTTGAATCCAGCCAGCATCTTCTCAGAGCAGAAATCTTTCACCCGAGATAGTTAGCCACCAGAATCGCTCACGATATCAATACTCATTGTCGCAGACTCACAAGCAAGGTTTGGGTCATCAATGGTGACATTTCGACAGCCGGCATCGTACAAAACTTTCAATTCAGCCCTGTACGCAGCAGCAACGTCTGCAAAATACTCGGCATCGTTGGCGTAAACCTCCTTTGGGTACGTCTTGCCCTGCTTGTATCGGAGATGATACCACTCTGGTGCGGCCAGGGTGATCTTGAGCTCCTTGACACGATCAGCAGGCACCAGAGCCTTTAAAAACTCCCAGTCCTTGATATAAGAACTGCCAACATGCTTGATCTTGCCCGTACAGACGATTGACTCTCCGGGTTTATGGCCAGCCTCAGCTAAAGAATGTCAGCAAGCAGATTATAAATTCAGACTTCAAGGCCAGAGAAACTAACTGAATGCGGCAATGTCGGGAACATAGAGCCTGAACATGTCCCAATCAGGGCTGATCTCTTCAAATCCCTCGAGGTTGGGGAAGAAGGTGCCCCAGAATTGATGTCTACGGTACTCTCCATCATTGATGGCATGGAAGCCGAGGTCGAGCTGGAGCTTGACAATTTCTCTGATAGACCTGTCTTCGATTGCGTGGAGCTCCTCATCTTGCAATATCTCTAGGGCCTTGGCGTCATCAAGCTTGATACGCTTCTCTGTAAGGTCTTTGGGTCTGAGCAAGGAGCCGAGATGCTCAGCTCGGAAGGGAGGCCGTTGCTTATTGGATGGCATAATGTAGTCGAATAGAATTTGGTACAGAATGAGTCCAAGAACAGAAAGTTTTAGAGTTGAGGGACAAGATGTGTGCTCGGCAGTCGAGCAGGCAACTTTGGGGCATTTAATACTCCAACCTAAACCATATCTCCACATTACAAGGAGGAGGACTATAATATACATACATGATGACCCGACGCCCTTACATTTGCACTGAGGGGTTCTCCGAGGCAGAGGGGCAACATCGAGGCCGAAATGCTGTACCACTTGTAGCTTGGCACGGTTCAAACCCAGGAGAGTTTCATCATCATTTTGAGATAGTTTGCGGTACTTCCGCGTGGTCAAAATATCCCTTGCGGCAGTTGGTACCAACCATGAGGAAAAAGAACTTGTGATCCATGATCATCGTCACCTTCCCCCACATTCCCCGCCATTGGTAAGGGCTGACTGACGTCCCGTACTTCAGCGAGAGCACCATGAATGTCTTCGGGATATTCATCCGCCTCTAGCTGCAGTGTCAAACCCATGTAAGCATCATGTTATGTCATATTGCTACTTGTGTATCTATTTCTAGATCCGTTGAACAGCCCTGCGACGGGCGGGTCAGAACATACCGGTACTAAAGTATACCCACAACGGCTTCTAGTGCCAAGGTGGGGTCTGTCTTGTCACGTCTATAATCGCGACCAATCCACCGATACGTAAGGTAAGGCAATAGGAAGCCGGAACAAAAGGGGAGAAAAATGATAGGTAGAAAAAGTAGCCCATAGGATACTGTGGAATGAGCTTCGTCGAACGACATAAATCTAGCCTGCATGATTTGTTTTTGAACTAGCATCTCTGCCTACCATGGGTGTTATATGAGACGCCATTCCTCCAGAAGAAAGTAAAGATGGCGCGCACTGCTTGGCATTTAACGAGAATATCTTCTCAAATCAGATATATAACTCATGCCATACAGGAATCGGCATTGGGAACCATGAATGATGTGCTACGATGCTTCTACATCGGAGAGGTCAACAAGGACAGTGAGCTCATATGGGTAAGCTATCCGCTGCCTTCTTCGTCCGAAGAGAGCCCCGCGCCCCGCCGGTACCGTATTGGTCTCTTGCACTAGCTCTGCACCTTCATCCTGCCACAAGACTCTTGGTTACTATCATCAGATCTCAACAAAATCATGATATATACGTTGTTCTGACCCGGCAATTATCTCGCGTATCCACCCTCGTTAAAGCTAACAGGCTACTGCGATCCTATACCTTCTCATTCTGGCCATGTCTTCGATGGCCACAACTCATATCCAAGATCTTCCCACCGAGATCCTGTTTGGGATATTCGCATATCTCTCGCGATCAGCACCATCAGAAAGATCATTGCACGAGCAGCCAGACGCTGCTCTACTCAGAGCTGATCCCGCCAACGGACCATTTCCTGCTCACCTCAAATCCATATCATGCGTCTGCAAGCGATGGCGCGCAATCATTCTGCCCGTGCTTTTCAGAAACGTCATCTGGAGGCCACAGATATCCTCCTTCGAATCTATCGATCTGAGACCACACGACATGCTCAGATTCTTGAAGGATCAGGATCTGGCCTATAATGTCCTAACCTTTACGCTCATGGTTGACTTTGCCACGGAAGAGGTCGAGGAGAGCGAGTTGCATCGCAAGATTTGGCCGGGCGACCTTGCAAAGCTTTGGACCCGACTCTTTTCCGTCATTGATCCCCTGAGGTTCACCATCATGGCGCCTCCGGCCACTCTCGCGGCATTCATGAATCGAATGTTGTTCTTGACCGACGCCTGGTCCTTTGATATCCCATATCACATCTTTTCGTTGGCATGGTCTAGTCGTCAGGCCAAGAAGGCGACTGTGAAAAGTCCACCGAGTCCCAGCCTTGAGCCGCAGTCCACACCTGGCCCCAGCCAGACGAGTACGACAACCTCTCACAATGGAGATGACGGACTGTCAGAACGTCGGCATGTAGATTTGAAAGCATCTCTTGGACATGGTACCATCTCGTTGCCCGACGGGAAACATAAACTTGTGGTGCCTCCAACGAGCACGCTCTTCACTATTCGACCGTGGACGTCGGTTTTATTGAATGAGGGATCATCCATTCGCGCATATCATACATACGAGTATTTCCTGCGCCAACCGCCGTCCATGCTGAGTGCTCTTCTCGGAACGGGCGAGTATCCCAATAATGTTGCACTTTTACCGCCCACCATTGTCGACTTCAACTACATTGCCGTCTTCCCGCTGGCCTCGCACATTCAAAACCTCTTTGCAAACTTGCCCAAGATTGAGAGGCTCTTTGTACAGCTCACCCCGCGACCGTCTAACCAGATACTTCAGGACAAGAAGGCCATGAGGAATATTGACATGGCAGACTTGTGGATGGAGCGCAATACTGCGTATAGTCACTTGTTTGCCGAGCTTACCCAAGTCGACCCACAAGGGAACTGGGGGACGCTCAAAGTCTTTGAGAGCGGAGATGCAGCCGACCGAGAAAGCTGGAACATGGCCGTGGAATTTCTGAAGCAGAGTGAAATCACCAACTGGGTCGTGGAAAGAGATGGCTCCCTTGTCAAGGTGGGAGAAGACGGCGACGATAAACCTGCAGCCCGGTCGGCGGGAAGCGTAGTCCATCATCTCTTGGGGGACGAATCACTCAGCGTGCCGCTCTTGTCAGTACCACCACCATCACCACCACCTTGCCTTACCCTTGACTTTTGCCGACATGTATCTCTCGTGTATTCGTCTGGGACCTGATGACCCGCCAGTATTGTTCCCAGGTCTTATGGAAGACCTTCGTAATCTCCAAGCGGCATCCGCCCGGCTCACCCGGTTGCACACCCTTTACCCCAGCATCGATTGCAATGACAAGCCTCGCCTTTATAGAACTATCTCTGGAGAATTTTTATCTAACGTACCTAAAGTCAAGGGTTACTAGAACGAATCACGTTCAACGGCGTCGCTCCATTGCCCTTTTCGAGCATGTGGCTCTACATGCACGACAGTGATGGCGACGAGTAGCCGAGCCAGCCATTAACCTGCAATGGCATAATCGTGACAAACTTTCAAAGTCGGGTTTATCAGTATGAGAAGCCAGCTGCGCTTGACAGTGGGCGGCGACTTTTATTTTACAGTTTCGTCCTGGAAATTAATACCAACAACACTCCTTCCGTCATTCACGACCGCTGTGTTTGAGATCCAACGCTCCATATCGTGAATGGCCAAATAGTATGAACGAAGTCCCCCCAAGACACGTTCCTCCTGTGTCATTGGCAATAGTCCAGAAACATACCTAAACGCCAGGCCTAACATAGTTCACAAAGCCCTACAAATAATTCAGCCTACCAAGCCCATTACATCAATAGGCGGTCACTCTCCGGCACCACGGCCACGCCAGGGGTTTCCGTCGGGCTGTGCTCCTCTTCCATCATGTCAATCAAATCGTCCAGATTTGCATCTAGATTATCGGCATCCGCTCTGTCTAGACACTTCTTCAACAGCTGTCTGTACTTGTCGATGTTCTCGCCAGTTCCGCTCAACCCGAGAGCATCGACGTACTCTTTCTCAACCTTTCTTTGCTCTGCTAGTGCTTCGCGCAGCTGATTGGCCAACTGTAGACGAGTCTCAGGATCATCATCGTCGGGTGACGTGGCGTTACCATTCAACAACGACAACTGTTGCTGGACATTTGCATTCACAAGATGTCGAGTTTGAGCTGCTAACAAGTCGAGGACTTGATGCTGTGCCATGGTCGCATCACCCACTGCCTTTGCCGCGTTTTCTTGTGGTTCAAGCCTGGCCTTGAGGGCGGCAATGTCTTGACCAACCACAGCAAGATCGTTTTGAGTCTTTCCAAGTATGCGTCTTGCTTCGACCTCGGCGTCATTCTTTGCCTTCCATTCTTCATCATATGACCGTGCGAGGTCCTGGAACTTCTCTAGAACTAGCGGCGTGATCTTGTTTTGCACAGCGTTTGCCGCCCCTGAATGATAGGTGATGGCCAGCTTATTCACGGATTCCGTAAGGGCATCCCGGAAGGCTACATGACGTTGGCTTTCGGGGGCAAATGGACTGGAGGACCTCTGGGGTGCACGTTCCTTTGGTCCTTTGGTGGCATTCAACTGCTGGATGAGTTCTTCTGCCCGGACACCCTCACCATTGGGAATATCGGTGCTAGCGCCACGCCCAAGCAAGGCGCGAATACACTTGCGTGAATTTGACTGGGCTGCAAGATGCAGTGCGGTGTTGCCTCTATTATCCTGAGCGTCGATCAGCGCTTGGACATAATTAGGATCTTGTGTCTCTTGAAGTCGATTGAGAATATTGTCGAGGTAGTACCGCGAGCAAGTGTGGCTGAGGACACGCCCGGTACGCATGGTGACGGCGTGATGTAAAACTGTACAATTTGACTCATCTCGTGCGTCAATTGTGTCGAAGAGCTCCTTCAGGACGGCTGGGAATGACTGCTTTTCGTAGCTATTCGTGAAACAAACTGCGCGCATCAGAGGCGTCTCGCCACGTATGTTCTGGCAGTTGAGACTGGCACCAAAGCGCTTGAGTTGCTTCATGACCTCTGTATCTCCCATCGCACTGGCCCAATGCAAAGACGTATTACGGTCCGTATCAATGAAGTAGTCTGCTTGAAAATTCGGTGGAGGTTCTGGCCGGGCAGCAGGACCGTCCTGGCGAGAAAGTAGAAAATAGTCGAGAAGCTCGTCGCCATACAGTGCATGTTGCTGCTCCGTCATATCCTGTAATTGATCTTCCCGCTTCCTCTTTCGATGGCCAGTAGAGTAGTGGGACATGTCAGGACGGTCGTCCTCGGCCATGTAGGAAGCTGACGCCACGGTGAGATTGTCTGGCGTGTCCTCCTCGTTCATCTGGCTGGCTGTCTCGTATTCGTGATGTTGTTGTAGCATCTGCGGTGGCTGTTGCGGTGGTTGTGACGGCGCACTTGGAGCCCATTTCGGTACGGCGGGCTTTCTTGGAGCTTTCGGTTTGCTCGCATGTCGTGGTGCTGGGGGAGGACTTTGGTTGCCTGGGGTGAACTCAAATATGGGTTGCAAGCGCTCCCAAACATTGTTCTTCTGGGCAAGCTGCGCGCCAGCTTCCAGCGGAATCCATGTGCCTTGATATTTTCCATAACCGCCTTGGATCTTCTCATGTTCATCTTTCTGGACTTCTCGCTCGAGGATTCGGGTACGTGCAGGCTTGTCGTAACCTGCTGCCTTCAGAATGTGTGTTGCATTTATCCAGTCGTCTTGTCTCCTGCGCATTACATGTTCCTTGAGGTCCTGGCCGAACTGGAATTCATAGACGGGTATCTGTCGCACAGCAAGTCAGCACAAAGCTCTTTGTGGGCAGCGATCAAGCATACTCACTCCGCTGTAAGTGGCACTGTAAATGCCTGGTCCAGTCGGAGCTGGAGCTGCAGCAGTTTTCACCATCGTGGAGAGAATTGCTCTTCATGGGCCCAGGGCATACAGTCTCGATGTGTGGTGGACCCAACGTGCCGCCCTGGTAGGTGAAAGATCGTGAACAATGATGGAACGAGTGCCCGTCTCCAAAGAACAATGGACGGATTCTCGTGAACACCCGACACTTCCTAGTTCACACAAAGCTGAATACCGCGAGTTGAGGCAATCGGAATCCTCATGAGCATCACAAGGTATCCAGGAATGAACGATTGGTCGCCGCTCGATGGTCGCAATGACCCTTGCAAGTTTCGCGAAATTGATGGCAACGCCAGACTACGCCGAGACGCGTTGAAAGGGCATTCAGCGACGCGAGAGCGCGTAGATGGGGAGTGGGGTCAATCAGTGCAGACTGGGGTTGGAATTGGCTGCCCAGGCATTGGCTTTTCTCGGGAGTCGGACCCCAAGGCGGCGGCGCCCCTTGGCGGTTTCCAAATGGTGGTTTGTCAGGAATGAGTGTTATCTCCACCTGGCCACAGCTGCCACTTAGAGGCCGCTTTTGACAAACATGATAATGGATCTCAGTACCAGAAGCTCAACACCAGCTACTACCGCCCACCAGCAGTAGCTCTCTATGCCACCTTGTTCCCATCATGGAATATAGCTGACCGAGCGCTCTCAATTCTCACTCTCGAGCTCTTTGGCATGGATCTTGAACTTTCTCCAGGCCAATTTGTGCACACAAAAGTTTTCAGCCAATGCCAAGTACAGAGTAGCACGCAGCTATCACGACAAGAAGGCCTGGATTGTTATGTTACACAACAACACCGCCGTCATGGCACAAGAGAACCACGTTTCTTTTCATCCTCCGATTCTCGCATCTCATTTACCATAGCAGGACACACTATGCAAATCACGAAAGCTCTGCATGGATCGGGTTTCTAGGCTCTGGAAGAAGAAAACTCGGGCGCAGCAATGCCAATGACGACTGGCCAATGTCGCAGCCTGGTGCTTTCTTTCCCCAGATACTAATGCACATGCAAGCAACAATTTTTCTGCCTCGTGGCTTTCGCTTCCCAATCGACAGTGAGACAATGCCACGAGTTGACCTGCCGTGCTCACCGTTCACATTAATTTCTCTCCACGCTTCGCTTCCCGGCTGCTTGCTATGCTCAACATGCCCTGTTTTCTGAGCTGATGACTCTTAATCTCTTACATTTCACTGCATCCAGGCCCTATTGCTTGATGCATCTCGTGCTTATACTTGATAGTTTGGTCCCATATCTGTATTCCTCGTGGCCGCCACGTTGTCTTGGCTTGAACGCTAGACATACCACGGCTTCCTTGAAACATGCAGCCATCGTACCATTTGAGGCTCGGAACCACGAGGTTTCGAGGGTCGGGGCGGTAAGACTTTGAGATTGACAGTCCATTACCCTTGATCCCCGGATTTCCCGGTGGGTGTCCCGGTCGTATAACCCTTTTTTTCTCAGCTCAGCTATGAGACAAGCAGGAGGATACCCCAAGGTATCTCAGCTTTGATTATCTGCCCACTTTACGTTATAACACTTCCCAAGCCCGAGGTGGCTGTCACTGTCTTATCCTTTTAGTCCGCGTTTGTGCGTGATATCTTGCTCTTGGTGCGTAGAAAAACGTGGTCAAGAAGTCATGGCGGCACCAGTCTCACTCTTAAGTCTGACCAGTGGCGTGGTTCAAAGGTGTCGTCAGACAGCTGAAATACTTATTGAGCTAAGTAACAGCGTCGGTACAACTCGCGCAACCCTCCGATCCATGGCAGCTGAATGTATTTCCACCCAAGTCGTACTCCAGAGGCTGGCTGTCTTTATCAAGCCCAATATCCAGGTGCTTGACACTGCGGATGACGGAAAACACCAGCAGCTGCACGCATGCTTCTTTGCTCTTGTACAGCCACTACCCGCCATCCTGGACGACATGGTGATTGAATCTCAACAGATGCGGCAATACGCTTCAGAGGAAGGTTCACTCGTCCAGGCAAAGCTAAATCGGCTCTTGCAAGACCTACTATATGATGCAAGGAACAATCTCAGGAAGAATCGATCCTCAATCAGCATTATAATGGATTGTATGCAAAGGTACGTTCATGTATACTCGAATCCGTGTGGAAATTCTGGAGCAGCTCTCTAAATCCTGTTATCATGAGACACTTTGCTAAGTTTCATCAGTGGTATTCTCGAAGAAGCCAGAATTCACACACAGCATCAGCCCTTTCCATCTCCCTCAATGGAAAAAATAAGGGGTGCTTCACAAGCCGGATTGTCCATCTACCTGACACAACAGTCAAGCCAGCCGCATATCCAGCAACAGAACAATAAAATCAAATCAAGACCGACGAGGCCATCAAAGACCTTCATGACCGAATCGAAATTAACCAAGAAACTACACGAAGGGATTCGCAACGGCGATCATGGAGTCGTCATCAAAGCACTCTCGAGCGCGGCCGATCCCAATGGCACAATCAAGGGCTCAAGAATCTCACCGATACACAGCGCCTTAAGCCAGACAGAAGCGGTGCTGGGGTGCGAAGACGAGATTGCATCACGCGACTTGGTGATGATTGTAATGGCTCTGGTCCTGGCCGGAGCTGATCTGCATGCTGTCGATGAGGAGGGTCACACACCCCTGATACGGGTGGTCAAAGGCGAGATGGGCGACGGGCTCGTGGCCCTCATGCTAGAATCCGGAGCGCAGGTGAATACAGCGGACAAGGAGGGAAACACGGCACTGCACTATGCTGCCATGCAGAATAATCTGATCGAGACGGGGAATGTGGAGACAATCAAGATACTACTCGCAAACGGAGCTGATCTGAAAGCTCAGAACCGGCGTGGTAGGACGCCCTTGTACGAATCTGTCATGTGGGAGCATATCGACCAGACGATCCAGCTCATCGACTACGGGTCTGACCTGGACATTTCAGACAGTCATGGCTGGACACCTCTTTATGCGGCCGTGTTCCAAGGGCATACCCGCCTGACAAAATTAATATGCGAACGGGGCGCTTTTGTCGATGAAAAGGACAAGACGGGTCAAACACCGTTACATTACGCCATATCACAGGGACGGTGTGCCATTGTTCAAGTGTTGGTCGAGGCTGGGGCCGATGTCAATCTGATTGCAAAGGGGGAGACGCCTCTGTGTCGTGCCGCGGCAAAGACAAGCAGTGCCGTCATCGTGTTCCTTCTGCAACATGGTGCAGACGTTTCAGTTCCTTCACCCGGGTACCGTGGCGCATTGCCTATACACATTGCTGCCATTGGCAAAGATTTGGAGGTTTTGGCAGCGCTCATTAGTGCTGGCTCATCAGTAAATGCTCGAGATGGTGCAGGCAGGACGCCCTTGGCATGGGCAAAGGAAAGCGGCAGGAATAATGTTGTGGAATTTCTAACGGGTAAAGGGGCTGATGCTTAGTTAGCCATAATGAAATCACCTTTTGAAAGTTTGGCTTATATCAATGAAATGTTCCTGGACGTGAAGTACAGAAATGGATTTGCTCCAAGGTTCAGAGCAAGACGGTACACGCGTTTGCAATCTAAACATCCCAAGTATTGTACAAATCATTGTTGTCTTATTCATTTCGCAACATTATCATCTACTGTTACAACATCTATTTCTTTGGCGAGAACAGTGCCTCCACGGTATCGTACTTGTACACAAGATCTTTGTGCCAGTAGTTGGGGGCTTCAGCCTTTGAAATCAACCACGCCTTGTCAATGGCATCCACCACATCCTGCGGCAGCGGTCCCTTTTCGAGGTTATCCAAGTTTCCGTCCAGCTGCTCAAGACTCGAGATGCCAATAATGATGCCGTCGTTGCCGTCCTTGACGTTGAGCGCGCTGTGATGCACCGTCCACCGCAGGGCCGTCTCAATGAGGGTCAAGCCCTCGTGGCTGGCAATGGCGTCCTCGATGGTGCGCAGCGACTGGAACGTGCTGTCCTTGAAGTAGCGGCTGCGGTAGTTTTGGCCCGTGGGGTGCTTGTCGCTGAAGCGGCCCTCGAGCTGTGATGGGTCAATGTCCTTGCTCTTGATCTTGCCGCTGAACAGACCGCCGGCAATCGGGTTGTAGACGACAATGTCGAGGCCGTAGCGACGGCATGCCGGGACCAGCTCGGCATCGATGCCGCGGGTGATCATGTTGTACATGGCCTGGTAAATGGTGGGACGAACCCAGCCGTGCTGTCGGGCAATCATGACGGCTTCGGCCACCTCAAAGGCCGTGTAGTTGGACAGGCCGAGCTGGACAAATTTGCCAGCCTTGTGCAGCTTATCAAGGGCACCCAGAGTCTGTTCAAAGGGTGTCGCGCGATCGGCGGCATGGATGTATAGGATCTGTCATGAGGACATTTGGTGATTAGTACACAAACGATACCGGTTTTCCAATGCAATTAGGTGAAACTCCAGCGTGACGGGGGCGGAACAAATCGCAACAGATACGTACATCAATGCAGTCGGTGCCGAGCTCCTGCAAGCTCTTCTCTACACTCTCGATAACCTTGGCCTCGACGTGGTCGCCATCTGCGCTCGGGTATTTGACCTTGGTCGCCAGCTTCAAGCCGCGCTCCTTCCACTTGGCCTCGCGGGTGAAGGCCTCCTGCTGGCCGGAAATGTAGACGCGTGCCGTGTCGACTTCATTGTAGCCGCGGGACTGGAACTTGTCAAGCACCGAGTTGTAGACGGAGAGGTCGGTGATGCGAGCGCCGTCCTTTTCCGAGGGGCCAAAGGTCATAAGACCGAGGATCACTCGGGGCTGGCCGGTAGAGGTGGGAAGGAGAGGCATGGCGATAAGAGTTTAATGATGCGTTGCTCTAGAAAGGTGATTGAGCGTTATCAGTTGAGTGAAACACGCTATAGACTCGTCACTAGGATGGTATTTGATAGATTCTTGTGTAAGTGGTTGTTTGCTGGACTAGCAGTATTTGGGAGTAGCCTGTGATGATTGCCAGAGAAGCAAGCAGATATAACCGCTGAAATCGTAATATTTATACAAAGCAAGAGCTGCAGATAACGTCGCCCTTTAGATCATGTCCTCGGCGATAAGTCCGTCTGTGGTCGTGCTCGAGTGGCTACGTACATCACGACATCGACGTCAAGGTGTCTAAACCCCGCGTCTCGCTTGCTCGCGATTGAGGGGCACGTCCGATCCCGCTATAGTGGCCCAAACGGTTGGCTTTGGCTGGTCCATACTCTGGATTATAGTTCAAAACGTGCTAAAAGGGGATTAACCCCGCGGACTTGGGTATTATTGCCGGGAAAATCTTATACCCAGAGACTGCTCGAAAAGGTGACCAAACTAGCAGCATGTCGATCACAGGTCAATGAAAGGCCAATGTCGATAGCCTTATAAATTATATAAGTATGGGAGGATATTCAATTGGTTGTCGTTGTCAGCATCCTCGACACTCCGTGCATAAGCCCACCCAGATTCCATGGCGATAATAGAAGATTTGGCACCTTAACGCCGAAAGCTTCAAGTCTCTGAGAAGTCCTGATTTGAGAATTGATTAGTTGGGGATCATAGCATCGTCAGAGTCTCAATCACTACGGAGAGATAATTGTATCGAAGAAGGAGTCAAAACAGTATCGATCGTTGGTAGCGTTCGAATCAGGTGTGGAAGGGAAATAACCTTGCATGCTTCCCTGGGTCTTTGGGAAGAGATGACAGGATTGTACTACTGAGGTATAGATAAGCGAAGCCGGCATGATATATCCTCCCACAATGTAGCGGAACCGAGTTGAATGGCGTTTTAGCCACCACTTTCAACAGATCTCATTATAAACTGAATGCCCAAGGCAGGCAGACTAGTTGCTTTGGATCTTTGGCGCCTCATGGATTGAGTATGTTGGGTTGAGATAACCCACCTCTAGATATGTTGAATACCATGGCAACTTGTATCTTGAAAACAAGTATACGCGGGCTTTCCAGGATACTTGATCGAGATATGCGGACAAGTTCCGAGTCATGTGTTCATTTGGTGCACTATGCTATATCTATTCCGGCAAACCAGCGTGATAAGGCGCAAACTCTAGAGGCTGGCGGATCTGAGATGAGACACCTAGACAAGGACACGCGTAGGAGAGAAGCATTCCTACCGAATAGCTATAAGGACAATGACACCGCAAGTATGATCATTCATAGACATTCCTATACTAGAGTTTTATTAATATGAATATATTCATTACCACTCAAATCAAATTAACCCAGAACAATAGAAGCTGATACTGTAGTAGTTTTGATCGTACCGGTCCTTCGGCATCGTATCTGCTGGGATCCATGGATGTTGCAATGACTGCCCAGGCCGATGAGATAATCCCAGTACCCAGTTTATTAGCGAGCCAACCGCGGCCCAGCGACTCTTAGTGGGCTTGTCAGCGCCAAGGTCTTCTGCACCGTCGCGTCACGGAACCCCGTCAGGGGACCTTAGCGCCCCTTTAGCGATGGGACTTGACTGGGCAGGAGATCCGGCGACATTGAACTTGCATATCGCAACCTCCACGTGTGAATCTACTTGCATTCCATACGACACATTGACAGTAGACAGACGGGGTTACCGGTGGCTTGGTGTTACTTGAATAGCAGCTGTTATTTGGTCACTCTTATTCGCTCTCGTTTCTTTATCTATTCCTGTTCCCCCACGCTCATTCATCCGACGGATTCATGCCTTCCAACGACGTTCGCTTGTCCAAGGTGTCGCCTGCAACAAGCCTCCACCCTCCTTTCTCCCGCGCCGACAAGCCCGAGCCATCGCCAGCCTCCTCCTCCTTCTCATGCGAATCCGACGATATCGAGGATTATATCGGTAGCGGTGCCAATACCGTCGGTGGTCGAACACCCGTTGTCGACAAGCGCCTATCTTTTGCCTACGAAGGGAGACCTTCGAATGTTAGCGGCCCCCGAATCAGGACTCCAAGCGCAGACGCATACGGCAGCGACGACGACGAGGCCATGGATAACAAGGCGTTCCGTTCGGGACAGCCTCTGCTGTCCCAAACGGATGACGAGCGAGGTCGCGCCCGCTATAACCATTCGCGGACACCGTCGCCTCTACCTAGCGCACACCAACGGCCGACCTTTTCGCGGCGGTCGACGATGCGTTCACGATCGCCAGATACCCAGGCCAAGATGGCTGCCAAGAAGAAATATGTATATGCGGCAATCTTTCTAGTAGTCTCGCTTGTATCATTCTGCATCCAAACAGAGCTGGCAGCCTACGTACAGCAAGAGCTCGGGTGGAATAAGGCGTATTGCATGTTGTACATGACACATGGATCTTGGTCGCTACTCTGGCCTGTGCAATTATTGGTGTTGCGGGTGCAGAAGTGGAATATGCCTTGGCAAGCCTTTTGGCGGCGACATGTGTACTTGTTGCGGAGCACCACGCACATGATTCGTGATCAAAATCTGGACGTCTCCCGACACGCCATGAACACGAGCCCATGGCCGTACTTGATCAAGACCACGGCTTTCATTACAAGCGCCTTGACCATTGCCGGCCTAAGCTGGTACCTTGCAGTCGACATGACCAGTCCGAGCGATTTGACGGCCATCTATAACTGTTCTGCGTTCTTTGCGTACGCCTTCAGCGTCCCACTGTTGAAGGAGAAGCTACGACTTGACAAGAGTTTTGCTGTCGTTATAGCCATCATCGGTGTCATGGTTGTGGCCTACGGTGACAGCAAGGAAGACGGCGGCGAGGACCAAGCCGAGAACCATACTGCTGGTACTCGGTTCCTGGGCAACCTTATTATTGGTTTTGGCAGTGTTCTTTATGGACTGTACGAGGTCTTATACAAGAGATGGGCGTGTCCTCCAGAAGGTGTCAGTGCAGGCCGAGGCATGATTTTCGCAAACGCCTTTGGTAGCTGCATTGGCATGTTCACCTTGACCGTCTTATGGATTCCCCTCCCGATTCTACACATGTTGGGCTGGGAGACGTTTGAACTCCCGACAGGCCAGACTGCATGGTATCTCTGGGTCAGCGTTGTCATGAATGCAACCTTTGCCGGGTCTTTTCTAGTTCTCATCAGTCTGACTAGCCCGGTGCTCAGCTCCGTCGCCGCCCTGCTTACCATTTTCATCGTGGCCATCGTTGACTGGCTGCGCACTGGCAAGAGCATGAGTTTCGCGGCAGTGGTGGGTTGCGCCATGATTGTCGTGGCGTTTGTCATGTTATCATGGAGCACTTATCGTGTAATGGTAGAAGATGCCGAACGCAAGGCACACGAGGGCGATGCCGAGACTGAATGGGATAGCGAGAGTGATAAGGATGACGACCGCATCGATTAAGTGGCGGATAAAGCCTTTTGGGTGCGACACGAATGGTTTTTCGCGAGGTACTTTTGTGTGCAAATATCCACAACACATGGAAAGGTTCCCATTTTGCATCTTGGCGGCGTTGCATAATTGATTTTATATCATATTGGGGAGACGGGATCGAACCCCCCATGGAGGCGTTACATATCGTATTATTACATTTAGAATGGACGAGGTATTCGTCAAGTTTACCTATTCAACTAGAGCGGCCAACACAAATGGTCTTGGCAATTTACCAATGAAAACATGGTTATGAGCATCAGTGGCCCACATGTACATGTTTCCCCAGATACTTGTTCCTTAGAAGTCCATGTCAAAAACTGCCGAATTCTTTGAAAGCATTCCTCATCAAAGTTGGGTAAGGCCTTGAACCGACCGCTTGCTTATATTGCCAAATTAAAAGTTCTAGACTCTTTGATGCTCCGCAAAGCCAAGTGTATTTGGCTTTCATGTCTCTCGGGCCGTCAAAATTGCCCACTTCGGAGGTAGCCAATTCCTTTCAGCTGTACTATAGCAAGCCACAAATTACCAAATTTTTTGCTTCCGCCAGTGATATAAAAGGAGAGTGGGAAAGAAAATCATGCGATTATTTATGTACTAAATCTACACCCCCCTCCTCGCGACACCTGTTCTCGATTTTATGACATCTTGTCGATCGGCAGACTGTAATCGTGATCGTGATGGTCTGCATGGTGCATCTTCTTTCTGCTGTCCGTCACGCCATGTGGATGTTTTCCATGAAAGTATATCGAGCTGAAATAATACGCCTTTCCCTATCAGAGGCTCCTCTGTTGGCATATTAAATTGAGTATTGGGACTGGTGGCTAGTCGATGCATGTTTCAGCTGGGATCATACACGAGTCCAGCAAAGTCTGTCTACACATGTTTTTTTTTGGTTTGATTTTTTTTTTTTGTTCACACTCTTCCGCATGACTGAAATTCAGCTACAATAAGACAGTTTATCAGCATCTTTCTTGGTACCGCATAAGTTTGCGCTGGAAGTAAAATCTGCACCGATACTACCTATCAGAACCTCCCTTGTAAGCCATGGTTTACTTTGATCAGCTGAGGACTACAATAGTACAATTTTTTCCCTCCCCAATAAGAAAGCTGCTCATGGTTTATATGACGAATAGTCGGTGAGAGTACCATGCTTGGCAATATATATCAAAGCATATTCAACGGGGCCTTGAGGCATGGCGTGTGGATCAGGCGGTTCAGTGGCTTGCTTGGATTGCAATGGTCTGGGGCCTGTTCATGGCCCTTGCCAAACCCATCGTCACCCGTTTATAGGCATGCAAAGTCATGATGATGTTGCTGACCAACTCGAGTCGACTGATTGTTCAAAACTTTATAGCGCGTCGCCGTGGTGTCCATCTCATCTGGGGGATAGTGGATTACAACGTGACAGCTTTGATTGCTCGTGTAAGTCATGTCCTGATTTGCAGGCTGACTACCTCCCCTTTGAAGATATACGACCATGGCTTGAAGAATATATTTACAAATTTCATGGAGAGATTGTTCATTTCATTTATGTAACTTACTTTGGCTATATTGCGAGTTACTGTACTTGAACAAAATCATCAGTAAATAAAACAAGAGATCGAGAGGAATTAAGTGGTATGACCGTTCAAGATTGTAATCAAGGGGACCTTCTGCTTGGTCTCTGGCAAGTGTGAGTAGTTGGGTGGAAGCCAGAATGTTATAGGCTTTGCTACTTCTAAATACAGTAATATTTTGCGATTGTAAATGTAATATTATCAATGCGGGACCCGCATTATTATTTTCGAGCCCTTTAGACACACTGGATAAGTCCATGTAGCTAATACAACTTGGCTGACTCAATCTGTTTTACGTCCTTCTTAGTATAAACATGATGGAAACCTCATCAATATATCGAATAATTGATACCTACTTGCAAGAGCTTGGCATGAGGTCCTTGAGAAGTCAGTATTGGCTAATCATAGTGTCGATGAGGAATAAAATTCTTGGATGCCGCTGGCGATTGCTTCTCACGCCCATGGCCTCTAGCGCTTTCATGTATGTAGGCCCAACCTACACTCTCGTCAGCACATTAGCATCACCATTATCATTATCATTAGGCTGGATCAAAGTATGTCAATCAATGAGTCACACATTAAGAGATCACCTCAGCAGGAATCATAGAAGCATAGCGCGTAAAACACACACACACACGTACACACGTACACACGATTCAAAGTTAAGTTCCTTGGGGGATTCTTCCTACGTACACCGCTTCTAAAACATTTTCCTTCCTCTTATGCCATGCTTCCTTGCCCCCGCCTTACTGATGATACTGGTATATGATGGGAGGAAAATCCACACTCCACTTCAGGATCGCAACGGTGAGGCTTAGCAGAGGGACACTTGACATGTGGGGTATCTTTTTTTTTTTCCCCCCCCAACACCATTCCCAAAGGGAATCTTTTTACCCCGGTCTGATATCGTGGAGCCGCAAACTTACCCGAACTTTTGGGTCGGGTGGCCTTGCTGATACATTACAGATAATTGGGGTGGGCGAAAAGGTCACTCATAGCAAGGATGTTGGACTAATTGCGACATGGTCATGATGGGGTTTGATGGAGTCGTGTCATTGGATCAATTGTGCCCCAAATTAGCTGGAAAGCATTTGTTTCTTGGAGATTGAAGCGCTCTCCAGCAGTCCACCAGCCAGAAGCCCCCAGAGGATATGATGCCTGGGGACTTTCTCCATCTTGTGTTATACTAAGCATAACCTGTGATTGTCGATGCAATCCCGAATCCCACATGGGTAGCTTCGGCAGGGTTTATCGCCGTGCAGCTCATTTTTTCTAGTGCAAAGGGACCCCGGCGATGAAGACGATCTTGGGACTTGATATGTCATGTGATTGTCCAAGGCCATGTCGTTATGTTCGAACAATAGTCCGGGGGTTGGTGGCCAGCCATGATAACAAGATAACGGCGAGACCTAGCTGAGATTGCTATTCCAGACTGAGTCAGATGAGGATAACAAGCACAGACTTTTGAGCCTATCTTGCTTGGACATTGAGTAAATCCTCATGGATCAAGAGTAATCTGTACATGTCATTCTTACTTGGACTCAGCAAGGTAGCTCCACCAACATGATTCCAACGGGTGGTATCTTGGTTCGGATCATGAATACTTGATTGCAGAATTGGTATAAGGTGGTTGCATGACTAGTCCGATTGCCAAGTCATCGTTTAGTATGGCCAAGTCCGCCAAAGTCGCTGACTTGTTTTTGATATGCACAATGCCTGCCGGTACTATGTAGTTGGCAAATTGTGCATTGTCTAAATGTGCAAGTATCCAATAAAACTTTGTAAAATAGTACACATGGTGATGGAAATCTGCAGATTAGTCAGAATGAGACTCTGTGCCTCAATCCCATCACGATCGCATAATGCAACGGCGTAATGACAAGGAAACAGCTACACGATAGACCAAGTAATGACATGAATGGATGTTGAAATGAGCCATTGCTGGTGCTTATGCTTATATAAGGAGGTTGGACTTGAGTCAACACAAGAGTTGGCAGCCTTGTCTCGAGAACAACGATTACCAGGGCCGCACATTATATGTCCGCCTGTCGATGTATGGCTGCAAGTGCGAATTGTCGTATACTAGCCTATGATAGTCGTGGCCTCGTAGGATTCGTGCGGGCGAACACAATGACGACTTGTCATGGACCGGGATCAAATGAGTTTGAACAAACAGGGTTCCAAAATGTAGGGACAATGGGGTAGACAGCCGAAAGGAAAGCCACAGCTCGCAAGTGCATAAGCCGCCGAATGTACTGTACTCTGTGGGCATGATCATGATATTCGGGAGCTTGTGCCTAGATAGGCATAAGACCATTGACATGCATCTTTGCCGTAATATGAAAAGAAGCTGATGCGAGGCGTGTAAAAAAGGTCCTGGCAACCTCGAGATGAAGCATGATATGATGGAAATGACAAAAGGGCAAGCCAACCCAACAGGAAAGTCGGCTGCGTAGGTAAGTAGCCCACTGTAGAGGGCCCCATCAGCTACGTTGTTTAGATAGGTACATACATACCTACCTAGGTAAGCAGATCGATTAACTCTAATGCAGGCGATCTATAACCCGCACGAACGAAAGTGCAGCTGCACTAATCAAACTCGATGGCCCGGTAGGGCTGAGACCTTTTGGGCCTCCCAGCCTGTGATCTGCACATTAGCCGACGAGCCCTTGGGGGCTTCGGAGCAAACATGACCTGCCTATTGGCTTGTGGTAGGATGGAACCATGTTAGGCAACCTCGCACACACTGACACGGTTTGTCTGGTGTCTGGCTGCTTGCCCAACAACAAGCTACACCTTTCCCTGCTAACCATCTAATCAAGCTAGCCGCACGGCAGCAAGAAGCACGTCAGGTGCTGGGTCAGCTTTCCGCGGGTAAGACGGATCATGATACTGGGTGGGATTGGGGGAGTAAGCGCTTTCTTTTCCGTCTCTGCGACTGAGGGGGAACTGTGCAGGAGCACCTCTACCCACTGGAATGCGAAATGCTACGACAGCTCGACATCTGATGTGTAGATTTTTATTACTCGAGATATAAATTAGTCATTCAGAACGGCGCCAAGGTAGCATTTTGTGAAAAGAAATTGACGCGGGGCAGGCCCGACTTTGGCCCATCATGACCCGCTGGGTGTGTCTTGTTCGGCCATTCATCAAAGATGGCCCCCAGGGTACGTGTAAATACGGCGGCGACTTGCACTTGCAACCCTGGCAATGAAGTTTTCCGAGTCAGTCAGTCACTGAAGCGGTGAAGACAACAGAAGCGTCTTTTTGAAAAAGGTTGTTTTGCATATTTGCCCTCTGGATTGGCTGTAGGTCAATCATCAATTGTACACAGTACTCCGTCATGACGGGACAGCACACGCGCGCGAGACACGAGGAGCGCCCGCACCATTTATTGAACATCAAATGCATGTCGGTTGCAGATCTAAACAATCAACCATGGGGTCGGCTACACTCAATCCTGAAGCCAGCCAGCCAGGCCAGATCCTGAAGGGTCACTCGGTGGCTGTGGGTGTACATGATTCGCTACCAGATACTTGGATTCCCCAGAACAATTGGACTAGAAAGCAGTCGTTGGCCAGAAGCGGAAGGTTGACACGGGCCACGAGCGGCTTCGATTCAGTGAAATGCAAGATGAGAAAAATCTATACACGGTTGAGAAGCCGCAATGATTGGTCATTGGGCGATTCGATACTTGCCCCCTCCCTCGAATGCAACGTCATGCAAAGTCCAATGATTCAAGCACCCGAATACTTTTGGTAGAAAAAGTCTGTCGTGGTCCTGTATTACAGTGGCTGGAGGCAGCCACGCGTACGAAGTATACCTGCTAGCCGGGCGCAAACCAGGAAGGGAAACGAAAAAGAAGCAAGCATGATTGTTGTCGTATATCTTTGCCACTTACACGTTATCATCATCGTCTGGAACCGAGACAAGAGATTGATAAGTCCAAGAGTGATGATGGTCAGAATGCAGGAGACTTTCGAACCGACCAAGCATTTTCCAGTGATCCTTCCTGCCCAGATGCGCAAAGCAAAAAGAAGAAATGGTTATGGCTTGAGGCCACAACTTGGGCCCCGCTGACGAATAGGGCGTTGGAATCGGATGCAAGCGAGCAAGCATTCAGCTGGGCGACATTGGGTCTTTTGGGGGCTATTGGAGGCCATAAGAGTCTTTTGCCCCCTGTAACCCTCGCCCGGCCCCCCGCTGTAATGTAACCGTCAAACCAGAAGTCAAATAGCCTGACTCGGCCACTTGAGAGCCGTGCCGGGAGTTACGTATGATGTACGTACTTTTTATTTTGCTCGGCACTCGATCTAGTCCAGGTGTTTTGTATGTTTGAAAATATGATAGGCACGGGAAACATGTGTGACGATGCATTTTTGAGACGGAATACTTGGAAGATGTCACCCGAGCCGGGCATGTAGCCGAGCCCACAGACGATTGTTGCCGGATATATACTTGGGTGCTTGCTTTTGTTTATTGATATGGAAGTGTGTTCGTGGCACCTAGACAAATGATGGCATGTTCTTGGTTGCAAGTCTACATGAGCAGAGTAATAATCAAGAATTACTTTTTGTTAGAAGCTACAAAGAGCTGGCTGAGCATACCGCAAACTGCACAGAGTACCTACACCCATTCAAATCAAATCCCCACCATGTGAAGGTAAGTGCTGCAAGAAACACGAGCCCACCTGCAATGGGGCATGGCAACAGGCAGTATAGGTGTAGATCTCATGCTGCAGGAGAGCTCATGACAGGCAAGCTTTGATCAATCATGATGCCTGTAATGATTTTGCGACCCGCAGCAAATGCGTGGTGCGTAGATATGTAGGTTTGTATGCACGTCTTGCTGCTGCACGCAAGATGCATCATATCACGTTACCAGCAGTGATAAAAAAACGGCCCCAGCATCGACTCAGCTGGGCAGGCCAACGACGGGGCCGGGACCGGGACCGGGGTAACAAACCCGTCAGTGGTTCTCTCTACCTGGGTCTTGTTTGCGGCAATCGTCACGTTTTTCGTATTACTAGCTGGCCAGCATGTTGCACTTGCAGGTTATTGCCTCGAATGAAAGTGCATATGTATAGTTGCTCGGCACATTGTGTGTATGTGCTAGTATCATTACGTATCTGCCTGTCATGTTCAAGGCGTCTAGTGTCCAAATTCAAGCCACCTGTCCCGCCCACTCAGTATCGGTAAATTGGATCTCTGACTACCTGTACCGCTGAAAAGCCTGGCAGGTAACGTCTAGGTTAGTCCACTGCACGGGCGGTGGACGCCGGGTAGGGCTCGGCTCAGCTCAGCTCAGCTCAGCTGAAATCTTGACCTACGTTTACACTACGTTGGCAAAAAAGGTCCACTAACCCTTAAGAAATACAAGGATCAGGGCACTTCTAAACTCAATTATTCGGCCAGGAAGCCACTAAGGTAGGAAGGGATACTTACTTGTCTGCCTAATCACGCGGCTTCTTTTCTGAGAGTGCGCATGCAAGTTATGTTGATTTTGGGGGGACTTTGCAACGCTGGATCCATGTACAGTAGGTAGGTAGGTAGTAGGTATTTCTCCATTGGGGCGGGAACTCTCCTCAGTCCCAAGCCCAGCCAACCAACCAACGAAGAGATTGCGCACCTCAACCCACGATGGTCTGAGACCAGGACCGAAGACGATAGTCTGTTGCCCCCAGCATCAAAGAGATCTTGATCGATCTAATTGAAATATCCGTCACACGGACGCCAATGAGAACACAGCCTTCCCCGACAAACTGAAACTCAGCTGCCTTTGTTCCCTGAGCAGCACTTTGGTGACGCGCGCGCGCAAGATTACCTAGGAAAGGAGTATGTTATCTACTGTGTTGTAATACGAAGTACTTCACACAAGCGCCCCATCTTTACGGCTCTGGCAGTCAGTCAGGGTCAGGGCGGCCAGGGTACAGGCGTTGTCAAGACGCCAAGAAGTCCATTCTAGAGCCTGTTTCTATCACTCTCCTTCTGTCCCCCCTCGGGTTTCTGTTCCTTGTTGGTAATGTAGACTACCGCTTCTTTTTTTTTTTCGCTCCCTCCTTTGGACCCCAAACCTAGCACGAATCACTCCGCCCATGTTCATGCAAAGCCCTTGGACTAACAAAGAAAAGTATTGCACGACAAGGTCAGCAAGATCCTGAGAGCTTTACGAGAGTTCCATGTCACCAATCTCCGCAGATCATGAAGATCTTTTTCTTTCCGAGATCCTCTAGAGAACAAAGACGCCGAGCTAGCTTTCCCTCTCGTTCCAATGGAGCTCAGGAATGATCTAGTTCGGCCTGCCCGTTACAGGCTCTCATGATTTCCCAGGTTAAGCAAATCCAACAAGTCCTGTAGCAACCTAAGTCAGCAAAACATTTCTTTCCGAGATAGTCCATCTATGTGCTGCTATCCGCGGAAATCCATCTGGCCGAGATTTTGATTTGTTTCTAGGTATGGATGTAGGCTGGTACTTACTCTCTGTCTGCGTCGCCAGGCTTGTTAGCGTCTCTGGAATTAGTGCTGACATTGGCGCTTGACATATGGAAGATAGACCACTCCCTCCCAGCTGTGTTTGTGCCGATTCGGAAGCTTACTTTTTTTTTTTCAAGGCTTTTCAAGTCATGGTTTGTGGATTTACTTGTTCTGCCCTACTTGCTACCTACTTTGTCACCGCTACAAACAGTGCGGCCAACAAAGAAGAAAAAAAAAAAATACTCGATGTTACTTACAGCTTGTTTGCCGTCTTGATCTGAATCAGGTCAGCTGTTAATTACCATGATGGGAAATTTTGCCCCATCTGCACTCGGTCCTTTTGATCAACTTTCCTCCAAGGTTGCTTTTTTCCATCATCGTTACTCTCAAGTGATTTATGGGATCATGTATGGTGCTTGCAAATGGTACTGAGCACCCGCGCGCTAACATGATGATGTTACTACTTACTCCTCGGCTACCTCGTCCACGCGGGAACTGGTCCACTCACTCACTGTCTGGTCCCGCAATGGCAGGGTTGGCCTAGGCGGTCTGATCATTTTTCTATAGTATTTTCTATACATCTATACACCAAATGAGGAGGCAAAACTACGACAAACCGCGGGGCACACTTGGGAGTAGTACCTTTCTATGGTGTGGGTTAGAACTGACTTATTATGAGGCTGACTTGACCAATAGCGGCGGGGGCGCAAGAAGGCCTGGCTCGTCCTTGTTATCGACACTCTCCACTTGCAAAGACACCCCTTCCCTGTTCTCTTGTTTTGGGATTTCCCTTCTACTTCATATCATAATAATGGACCCTTCCCGCCGCCGGCTCGATTCAGCAATGTCATACTTCATGATGTTGTCCATGTTCGAGTCTGACTTTCTTTTAAAGCGTTGCTTGACCGCTCCTCACCTCAATTTGCATTCTCATACGCCTATACGTCTTGTCGCCCCCATCAGACCAAAACAACACTTTCCCAATACGGCGCTGGGGCAGTCGCACAACAGCTGCATACCCTCCTCTATGCAGTAGATCTGGGAACTATTGGGAACTCATCGTTATTATAAATTGGCACTCGACTAGTCAACACACACACACACACACTCGAGGGAGTCATTGGCAGGAGAGGAATCACAAAAAAATACGTGGCCATCTCGTTGCCAGGGTTTCTGTGTAAGTTGAAATCATTTGGGGCTTTCTGGGTCAGCATACGAGCGGATGTATAGCCGCCGTTCCTCCCGTCAGCCAAATTTGATTACTGACTCCGAGAGGTATTTTCGTGGCCAAACATCTGACGCGCTTATAGAGCAGACAGCCTATCGTATCAAGCTTGGATCCAACTTGCGTCCAGCGCTCACAAACAAAATCGCGCCAGATATTTCCGGGGCTTGCTGCACAAATAGACAGGGACATTGGTTTTTTTCTTTTTTTTTTCTCTCTCTCTCCTTTTTTGATTTTCCCAGAAATAGCAGGAATGCCCGCTGTCCACCACCCATTATATTCAAGAAGTAATGTCTCTTCCCATTTTGCTTCTGGCGGCCTGCTGCGATATTTTTGCAGTGTCGGTGTAATCACCACTGTACTTGCTTTCATTTTTGCTTTGCATTTGATCATCAAGTACAAGAAGCTTTGTCGGTCACGAAAACACATCGTGGGCCTGATCGGCCAGAAAGAGGCCTTTGCCCATTACCTTGGGGAGGGAAACTGGGACAAGTCACGTGGAGTCAGCAATCCCATGATGGCAGCAGCAGACATGTCAGCGGAGCAGCACACGTCCTATACCGAAATTCAGCCCGACGAGAGTGAAATTAAGCCAAACGGACATGAAGTCATTGCAACGTGGAATATGGGGGATACAGCAGAAGTATCCAGAGATGGCCATGTCGATACGCCTCTATTTCTAAGAAACTCCCTGCTCGTGCGGCCGCCTCCCTCGCCGCCGCTAACACGCCCAGAAAGATCATCTGAGATGGATATATTCCAAGATCGACGAATGAGCTCGGCGTTGTCAACGGCAGGAGATTTGGAAAACGATTCGTTATACCATGCCAGTCCTCAAAACGTCTTGGCTGCCTCATCGTCATCATCTTCGGCCCAGGCTACACAAGACAATGCAGTCATTATACCGAGAAGGAGGTCGTATACAAAGGTCGTACCGATAGGTCCGCCCCAGCCAGTATCGTGGTTGGAAGAAGACGGGACCGTAGTGGCCTTTTCGCCCAGTTCATTTCCTTCATCCAACCCGGCTCTGCCACTTGCGCCGCACGACTCGTTCCACAATCATGGAATAGAGGTCAAGGGAGAAATTTTATCGGCACTGGATGACTCTGGGGCAGGCTGGAGACGCCACACACGCGTCTACGGGGGTGGTGTCTGCCTCGCCTGTTTGGCCTCTTCAGACAGAGAAGGAGGTTTCTATGGCGACAGAGTGCGACCAGAGGAGAGAAGATGAGCTGTGTGTACGAGAGAGAGAGAGGAAAACTCACATGCACGTGTTTTCTTGTCTTTTTCTTTCGCATCTAATAATGCCTTTGGAATTGTTCCAGCTATTTCCATTGACTTGCGATATTTCAGCCAGGCTTTTCAATGCATGCATACATGGCGGATATCATCTTTAGCTGCACGAGGGTCACGGTTAAGACTATTATTTCTGGTCAGACATATATGAACATGAGTTTTATGAAGATGCATACATCACTTGAGAATTATTTATTATCTAATAAATTTACACTAGCACTAATTTTGATGACTTGCTATTATATCTTCCGTGACATTAGATTAGCCTTTAACAGTCATGACAAACCTGCCTCATTCCTACCACATCAATGGCTGAATTGTGTCCTCAAACCATAAGCTCACCGGGTCAAGACTTTCAGCTATCCACAAACACATCATGAGATTAGTATTCGCAATGACAAGGGACTAACTGAAGGAGTCTGGGATTTTTGGCTGAGTCATTGATTACGCAATACCATGGAAGCTTTTTTTCGCCCATTTTTTCAGCTGCTCAGGACCGAAGCATGAGAACTTGAAGCACAGCTGGGGGCATGATTTTTGCCAGGGTTCAAAAAGTCCAGAAAAAAAACTCAAAAACGGCCCATGCTAAGCAAGCACTGCCACATTCTGCAAGCAACTATAGAGGCTTCTTTGAATGCGATGAATACGGATCTTTACGGACGTTACTGCTTACGACGAGTATGACAAGCCTTGACTAAGCAGAGTCCGTTTTCGCTTATTTCGTATGGTGTGCTGAATTCGGCAGTGTTTGGTATGTGGGATTAGGAATAAAGCCATGAGTATAGACGTTTTTAGGTAGATTGCATTGACGCGCGGCAAGGCGGAAGGATCTCTAACCATGTCCCTTGGGAGGTTTGATCAGTGTCATGAATGCAGTGCAACAAGGAAAGATCTGAGATTCAATCCTTCGGTTACTCCATTTGTGCATGACGGATTCCTTTCGTTTCTCGGAAATCTCGGGCGTGCCGGCAACGGCTTTATCGTGATTTTTCTTCTTGGTCCTTTTTGGAGGGTGTTTAATCTCTCCGCGGATGCCGATACGTGTGAAATGGGACCGAGGTTGCGAGTCATGCCGCTTGAATTGAAACTCATGACACAGTTGAGATTGGTACATTCTGACCCGGCACTAAGCCATCGTGTGTTCCTCTCTCGGGTAAGACTCGCGATGTCGCCGTACAAAACTCAATCAAAGGATCCTACCTGCAGCGACTCTGGGCATTTCAGCAAGGTGGTTTTTCTAAGCCAAGCCGTAATCTTCAACGGAGCTCATTCGTCATCATGATAACAAACTCCCCGGCGTCTGTGTAATTGAGTCGACTACAAGCGCGATCGCAAAATTTACCCTGATCCTGCAACTCGGAGAGACCGCGTTTATTTGGATATATTTTCTACACATGATTCGACCCCAAGTCATAGCAAATGCCAACACTCACCCGGTCAGGACTTATACGCAAGGCGTGACATGTGACAAATCTTCACATGTTTCCCAAGTGTTTGTTTTCTTGATAGCGTCGCAAAGCACAAGACATGAGTTTGCCACGATCGACAATAAAACAACACATCATGACTGTTGCTATACCAGAGTCAACCTCACAGCAATAACACCATATCGAGTGCAAGGGTCACAGGCAGTCAAGATCCACTCAGTCACCAGTCCAATGAAATCGGACCCGATGAATTGGGTCAATAAGAGGACAGCCAGGGTACAGCGGCCAATAAGTGGACTATGAGAGCTTGGCATTATATGCTGTCCGCTTTCAAAACTTCTCATCATTCTTAAACCTCTACTTCATTCCACTCATCCACTCGATTCAGGCCTCAAACGTATGAAATCACAAGCTTTAGACTAACATTGAGCGACGGGCACGAGTATGATGAAAGATGAGGAATAAGGGTAGCATAGGATTAACATCTCCAGCGCAGAATTGCTTGTACCGATGATAGGTCCAACACTTTGTAGATTTCAAGTTCTCGGGATGTTCTTTGGCCCAAAGACCGTCGGTAGCTTTTCTCTAAGCCTGGGAATAGTGTTCCAGGATATGAGATTGGTCACATAACATCAATCGTAAAAGGCATCCTCATTTTTTATATCCATGATAGAGTCTCTCAGACTCTCTCCCGAGAATGGAATCCGACTCAAATGTAGATGGCCGTGAATCCTGTTTCCCCTGGTGCATCGTGGGCTACTACATGACAAGAGCAGCGTAAGAGAGAGGGTATTGAGTGGCATGTACGAGGGGCACGGCTCCATGCGACCAGCTTGCAATGAAGAATTGCAAAAGTTGGCGGTGAGAAGCTGATTGCGCGTTGGCTAACCTCACTTTGTGGTTGTTTTCACTTTGTCAATTGTTTCTGTGTGTATTGGAACTGCAAGGAACTGAATGTTGACCTCCTCCATATGTATAACATGCTAGCAACGACCAGCGCACTCGGCTGCAAGACTTCTTACCGCGGGCCGAGCACCGGAATGAATGGCAGGAAGTGTTTACTCGCTATTCAATCTGATGCTGATAATTCCCAATTAGATTTCCTACGCTCAGAAACCCACCAATGATGAAGGATCACTGTCACCAGATTTGCCATATCCGCGTGTATTACGCCAACAGAATAGGGAAGTACTGAATGTCCAAAGGAGGGGGGATATGCCAGTTTCGGGCATTAATCAGACTCCGAGAGCACAGCACGATATTCAATCTACTGATGTAGTACAACAATAAAACTGTGCTGGCCTACTATCGTTGGTCAGGTTCCCCGCACAGAACATGTCGGTAAAGCTCAACCAGAAGCGAGGCATTGATCCAATGAGAGCCTCACGATAGATTTGGGGTTATCTCTGCTGGCTCGGGCATTTAAGAATCTTCAATTGTGTCAGTTGCTGTTTTCACTGTCAGACTCGATCAGTAGAATAAAGAAGCTACTCCAAAGTCTTGATTCGAGCCATGGCGCCCGAGATCATGGCAGTCGCTCATCCCGACGAACTCTCAACGGCGACTCGAACGACGCCGGGAACTGAACTATTATACCACAACGATAAAGATCACGCCATCACGACTGTGGAAGGGTATCCAATTCAGTACATTGAGAGAGATGATGGTTGTATCATTCTAGTACCTCAGCCATCGCCGAATGATCCCAATGACCCCTTGCGTTGGCCTGCATGGCTCAAATGGAGTACCTTTCTAAATGCCTTGAGCTACTCATTCATGGGCGGCGTGACGGGTCCCATCATGGCTGCAATGATGATTCCGCTCTCGGAGCGATTTGGTCAGACATTGCAAAGAATGTCCTATGCCAACGGGGCGACTCTTGTATGCCAGGGCGTCGGCAATACGCTGTGGATGTAATTATTTTCTTGAATCGGCCCGTCGTACATCATTCCCTTCACGGGATATAGGGCAACGTTTGCTGACGACAGTGACAGGCCCCTTGCCATCAAGTTTGGGAGGCGACCAGTCTACCTGGCATCCAACACTCTCATGGGCATTGCCTGCATCTGGCTAGGTGTAGCAACGAATGCGTCTTATACGCCCTTCATCATTGGCCGGGCGTTTCTTGGGCTCTTTGAAGCGCCGATCGAGTCGATTGTCCCCAGCACCGTTACTGATATCTTCTTTCTACACAATCGAGGCGCTCGCATCTCCATGTACGGTCTGTCCGTACTTGGAGGTAATGAGCTTGGACCCTTGGTGAGCATTCTTTCCAAACATGACATTTCGTACAAAAAGAAAAGGTCATGGAAATTGACAGCTTCAAGTTTTCTGCAATCATATTTCAGTCCCTTGGCTCAGCATGGGCATTCTACATTGTAGCCATCTTTATTTTCGCCAACTCAATCACCATGTTCTTCTTCATGCCAGAGAGCAGGTATCTGGGCGCACGACCAACTGTGAGCTTGGCTCCCTCGGGCCCAACGCCAGCGGCACAAGCTCGAGACAAGGGCGGTGTCGAGATGGTGGAAGACGTGAGAGAGACGCGGCCCCATGCCAAGACGCTCGTGGCTGCGCAAAAGACATCCCTCGGTGAAGTGGTTCCCAAGCAAAGCTTTGGCCGGAATCTTGCCTTATGGGAGGCGCCCGACAAGAACGCTGGCCTCGCAAAGGACTTTCTCCGGCCCTTTATTCTTTTGACATATCCTACCGTTCTGTGGACTTGTTTGATTTACGGAGCATCTTTGGGTTGGAATGTGATACTTGGTGCCACAGTGGCCCAACTCTTTGAGCCGCAGTACGGCTTTGATTCACAGGCCCAAGGTCTCGTGTTTCTCGCCCCCTTTGTTGGATCCCTCGTCGGCACCTGGCTCTGCGGACCCATGGCCGACTCCATCGCCAACTATTATACCAGGCTCAATGATGGTGTGCGCGAGCCCGAGATGCGACTCCCTACGTGTGCAATCGCAGCCGCGTTGACAACTGCTGGCGCCCTTGTAGCGTCTCTCACCTATCACTACGACACGCATTGGATTGGACCCATTTTTGGAATTGGTATCTTGGGTGCTGGTGCTCAAATGGGAGCCACACTTTCCATGAGCTACGCATCAGACTGTCACACAGATGTGAGTTTATCGTGTCCCAAGTTTGACCGGATTGCCATTGTCTAATGCCCAGGGCAGCTCATTGTCGAGCTCATGGTCGCGGTGGCTTCACTCAAGTCGCTTATTGCATGGATATGGACTTGGGTTATCAACGACTGGATTGCTGCTCAGGGAATGCTCGTCGCCTTCATGACTGTTGCTGCGATCAATATTGTTCTTTATCTGACGACGATTTTGCTCTACATTTATGGGAAGAGGCTGCGAACCTGGATTCATGAGCACGACATGTTGGCCAAGGCAGGTCTGCGGTAGTACTAAGGGACTTTGCGAACCCAAGTATATACGGCTTGCGATATTGAGTCAGTCGGCTCATTGCGAGAGGAACCCATATCAGTCGGACCTTACTGGGTAAGAACTTATTGCTAGTAGAAAAGAGTCGATATATTGCAGGCCCCATCACAATGGTTATCGGTAGCTGATAGCAAGAGAATTTACACAAGAATGGTTTTATAGACTAAAAGTTCTTGATTATCTTAAATCTAGGCACGATGAAATATATTACAGCCCAGGTTAAGCTTCTGTCAGCGCTCTGGCAACAACCATGGCTGAAATATGTGCCCAGTGTTCCCCACCATTCGTCTCCTATAATCCTATATATGTACGGGAAAGCATGTTCATAACAATGCCTAGCACAGTTGGAGGTGCCATCAGTCCTACTTGGCCAGGACAATATCTGCTGCCGTAATGACTTGTCTGATTTGAGCACCTACCACCTCCTCAAGTAGAAATGGCTTGGTCTTACATAAGATCTGCTTGGTATGTCTACGTCGCCACTTGACAAGATTAAGTGCTGATTAAGCTGACAGCGTCCAAACCTACTGCATGAACTAGCACAACATCGTCCTGCATATAGAACACATGCATCTCTCTGACTTGCAGTCAAACCTGTACTATTCACAGGGTGTGGAGGCCTGTGAAATTTGAGACTCGGCCGCACTTCCTGGTGTAGATGACAAATGAAGACCAGTGAGAACGCCCCAAGCATCACTCTTTGGCAAAGGAGTCGATCCTTGGATGGCTGCCGCCAAGGACTGGAAGCATACTTCATTCCACGGCAAGAATGAGCGCTGGTCGATAGTGTCTTACGAGAACTGCAGTATTTGCTGTAGTGCAGAGCGCCGGTTCGGGAAGTCAATACACTTACTTCCCCCTCCTTTCTGGGCATGCATATTAGACATACGTCCATGGCGGGGGAATAGTCGGCCGCACATCTAGACTACTGGATATATATGTGTTACTATATCTTGGTCTCTGTTTCGCGGGTTCACTCGAATCACTGCGTCTTCTTGCACTCATCGCTCCGCTTACACCATTCGCATAAGAGTACCACTATTATTAAAAATGACGGTCATTAACGACGCCCCCTCTCGCTTTGTCATTCGTCCGCTTGACGTGTCACATATTGAATGGGTTTCCGCCATTTTTGCTCACTCTCATCTCTTCCAGTAAGTATCAAAATCTGTGGCATCCTTGATTTTTTTCATCTTATCCTGGAAGAGTCTATGTTTGAAATTTCCCGGTCCCGTAATTTTGTCTCGGGAAATACCTGCCGATCTGGTATCGGTAGCTCGAGCACTTGGTGGAAATTTCTATACAATCATGAAAATAAATCGAGAAGCTAACACATTTCGACTGACTAGCAACAAGGCATGGCGTGGCTGGCTACCAGAAAAGAACCTGACGGCCCTGGCGTACGAGGTCCTGGGAACGTCCGACTACCTGATGCGCCACCAACTGGAATCCGGCTACTCTCTGGGCATGTTTGACACGGAATACCAATTCAAAAACCCGGCATCGGCCCCGAACGGCGGCAAACTCTGGTGGGATCCCCAAGACCCCCATGCCGACGGCCAGCGACTGCTCGAGCAGATGGACTTCCCCCTCGTGTCCATTGCCCTGGCCTACGACAGCATCCACCCGCTCGACCCGGCCGGCATGGCGCCCCTGCTGGTCTCGCTGCCGCCGACAAAAGACATTTTTGGCATCCTGGCCGCGCTGGACCCGCGCGACCCAGCGACGTGGCAGGCCACCGGCCCCGGCCAGGTCCTATTTCGCAACGCCACTAACACGCGAGCCGACTATGAAGGGCTGGGTCTCATGGCCAAAATGGCCCGGGAGATGATGTTTAGGTCTGCCGAGCAAGGGTTCCGGGCTATACAGATTGAGTGTATGAATAATCCCGTCACTCACGTTTGGAGCCACCCTCCTCCTCCATTCAAGGGCGAGGTGATTTCCGAATTTCAAACAAAAACGTACGAGGAAAAGGATGAGAACGGCAAAATGGTTGCCAAGCTAGGATTGGCAGACCAGAGGATGACAAAGTGTTACGTGACGCGTAGGTAGAGCGGTTCTTCATTGCTACTCTCAGACTCCTGAGGACTACTATGAGGGAGGCGAGAAAAGAAAAAGGCAGCTGACTGTATATACGAATTTCTTCATGATTGTTGCCCATCACTTTAGGGACGGACTGACAGATCCACTGGATTAGAGATGAAGATGTGCATACCCAAGGCTCAAGGCATGATATTCAAAATTATCTGTGGAAGCAGGTCTTCTTCTAGTCCTTCTGCAAGTGTTTGTCCAAGGCCACGACTAGTATACCTACATAATAATGCTGACAAGCCCGTCCTTTTATATCCTAGCTGCATGCCTAGGCATCACAATATAGGTTTGTATGAAAACGACTGGGCGTTGAGAATGCGGCAGTCGCAGAGATTTCACTTTAGACTTTACGACGAAGCTTCACATATCCATAAAACACTGCCTTGGAGGCTGAGCAAGTCATGGCTATCAAGTTTTATATTGTGCCAATCTTCTAGCTATGAATGGGCCTTTCCCAATATTTTCTTCGGCAGACGTAGCCACATTGGCTGTTGTCTGCCTAGCGCTTCCCGTTCATCCTCGCGCTGTCCACCGAGCAAACATCCACACACAAGTTTCATCAGTGTGTGATGTCCCGAATAGTCCCGCTGAGATACCACTGTCTCAAAAGTACATATACCAAAGTATGACCTCTATCGGTCGGCGTAAGTGAATGACGTGAAGAATAGACAGCCATGAACTCCGAGGACACTGTGTTGCGAATACGCGGTCCTTCGAGTAGCGAGTGCCGTGAGCATGATTCGCGGAATATGCCCAGTGATTCATGAAAAAAACACCAAGCTTCTCTATCCCCTCGTCGAATGTGAACCAAACCAGCCGCAAAAGAAACAAAAACACAGAAACCAAAAGTCGTGGTATTGCAATGAAATGACAAAGCCCTCATGCTAACAATGCCTTCAAAGTGAAAACCAGATGCCGAGAGTTGAGAAGAAGAAATTCCTAGAATCTCCCATCAACGTTGAAATTTGCTGAGATCACTCCGAGAAGGATCTACCTTTGTGAAGCAAACATTGTACAAGTCGAGGGAGCGTGCCATCATAATCACGTAAATATCGATGGGCGAGGACCGTCTAAGCGGCTATGCTACCCTTGCGCTTTTCAGCGCTGGTGAGCACCAGCATTGGGGCTTTGCGTTGACCGTCAGCAGCCTCGGGCTTGCGCTGCGTTCCGTGCTTGAACACGCTGGCGAAGCTACCGGCCTCGCTGTCGGAAGCGCTGTTCAGACTCTCAACACTCTTGCGTGACTTGGAACGAGAGCTTGGGCGGTCAGACCCAATGGCGCCCCAGCTACCGCTGGTCGAGGTACGGGAACTAGCCAAACTCGGCTCAGCATCACCGGAAAGACTTCCAGAGCCACTACGTCCAGAGTCAGACTCGTTATCCGTGAGAGGAGTTCCAGCCTCTTCGGCGGTCTCCGAGACGGGGCTCATGCTGCCGGAGCTACTGCTGGTGCCCTTGCGTCTCTCCAGACCAGCGCGAACAAGATTGTGGACAGCGGAGCGGCGAGTGCGAACAGCAAAGTTCTTGCTTCCTTCATGCTTGGCAGTCGGCTTGGCACGCAGCTCATCGATCGAAGGAGGACCACGAGGCTGGCGGACGGGGTGCTCACCAGCACGGGCCTGGCCAGGTCCGTAGCCACTGATGAGTGGGGAGATTGGGAATGCAGCCGTCTTGGGCCCTGCCGCCTTGTTCGCGTCCTCAGTCGACAGTGACAAGCCCTTCTGGTTTGCAATTGACGAAGCCTTCTTGTGTCCTCGACGGAAAGCATTGGCAGACGGCGGCGGAAGAGGGGTAGGCTCGGCTGTCATCTCTAGCTTCTTGGGCGGCGAGTTGCTACGGAAGAATGGCCTCTCGTTCTCCATAGGGGGCGGGGATACCTCAACGCGAGGAGTGTTGCCTGTTGCCTGCTGGAAGGTCATGTTTTGCGGCGTAGCGGGCTGGTCCAGGTAAGCATTGCTGTACTGTGCCTGGCTCTGGTCAACGTAATAAGCCTGCTTGCCGGTGGCAGGGTCGTAATAAGTGTACACATTCTGTTGAGGCTGCTGCATGGATGCAAGTGACTGCTGCAGGCTCTGGAGCTGCTGCTGCTGCTGGTACAGAGTCTGCAGAGCCACCTGCTGCTGGAATGAAGCCTGGCCGCTGAGGTTCAGGGCCTGGAATTGCTGAGCTGCAGCCTGGATGTTCAAGAGCTGCTGCTGAAGGCGCTGTTGCTGCTGAGCCAAGTGCATGTTCGCAGCTACCAACTGGGCGTAGAATGAAGGGTCCATCTGCTCCTGATCCTGCTCGTCAAATTGCAGCTGAGGCGGAGCAAGAATCTGGTCAGCAGTATAGTGTTGTCCAAGACCCATCATCATGGGGTTGTACGTCTGCTGCTGCTGCTGCTGTTGTTGTTGCGTCGCAAGACGGGGAAGCGATGTCTTGGGTCCAGCATAAACGTTCTCCTGAGCATTGTACATACCCGAGTTGGCGCCGTTCCTGTTGGGTAGGTGCTGGGCAGTCGAAGCAGCTGTGGCAGAAGACGGAAAGGTGGACGTGGTGGCCGACTTTGGAGCGGTCCGGAGGCCTGCGAGCAGATGCGATCGGCTCGTCCGTGGTGTGGGAACACCAGTGTCGTTGCTCTCATTTGCAGCCTTGAGGGAGTCGAATGATAGCGGCTTGATGTTCTGACCACCACGACGCGAAGCCAGGCCACCAGCAGGCATGCCACCAAGGGGTTGCATTGCGAATCCGTTGTGAGACATTTGAGCAAAATCGCCGGCGTGCATTACTCAAAAATGGGTTGGTGTAGTCTATCAAAAAAATACCGTCGAAATCCTGGATCGAAGACGGGTGAAATCGATCGACGAGATTTTCGAAGTGAAATCGAAGGAGTGGATGATTGCCGCTGGTGTTGATTGGGCGATCGATGCAAGTTATTACAAAAGCGTAGTCGGAAGTATGCAATTAAGGCGATTCGTGAAGATGCTTTGAAATGATCTGATGGAAAAAAGAAAACAAGCCGACCAAGTCGTTCTTCTCGGGAGCTGATTGATTCGAAAACTCTTGTCGTGTCAAACGAGATGCCGAGATGGAGAATCTGGCAAGATCAAGATCGCGGACCAAGGGCGGCGACAGGAATCGGGGAACAGGATCAGAAACGTCTGAAGACTTTGCAGTTGCTGCTTCGGATGAAGATGCGTCGCTGCGACAATTCTCTAAGACGAGCCTGAAGTATTAGAAAAAGAATCTGGTGCGTGTAGAAATGTTGCGATTGTCCGTTTCGGAATGAGTGATGATCCAACCGGATGGAAGGAAAGTGCGATAACGAAGAATGGCTGAAAGCTGAAAGGCGAGGAAAGTGCTCAGAGTGAAAGTTGCCAGGGGCGACAAGATGCGGCAGCGCAAATTGTCAAGTAGGCAAACGTCACTTGGCTGCGAGTTCAAAGAACAGGCAGACCAGCAAGCCGCAAAGGGAAGTGCTGTGGAACGTTTATGCAGCGGCAAGATCAAAGTCTAGAGCGACCGTTGAAATGGGGCGCTGCTGACAGTGGGTTGACAATGTCGAGTTCCTTTTGTTCCGATGAGTACGATGACGATGATTAGACCCTGGAGAAGGCTTACACTGAAGCAATTCCTTGTTTGTCCAAGCGTGCTTTGTTCAAAGAACCTGGGATGGCCTTGAGATGACAAAGACAGCGCGATGGCGGATGGGTGAGTGATCCTGATCTCTCAGTGCTTGTTGCTGTTTGCACTTGTCTAGTAGTAGGCCTCGAGCCGGTGATCAGATTATTGGCTGGGATGATGTGCTATATGCGTCGAATGGAAAATGATCAAAATGATGCAGTTGGCGAAGCCGAAAGTGTACAATGATTAAATAGGTGTCCGAGTATCAATCTGGTGATAGCTGGGAGACGATTCGATGCGCAGGTTGTCTGGTAAGCGAATTCCCGTTCTTTTTGTCCGTGTTTTGACTTTCTTTCCTTCCTTTAAATTTTTTTCTGGTTTTAGTATTTTTCTGTCTTCTTTTTGTTGTGGTTTGGCCGAGTGTCTTCCCGAGCGTGACGCGACTTTGACTTTTTGGGTTGACAATTTTAGACTTCAACGACGACAGAGGCAAAGCCACGACGAACAATGGAGGAAAAAAGGCGTGAACCGCGTGGTGCAATTGAGCTGAGGAGAGAGACAACTATCGGGGGGGAAGGGGGGGCGGGATAAAGGACAGTGGTAGCTAGAGAAGGTGGGAAAAAGGAAGAAAAAGAGAAGTTGGACAAAAAAGTTGTGATCCAGAGAGGAGGAGGAGAAAGAGAGAGAAGGAGAGGGAGAAGAACTCTGGTCGTTTGGTGGAGTGGACCCAGTGCTATTGAAGGAGAAAAAAATAATGAGCTACCGTACTGGCTAAGGTAGGTCGGCAGGCAGGTACCTCTCCATCTGTACCTACATTCAAATGTTAGGTGTCCAGGGTCTGGCGCTCACTGTCATGGCGTCGAAAGGGCAGCGTACTTGGCCTAGATCGGTCTCTCCTGCTGGTACTGGGCTGCTGAGAGCCTGTGGCTCAATACAATTTTTTAGCGGTCTTTGGGGTCTACCTACATCAGGTACCTACATACTTTACCTACGGGTACCGTTACTACCACCACCACCCAACGCACCATTGGCGCTGCCCGATTGACACTCTCATTCTGAATGTGGCTCGCCCTTGGCTCCGCCCTAAAATTCTGCAAAAGGCCAATGGCCCACCATTGGGCGGTTCGGGCGATTCCCACCCTGGCTCGCCCTGTGCCTTTTTAGTGGGCTGGCCACGACCACGGAAGAAGGTGGCCTTGGTGGCCCTGACAGGCCTGCAAGCCTGGGCGCTGGATGGGGGTTCAGTGGCCAACCGAAAGCCAGCTTTCTCTGAAATACTGCAGGACACGAATTGCGGTGTGGAGTCAGTCATTGTGCTCGGCTGGGGCTCCAGTCCAGGTGTACACTACTACTACGTATTAGAAATGGCATCCCAGAGTATTCCGTACCCGACGTGTGCTCAAAATCTGGTACACTCTCTCGAAATCTTGAATATTCCTTTTCGAATTCCATCTACAACAATACTCGACTACACGTTTAATATGCGGATGCCACGGAAAACAATGAAGGTTGGGCAACCTACATAGTATACTCTTCGATCTCCAAATGGTTCTACCAAGAAATCCAAGATACCCGTGCTGGAAACGAACCATACACATAGGACCTATGCAGGTGGTGGGTGTAGGCAGTACCTATAGGTCGCATTTGATAGTTGCACGTATGGCTGTCCTACAGAAGCCTTCACCTGGAAGTAACTAACGACAATTGACCTGCTTGTTTTACACAATCAAAAGCGACTCAGCGATTGCGTATTGACATTCGTATGATAATATGAATGTAGATGTGAGTCAAGCGTGCAGTATTCAATAGCGAGGTACGTGATCCGACCACTAGAGATATATGGAGAGCCCTCGGGCTCCAGGGCTGCTGAGGGCCTGGATTGTGAGTGGAAGTTGACTTGTGAGGTGCCGCTAGCAAAACGGTTCAAAAAGAGGGGAAGATGTGCTGCCTGCCATAGATATGCCCTACCTGCCTACTCAGCGGTGAGAGTCTGCAGACCTTTGTTACTATTGATGAGCATGAATTATGGAGTGTGGTAGGCAATGTCATAGACAAGGTAGGTCGAATCTGAGGGTTGGAATTGCTTTAATCATACTCCATGTGCATTGTGTGCGATCTCGATGTAAGGAGCAGGTAGGTGTGTGCCAGGAGATTGAGGTTGCGCGGGCTGCTGATTGGACGACTTCAACATTCGCCTCCTCAATCACCTTAACAAGTTGCAACCTCTGAATGGTTCAATGTGATGGGAAGCAATGCACGGTGCAAGGTGCGCCGGGGATGAGTTGGAATGATGGGTCAGATGGATCATGGGCCAGTCAACCCGTTCGTCCTCTGCTCAAGTGCTATTTGATCCGCTCTACCGCTCCCATCTGTGCTGGCCAACCACATGCATTGACTGGCTATCCAAAGGGGGGCGAGCAAGCCAGGGGCGCAAACATTGATCGATTGAATGGGATGAATGGACAAGGAGCATTCAAATGTCCTTGATGATCACCAGCACAGGGGTTGAGGGGCACTGGGGCTATCAATCGACCGGGAGTCGTTGATGATTGAGGTTGCTTGCCTCCTCCATACTTACTATGTACGTAGATATCTCACAATTGTTATCTATTTCTACAGTCTGCGCTGAGATGTTGTATTTGGAGTACGAAGCACACTCGGCACATGGTGGACATTCTACATATGCCTAGTACAGGTCGCACCACGCCCATTGGATACTTATATTGATATGAGGCAATATCTTCAAGTCTCTGTCCTGTTTGTCTTTTTGTGCCAGATCTACCTGAATATCATTTGAATGAGGTAGCCACCCATATATTCGTAGTGATGAGACCGAGGAAATGGGTCGCAAGCAACCACTCTCAAAATGACAATGGACGTGCCTCTAGTTGTAGGTTTCCTGGGCATTTTTCGGAAAGAAGCCCGGGATTGCTTGCGATCTTTCATGTAATTGTGAAAATCAATCAAAAACTCCGGCTTGTTTACCTCAATTTACCAAACTCAAGTTGTATGAGGCATTACCTAACCCGCACTGGTTGCTGGTGAACAGTTTACTACTACCACCATCAAAACACAATACCTGGACTTGCCACTTGGACCAGCTTTTGAACCCTGAGGAGGTTGTTTCCCGGAGTGCGGCCAAAGCTTGCGCCGCAAATTGTCTCCAATATTGCTATTTTAGTGCACCTAATTGAAGACCTTGTCAGAGACTCGCGTCAGGTACGACGACGTGGTAAACTCATTCATCAGTGTTCATGAGCTCTGACCAGCAGCGTCGCAACGTTTCCTGGTATCTGCAAGACGGCGCACTGGCGAGATATGTAGGTACAGAGCCAGTAAAATGCGGTAGATTAGTAGCAGAGTGATACCATGTCTCTTCCCCCATGATTCATTGGCCTCGCAATGCGCAGGAACACCCTCCCATCCATCATCTTTAGAATGCGCATCAATTGTCGTTGGGAAAGCTGGGGAGCTACATTCATGCCATTCTTTCTTGGATGCGTACGTACCATGGGCTCAACCCCACATGGTGATTGGGATGTCGTAGCCCGTTTTCGCCGACGATCTACGCCCGTCCATGCGTCCCCCAGCCGTGTCACGAAACCTTGCGACTACTCCGTACTCTATTTCAGATGCATCATGGTAGTAGTACCACGACAAAGTAGGGGACTTGGGGGGAGAACGGGGACCTGCTAGCTGTCAGGGGCATCAAAGCAAGACACGGGGACGCATAATCGTCCAAACAATCCACCAGCCAACCCGGCGCCATGGGAAAAGGCAGGCAGGCAGCCCACCCTTTGGACTCGTCAGGCTTCGGCATGTTCGGTACGATCAGTATAGTGTATACTCGACTTCAAATAGACCAATGCTGTGGACATGTCCCTCCCCGCGTACTCCGTCGTGGTGTCTCTGTTTCTTATTCCCTGTCTAATAATTTCTCGTCCTGCGGTGCTGCGAGCGATCCAGACTCGTGGGTCGACTCTTGTGCGACACAGTCATCAGAGACGCATGTGCTTGGACAATTGCGCCCGCCGCATATTTCTACGTGCAAATGACACAATGTAGACAAGAGTAAGGGGAAAGGGCATGCATGACTGGGCATTTCAAAAGTGCAATTAGGCTTCGTCAATACATAGGACGTGCAATCGGGAGCCAACAAGGTACGATACACAGAGTACGTAGTCGGCAAGCGTACAGGTGTGTCATGCCCGGTGCGCACAGATAGAACTTCATGTCTCAAAATCTGCTCAAGTCTTTTTGTTCTTGTTCTCATCATTCTGCGCAACTTGGTGTGGTATATTAATGTACATCTATCTCTGACAGGCATCCCATTTCTTGGAACCATCCATCATCTCACATCAGGAAGATCCCCCAAGTCTTCTGGATCAGACGAAGAGCGTGCGCCGACACCTAAGTGCTGTTAGCCCAAGGACGGTTTCGGCTTGGTTGCGAGCGAGACGGCCGCTTTTGGCATGGTCGCATCATCCATCGTATGTCGCGTCGACCGAACCTGGGAAAACCTGAGACACGCTGGGGGTGGGGCCCAAGGGAAAAGAGTGGAGAAGCGTCAGGGTCTCCATCCGTGTTTTGTGCCCTTTCCACCGTCAAGACAGTCCGTATCCAGGTCAGGCAGGTTTGGGAGCGTAGCATTCGGCAGCTCATCAATCAAAGCTAGCGTGGCTGTTCTATTTGAATCAGCGACGGGCAATTCGCAAGCGGAGATTCATCAACTGTCAGGTGCCACTTCCCTCTTTTTTCTAGTTCCGCTAAGGGACCGTGTACACTAGCACATAGTAGGTGACTCTGGAAGTCCCACACGAGCCGGGCAAAGAAAAGGTCGAGCAAGATACATTATTAGGTACATTGAAACCCAGCCGGAAAACAGCCCCAAAGCTTTGTACTTGAGATCAGTGGGAATCGTCAACGGCTCCCGAGCCTGTCTTACAACAAAACACACTTGCTGCTCGTCCTTCTCGTGTTACCCATTTCCATCGGTTCTCGGGACCAATCACAGCTACGGTCCAGTTAATCAATGACCAAAACCTTTCGTCGAGGTCCTAGTGATCCGCGCATAACACTGACAACTGAGAATCTGGCGTTTGTGTTAAGTATGCTTGTGATGACGATAGCAGATTCCAATTATTGCAGATCATGCTCGTTAAAGGAGAGTTAATCAACCCGGATTGTGCTCCTTGCTTGGCCAATATTTCATCAAGGCGCAACACTCCCAAATCCGCTGGCAAACATGATCGGCCAGCTAATTTTCCATTCTCAGTGGGTAAAAAGGCACTTGGTAGCAACAACAGGGTCTCCCGCCGGCTTGCATTCAGGGTTGCGGGACCACCACCCCCCAAACCCATGTCGGGTACACTTTCGGGCGCAGCCAAGCGGCGCTTAATTGATCACTGTTGGCAAATCACTTGCCTTGATCACAGCCGCCACTGAACACCCACATGCGGCTCTAAATACCGTTCACAATTACGTGGCAATCGCGTGCGAGCGTTCAGGCTGCCCGCCCAGATCGGTTAGGGATGCATATCTTGTCGGAAGCAGCGACATGTTCGCCATGCCATTGATGGGGTAGATACACGGAAGAGACATGCGAAATTGAGGAGATGCCGTATCTATATCGTCAAGTCTAGTCTACACTCTACGGTACTCAGGCCAAGGCCGCAAGATTATCAGCTTATTACCGTCCTGCGCTTCCTTCGTGTGAATTCCTTCAGGAACAATTGCTTCAACCCATAATATCTGACGTCAAGCTGTCATCTCGAACAGTCCGATATGCTAACCTGGATCTTTGTGACAGCGATAAGATCCAAGCAAAGCCGTCCTGGCCTCACTAAAGACGCATTTGGTGTATAACTGAGCAACGCGTCTGAACTGAACTTGTAATCATTGTTTCACTTACATGAATCATTCGATGGAAACGGCCTTTGCAGCGACATAAGACAATGTATCAAAAGATCAGATAGATGTAAGGGACCAGACTGAGACATTCATGATTGTTCGGGTCTACTACAAGGCGGCCGCTCGCAACAAGTATGCCCACTGGCGCCGGTGCCACGGAGCTGGTTGATTCAATTACGGGCTTGCCGAGAGTATAAGCGGCCAAAGCAAAACATGAATGGTGGAATGTGTGCTAGTGTATGGCTGTCTTGGACGCCATATCACATTGACCAGTTGAAGCTGCTACGACATCTCCTGATTTTTTTGGATTTGCCGGTTTTGCAACATTGGGAGGTATCAACCCCCTAAGCTCACTCGTAATTACTGCATGGCTTGCATGCATCACAAGGTACTCGAAGTCAAGGTGCCGAAATCGTCTGAACATTAAAGTATCTCGTTG